TGAGTCAACACAATCATTTATATTCTACTTAAGTACTTGAAACTGCGTCCCAATTTGAATGTTGACTAGGCATTGACTGGGCATGAATAGTGTGCCTATGTCCCCACCAAGAATCATGCAGTCTCTCCGATCTAATCAAAATAGATACTAGTATGAAATTACTATTTTCTTACTTGGGGATCCAACAATGATACGAGCCTAGATCCAGTCCGTCAACATTACCCCGCATCAATGATGTCTTGTATTGATTGTCACACGATCCCCTTCCAGAGAAAGGGAACACTAGACCATAATCTGTATTCTTTACTACGAAAAAGGATTCGTTAGATATTCTGATACATTGTAGTAAAGGATTTGTCTTTTTTGGGAGATAGTTCACAAAAGAATCCTTATCTCCATAAAATATCAATCGTTAAATTGTTTTTCTTGATATCTGTTTACCTGATTGATATATATTGCGCTACCAAAATATTCAACTGAATATTTGCTTTGCTTGTCTTGATAATTGTAGTTTGATTTGCTTATAGATGTATAAGTGAATAGATCTCAATACTTTGATCTAATCGCCAGGTTATAATACACTTAAGGTAAGGTTAAGGTTGAGGTATATTCATTAGGTCAAGCTACTCTGTTCATAGTAACATACTCCATAAGCAGGCTGGCCACCTAAGAAGACTGGCCATCTTCATTAGTCATGTCAAGAGATATAGTCCATATACCAATATTTGATCTAGTTATAATCACTACTATGTACTATCATGTAAAGAGCCTTCACAGCTGAGCTCAATCTTGAATATTCCAAGGTTCTTGATAATCGCGCTATAGATCTATTCTACGCAACATACACTATATTTTTCGATACCTTTACTTATTTGGAAGCGTCTAAAATTATGGTCTTTTGTATATAAAAGTAGGCATATCCCAAATCAAAATATTATTCTTCATTGAGTCAAGATCTTAACTAGGTAGGCTGCTTTTCCATTTGGATAACCGGACTGAAACTACTTACAGCTAGTTCACATAAAATATCAAGGCCAGCATACTTGGGTGTCCAGCCGCTTATGGATGATATTATCCTATTTCATGTCAACCAGCTCTCCGTGGTAGGTTCTCTTTCTGAGAAGACAACCGGACATTTAATGCCTAGTACAAGTGTGGGACAGATCCCAGGCTCCTATATGGTCAAGTTGTGTTTCTTAGGCAAGACGTTGAATCACAGGTGGCCGCGAATAATATCTATCCCACCGAAGGGAGTCGTCGAGAGTCACATATCCGGGCGTCTGTGACTCCCCCCAGCATACTTCCATCCAGCCAAGATCCTCCTCTGTACACCCTTCCAGTAGCTCCTCTTCTGGGCCAGGTCCCCCCGCGTTCCGCCCGCTCTTCCTCATCCAACTCCTCCGGTTTCCATTCGGCGTTGACTAGACGAACGAATCCTCCGTGTATATCGTCGTCTGGCGTGCTCAGGATTGAATCCAAGGCTTCTTGGTCCACCATGATGAAAAAGCGGTACCTGCCGTTTTTCAAACGCCACAGGTGGCTGGGATCAATTCCTTGTTCCTCTTTCACCGCGGTCACAGCCCACTCATTGAATTTGTTACTTAGCGAGGCCACCGTCGCACTCTCAAAAGATCGATCTTCCAAGACCGTTGGAGTAAATCTGGCGAGGGGATCTAGACCGTTGTAATACTGAAGGTATTCTTCTACGCGCTTGTGGAACCGGATCATCAATTTCTCCCAGTCGGAGTCACTTTGACACGTGCATCGGTAGATAACGAAACCCCATGTTTTAAAATCATCTTTGTCCAGAAGTCTCTCCAGCTCGTCGGCATCGTTCATCCCGCTCTCAATCTCGGGAGTGCGCTTAGAGGGGTCCTGTCGCGAAGTCATTTGTGTCGAGAGCAGGGTGGAAGGGATGCAAGGCGGCGTGATATGCACAAGGCGAATCTGGGGAGCGGGAGGGCGAATAAGACGGCACAGGCGAAGGAAGCTGGGTTTGTTGCTCAAGTGCGGGCGGCGGAGAACACTTCTTGCAATCATGGATGCGAAATGTCTGGGCTGATGGTCACGTCACTGGGTGATAAAAGAGCGGGAAGAGTTGTTGGAGAAAAGTGGGTGGACAAGCTGGGGACTGCCCCATAATAACAGGTGGTTTAGTTGTATTTGACCCTTCCCTCGAGCCTGGCTGCCTCCCCGCATAATGTACTGGGATAGTATCTCAGATAGCCCGACACCTAGAAGTAATCCGTACAACTCTGGATAGTAGAACTCGGATAGTGGATATGAGTGAATATACAGATTGGGCAATAATATATATGATGGTTAAGCTAATATCGGGGACATCGTCGGGATTTTGGTTGTTTTGGAAACATCGCGATTGCCCATTTACGGCGGTGGAAATGATGGTTCAGCAGAAAGTGACCGCTTCAATGAGCCGGACATGTGATAACCGGAGGGATGCTACTCCGAAGCCGATTGTTGTCAGCAGCGATACCCTTTTGGGATGAACAAGAAGAAAGAGATCAGAATAACTACTCGTTAGAGGGCTTGAGCCTTGAACTAAAGGTACAGGAATCCAGGCTTCCTGTTTGACTCCATAATATTTACTCTGGAGACTGAATCCTCATTTTACAAAGCTTGATGATCATCTCTCTCATCCAGTCTATTTTAAGACAATTACTTATCTTCTCGAGTGCGAATAACAACTATGTTATTGAGAGTGTGAAAGCACCAGAATGAATGCCTCACACCTGGATGAGTGGGACCCTCGTTACTTGCGAATGTAGAGCTGCCAGTGGTGACTATATTGAAAGGAATCTTGCTCTATTAGATGACTGCTACTCCTTTCAGCATCTCCCTTCTTGCTTCACCCTAAGATACTTAGTCTCGCCTTGGATGAACCTTCAATCTGTCCGCTGGCTCAAAGTGTCCCCCTACTAAAAATACTAGCTAGTACCTACTGTGGATAAAACTCTTCATTTCCAATGATATTCTATGGATCATCGCAGCACACTATCACGGGACCTGTGAAACGACCTTCCAGCCAAGGAACACGCTTGCAACGTCAACCTCCCACCACATATTCTTGTTCCACCCACCTCTCTACTTTACCAAACAAAGCGACTGGCAGAGGCTATCCCGGTCACGGCCCCTCCAGCCATCCCTCAATGCAACCGTCATTTTAGAAAGCGATCTGCATTATGTTAGACAGCCCCTATCCCGCCGTCACCGGACACGCCAAGGTAGCTTGACTAGAAGATGACTCGCAGGAGAGAAGCTGGCAAGTGGTCGTGACAGTCTGTGCTGCACACCACGGAGAGACACTGCCAATGGTCATTCCGAGCCTGACGGTCGACCCCGTGATGTCGGACGGATTCCAAATGTCGTAAATGCAGGGGAGGGTGCGTCTTGCGTCTCTACAGCCATGGGCCCCAGCACTTTGGGCGCACTGTAGTGGACAGCATAATATCGCTTGGCCTTGCATATGCTTGTTATCCGGACCTCAACCGGGCGGCGCTGATATAGATCCCCCGGACCGGGTGTGAATTACGACGTATTGTGTTAATCTCCCAGCCAGCTGGTATCTGGACCATCTCACCAGCCAGATTATCAACACTTGCAAAGTTTGGTGTGAGTGTATCAGAAGGCCTTCAGGCATGTGCTACTCATATGGCACCTTCGTGGAACCAATGCCTTCTTGGTGCAATTTGAGTGGTCGAAGGTGTTTGTTGAAAAAGCTTCGTATATAATTCCCTTTTGACAATGTCAAAATCTATTGGACCACTAATATAGCTGCATGGTCTGGTTGATCAGAGGTTATTTTTGTGCTCGAACGCCGTGTAACACTGGGTAATAGTACACTCCTTTCACCGCCCTCAGATACCCGCCCCCTACAGTAGGGTTGTCAATATCCCTCACCTTTCCAATTGCTGATGCAGAATTGACCTGATATAGAAGCCTCACAGCACCAGAGACTATCGCCTGAAGATGCCAAGTATTGATGGGTTACATTGGCTGGCGAATAGACTGTTCACCATCCCCCGCCTGTACAAGGCTCATTGAGCGACCTTTATTTCTATGAAGGCTTCTTGCAGTGTAGAGCCGCTGTTTAGAACTCGGAAATAGGCGTGCATAGTATGGACTCAATCAACAGAGTCAATCGATTAACTCTAACGCCTAGCAAGCAATCAGTGCTCAGAGGAAGCTAACGGATAGCTGGTCAAGCTGCCCCAGAAACGAAATGTGTCCGTAATACCATCCTTGTATGCTTATCTGTATTCTGTGCATGCATGATGCTTTCCTCACGGGGCATTACCCAGTAGTCCGAAGACGCAATGTGACCATCTGACTGAGTTTTAAATATACTGTCCAAGTGCCTTCTGACCCGGTCCCCGCTTGATGACAATCAACAAAAGGTGAATGTGACAGAAAGGCGTGGTCCAGACAACAGGACTTAGACTTTATTGTGAGACTATAAAAGGATCTAACTATTGCACTACTGAAATTAAGCATTCTAGTCTACCATTGACATTTCTCCCGTTTCGGTGGCCACTCGCTCAACATGGCTTTCCTCAAACGCATTCTCCCGCTGCTGGCCCTCATCTTGCCTGCAGTTTTCAGTGCCACAGAACAGGTCCCTCATCCGACCATCCAGACCATCCCGGGGAAGTACATTGTTACTTTCAAGTCCGGCATTGACAATGCGAAAATTGAGTCTCATGCCGCATGGGTAACAGAGCTCCACAGGCGCAGCTTAGAAGGCCGCAGTACAACCGAAGATGACCTTCCCGCCGGGATCGAAAGAACGTACAGAATTGCCAATTTTGCTGGGTACGCGGGGTCTTTCGATGAGAAAACTATCGAGGAGATCCGCAAACATGACCATGTTTGTGTCCACGTATCCCAGACCGTGTAGTTTCGACTAATTGCTGTACAGGTAGCTTATGTGGAGCAAGATCAGGTCTGGTACCTCGATACGCTAGTTACCGAAAGGCGAGCTCCTTGGGGACTTGGGAGCATTTCTCACCGTGGTGCATCTAGCACTGACTACATCTATGATGACAGCGCTGGGGAGGGTACATACGCTTATGTAGTGGACACCGGCATCTTGGCTACGCATAATGAGTTTGGTGGTCGTGCTAGCCTGGCATATAATGCTGCAGGGGGTGAGCACGTTGATGGTGTTGGACATGGCACACATGTAGCAGGGACCATCGGCGGCAAAACATACGGGGTTTCGAAAAACGCCCACCTAATGTCCGTGAAGGTGTTTGTAGGTGAATCCAGCTCGACATCGGTCATTCTAGATGGCTTCAATTGGGCTGCCAATGATATTGTGAGCAAGAACCGGACCAGTAAGGCGGCGATTAATATGAGTCTTGGTATGTGCGCCCCCTCTGGTGATCTGATGCCGCTAATCATGATGCAGGTGGAGGCTACTCCTATGCGTTTAATAATGCAGTTGAGAATGCTTTTGACGAGGGTGTGCTCTCTTGTGTTGCCGCTGGAAATGAGAATGTAAGCTCTGCTGAACTGTCCACCATTGGGATAAATTTAGACTAATGCTTTGCAGAGAGATGCAGCACGGACTAGCCCGGCTTCTGCACCCAACGCCATTACTGTTGCCGCTATCAACAGAAGCAATGCTCGTGCGTCATTCTCAAACTACGGCTCCGTGGTTGACATTTTTGCCCCGGGAGAGCAAGTACTTTCTGCATGGACCGGCTCGAACTCGGCCACCAACACGATCTCCGGCACGTCCATGGCTACACCTCATGTGACAGGTTTGATCCTCTATTTGATGGGCTTGCGGGACCTTGCTACCCCAGCGGCTGCAACGACCGAGCTCAAAAGGTTGGCTACGCGGAATGCTGTCACCAATGTGGCGGGTAGCCCCAATCTTCTGGCCTACAATGGAAACAGCGGCGTGTCAAAAGGGGGTAGCGATGATGGAGATGAGGACTAGGTGCGTAACATGAGTGAATATGGCTTAGAATAGTGGGGATCGGAGAGTAGTCTAGTTTATATGCGAAATAAAGTGTGTATCAGCACCCTGGCCTGTTCATATAAGTCGGCATTTTGACTTTTGCCGACACCGCAAATATGCTGTGCTTGAGGCTGTTGCCTCCCCAGCCAGCCTTCCCGAGACTGAAACTCACACATCCATTGGATGTATAAAGTTCTGCACATGCGAAATGCCGCTGCCGTTTACCTCCCGACGTGGTACCGGACCGAAGGCAGACACAGATCATGGACCGCTATACCGCACAGACAACTTGTGCTCCTTACTGAAAGTATCATTCCACAGGCCATTGCAGCATGATGAGTGATGATGTACTTCTCCCCATCAAGAACCACTGGCGGTGGTTGGAATGAATCTAGATCAAAGAGATCAACCGCTTCCCCGGACAGATCATGCCTATGCCCATAATGAACCGGTGACTGTGTAACCCTGTTACAATCCGTTTGTCATTGGTCCTTTCTGTTTGCTGGATGGCGTGTACTACCTCAAAGCTTGTGCCCCTAGGAGCTCATACTGGAGACAGGTTCTTGTATATAGCCATAGCCTAAGTCCGGCTGTCTAGGAAACAGTATTCTCGAGGTCTTCTCTGATTCTCACAATGAGAACTGTCGCCCGGGTCATTGCGGCCCCTGTGGAAAGCGAAAAGGAGACGCTTCTGGCGCTGCTTCCGCAGTACGGGCTCAAACTAGCCCCGGACGGGATCCATATCCAGTGGGCTCTGGGCAATTGCCGACATCCACGGAACTGGAGCTTGCAACGTAAGGTCTATGATACCACTCTTATCATTTTCCTGGAATTTTTCACGTAAGGGACTCCGCGATCTTGATGACGTTTAAACTAATTGTTCCAGGACTGCCATTAGCACTGCCGGCGTAGGTAATAAAATGTTATCACGGGTGTCCACTTGCTGAATATATAGTCAACTGCGGCCGACAATGCCGTCCACGACTTCAAGATCTCCAAAACCCTGTCAATCTTCCTTTTCGTCTCCATGTCAGTATACCTCTTCTCTTTTCTTCAAGTACCCCAGTCTGACTTCTTAGATATCTTATCGGCCAAGCCATCGGGGGTGTCGTGTTTCCGCCATACTCTGAAGTATTTGGGCGGAAGAAGCTTTATGTGGCAAGCTCAGCCCTATACGGCATGTCATGCATCCTGATTGCATCCGTCCCATCATTGATAGGAGTAGCGATGGGCCGATGTCTCTGCGGGGTTCTGTCCGCCATCCCCACGACTGTCGTAGTGGGCAGCATTGAAGACACCTTCAATTCCCGCGAGCGTGTCTGGGTAATCTGCCTTTGGACCATGTTCGCCAACCTGGGCCTCGTCGTGGGTCCTATCCTTAGTACCTTTGTCGTCGCCTACACCCACTGGTATTTACCCGATTTCCCCAGCAACTGCCAATATCTTCACTAACACTCCACAAGGAGATGGCTTTTCTACATCGCAGCCATCGTAACCGGAGTCCTTACCCTCCTACTCCTCACTATACACGAATCTCGCCCCTCCCTCCTCCTTGCCCGCGAAGTCGCCACTCTTCGGAAGGTCACCAAGATCGACACCTTGGAAGGTCTCAACCCGGATAAAGCCCCCGACATGCGCAGCTTCGTCCGCATCGCGCTCTTCCGCCCCATCCGGCTCCTCTTCACCGAGCTCATCGTCTCCACCGTCTCCATCATCAGCGCCGTCGCAATCGCCCTAGTCTACCTTTTCACCGAAGCCCTTCCCCCGATCTACGAATCCTTCGGCTTCACCCGAAAACAAGCCTGCCTTCCCTTCGTGGCCATCGGCCTAGGTCTCTCCCTCGGTCTCCTCACCCGCTGTCTCGACCTCCGCATCATCACCCACCACCGAGCCCAAGGCCGACCACTCCTCCCCGAAGATAAATTGACCGGGTTTTGGATCGGCGCACCCATACTCGCTGTAGCGTTATGGCTTTTTGCCTGGACCATTCCTCCCGCTGTCACGAATCTCCCTTGGCTTGTGTCGGTCGCGGCTCTCGTGCTGGCTGGGTATAGTCTCAATGAGATCGACTACGTGCTGGGCGGGTATCTGACGGATAGTTATCTCAGCTATGCGGCGAGTGGTCTGGCGGCGTTGAGTTTGGTGAGGGCATTGTTGTCTGCTGCGTTGCCACTTATCTCGGCGCCTATGTTGGAGCGACTCGGGGCTAATTATAGTGTTTCGGTGTTGGCCACTGTTGCGACGGTATTTTGTGCTGTGCCGCCGTTGTTTTCGAAGTACGGGAGGAGGATTAGGGCGAGGAGTGCGTTTGCAAGGTTTAGTTTAACAGTGTATCGCGAGTATAGTGTTGATGAGGAGGGGTATTAGAGTAAAAGGAGTTGTGCGATACGCGTGGTGATGGGGTGGGAGGTAAAAGTCGTGCTTGATTGATAAAGACTGACAATTTTACATTTTTAACATCATTTCTATCTTCTTTTTAGGAGTAGACCATATGTCAGGGCTAACATCACGAGGTGGGTATAGCTTCGGAAATGAATCGACAGGATGCAACACTGAATAGCGAGAATTGTTTCAGGCCATTTATCAGGAGTATTGGGGGGGTGTACCTTTCTACCTCCATTCCCCTTGCAGAGAAAAAGCTTCTTTCCTAATTCAACCTGTATGGACAACCTCGCTCTGTGGAAAAGGGGTCCATCGGTGTCACCATAGCACGTACCCCGGGTACACAACTACCCAGCTAGGAATTTAGGTAGCCGAATCTAAACTCGGCTGCAATTCCGGCGTTAGCTATTCATCCTTCCGTCTATTCTTATCCAAAGGCCAGTGTTGTGGCACGGATCTCACGAATTAGAAGCTGAAAGTTGGTCCGGTCTAACCTCCATCTCGGATCCTCTCACTCAGGAACGGCAAATCAAGACTTTCCTTATTCAGACTTGGCAATACTAAGCACTAGTACACTCTTAACGCTAAACCCTTTTCTGCTTTATTTCAGACAACCTGATTGGTCAGCTCGCTAATGACATCATAGGGCTAGAGGCTATGCCATATCTGGAGTAGTTCGACGTTCTGGCCCCGAAGAGGATATTTAGTAGATACTGGGGTGATGGTTGCAGTGGTAGAGATATAAATACTGGGTTAGGGGGATAATGAGTATGAAGGGAAAAAAAGATTAAAAGTCCATTCCTTCTTTTTCTACGTTTTGTCGTTCTCTACATTCAGGATTGCATTCTGTCGCTCTTTACACGATTTAATACTATCGTTTTGACTGCATTTCTCAGACAACACCACTTTCATTATCACAACTGACCTGCTTTCATTTCTACTATCCCTCAATTGACTTTACTCACTCATTAACTGCCGCACTTAAACCCATTCTACAACCAAACTAGTAAGACAGGCCCGACATATTTTCCGATATCAACTAACTCTGTTCCGCTGCAGCACCACCACCAACATTCCTTCACCCGAAACATCGCACAACAAAAATCAATAATCAATAATCAACATGGCATACATTGGCGACGCAGCGGTCATCTTCTTTGTCATTCTCGGCTGTGTAATGGTGACTCTATCGGGCTACTCCACGCACTACCTCATGACCAATGGGTTTTACGGCTTAGAGCGGGATATCGATCCTACCGCAGAGCAGAGAGTGTATATGCGGCAGCTGAGACTGAGGGATCTACATTGGATGGCGAGGGATAATAGGGTTAAGACTGAGGATAGTCAGTCGGCTGTTTGAGGGATATGTTTCATATTACTATCGGAGTGATGGGAGCCTGGGCTATGATTTGGAGCATGGGATGGCGTTTAGGGTTTGGAATATTTATTTGGATTGATTGGATCCCGCATGCTCACCTTTGTCCATACTAGGTCTGTTCACTTGTACATAGACTCTGCATTGCCTACCATAAAGACTCTAGAGCATAAAAGACCATGACAATACTAGCGTTCCCACACCTACTAGAGAGTGACACCAACAGTATCAAGCTATCGATCCGTCAGCCCCATCACCCAGAAGACCTCGTCACAAATCAGCTCCGGAGCCACATAATGCACATTATGCGTCATTGCCTTGCCCTGCGCATAGACAAACCGACTCTGACTCGACAACCCAAGATGATCCCTCTGACTCTCCTCATCAACCCGTTCCATAGTCTCCAGCCGTTTAGCAAGACTCTCCCTCGCCTCCTCAGTACCATACCCATTAGCAACCCCAAACTCCAAAACCTTGCGAAAATCCATCGACCGATTCCCAAACACCACACTCAACCGTCCATCGCCCATCGCCTGGAACCCCACCGGTAATCCGTCATTAACCATCTCCATACTCCTAGCCACGAACCCCTCTTCAACACCAAACATAGCCTCATTCCGTTCCTCATCCCCCTTTACCTTCTGGTACTCCTCCGCCGAAAACGCGTGATTCAAATCTAACCCCAGGACCACATTGAGCTCTACTCCACCCATCAAGCTAAACCATCCCGAGGGTAGCGGATTAGGTTCTCTCCAAGAATCAACAATCACCATCCCGGCCACTTTCGACTTCGTATGAACGCGAAGGAACTCCCGGATCAGAACCCCGCCGTATGACTGCCCGACCAGCACATAGGGTGGCTCAATCCCAGCTACTTCCAGTAATCGAGACAATTCGTACACGCGGTTCTGAGCCGTGGGTTCGCGCGGAGACATATCGCTTAGGCCGTACCCGGCTCGGTCGTAGGTGTATACACGGGCACGTTCGGCGACGAGGCGCTGCACTACGACCCATTCGCTGTGACTGCTGCCCAGACCGGCTTCGATGATTACGGCGGGCTGGAGGGTGTTGTTGATTGTTTGTCGTGCGGGGCCGGATGCGGAGAGGAATATCTGAATGCCATCTACGGAGACGTGACCGGAGTGGGTGCCGGAGAGCCAAGGGGATGGTGAGGACATGGTTGTGATAAGGTGATGGTAGGGCTGAGGGTTCAAGAGTGAGTGATAGCAGGAAAATAGTGACTACGTGCATGGTAGTTTGTGGGAGAACTTTGAAGTGTGATAGAACCGTGCGTAGATAGCGATGCTGGTTGTGATTGGCCTTTGGAGGTCCCTAGTGCTGACCATGTACTGATGTGCTCTCTGTCTTTTAGTGATGTGTTAAACATGGGCGGGCAATCGTGCCTAGGGCTGATCTACACGGGTCCTGGACTACGGTAAGAGGAGTACTTAGAATCTGCAGCTTAACAGGGTGGGTTCCTATTCCATCTGAGAGGATTTCCCCACATCGGAGTTTGTGTGCTAGTTCTTGAGCCCCTCTAATCATTTTGTTATCCATCCATGTAGAATGTCCGCTGACTCACGCCCTAGGCTTATTTGAAACCGACATTGCAAGGATATCTCAGGTTGGGAACTCAATCTCTTCACATACATACGAGTAAGCCTATCTTCCATGGACTCTGCTTGCTTCGGTATCAGGATAGTTTAATGTCATCAGACTAGTCAATGTCATGCATTGGTGGGTTCATGGAGTAGCAGACATCTACTGTATGGCTGAACAGTGTTCGGGAAAAGGTAATAAAAAGAGAATCATAGGGATCTCAACCCTGCAACGTCACTTTCAAACCCAACTGACCTCCAACCCGCTGATATGCGCTCAAGCGCCACCGTGACTTGGCGGGGCGATGATTATGCAGTGGTAGCTGCAAGCTGAAGCTGAACGTGACTGTGAGAATTTACTGAGGTCCCTGAGATGCAGTTCGTAGATCGGTATCTGTAGCTCCCAACAGCTCTTACTTAGTCGACTGGCTAAATATGGATCTATGCAGTCGGGTAATCGGGCTTTATCATGCTTTGGGAAAAGATAATGACTGATTCTTCTCATACTATTCTTTGATCTATCCGTGCACAGATGTTGTGCAACTAGCAAAGCTCTTATTCCGGACAACATGTAGGATAATTCCCGGCACTCACGAATCATTCTTAAGCTTTAAGTATCACCATTCTCCCTCACACTCAACTAGCAGCAAGGTAGAAACCAGAAATATATCCCCCTACTTACGGCCCCTGACTACGAAGCAAACAGTGGGTCCCTTCTAGGAGATACACAAACAAACGAAGAATGTTCGCCCGATAAGTCCGAAACATCTTATATCCGAGCCCACCGAAAACAGCCAGGAGGCATGCAAAAGAGCTCGGCATTTGCAGCGAGGCCACTAAAAGTGTAGCCGTAATCCCCACTTAACACCGCACCCAGCAGCCTCCCAGCACCAGAACCGCAAATTAATCCATGTTATAAACAACCCCCATCCCCATCGGACCCTCCGTTCGGATCCTCCGACGCCACCCCGTGCATATCGGAGAAAAACTACCGGACAACATGCCGAAACCCCGAAGCGGCGAATCAGAAAGAAAAAAAAAAGTGTAGGAATTTCGTCACCCCTCGAAACACACCAAATGGGAGAAAATATCTGAAATCGCGGAGGATAAGGGTGCAGTCTTAGCATCTCAGCTTTATCTCAGCGCCAGCAATGACTGTCGTCGACCCTACGGCCCAGCCGCCACCATCTCGACCAGCAGATGCAGAAAAGGGCAAGGCCGAACATGCAGGCGGCCCCGATCCTAACCTAGTGACATGGGAGGAAAACGACCCCGAGAATCCACATAACTTCTCGACGGCGTACAAATGCTGGATCACTTTTCAGCTGGGTTTGTTGGCGTTGAGCGCCAGTCTGGGATCCAGTATTATTTCTCCGGCGGAGACGGAACTCAAGGCTTATTTGAAGATTGGCACGGAAGTTAGTATTCTTCCGGTGTCGCTTTATATGTATGTAAATCATTTCAATTAATATCATCCGCGAAGGGATAGAAGCTTTTCCTCTCGACAGTTATATACTAACAAAGATACCAGTCTCGGCTTCGCCTTCGGCCCCCTATGCTGGGCGCCCATTTCCGAACTCTTCGGCCGACGATGGTCGATGCTGCCCGCGGTATTCATCCTGGGACTGTTCAGCATCGGCACCGCAACCAGCAAAAACACCGCCTCAGTTCTCATCACCCGGTACTTCGCGGGCCTATTCGGCTCCGCACCAGTCAGTAATGTCTCCGCCGCGCTCGGCGACATCTTCCACATGAAGGCGCGCGGCATCGCCAGCACCTCGTACGCCATCTGCGTCGTCGGCGGCCCAACCATGGGACCCATCATCGGGGCTGCGCTGGTCTCGAACCCGCACCTAGGGTGGCGCTGGACCGAGTACATCGAAGCCATCATCGTGTTCTTCATCTTCGGTATCACCTTCTTCTGTCTGCCGGAGGTATACGGCCCCGTGCTGCTGCACCGCAAGGCAGTGCGTATGCGCAAGGAGACCGGGAATGAAGAGCTGTATCATCCGCACGAGCATATCAAAGTGGACCTGCATAGTATCGTCACGAAGCATTTCTCGCGTCCGCTGGTCATGCTTGTTACGGAACCGATGGTTACGGTGATTGCGTTGTATGCGTCGTTTACATATGCGCTGCTGTATCTCACCTTGGAGGTGTTCCCTATTGTTTTTGATGATATACGACAGTGGAAACCTGTCGTTGCTACGCTGCCGTTCATCGGCCTGTTCGTCGGCGTGCTGCTATCCTCTGCATTCATTATCTTCATCGGCCAGCCGTACTACATCCGCAAGTGGGAGGAAGGTGGCGGTAAGCCTGTCCCCGAGGCGCGTCTGATGCCCATGGCTGTTGGGGGGTTCTTGTTCGCCGGTGGTTTGTTCTGGTTTGGGTGGACGGCTGAGCCCAAGTATTCATGGGGATTGCCGGTTGTGGCGGCGATGGTGTTTGGATGTGGATTTTGTATTATCTTTGGCCAGTGTATCAACTTTCTGGTCGATACGTATGGGCCTTATGCGGCGTCGGCGACGGCTTCGAATACTTTCCTGCGGAGTGTGTTGGCTGCTGCGTTTCCGCTGTTCTCGCAGCCGATGTTTCGCAATTTGGGGGTTGGGCCGGCCATGTCGATTTTGGGGGGCGTCGCCGCGGCGGCGATTCCGGTGCCGTTTTTGTTCATGATTTATGGTGTCAGGTTGAGGAAGATGTCCAGGTTTGCGCCGTTTAAGGGGTAGTGGGCGGAGAGAGAGAGAGAGAGGGTGGTGTAGAGTATAGAACTAATAAAGTTAGAGTTATAAAGATATAATGCCGAAAATGATTCATTAATGAGCGAAAGTGTTGTTATTAATTAAGGGTATTCCCCATACACGGCATATCCCAAAACACCTCGTCCAGAATCGATGTGTCTATATCGAGAATATGAGATGGATCAGACAATTCCTCATTCAACGACAAGCTCACCCCATCACTCTTTAGAGAAGCAACCCTCTCTACCAGGTCAGCACACTTGGCCAAACAATCATCCCCCAGATCCCATCCAAACTGTTGCCGATGAGACTGCAATGTAGCAACCATCTCTTTAGCCAAATCTAGTGGTGGATTGCTGTCACTATTCGCGGAATGCGACTTAACCCTGCGCAGTCCACTCCGTAGAAGGAATGTCGTCGCAGATGTGAGCGAATACGCCTGAACTGGGACCCAAAATCCACGTAGTTGCTGCTCGTCCAGCTCCCGTACGAGATGCACTATTTCTTCTGCTACGCGCCCAACTTGTGTAAATGAGAAGGAGGAACAGTTAGAATCATTCCCATTGTCGAAGTTGGAAGTCTCAGTATGCTCGTCATCCATGTCGAGTGCGATGCGTCGGAGCAGGAGCTTCACGGATAAGTATGCTAGGCGCAAGTTTGCCGCGCCGGGGGTGCTTAGGTCGGTTCCGCGGAGGATTATGTGGCGGGTGTTGATGTCGAGGGAGTCTTCCCAGTTAGTGAGCAGGTGTGAGAGGGAAGTGATCGTCTTTCTGACGGGGCTGGAAACGTGATAGATGTATTCAAGGTATTGACCCAACACTTCTGTTAATGTTGTGAAGGCGATGAAGATTGAAGCTGCGGCCTTTTGGGATGGCGTTGCGGAAGAAGAGCAAAGATACTCCATGGTCGGAAATGGGACGTCGTATTGGGCTCGATGAACCTGAAGCGGCGTTCCGTAGGCGAGGCTGCACCTGGTTAATGTTAGTGTGAAAGCGAAGAAGTCGAAAAGCGGGATATCTTACCATCGATCTTGAATCACGACCAACCACCAAATGCGGATGCGAAATCCCTTCTCGAGGGTAGAGATGTTCCAGTGGCAGGGATCTCGATTCAAGCCTAAGGCGTTAGATAAGGCCACCGCCGTCCCTACCATACCCCCATTACCAAAGATCGAGGTGCTTGGTCTGCCGCAAACGTTTAGCAGCATCGCCAGTACAGTTGATATACCAGGGCACAAGAAAAGTTCGGAATGAAGAGCCTCGTTGGCCTGATTCCAAATATAGCGAATGTCGGGTGTGCGAGTTGAGCGTAACTTGGGTGAGTTGTCCCAGTAGATAAGAGAGTTGGCATATAGATTGCAGAGGAGAGCTGGAGATATTTCCTCTTTGCGGGTGCAGTAAGCATTCATGAACGACGCCTCGTCAAATACAGGGAAGCATATATTGGCATATTGAAAGAACCTAAATGTGTACCAGTCAGTAACCGAATACCCCTTACAATAGCGTGCATTGGCTTACAGGCTCACAACATCCTTCGTCGTAGGCTCGAGGTATTTTTCGATGAGCTCGCACTTCATAGATGGGAGAGATTGACTGGAGTACACCCCCAATGGACGCCTCGGAATGGTATTGAACAGTACCTGCCGCATGAGTCGACTGGGTTTCGAATTGGTGTGCATCAAGCATAGCCTTCGATTATCTGGAACGGTGAATAGATATCCTTCTAGTATACTACTGTCGTCAGCAACGACTGGGCTGACGACATGAGAGCTGTCGTCCCCGGTATCGCCGACCACGTCCATCAGACTTGCAATTTTGCTGTCTGTATATGCTGTGGAAGACTGAGCTGGGTGGTGGTGCCCCGTCAGTTGAGGTGTGTCGGAAGCTTTGTTGGTCCTGGGTGATGGGAGTACGACCCGAGGGGTGGAGGCCCGCTCAATTCGAGCTGTCTTAGGTACAATCCGCCGCAAATTGACAGTTCGCTTCCTTTGGACGAGGGTATCAGCAGGAGGGAAAATGCAGTCGGTTGTATGAGCCAAACACATCATGCACGTAGCGGAGGAATCTCTCGTGCGGCATCGCGACTTGCGTTTCCGACAAGGCAGACATGCAGGATGCGCATGGGACCGATAGGGTCTGCCCGAGCTGCTACCATTCTCCTTCGTAACCTTAGGTTCAGCGGGCATAGTCTGGTGGTTTTCTACTGGATATTTGATCCGAGGATTTCCATTCAGAAGGAGGGGGTGGTTCTGATAAAGTGAAGTATTTCGTGGCCGCGGGGAACCTTCGCCCGCGGGCAACTCGGCCAATTAAAATGGTTCGATAGCAGAACCCTATGCCCGCGGTCATTCTGACATGGAACTACTTATAGCCATTGAGACCGGAGGCAACTATGGAAAACAACTTGAGATTAAACACTATAATTATTTATCATCGAAATAAAAGTTGTAATCATTGAGCGCCATGGCAGCCACTGACCCTACCACCGCCGCCTTCTTCGCCAAAGCGAACAAATACCTCATGTCCACAGGAGTCCCCATCTCCCCAGTCATCATCGAAGAAGCCCAAGGCACCTGCTTATATGACACAAACGACCGTCGCATCCTCGATTTCACCTCAGGCCAGATGAGTTCCCTGCTAGGCCACTCTCATCCCGAGATTGTGTCCACCATCCAACAATACGCCGCCAAGCTAGACCACCTCCTCAGCAACATGATTACCCATCCTGTTGTGGACCTAGCTGAGCGACTCGCCCGCTTCCTCCCTCTACCGCTGGAGAAGTCCTTCTTCCTGAACACTGGCTCCGAATCCATCGAAGCTGCTATAAAGATGGCTAAAGCGTATACTGGCAAATTCGAAATTGTCGCCTTCAGCGCCAGTTACCACGGCCTTACCCAGGGCTCAGGATCGGCGACGTATTCCACGGGCAGGAAATGCGGTGGCCCCTGTATGCCAGGCCAACTTGCCTTTCCTGCTCCATATGCATACCGCTCGCCATTCCGGAAGGCGGACGGGACATACGACTGGGAGACGGAGTTGATGTTTGGTTGGTCCATGATCGATCGGCAGAGTGTGGGGTCGTTGGCTGCGTTTGTTATGGAGCCTATTCTCTCGACTGGCGGAATCCTGGAGCTTCCGGATGCATATTTGCAGCGCATGGCCCTAGAGTGTAAGAAGCGGGGCATGTTGCTGATCATGGATGAGGCGCAAACAGGAGTCGGTCGCACTGGTCATATGTTTGCGTTCGAGCAGGCCGGAATAATTCCAGATATTCTGGCTTTGTCGAAGACCCTGGGATGCGGGCTTCCTTTGGCGTCGGTAAGTACGAGTGCTGATATTGCGCAGGGTTGCGCAGACGCGGGGTTTTTGTGGTTGACGACACATCTGAATGATCCGCTTACTGCGGCGGTGGGGAATAAGGTGTTGGAGATTGTGGAACGAGATAATATTTGCCAGCGGGCGACGGAGCGTGGTGCGCAGCTGAGGGAGGGCCTGCTGAAGCTCCAAGAGAAGTATTGGTGTATTGGAGATGTACGGGGTCGGGGTCTTTTGCAAGGGATTGAGATCATCTCCAATCAAGACACTCGAGGCCCTGGGCCGGAGCTAGGTCAGGCGGTGTCGGACAGAGCCATGGCGTGTGGGTTGTCGTGTAATGTTGTCAATCTACCAGGTATGGGAGGAGTCTTCCGTCTGGCGCCGCCGGTAACCGTTTCGGCGCAGGAGATTGAGGAAGGGCTGAGGATACTGGATGAGGCGTTTGCCTATGTACTTGGCAAGAGTCGAGGTGCTTAGGATGTGAGCTTGGTTAGGCATAGGCATTGTTCCTGCATAAATTTCAAATCCAGCATGCTGTGTCAGACGTAGCTTTCATTGAACAGGACAGGGCTAGAGAAAGTCGACAGAAGAGCAGTTTCATAGCTTGGCGGTTTTGAAGGGCTTCCCAATTGGAAATAACTTGGGGGTTCTGGGAGAACTTCAATGTCATCACCAAGTACTTCAGATGCGATTTCATCGGGCGTTCGGTCCAACTTGTGACTATTGTAGTTCGGAAGGGGCTGATCACAAGATTCATCTATCATTCTGATAGCTTGGAGTACGGAGGAAATAAAGGGATCTTCTGGAAGAGGCGGCAAGGCACAGTGAATTGAAATGGGCAGGTCTAGGAGGACCTATCATGTGGTCAGTAAGGCGGAACAAACAGTGGACCTGGAAAGCATACGGCCGAGTGGTGACCATCGGGATTTAAAAGCTTGATTTGCGTGGTGAGAGTGTGTTCGACATGAAGAAAATTAGTAGAAAGGCTTTGTAGGCATTCCTTTGAGTCGTTCGGCAGGCGAAGGAAGCGGGTTAAAGAATGCCAGCATCCTTCATTATCGGATGTTATTCTGAATTCATCTTCATTCCAATCTCTGGGATAAAAGTCGTCCTCGGCGATGACACGGGCCCGACGGCTGAGAGTAGACTGCAAGAGTTTGTGTGTCTCTTTAACCTCGGTGTGGATGGTTGCTATCTCGAGCCCTTTGCATAAAGGAATAAACTCGAACTTGATGGGGATAGCACTGCCAAAGGTATAGGCCTGAGATGGCAATGAAACGCGATAGATTATCTTCTGTGGCCATATATCTTGCACCACCTTTTGAAATCAGCCCTAGTAATTGAGGGACTAAAAGACAATACTTGTATAATAGCTTACCTTCGGCTCTGGTAGCAATAATGATCTGTACATCCGACGTACCCTCACCCGAGTGTCAGCTTCGATACGACGTCCCCCGGCTGTGCCGATAGTGGCTTTCAACTGATATTTAACATAACAGTCGTCGAGGCCTTCAATAGTATCTGGTGTGGTGTTGGATAGGCAGAAGGTAAATGGGAACTCGTGATTTCCGGGTGCTAAAGTTGTCGTCGGTGATGGGGTCCCTAGAGAAGGTAGAAAATTCCAGGTTTGATACATGAATAGTCGCTCCAAAAATGACATGTGCTGGTGAGATCTCTGGGACTCTGGAAAGTCCTTCCAACTAATTCAGATAGGCTGTTAGTGTTGGGTCACGGCCCAGGGAGGAATATTCGTACTTCATGTAACGCCGTCCCTCAAAGTGCAGCTTCATGTCCTTAACACGGAGGGGTTGGTTGAGGCATAACACGACCTTTCCTGTAACATGGCAATATCCTGTTACTGTTGAGTCTCCAGGGATCCATAATATATCGCTGTCAAGCCTATTCCATGTCATTATAACGACTCTTGGAGGGTGTAAGTGGTCCCCGTTACCTGATACCGAAGTATGTCGGTTCATTCTCCGGCAGGGACGCTGCTCGGAAGAGGCTAGTTATTACCATTGTAGGTTGTCGGTACTGATAGATGCTGTGGTATCTGAGTGCTGAACTCTGCTGCAGGGTAGTCATTTATATCTAAACGATGGCCATACTAAAGCTTCACCAATGCATTACCCTTTCGGTCGATGCCGCCTCAGGTGCGGGTAGATTTCCTCTTTAGGAAATACCGGTATACGTTTGAGGAAATCTACTCGATCTGAATACGCCCTGTTGATGATAAGAAAAACCTGTGATCATCCGAAGTAGTCTAGATTGCAGAATCAAATTTTCATGGACGACGCCTTACCTGATCTGACACCGGTGTTGCTCTAGGCTTCGTGGTCGTCGCCTCTTAGAAGGTCGGGTTGCGGCGATTGCCCCTCGGTTCTATCATGTTGGTATGACTAGGACATAAATACAACAACATTCCAACCTATGCCGTATGGATCAGAACCCTACTCACCATGTAATGAAAGTATCAAGCGAATATATGAATGGCTATTTAGCTACTTAAGCTGCATGTCGCTCTCTACCACTGATCAGGTACGCAGCCGCACGAGTATCAATCAACGGATCCCCCGATGGCTCAATACCTTCTACTCTAGGCACCGAATCAAAGATGATTCTCTTCTGCTCAGTCTCATTATCCTCCATGACAGAATGCAAGTGAACTTGGCCCAACTTGACCTCAGGACGACTTTCGGGCCAGAGCACGGTGCAATCATCTGTGACATCTCCATGCTGTGCCATCTGGGTGAAAAGCTCAAAGGTAACCATCCCTTTTTGCAGACGGGTAACTAGCCCCTCGAATAGGTAGTTTTCACTTCTAGACTTTACCTCCCCACTATTTAAATATCATAATCCGTGGTACGGTCTCCGGCGATAACGACCAACGTGCGTTCGCCCCCGGTCGAAACAAGAACGAAAGTATTAACTTCGAAGTATTTTCTGTCGCGAAGCTCTCAGGGAAGGGTTTTCTGGCCTGGGCAAACGTTTGTGCCGCTGAGTGTGTAGGTAAGAAGTAGCTGAGAGTGCCCGACGCAACTGCCTGGATGAAGGCTAGTGTTTTTGGACCGTTGCTGGCGGGGAAGAAGGGCGTGGAATGAGTGATGATGTCTGTGTGCACGTGTTGGGGTGATTCTTCCAGCATGAATCTTAGAGCCAGGCCTCTGGGATTACCGTTTGGGTCTGTATCCGACAGGTCAGGGAGTCCTGTGCTGCTGGAGAGCCGAGCAATAACGGGAATACAGATCTGATTGAAGTGAGGCGCAGTTGAAAGCCTCGAGGCCTCGTAAGTGGGGTCAAAAGTTCCGTGGATGAGAATTCCCTTGGCATGCGCTGTATTTTAGTTAGAGAGGTAACTTAGATGATTGGGGTGTTGTGGATAGTTATGGTTTACCATACCTGGTCTCTTGCCTGGGTGAGAGCCGAAAATCCCATGGAGAGTGTCAACAATCTCATGGCTCATTTCGACAACGGCAGGGTCTTCAGGAGGAGGCATTTTGATGGATTTTCTTCTCTTATAGCTTGATTGTAAGAAAATGTGTGAATAGAACTGATTAATCCTCCGGGCTGGCAAGACACTTATATAGATTTAATGGGATGAATCATTGAATGACTATGGATCTCAGTTAATTGCTAGGGTTAGATGAATGTTGATTTTGGCAGCTCCTGGAGCCAGTGATCGATCTATGTATGTCGGGGGATATCCAACATACTCCTCTTTGGATGTAACTGTGATGCGTAGGTGGCTGAACCAGATAAATATGGAATACGAGGGTAGAGAGCAGCCCAGTGATTACCCAGTCTAGGGAGGGGGTGAAGATACGGAACGCTGAGGAGAACCCCTATAGATCTTGGATTATTAGATCTTGAGTGATAAATACTCATTCATGTTTGCGGGGTTTACGGAGTATATAGGGGGGACTAGACATGGATTTACTGGAATATAGAGACACAGATAAACAGTAACTCATGCTAGGTGGAGATTCTTACTAGCCATTAAAAATGTCACTCTCCATAACCATTTGCATGAATAAGCGCCATGGATAATGCCTGAAGCGACTATTCCTTTCATTAATTCATATCCAGTAGACTCATTAACTATTGAGCACTACGATCAAAGTTACCAACTACCCCATCATGCCCCCAGCCCTCGCAACCTTCCTCGCTCGCTGCTGTCGACGATTATGATTCGCCCGACTAGCTTTATTCTCCTCTTTTCTCTGCCGCGCAACAGCAGGGTTACTATTCCCAGGAGTACTACCCTGCTGTCCTGCACCACGTCCCCGACCTCTCCCACCGCGTCCGCGTCCTCCTCTTCCTCTTGAGCTGTTGCTCCCACCTGTCTCACTCTCATCGTCATCTTCAGCTCCAGCACCAGGTCTCCGATACGACGTAGCCGGTAACTCAGGCTGATTCAATCCACCACCATCAGCACCGAAAGCCATCTTATCCTCCAATCTAGCCATCCGTTTCGGATCCCGAGACAACATGACCGCCCACCCCTCGATCGCTTCATCCGTCATGCCGGTTTCGCGCTTAAGTGAGTCGCGGGGCTGTGAGCGTCGCGTAGCAGAGTCGCGCGCGAACAGGGCCGGATTAGACTTGTATGCTCGGTAGAGGGAGAGTTCTGCCTCTTGTTGTTGTTCTGCTGCAGCCTTGGCATCGTCGGTGGTGGTGTCATCAATGGTGCCGCCGACGTCGGCGATGTCATAGGTGTCGTCGCGTTCGTCGTCATCAGAGTCGAAGGTTGCCAGGGCGGAGAGAATGGCGGCCTTCTTGGCGGCGTGGTGGGTGCGGTCGGCGAGGAGGTCGTCGGCTTGGGTGGTGTTGGTGCGGCGGCCGTGGTGGAGAGTGGATTGGTCGGATAGTTCGGCGAGGTCGATGTCGTTGTCGAAGATGTTTTTGCGGGTTGGAAGGGCTGGTTCTGTGGGCGGTGGTGTTGAGCGGGGTGGGAGAGGGTCGTGTGGGAGGGTTGATGTTGATGTTGATGTAGGGAGTTGTTCGGATTTGTCTAAGGTGCGGAGTTCAGAGGGGATGGAGTCGTCGAGGAGATGGGAGACTATTGTTTCGGGGTCGTCATTGTAGTGGTCTAGCAGGCGGGTGATGTAGCCGGAGCCTAGGTCGGGGAAGAGGTCTTGGACTTGGGTGATTAGGGACATGCGATGGATGTGCATGTCTTCGGGGGCGGGGAGGTCCGTGGCGGCACGGCCCTTGCCTTTGTCGAGGAGCCGCTTCTTTTGTTTTTGATGGCGTCGGTGAAAGACCTTTGTCTCTTCTTGGTAGGTTCGTAGACTGGAGAGGAGGTCTTGGCCTCGTTTCTGGGGATGGGTGCTGAGGTGGCGGTCGAGACGGACTAGGAGGTCTGTACTGCAGATGACGTCGGACAGGAGGGTGGGCTCCTTTTTCGTTGTTGAGGATCCGATGCCAACGCCGGACTTTAGACTGTAGAGCTGGTCCAGCAGCGCGGAGAGGTTCAGCTTGGGGCCTTTGAGGAGCGATGCTAGACCGACGTAGACGTTCGCTACAAGGACACTACGGATGTCCGCTCGTTTGTGTGTTTGGTATGCATCGGCGAATGTGTCCAGAAAGTCAGACCCCGTCATGAGGACCTGGCCGCAACCGGGCAGTGCAGACGCCAGAATAGTCAAGAGGCGGATGTCTGAGAGGACGGTCATAGACTTGGTAGGATTCAGCAACGAAAGCTCTTTGATAATCTTGGTCTTTGTCTTCTCGAGGCTGGATGTTATGGTATCTTGATGCTTGTTCCAGGTATCGGACAATAGTCGCTTCAAGGCAGCGCTCGAAGGATAGGTGCAACACATGTTCGCAAGAACATCCACTTCAAGCAGCTCAGACGGTGTTGCAGAGGCATCAAGGAGGAACCTCCTAGTCAACAAGAAGCAGAGCTTCCGTAATGATCGCGCTTTAAGCCCGGCATGGAAGCCAGATAACCCAGATGTGGCGGTTTGATGATAGAAGGAGGTCAAGAATGTCACGGCAGATTCATCATTGGCGGCAATCTCCCTGAATTGGGAATCAGGGGCTTCTATGCGTACTTGCAGCAACAAGATCCACGCATCTATATAGAGCTCCCATTCGTTGGGTGGTACGGTGCTCTGCACCTCCGGGGGTGGAACCGGTGCCAAAGGAGGTAGTGGTTCCGGCATGACGCAGTGGATGGACTTTGTCGACCGTCAAGTTGGGAAAGGTAAAACTGGATTGAACAATTTATACTTGAACGTTGAAAGCCGACCACACGCCTGGACCACCTATCAACATCATCACTGGCGATCCCATCAGCCCCTCTGCCGGCTGCAAAATTCAGTGCGGAACCTGACGTCAGGTGACCTGAGCCTCGGCCTCCGCTCCGTTGCGGGGACAAAAATGGCCGTACCTGCATGGAGACCAAGCAGATCTGCACTTTATTTACAGTGAATTTTTGATTGCAGAATAAGGTGAATTACTCAATCTGATATGGCTAAAAAATACTATATAATTTACTGCTAGTACTAGTAGCTGACAGATCCTACTCAATCGATGCCCAGTTCAAAATCTTTATAATGATGTCATTATGCATTCAACATTATGAATGAAAATAGTATTTACACACCTACAATAAAGTACTTGACTTTAACAAACCCTCGAGCATGTCAATGAGTATCGCTCACTGAAGTGGTTGCCATATATCGGATTTGGCCGACATACTTTGTGTGGCTAAGCATTTGTGGAAACTTTCCCTCCCATCCCACATCTTGGCTTCACTCCAGGGACGTCCGGCTCTCTTCTGCCTCCCCATGTGGCATACTCGCAGCGAGGTGGAAAAGTTCTGTCGTACAACTTCCATAACAAAGAAAACGCCTCCTCAGTCGGCTTTGAGCAACTCATTCAACTGAGACTGTCTGCTCCAAACCCCGGAGTATTATGTCATGGCTCCGAACCAAAAGCTTCACCAGTTGCCCTATGCAGCCAACACGGATACTGAGCCGGAACTCACTAAAAATAACAGGACAATACTGTGAGTAGCCTGCATAAAATCATGCACAGTGACTATCAAATAGACAATGACACGAGTCTAACAAGGATGTCATTGGGCCCAGCTGGAAGAACTCTCTCTCCGGACCCGAAGTATACCGGATCCGAGGGCGACTCCGCCAGCCTGCAAGCCGACTGCTCTTCCGTAATTAAGGTATAACGATATCTGAAACACGGAAGAGTACTTAGGCTTCCCATGCCTCTGCGGGGATTCCAGAATGAGGCCAAATAAATAGTGCCAAGAAATCTTGGCTGGCTCAAGAGTTCAATCTAAGGCCACTGGTATCTTCGACCAGCACCATGCGCGCACTAGTGATTGGCGGGACTGGGCGTTGTGGCAGACTTGTCATTGATGAGCTGTTGAGGCGAGGTAGGCTTCTACTATGTTATACTACCTCAGACACGTTGATGAATATGGCTAACATACCCAAGGCCACCACCAGGTCACTACCTTAGCGCGAACACCAGATGCGCTGGGAGATCCACGACCTAGCCTAAATGTCATCCAAGGTTAGTACACAATGAATTCTTGCTGCTGCTGCTGCTGCTGCTTGTTGTAATACGTTCCACGGCTGACATGTCCCAGGCACTCCGATGAATCTAGATGACGTACGAGCTGCGTTCAAAGCAGACAAACCAGACGTGGTGATTGTGACGCTGAATGCGCCTCGAGCGAGTGATAGTCCATTTGCTGCTCCCATCTCTCCGCCTCGTCTAATGGCCGACTGCAACGCCAATGTAGTGGCTGCGATGGAAGAGTTTGGGGTTCGCAAGATCGTGATTCTCCAGGCGTTCGGGGTGGGAGCATCTTGGACTAATCTGCACATCCTGCTACGTCTACTCATGAAGACATCTAATATGTCACATCAGTACGATGATCACAACGAGACAGAGAGGGAAGTCCTGGCCAGCGGGGTCGATTATGTGTTTGTGCGGCCGTCCCGGCTGGTCGAAACCGATGAAACCGCCATCAAGGTGTGGCCGGATGATGGCAAGGGAGTTCCCATGATGGCCAGTACAAGCCGGATCAGCGTGGCACGATATTTGGTCGATGTGGCCGAGGGTGATGAATGGGATAACACGGCTCCAGTTATCACCAACTGAATCAAATGGGGGATCGGGACGGGAGGTGGAGATGTTGCGGGGGTGGAGATTGGCGTTGTTCAATCATTTGGTCTATTTTGGTTGTGGGATTTTTGGGTCAGGGTCAGGTCGGGTGGGTATGTACAATATTGATGATATGACAAAAATCCCTGGCAGGTCTACGATATGCCTGGATGTGTAATGATAATAAGGGAATTTGAACAATGCATGCAAGATGATGAATGAGAGATCTTGAAACCATTTACTCCATGAATAATGCATACAATACCGAAAATGTAAGTGTGGCTGATCGGATCATCTGTTGTTCCAATATTCCGTGACCACATGATATTAGTGGCTTATCACGGATGAGTCATATCGAGATCGACACCAGATCCGGCATCGGCGGTGGCGCGAGCCAATCAAGGGGAAGGTAAAAGAAAAGTGCCACTAGCATATGGCACAGAAATTGCTCGTCGTTGAGTCTCTGTCACTTCCCTCTGCTATCATCCAAGCAAACCGGCGTGACAATGGTGAGGCAGCTTGTATGGCAGCGGGCCACCGCCTCTCAGAGGGTAAGTCGTGCCGTTATCAGCCGATTGACTCCCAGCGCCTTAGACTAACCTCCACTTCCCCGTGCTATAGTTGGCCCCGAAGTGCCTCTCTCCGCAACGACTGTTCAGTCGCCGTGGCCTGGCCACGGAGGCTTCTCCGGCAGCTTCCTCCCGCTTGCCTCCCTACCCGAAGATCGTTCAGAACCTCGAAAACGTCCGTCGCGTGCTCGGCCAGGACCGCAACCTGACCCTGGCGGAGAAGATCCTCTACGCCCATTTGGACAACCCCGAGGAGTCCCTTCTGACCGGCACCAACAATGGCCGTGATATTCGCGGCAAGGCCAACTTGAAGTTGAAGCCCGATCGCGTGGCGATGCAGGATGCCTCGGCCCAGATGGCTCTGTTGCAGTTCATGTCTTGCGGACTGCCCTCGACGGCTGTGCCCGCTAGCATCCACTGTGACCACATGATCGTTGGTGAGCGTGGTGCTGACACTGATCTGCCGGCGTCCATCAAGGGTAACAGCGAGGTGTTTGACTTCCTGGAGAGCGCGGCCAAGCGCTACGGCATTGAGTTCTGGCCCCCTGGTGCCGGTATCATTCACCAAAGTGTTCTGGAGAACTACGCTGCTCCGGGTCTGATGATGCTGGGAACTGACAGCCATACCCCCAATGCTGGTGGTCTAGGTGCCATTGCCATTGGTGTCGGTGGTGCTGATGCCGTCGATGCGCTGGTTGACGCTCCCTGGGAGCTCAAGGCGCCCCGCGTCCTGGGTGTGCGTCTGGAGGGCAAGCTCAATGGCTGGGCGGCCCCCAAGGATATCATCCTCCACCTGGCTGGCAAGCTCACCGTTCGTGGTGGAACTGGCTTCATTATTGAGTACCACGGACCTGGTCTGGAGACCCTGAGCTGCACTGGTATGGCCACCATCTGTAACATGGGTGCTGAGGTGGGCGCGACGACCTCCGTGTTCCCCTTCTCCCCCAACCACGTCCCCTACCTGCAGGCGACTCACCGGGCTGATGTTGCCCGTGCTGCCTCTGAGATCGCCTCTTCTGGTCCCAGAAACCTGCTCCGTGCCGATGGCGGTGCGGAGTATGACCAGCTGATCACCATCGACCTGTCGACGCTGGAGCCTCACATCAACGGTCCCTTCACTCCCGATTTCTCTGTTCCCCTGTCTGCTTTCGCCGACACTGTTCGCGAGAAGCAATGGCCCGAATCCCTTGGAGCGGGTTTGATTGGTAGCTGCACGAACAGTTCCTACGAGGACATGACCCGTGCGGAGAACCTGGTCAAGCAGGCCTCTGCTGCCGGCCTTAAGCCCAAGTCCGACTTCTTCATCACTCCCGGTAGTGAGCAGATTCGCGCCACCCTGGACCGCGATCAGACTCTGTCGACCTTCTCCCAGGCCGGCGGTACCGTCCTGGCGAACGCCTGCGGTCCCTGCATTGGTCAGTGGAAGCGCACGGACGGTGTCCCCAAGGGCGAGGATAACGCCATCCTTACTTCCTACAACCGTAACTTCCCCGGTCGTAACGACGGCAACCGGAGAACCATGAACTTCCTGGCCTCCCCTGAGCTCGTCACCGCCATGGTTTACTCTGGAAGCACCACCTTCAACCCCATGACCGACAGCATCACCACCCCCAGCGGTGAGGAGTTCCGCTTCCAGCCTCCTACCGGCTACGCCCTCCCCAGTGACGGCTTTGCCGATGGCAACCCTGACTTCCAGCCCACTGCTGCTGTGCCCGATCCTTCCTGTGAAGTGATTGTCTCCCCCACCTCGGATCGTCTGGCCCTGCTCGAGCCCTTCGCCCCCTTCCCCAAGGGCGACCTGTCCGGCCTCAAGGTCCTGTACAAGGTCCGTGGCCAGTGCACGACTGACACCATCTCGGCGGCTGGTCCGTGGTTGAAGTACAAGGGTCATCTGCCCAACATTTCCGCCAACACCCTGATCGGTGCCGTCAACGCCGCCACTGGCGAGACCAACGTCGCCTACGACGAGGCTGGCAAGCAGTACTCCATTCCGGACCTGGCTGCCCAGTGGAAGGCCGACGGAGTTGAGTGGCTGGTCGTGGCTGAGGAGAACTACGGCGAGGGTAGCGCTCGTGAGCACGCTGCTCTGCAGCCCCGCTACCTGGGTGGACGCATCATCGTGGCCAAGAGCTTTGCTCGTATCCACGAGACGAACCTGAAGAAGCAGGGTGTCGTGCCCTTGACCTTTGAGAACCCGGCCGACTATGACAAGATCGACGCTTGTGACCAGGTGGCCACGGAGGGACTGTATGAAGTGCTGCAGGCTGGCGGACAGGGCTCCATCCAGCTGCGGGTGACCAAGCGCAGCGGCGAATCGGTGGTGATCCCTGTCAAGCACACTCTCAGTCCGGACCAGTGTGCTTTCGTCCTGGCTGGTAGTGCGTTGAACTTGCTGGCTCAGAAGGCCAACAAGAAAAGTGCTTGAACGTGATTAATGGGTGATGGGTGAAAATTCAGCGAAGTGTACATATATCCATCTGTTGGTGTTTGCTTTTATCTACTTTCGAGCGTTATATTAGTAGAATATGTTAGACAGCTTAATAGAACTGTCTAGACTTGGATTATCAATTGCATATTAGCAAGTAGATGCCCTTAATAATTATAACCAGATGGCCCAGCAATGCCGTATATAGCAAACCAAAGAAAAGCGAAGAAACAAGTCCGCCATCCCATTCAATCCAACCAGTTCATAGCCAAGCAACGAGAGTCCCCTCTTACTTCCCATCATAAACCCACTCCCTCCCCAACTCCAACCTCCCCTTCTCCATCTCCTTCACATCCACAAACTCAGGCTTAATATGCCTCGCCGTCAACGCAAACCTCAACCTCTTATCCGGAATAACCGAATGCTACACAATCAGCATCCCAACAACCCTAACCCCCATATAACAAAAGAGAATAGAATGGATGGATCATACCTCATAAAACCTCTGCAATCCCTCCCCATGCATAACCACCAAATCACCATGATTCACCTCCATCTTAATACACGGCGTAGCTTCCCCACCAGCACCTTTCCTCACGATCCCCTCGCGCCTCAGCTCATCATACATCTCCCGATCTATACTCCCATCCTGCAACCTCGCCTTGAGCTCCCTCCGCCTTGTATAATTCTTGCATCCAGGCATGACCGGATCCTCGGCGAGGAGATTCTTCGCTCTGCTGTAGCCATGGTAGTATTTGTATTTCATGCGGACGAGCATGGTGGATTTGGCACCCAGGGAGAGGGTGGAGATCGTGGGGCCGAGGGCGGATTCGCCGTCGTCGTGGTACTACTCATAAAGTGAGTATCTTCGCAGGGGAGGAAAATGGTAGAAGGAAGGATGTACGTACCCCGATCCTCATATCCTCCAGATACCCCAGCAGAAGCATTTCGTTAGGAGGGAAGAATGTATCCCCAGCAGCGAGAACAGCTTGCTTGCTGGCCCACGTTAAGCGACCCATAGCTCGGAGAATGGGGGGACAGGCTTCGTTGAAGGCCTTGGATGCGACGGAGACGACGTATTTGTATGGCATGCCCTGTTTTTCTTCTCCGTTAGAGTTCTGGTGTGTGTGCATGATAGAAGAGTGATGACGCACATAATTAACAGCAAAATGAGCAGTAAGTGTCCCCGCAACTACAAATAATATATCATTAGCATCATCATCATCATCATCATCATCATCACCTACCCCTTTATTCCCCATCGAAAAGATAACTCACCCATACTCTGCGCCAACGGATACCTCCTCAACCCCAACTCCTCACATTGTAACTGCCCAAACAACTCATCCGGCCCATTATACCGGCTATTTATTTCGCGATTCGCAACTAAATGCATGATACTCCCAACCCCCGGGATGGTATAAGTGAGCTTTCTATACGGATAAAGAGATACATCGTCTATCTCCGGAACCATGAACTTCGCATCCCAGCTGAGCGCTCGCTTAATGGGGCTTGTTTCCATGTCGTCGATTACCCATCGCAGAGCGATCGGTCGTATGGGTAGGATGTGCTCAAAGGGACAGTTGCTGCTATCGTTATCATCAGCGCATCGCCATCCCCACCAAAACCGCCGGGAAATGCAGCGTCTGCATAGGGGACATATTATCCCTTTCCAGGTAATCCTCTTCGACAAGGCATTGCTATCTGCATCCTTCAAAGTTGAAAGTAAGTCCGGTACGAGGCTATAATGCGGCTGGATGGTCGGGTCCGGGGACAGACGGGATTTGAGGAATTTCTCGTGGAAGGTGAGAACCGCTGATGGTGGGGGTGAGGAGCCACCGTTAATCATCCAGAAGAGTTCACAAGAAGGCTGCAGACACATCCATCCCTCGTCGTATATGCGTATGCTGTGTTGATCGCACGCCTTGCAGCGGAGTTGCTCCGGCTGTGTCGCATACCCATAACCCGGATTCTTCTCCGGAGAAAGAGAATGCTTAGCAGCCCACCAGCTCTTTCTACCCAAATCCAGCTTCTCGAACCGGACCTTTGCACCCGTTTTCCTACCGATCCGTTCATACCACACGTGCGTGATCCGGAAATACGCCATGACGTTGTACCGGTGCGGAAGGGGTTTGTTTAGCAGTGTATTGCGATTTCCTGGGAAGATCATCAATTAGCTGCCAGTTGATGCAAACGGGGCGGATGTACTCACCAATAATAATCCCCACTGGAACCTTCAGCTCCTTACTATTCAATATACTACTCATCGCCGCACTATCGCCATCTTGGTCCTTGATGAGCACCAGGTTTCCGTCTGCGTCTTTGGTGCAGCCGCCTCCACTAGACACAATATTGTCAGCATTCGGCATAGATCAAGAGATATGATAAGGCATGGAACATACACACGAGTAATAACTACCTCATCATCCAGATATGATCTTATGCCACAGTCTGCGTCGATTAGGAATCCCCAGCATATGTTCCCGTTGTGGTAGACTCCGCCTTGCACGGAGCGAAACCAGGGTAGGGCGTCGCAGAGTTCGGGTCTGTTCTGTTCATTTTATATCGATTAGAAGTGGGTTCTAAGGGAGGGGATGGTAAGGTATGCATACCTCGGCCCACGCTGGGGGGTGGCCTTCTGTCTCTTGGTCCACTAGAGGTTGGCTGGGAGTATGCGCTGCGGGATTGGATGTACGGGTGGAAGTAGTGGACTTCAGAGAATGAGGCTTTCGGGGTCTGGTGATGCGTCCGGAGGTTACAGGTTGGGGTTGGAGTTTGGTTGTCGCTGTTGCTCTGGTGGGCTTTTTAGGGCTCATTATGGGTGGTGTATAGTTAGGGTAGTTAGGTGGTTGTAGGGGGATATATAATAAGGGAGTATAGATCAGAGGGATGGCTTGGAAGAATGGGCTGATACTAGATAGTGTCAAATATATGCGATGTGTGGTTAGCTGCTAGTTGCGGTCATCATGTGTGGTCATGACGGAGGAATGAGGATATCAGTATAGCGTCATCATCTACTCAAGTGTGAGGGTAAATTGAACAGCTCGACTATCACTTTCACATATGAGTGCCATCCGAAGGAGTTGCATGCAGATGATCTAGCCCTTAGGGTATGAAATACTCTGATCTATATAATATTCTTAGATAAGGTTGGTATCTGTCACAATACATCTATTTTCCAAACGCATCCTTCTGCTCCGGCACCAAGGTAATCATCTTCCCCGTCTCCACGCCAGAGCGCAAGTTGTTCAACACCAGTAGCTCCATCTCCCGTTGCGTCTCATAAGTCATCGTCCCGATGTGCGGCAGCAGCATGACCCGAGGGTTGTTTACCAATCCCGGCTCAATGGCGGGTTCATTCTCATAGACATCCAGCCCAGCAGACCATACCTATATCATCACGTTAGCACAATCGTTCATAGCTACAGTGAAGAGTTCAACCAACCTTGCCCGACTCCAGAGCCTCAACCAAGGCCTTCTCATCAATCAAGGCACCCCGCGCCGTATTAACAATAATCACACCATCCTTCATCTTCTGGAACTCCGTCTTGCCAATAATATGACGAGTAGACGCATTCAGCGCCAGATTCAGACTCAAAACATCAGAATTGGCGAGCAGCTCATCAAACGAGACGTAGGTCGCTCCGTCCTCGAGTTCCGGGGAGAGACGCGACCGGTTGTGGTACTTGATAGTCATTCCGAAGGCGCGCGCACGACGAGCCACCTCCTGCAACTTATTAATTTGATGCTCCTCTGGTTCAGTGTGCTGGACTTACACGGCCGATTCCTCCCATGCCGAGAATTCCAAGCACCTTGTTCTGGGGATCGTGTCCGAGGCCTGTCTGGCCGAGGAATTTTCCTGTTTCATGGTTATATTGAGTTGTGATTGGATTGAGGTGGATGGGCTCACCTTCGCGGAGAGATGTGACGGGAATGTATGCTTGTCGCAAAGCGCCAATCATGAGGAAGATGGCCACGTCGGCGGTGGCGTTGTTGACTGCGACGGGGGTGCTAGAGACGGCGATGCCTGGGAAGGTTAGTGTGCTCCATGCTAGGAGGATAGCTTGGTGTACCTTTCTTCGTGCAGGCCGCGACGTCGATGTTATCGTAACCTGCGCCATTGTGGGCGATGTACTTGAGTGAGGAGGGCAGTACGGAGAGTAATTCTGCGTCGAATGGGCCGGTGAACTGAGGCAGGGACTCAGCTTAGTTCTTGGATAGGTATGAGTGCCGCTCACCTTGGTAGAAGTGTTAGAGCGATAGATGGCGACTACATCATCGTACTGGCCGTCGCGGCAATTGCGAATAAAGTCTTCGCGAGTTCCGGAGGGGAATTCCTTCAAGGTCAGGATGGAGGAGAGATCATTCCATTCGGGCATGGAATGGGTGATGGCACCGATCAGCAATGCGGCGGGCATGATGGCGATGATGTCAAGGAAATGAGTATCCTGCGGGGAGAAGAGGGGAAGAAAGAAAAGAAGAAAACAAGAGCAGAGAAGATGTGAGGATACGACGGGGAATATCCGATTAATCAGGGCATTTATGAATGGCCGGTGGAGATAGATCCACCATTTGGCGTGGGGGAGACTTTTTTGATTAATCTGGACAGATAAGTAGTATCCAGCAATAACAGCGCAATAACAGAGCAATAACCAGCATAGAAAGAGGGTATGCGGGGTCGGCCATCCAGTTTGGATGCCGTCGGCTATTGATCGGGTGAGAGTCAATAGCCGACGCGGAGTCTCTCCGGCGATTGAATCATCTTCAAAAGACTACATTTTCTTCCCCCACGTCATGTATTAAGATCCATTCCTCTGTTCTTCTCCTTTTACACTTCTTCTTCCTATCCTCACACCTCCCATCATCCATCATGACCGTCAACTCTACAGAAACCACCCAGGCCCTCGTCCTGCACGGCGCCAAAGACCTCCGCCTAGTAAGAGCTTCCCCGCACCCCACTTCTCTATCTTCAACAACAAGACATCTCTCTAACAGAAACCAGGAATCTCGCCCTCTCTCACCTCCAACCGGCTCCGAAGTCCAAGTCGCCATCCGCGCTACCGGCCTCTGCGGCTCTGACCTGCATTACTACACCCATGGCCGCAATGGCGACTTCGTGGTGCGCGAGCCCATGTGCCTCGGCCACGAATCCTCCGGCATCATCACAGCCATCGGCCCTGAGGTAACCACTCACGCCGTGGGCGACCGCGTCGCGCTCGAAGTTGGGCTTCCCTGCCGTCAATGCGCCCTTTGCCAGCAAGGACGCTATAACATCTGCCCACAAATGAAGTTCCGCAGCAGCGCGAAACTCTTCCCCCACCTCGACGGCACCCTCATGGAACGTACCAACCACCCCGCCTCCCTCTGCCACAAGCTCCCTTCTCACGTTTCCTACGCCGGCGGCGCCCTCGTCGAGCCCCTCGCCGTCTGCCTGCATGCCATCCGCCGCTCTCGGCCCCCCACCGCCGAGGATGTCTCGCTCGCTCAGTCCCTCGGCGAACCCACCGCCGCCTTGATCTTCGGCGCTGGCGCCATCGGCCTCCTCCTGGCCTCTGCGCTCGCCACCTCCCAGAACTTCTCCTCCATCGTGGTGGCAGATATCGACTCCTCCCGCCTAGCTATTGCCGACGAGCTGGGGCTGGGTCTCAAGACAACTCTCATCCCCAAGGCGGATCCCGCGAACCCCGCGCCATCCCGCGATGCGCCGGCTGCGGAGCAGACGGCGTGGGCGCTGCAGAATGCGCAGCGCGTGGCGGGGATCCTGAAGGAGTCTGCAAATGTGGCGAGTACGGGCTTTGCGCGCGTTTATGATTGCACGGGTGTGCCGGCGTGCGTGCAGGCGGGCATCTATGCCGCTGGGGCGGGTGGAGTGTTGGTGCAGATCGGGATGGGACACCCCGTGCAGACACTGCCGGTGGGAGCGGCTGCGTTGAGAGAGGTCGATATCCTGGGAGTGTTCCGCTATGATGGCTATGCGTATCCGGCGGCGATTGAGCTGATGGCGAGTGGGAAGATGGATCGCGTGGAGAAGATGGTAGTGACGCATCGGGTGCCGCTTGCGGATGGCGATCGGGCGTTTGGGCTGTCGGGTAAGGGAGTGGACGAGGAGGGGAGGCCGGTGGTGAAGGTGGTTATTGAGAGTGGTGATGATTAAGTCGATGACTGAATCTATCTAAAATGACGACGGCGATGATGACGACGATGATGAAGTTACGGAGTGTATAGTAGTATAGTAGAGTAGAGCAAACCCAAAGAATCAACCTACATTTTCATAACCAAATAGCTCTGCTCTGTCATATACACCGTGCCTACTAACATACTCATACTCATAAACTTAGCTACCTCCTCCGGCAACCCTGCTATCCTCACCAGAGGAATTGATGCTGCTACCTCCTGAGTCGCCTCAGTTCATAGTAGTGAAATTATCATAAGAGATCATAGTCGTAAGGCACGCATTAACGAACAGGATAGAGAGCCCAGTAGCATGTCATGTTTAGGTGCTAGTAGGCATCGTGTGCATCCTTCATATATGATTAACTCTGGAAGAGATTTTTTGGTTCATTGGGGGTATTTTAGCCTGGGTTTTTCTGCAATTTGGACAGTACGATGTCATAAAAGCAAGCTCTAGTCTCAAATCTCTAACTTGCTCAAGTCTTCCTTTCTGTCTCCCAAACTTTCCAATACCTTACATTTCACCCCAGTTATGACCAATTTCTCTATTATGCAGTTGCAAGTCACATTTTTGGGCACAGGCTTGCAAGTTGCATATTGTACCACTTAGTCTTCGTCTGTCACAGCACTATCTCCTTACTCCCATTGCCTTTGGGCCGCAAAAAAAAGAGCCAAGATATTGAAGCTATCACGACATCATGGCATGCCAGCGTACCCTTTGTTCATGGACCGGGATTCTTGTTCTTGATTCTGGTGTCCGGTGACTTTTGTTGGGGATCTTTGAATTGCTGAGGCTTTGTATTCGATTCTCCACAACCAGTCAATTTCTCTTTATTCTGAACGGCCGGGGCCGAAAGAGGTGTCGGTCCTGATCGCAACAAGGACCTGTCATTCCTGGCCTTCTCTTTCTTCGACGCAAGCCGTTTGTACTGGACAAAAATTAGCTGTTTCTGTGTACTGTTGAGCGCGACGACGTCACTCAAACGAGAGTATTTATTTTGCACAGATCTTCTCCTTACCTCTTCATTTGTATCATCAAGGTGCAGAAGCCGGAGGAATACATGCTGCTCTTCGATCGTGCTGAAACTAATCTTCCACCTTATGTCATCGGAGAAGTCACACAGCCGATAAACTATTAGAGCATATTTAGCTGCTTCCTGGTGTTTGTCGGGCTGTTCTGATATGAATTTAGTACTAGATAGTCACGTGTCACATGCAGGTATATGTCCTATCTCTTACCTTGGTACAAATAGTGTAGGTCAATGTATCGGCCTATCGCAATAGACTTCACCTTCGGTGAGCTGTGCAAGAACCAGGTGATCTCGTCATAGGCCTCTCGGTACAGTTTCTCTTCCATTGTGGTGTGAATAGAGTTAAGCCCAGAAAGGCTCTCCTGAGAGTAAGGATAGTGCAACTGGTCGGCTAGGCCCCAATGTCTGGCTCGGAAGTACCAAAGCCTGTTTGACAGTCACTTAGGAGATGCGAGGGTGCCAGATAAGCAGCGAGGACCCGAGACCCGACCGGGGTTCACTTGTAGGTGAAAGGTAAATAATGTGGTATTGAGAAGTGAAGTGAGAGAACAGATCCCCTGGCGGAATAATACAGAAGATGAAAAATTTGGAGAGGGGTGCAGAGGAGAAAGTAGAAGAGGTTGCAGGGAAAGATGGATAGGAAGATGGAGAGAAACACGGGCAATGATGAATACAGTGAATAGGGGCGTGGGGGTTATTCAGGCAAACAAAGACAGTGAATGTTATTTTCTGCATGATAGTCCCTAGTTTTTAGGACCAGTGAGTTGCGCGTGATGTAGTATATACAACACGAACTGTTGTGAGAAGTGCTAATTGGAAGGTTTCCTTTTCGATCAAAGCCCCGTAGTCATAAGTCAATAAGTACAGATATAAGTTCATAGGCACCACTGTATGGACCATCATATACCCCTTGTAAACGATATACTCTAGTAAAGCCACATTATTGAGGTTCATTTAGATCTAAGCAGTCCGTTTTTGTGAAAGGGTTGGTGCTACATCTTCCATTGCCCAACATGTGTTTTCCAAGAATTCACGATACACCAAGCAAGATAATATCTGACAATGTACTTCTCACATCTTCCAGAGGTTACATCACTCCATCCAAGTCACAGACTTGATCACAAGGTACTCATTCAATCCTTCCTCTGCACTGAACCGTCCCCAACCGGAGTTCTTAATTCCACCATATGGAAGAACCGGTTCATCATGCATATTCATACCGTTTATATGAACAGCACTGTATCAGTCAGTGTCTCTACTCCCTCTGTTTTCTTCTACTCAGCCATTGAACTTACCCAAACTCCAGCTGCTTGGATATTGCAAGACCTTTACGAAGGTCTTTCGTGAATACGGAAGCAGAGCTCCCGTATCCCGCACTATTGGCGATGTTAACGGCTTCTTCATCACTCTTGACAATCATACAAGCCGTCATTGAGGTATATTCCTCCTCATTCCAGATATCCATATCTGGCCTAGCATTGCCGAGCACGAACGGTCCAAGACTAAGGACGCCGTCATGACTTGATTCTGAGTCAAGCTTTCCATGGAGTAAATTTGCTCCACACTTCAGGGCGCTTGAGATCATGCTCTCCACGCGAGTCTTCATAGCTGCATTGACAATTATGGGCCGTAGAACTTCTGAATCCGCCATGCTAAGAGTACATTTTAGAGCTTCCATAAATTCTCCAACAATAGTAGCATTGACAAGTATACGATCAGTTGACATGCCGACTCGATAGGACTATTTCCAATCAGTATGGTAATTCTCGGAGAAGACATTATTTGACACCTCGTACGTTCAACATAGCTCCAGCCAGCACTCCGTTGACAGCAACAGCGACATCAGCATCCGCACAAACAATGGCATAATTCTTCCCTGTAAGGTCTATCAACGATGGCTTGAGGTTCTTGCCGCAAGTGGCAGCAATCTGTCTTCCCTTATCCATACACCCAGTGAAATTGACCTTCCGGACCGCCGGATGCTCAATCATGGCATTTATAATCTGAGGCATATCCTCTTCGCAGGTAGATATAACATTCAGGCATCCATTCGGCAGACCGGCATCCAGAAAGGCTCGACCAATGGCCCAATAGCAGCGTGGAGGCAATTTTGAGGACAAAACGACAGCTGTATTTCCGGATGCGAGAGCGCAGGCTACCGCACGAATTCCGGATATATAAGGGGCAGTCCTACAGGCATCATTATTAGCAACAAGGGCGATGAGCATAAACGATCGGCTTTGCATACCAGGGTACAATCCCTAGTATGACACCCATGGGCTTGAGCCGGATGGAATACCTTCTTTTTCTTCCCGGTCGGCTCCAAGTACGGCTGGATGAACCTTCTGGTTTGGTTGCTTCCTTCGTGAGTCTTTTCGGTGGACTGATGCGGCGGCTGCGGCGGCGGGCCTTCGCGCAACTGAAGCCGCAGTATTCCAAGATGAAACTCATTCTCTCAGTCGGAGGAGGCGAAAAGAAAGGAAGAAAGAAAGCTAACAAAAAGAAACCTTGAAGGCAATCGCACTCTGACCTTCTCCTTCAACCACTGGCACACTCCCACAGATCGAAGTTATGCGACCTGCAATATCCCTCAGCATACGAGTCGCAAGAGCAAAGATAAAATGCTGGGTGGCCTCAGCATCGGCACCTGTCTCGGTATGCATATAGTTTGCGTATTCTCTCCGACGGCTCTCAAGGATGTCGGCCGTTTTATATAGGATATCGCGTCTGGCAGCAGGTTTGGTACAAGCCCAGGCTGAGAATGCTGCCTCCGCTGTCTCAATAGCCCTCGTTGCATCGGAAAGCGTAGCAGATGCCGCTGTCCAGCAAGCCTTGCCGGTGACAGGGCTCTTGACTTCGAACATGTGCGAGCCGCTTTCCTCTCGGCCGTTGATGATCAGGGGAACCATGGCGGAAGAGGCTGCGACAGCCATGGATGAATCCATGATCAGCTACACAGGATGTAATGATAGAAAACGATTCGCTAGTTTTGCCCAGTGGTGAGCGAATGGAGGAAGGAACCTGGGCTGGTGGCACAGAAATATGATGGAAGAAAGCCACTGACGGGGATTACCACCCCGTCCCTCCCGCTTATAGGCAGTCACTGGGGGTTACATTGCACAACCCATCGGAAGCAAGAGTATCTGATCCCAGAACGCAATAAAAGTCTAACAAAACCCAGAGCTGACTTGATTCCCCGCAGCTCGTCACTCATGTTGCCTTTTACTCCTCCTGGAGGCTCATTGCGCGTCATCTGTGAATCAGGATGGGCCCCAGCCCCAAGGGGAAGGAGATGATTGTGATCGTCTCCGTCCTGGTCGGCCTCACGTGCTTGAGTATGACCCTGCGGTTTGTTGCCAGGGTCAAGCGGCGCACTGGTTTTGGAGTAGACGATTGTCTCTGCTTCGTGGCTGTTGTGCTGATGCTGGGGATGTTGATCGAGCTGATCTTGTGTAAGCTTCTGGATGCTCTGAATAGCCTCTGCCTGACTTTCTGGAATGTCTCAGGGTGTTCCATCGGTGGTAACGGCTACCATATCTCTGATCTAGATACTAGGACCATTGAGTTGTTCTATCAAGTGCGTGTTTTCACACAGGATACATTATTCCCGACGGCCTTGGTCTAAAGCCCTCACTGAATTCACTAGATATTCCTGTCCAGCCAATTCACCTATTTCGTCTTGACGCCTCTAATCAAGATCTCCTTCATCTGTTTCTACCGCCGCCTCTTCACCACTAAACACTTCCTCCGCTTTACTTTGGGTCTGAATATCCTCATTGCCGCATGGTCTTCGGGTATCTTCCTGGCCTGTGCATTGCAATGCCGCCCGCTCCGCGCATACTGGGACATCAATGTCAAGGGACGCTGCTTCAGCGCGACCACTTACATCATTGTGAATCAGGCGTTTAACGTCGTCATGGACTTTGTCATCCTCGCAGTCCCGGTACCCATGATCTGGAGACTGCATCGCTCATGGCAGGATAAGCTGGCGTTGAACGCTGTTTTTGCCCTGGGCGGATTGTAAGTTGTTATTGTCTTCTTGCTTACAGATCCTTAATCGATGATGAACAACGTCTGATATTTAGCCTTCTTACTAGCGTGTGCTTCGCTAGTATTTATCGAATAATAGTATTATTCTATATCGACTTGAAAGACGTGACATGTGAGATTCTCTGTGGCAGTGACAATGCCTCTGCTTCAACTGGAAGCAAGTTGACTATGAAACTAGATACCATCTACGACGCCACTCTATGGACTCATATCGAGCCATCCGTCGGGCTAGTCGTTTCCTGTCTCCCAATCATCCGCGGAATGTTTCCACGATGTACATCGGCGGGTCAGAAGCAACGGACAAGGTCCAGTTTCGGGCATTCTTCGACTGGCACAACTTTGTCTGGTGATATTGATCATGAGTGTTTTGATGGTCGGAAAGGACTACGAGGCGGGTGTGCAATCAGTGGAAGGGCCTGTCATCGGTCTGAAAATGCGCTCGAGCTCGAAAATATAAGAGTGACGACTGATATAGAGGTGCAAATTGGGTGATTACGTGGGTGTGCGTTCGTCCGATATGCGCATGCTTGAACCGTCTGGAGAAACGGGATATTATTATTATACCCTGTAATCGATCACGGCCTATAAAGATATAAGTAAATCATTTAAGCTCCAATATGTCGCGATTCAAGCTTTGTCAGGCATTTGCTTGTGGGTTAAGTAGCCCTAGCACCAGGGAAGGGGATGAGTGAGAAGGATGTTGCGGACGGTTCATATTACCGATAGCGCGAGCACCTAGACCACTCTCCCTACGCCGCTAAAGAGGATTTTTCGGTGCTGACAGCAATGTGACTTCTACAAAAGTAATCATGGTTACACCAAGGCAGATGCGAGACTGATGATGAAATTCTAAATAGAACTGTCCAACGTCAACAAACACCGCATGAGCTAGGTTACATTCCTTTCAGATCTCTGTACGCTTTCAATGTATCAGTCCAGGCTAAAAGCAAAAACATAAAGGTATGCAGTGGAGTATCAATGGCTTGTTCTTGTAGCTTTCGACGAGTGTCGCCAAAGACATGTCGCGATTGTTTCCCAGAAGCAGTATTCTCCTAATGGTTGGAACCGGAGATTGCGCCCCAAGCCTAAGTTACTAGTAGGAATATACATTTGTCTAGGATAATATGTTGTGAGCAGCCTGCTACTATATATCATGGTGGTGTGTACCAACTTAATATGATATTGGTAAGACTGCACGATTATAATGCTACAAGCTTCCAAACTACACCCCTATCTCGGAGTTCTTTATTTTAGTCATTGATATTCTCCCAGTATACTCAATATCATCATGAAAGTGACTCAACATGCCAAGAACCTAGCTAGCTAGCTAGCTACCACTTGAAACGGGGTCTTCTAGGCCTTGGAGAACCCCTTAGCGCCCAAAGATACAGTTCTCGGACAGCCAATCCGGTTAGAAGTCTGTATAGCTCCATCGGAGCACTGAGTCAAAGTACGTGAGTCACCGAGTTGTCTTTCCCCAGACTCCATCTGGGGCATCCAAAACTGCAACAGGAAAGAAAGCCCAGCTGCGGATCAGGTGACTTCCCCGTAGCGAGCGGCGACGAACTAAGCCGGAAGCGGCAAGGCCCGCGCCTCAGGTGATCTCCACGTCCACGGAACGCGCTGCCATTGACCAATCAAATGCCCGGCAATCCGACATCGGCCGGGGAGTTGCAGTCCAACTCCGGATCACGTGTCTCAGAGCAGGCCGATCTCGTCCCCAGCAACGAGTTTATAAAGTTGCAACCGCTGCTTCCCTCCTCCTCTTCCCTTTTCCTCTTTCCCATCCAATTTCTTCCACTTCCTTTTCTTCAATTTCACCCTCTCCCCTCTCTTCTCACATCCTCTTCACACAATGGCCTCCCGTGGACTTCCCCGTGCCCTCCGTCTGGCCCGCGTCGCGGCCCCCCGGTCCGTCGTGACTGCCGCCCTCCCCCGTCCTTCCCTGGCCAAGGCTGCCTCCGCCGCTCTCCCCCGTGTGACCGCCACCCCCGTCGTCCCCTCCCGCGGTGTTAAGACCATCACCTTCGCTGATGACAAGGAGACCGTCTACGAGCGTGAGGACTGGCCCCGTGAGAAGCTCCAGGAGTACTTCAAGAACGACACCCTTGCCCTGATCGGCTACGGCTCCCAGGGTCACGGTCAGGGTCTCAACCTCCGTGACCAGGGTCTGAACGTCATTGTCGGTGTCCGCAAGGATGGTGCTTCCTGGAAGGAGGCCATCCAGGACGGCTGGGTTCCCGGCAAGAACCTGTTCGATGTCACCGAGGCCGTCAAGAAGGGTACCATCATCATGAACCTGCTCTCCGACGCCGCTCAGTCCGAGACCTGGCCCACCCTGAAGCCCCTCATCACCAAGGGCAAGACTCTCTACTTCTCCCACGGTTTCTCCCCCGTCTTCAAGGACCTCACCAAGGTCGATGTTCCCACCGACGTCGACGTCATCCTCGTCGCCCCCAAGGGTTCCGGCCGTACCGTCCGCACCCTCTTCCGTGAGGGCCGTGGTATCAACTCCTCCGTCGCCGTCTTCCAGGACGTCACCGGCAACGCCAAGGAGCGCGCCATTGCCATGGGTGTCGCCGTCGGTTCCGGCTACCTCTACGAGACCACCTTCGAGAAGGAGGTCTACTCTGACCTCTACGGTGAGCGTGGTTGCCTGATGGGTGGTATCCACGGTATGTTCCTCGCTCAGTACGAGGTCCTCCGTGAGCGTGGCCACTCCCCCTCCGAGGCTTTCAACGAGACCGTTGAGGAGGCCACCCAGTCCCTCTACCCTCTCATCGGTGCCAACGGCATGGACTGGATGTACGCCGCTTGCTCCACCACCGCCCGTCGTGGTGCCCTCGACTGGTCCAACCGCTTCAAGGACAACCTGAAGCCCCTCTTCAACGAGCTCTACGACAGCGTCCGTGATGGTTCCGAGACCAAGCGCTCGCTCGAGTACAACTCCCAGAAGGACTACCGCGAGAAGTACGAGAAGGAGATGCAGGACATCCGTGATCTCGAAATCTGGCGCGCCGGCAAGGCCGTTCGGTACGTTACTACCTATCCCCCATAACAACTTATATACCAATAGAACTTTTCACTAACGTTTCCATTTTTACAGCTCCCTCCGCCCCGAGAACCAGAAATAAATCTATTCATAATGTGTTATTAGCATATCCCCGGTGGGAAAAGTTACGATGTACCATGATCTAGGGAATTGTTTTTATTCGAGTTTCTTATTTTAACTGGGTTGTATATCGGGCCGGAATAAAATTTTCTTATTCTTTCTCCAATTGAGCATCCTTGTGTGGAGTGGTAGTTGTAGTGGTTGGGACGTAAAGAGAGGTGGTCATGAGTCATCGATTAGGAAAATTGTAACTAACGAGCGGCAGATCATCCGGGGCCAGATTTCCCCGCGATCCGATCTACAATGACGATGACTTTCTGCTTTCCTCACAATCTACAATTCTGCTGCGTAGCAATACAGCCAATAGGATGAAAAGGAAGGGTGTAATGAATACAATCTATACACAATGCAGCCGAACACCAAATCTATGTATTTCAACGCTTTCATGTCTTCGCTTGGATATTAGACAACGGTATATGGATCTAACCCCAGCATCATAAATCCAATCCTGCAGCCAGCCACTCACTCCACACTCGAGGTTCACTAGTCACGCGCTTTCCTTCTTAGTGCGGATGGCAGGTGCAGGGGCCGGGACAGGGTTGGGGTTGCCCTTCCACTCCAGCTTGCGGGGCTTCATGTACGCGGCCAGCAGCTCGTCGGTGACTTCCTTTCTCTTCTCCTGGAACGCCGCAACGTACTCCTGCAGCACCTCGATGGTCATCTTCTTGAGCTCGCCGGTCAGGAGCTCACCGCTCTTGTAGTTCTTGTAGATCTCTTCCAGCTTGGCGTCGTCCTCCTCGAAGTAGGTCAGGTAGACGTAGGAAACGTCAACGTCGGGGTTTCCACCAAGGCGGCGGTGGTCCTCGATGCTCACTTGGCCACCGCTGAAGGCGTACTTGTTGATCTTGGTCTGGATTGTGCATGGTCGGTTAGTATGTGGGTGGGACCAATCAGTGGGGGCTAGCACTCTTACCTTGATCTGCTTGGGAGTATCGGTCATGAAGATGGCCGAGTTGGGATCGGAGGAGGACATCTTGCCGCCTGCTCCTTGCAGGGCAGTGAGGAACTTGGAGTGGATCAAGGCGGGCTTGGGGGAGGGGAAACGCATGCGGTGGGCGTTGTCACGGAGCAGGCGGAAGTAGGGATCCTGGTCGATACCCATAGGGATCAAGCACTGAATGTTGGCAATCTCCTGGGTGCGCTCGGTGGAGGGTTCGTCCTTCCAGATCTCGGGGTAGGAGGTAGCGAAAGCGGCGACACACTGAAGGGAGGGGAAGAAGATTCGACCGATGTTGGTGCTGCAATTTATTAGTCTCCCGACGAGTGTATATGGAATAGAAGGATCAACATACCTCTCGTTGAAGCCGAACGCACCACGGACTTGGTTGAAGGTGACCAGCTTTCCGAACTCCCAAGCGTTCATGAGGAAGTGGTTGCTAACGTACTTCAAGTCGCTGTAGATGAAGGTCTTCTTGAGATCGAATCCCAGGGCGATGATATCCTTGGCGTTCTCCATGGCGAAGTGCATAGCATCCTCAAACGTTATGCTATCCTTGAACAAAGCCTTCTCGTCGTCCGTAAGCATGAAGACCAAGGGGACGTCGAAAACATCCTGCAGCCACTTGGTGAACTGCAGGGGAATGGTGTGACCCAGGTGCAGACTGCCGGTACTGGGACCACGACCGGTGTAGAGGAAGAAAGGCTCGCCACGCTCGTAGAGGGTCAGGATGCGGTCGAAGTCGCGGTGACTGAAGAACAGGCCGCGTCGGAGCCAGCGATGCGGCTTGTGTCCGGTCACCTTCTCGAAGCGCTCGAGGAGCTTGTCGTCAATAATGGAGGTGTTCCATTTCCTGAAATTAGAGGTTGTTAGTGGGTTGTTGCGCGGACACAATGAGCGCCTCAATGGCGGGGTAGCACATACCGACAGATGGCCTCATAGTTGATGGCGACCACCTCTCCGTTCTCGTCGCGGGCACCCTCCACGGACCAAGGATTGATATCCTGTTCTTGCGCAGTGTGCGGCTGCTCCTCGGCCATGCTTGCAATCTGTTCTGGGACTGTGGAGGGGGTTAGAGAGGAAGCGCAGCGAGGGAAAGTGAGTCAGGGAGCGACGAGATGAATCTATTCAGTCTTTCTTTTGCCCCTCCTGCCCTTGCCCGATTCGGCCGCGAGTCACGTGGCGGGGAAGTGCGGCATGACAGCGCGCTAGTCCTAATCGGGATTGTTGCTATCGGAGTAAAATGACTGTCCAGCATGCGCCACGCAAGTAGAGACAGCATTCTGCAAATGCGATTCGGTTCAATTAAAGCCTTGACCTCAGCTAGAGTTCTGAAACCTCATCTCCTTGCATTCTCCCACTCTCAACTGCGTTGGCGCAATGCGGGGGTCCGATGGCGGAGATATATCCCTTCGCCGACTCGGATGCCGCTTATCAACCGGCCATTTCCCCTCTGCCCTTTCTCCGCAACTCTTGGAGAGTACCACTATAGAAAACCCTCAAACTACTGGTACGAATCAGTCTATACACGACTGAATCTCTCAAAATGACAGACCCTTCGGTGCTCGTGCAATCTTTGACCCCTTCAGCCATCCATGAGGCCTACTCCCTCATCCAACCCTACGTGCACCGCACGCCTCTCCTCACTTGTCAAACCCTCAACACCATTGCCTCGGCGCCACAATCTCCAGAGGCATTGAGCGGTACCTCCTTCGAGGGCCAAACTCCTGCCAATCCCAAGTTCCGTTTCTTCTTCAAATGCGAAAACTACCAACGGATAGGTGCTTTCAAGGCCCGGGGCGCCTTCCACGCTCTGCTACGACTCATCGCCGAACGGGGTCAGGAGGATGTGCAGAAAAGGGGTGTTATTACACACAGTTCTGGTAGGTCATCACTCTCGCCAGTCAACAAGATGCAACTTGAAGGGAACCACGCAATATTCATCTATTCATGTAGGAAATCACGCACAGGCTCTCGCTCTGGCCGCCTCCACTCTCGGTGTTCCCGCCTACATTATCATGCCCAGTATTAGCACCCCTTCTAAGATCGCTGGGACGCGCTCCCACGGTGCGGAGGTAATTTTCAGTGGGTCCACGAGCGTCGAGCGCGAGGCCGTCGTCGCGGATGTGCAGGCCAAGACCGGTGCAATTCTGATCCCACCCTATGATGACTTCAATATCATCTGCGGCCAGGGTACCACCGCCCTCGAACTTGAGGAGCAGTACCGGGAGCTGGTGGCTGAGAAGCCCAACCTGAGCATCCGCCAGGGTTCCACGGCTCTCGATGCTGTCTTCACACCCATCGGTGGGGGCGGTCTCAATTCCGGTGTTGCAACCTTCTTCTCGGACAAGACAACTAAGGTGTTTGGTGCGGAACCCAGTTTCGAGGGTGCAGACGATTGCCGGCGCGGACTGGATGCCGGAGAGCGGGTTCCGGCAGTGTCCACACTGACCATCGCGGACGGGTTGCGGACACCGGTTGGCTTGTTGAACTGGGAGGTGATCTCGAACCGGAACAAGGTCGCTGGCGTATATGCTGTGACGGAGGAGCAGATCAAGGCGGCAATGCGTCTGGTTCTGGAACGCATGAAGGTAGTAGTAGAGCCAAGCGCTGTGGTGGGTTTGGCCGTTTGCCTGTACAACGAGGAGTTCCGACGACTGGTCGAAAAGGAGGCTCCTGAGGGCTGGGATGTGGGCATCGTGTTTAGCGGTGGAAACACCACGGTTGAGGCCATTGGAAAGTTGTTCAGCTAAGAAAGCATTTAGAATCTGCTGCGGGACACGGTCTCAATCACATCTGTACAGTGTACATAGCTAGATGAGAAATGTATCAGCCAATGTCGACCCCATCTCCTCCTATGCGAAAGGCGAATTTGCCGCCATTACTTTGTTTCAAGCCCTCCAGCACCCGACGAGGCCATTCCTCGCGTCTCCATTCATTCACCCATCCGGAAAACCTTCCGCGACTGACAATTTCTTGTCGACGAGGCGCTCCGCGCTGCGCATTCTGCGCAGTCATGGTAGGCGGAAAGGGGCGAACTGCATCACGTTGAACAACAATTCGCAGAGTAGGAAATCTACCCCAAGGGGCTGGAAGAGCAGGCCCAAAAGAAGGCACCTTTGCCACGGAAGGACCTGGGGTATACAGATCGTAGGGTCCTGACGGTGTATACGCTGGGTTACCACCACGAGCACCGGGGAATCTTCCCTGAACAGTAGTGGTGTAAACCACCATACAACCTAAAAGTCGCTGTAGTCCTTTCAATTCTGCTATAAATGCAGCATAGAGATCTGAGATCTGGAACCGTTGTTTCTGAGTACGCTCATGCTCCGGGTCAGCATGGGCGCGCCCGATATCTTCCACTCGGGCAATTTCGTCCTGCAATTTATCCTGCCATAAGAAAGCACTGGCACTATCAAGATAGATAGTATGCACCGGCCGGGTGGAAGATAAATGGCGAGATAGATCAAGTACGTATGCATCCAGATGCTGAAGTGTAGCAAGGAGAGCAGATGACGATTGTGGGCGGAAGACGTGGACATGTTGCAAACTGATGACAAGCATACTTTCAATTTCCTCATTGCGAACCTCGGACGTCCATCCAGGCGATTCCTGGGCCAGTGCGTTAATATTGGCGTGCACGATCCCTCTCAGCACTGTTCTAAGCCGCTCAGCATCAAAACGGCCGTCCGTGTCAATAAATACCACTGCCGATTCAAGCCCACCGAGCGGGATACCACGGAACAAAGATGGTAAAATAGCAACTGCAGCGAGATAGTACAGAAGATGCGACTTCCCGGCTGCAGACAGCCTGCTCGAGATCTCCAGGACTGGTTCTGCGTGGTTTGGTACCACCATCGGCAGACCATGCATGCCTGCATGCTCATCGTTGATAAGTTCGCCTTGAGCTGGGTGCTCGCCCTCAGGATCATCCATGTAAGCTCCCTGAGCATCCCCGGAATGGTCCTGCGGCACATGCCTTTCCAGATGCATGTCTTGTGCAGCAGGGACGGGTGTTGTAAAGACACCCAGAAGATCATCAAGCACCTGGACACCCAGTCTGGGCCTCAAGGCGTTACTATTGACAATCCCATGTGATAGGTTTCTTAGGTCATGCAGAAGCTTCTCCTATTAGCAGGCCTTCCAGCAAATTTTTAGAGCAGTATCCACAAAGAACATTAAAGATATGATGCGGAATCATGCAGTGAACTGAAACACCGACCCATACATACCTCGTCGAGTCTCTCCTCATGGACCTCCCCAAGAAGGCCTCCTCCGAAGTTAGCAGCCATTTGACACAATTGTAAATCTCCAAATGAATGTGACAAAGTCCGACATTTTCCGGTATAAAAGTGTATAAGTAGTAGTCCCGTAGGAGTTGATAGAATGTCAAAACTATCGCGGGCTGGCCCGTTGCGACGATAACTGGTAGATGGATCGCGGCGCCGGCGAACGCGAACGCTTCCGCTCCGTCCACTTTTCTTCCTTTCCCCAATACCACCTGTCTTGCTCGTCATTGTCGCAGCAGCACATGAAATCAGCAATCTGTCATACTTAGAGGACAGTACTCAGAGTCACAATAAGAGGAATTCTTCGCCATGGCTCCTCTTGTTCCCGTTTTCTCCGCCGAGGCCCTTCCAGAGCACGTCAACATCGTCACGAAGAACTTCCAAGAAAAGCGTCGCAAAGGCGGCCCTGTCGAGCTGGAGAAATGCAAGCTGCTGGAGATGGTCCAATACTCCTGCAATCCGCCGCAAGAAGGGATTCCTAAGCCGGGCGTGGTGAATTGTAAGCCGATTGTGAGGCTGTTTCGCCGGTAAGTTACCCTCTCGCTATGAGTTTAAGGAAGGATTCAATGCTGACGTTTACTTCATGCTAGATGTGCTGGCGGATTAACGGTGGAAACGACTGCTTGGGAACCGATCAGGATAGCGAAAGAAGAGGAAGAGCGTAAACGCGCTGCGGAGAGCAGCTCAACGGCCTGATGGGACTCTCCTTTCGATTACTTGCATGGCGAGGAGTTAGATTGGCGTTCAGACTACTGAGATCACAATGGCAGTTAAAGCTATGTGATTAACCAATTGAGTTGCATTATTGACATCCTGCTCCATGGGTATCTTCTCGGTTATACTACGATGAAAAAGCTGAACGCCTGACGCCTCTGCCTATCCTACACCCTATGATGCATTCACCCAGCTATCCACCCTCGACATGTCGGGCGTATCCTTCGCACTTGATAGCTTGTTTTCTTCCGTTCGTCGACTCCCAGATGTGGGCGCCCGTCGCCACAAGTCTCTCTCGCAGTTGATGATAGGAGGCAGCTCTATGTTTAACGGCAGCTTCGAGCGGGATGGTTTGGCCTCTGTATCTGCACCAGCTCCCGAGTCGATCTCCATAGGACCAGCAGAACCAGGGGCCGTCGCAGGCTTCTGCATCTTCTTTGCGAGAGCTCTGATCGTCTTCTCAAACATTCCATCCATGCTCTCTGCTCGTCGTCCCCATTGCTTCTTATCCCGGACCGATGAGCCAGAATTGTTGTCTTTGAACGCTGCACGAGCCAACTTGCGCAAAGCTTCCTCGCCATGTCGACCATCCTCCGTTGCTCGCTCTCGAATGACGCGCGGATCTTGCTCTCGTTCCGTGAAAACCGGCGTGTGACGATACGTGTGTTTACTGGGAAAATCGGGGAAATGTTTCGGTATATGAGCGTTGTGGACGCGATCGTCTTCGCCGCTGAGCTGCGGCCCTAAAGACGGCAAAGTCTTGAATGAGTCCTCTTCCGGCGGAGGGCTTGGTAGGAGGGTGGGGATAGGTTCGATGTTTGGATGGCGTTTCACGTGCGGAAGGAGGTCGCCGACAGGCACGGACTGTCTTTTCAAGGCATATTCGAAATCTTGTGGGATAGGTTGTATGCGCCGGCTGGATAGCATCGCTTGGCGCACATATGAGGCGAATCTCAGTAGATCTAGAACCAAATCCATCAATATCATGAACATTTCCTTCTGAGACCTAATCTTCCCAACGTACATTCCTCCGTTATCCTGCGAAAGGCGTCCAGCGCTGCAGGGTCGGCGATATCAAATCCGCATTCTTGTAGATACTGCCCGATAGACCGGTTGAGGACATGGTCGATGCAGGCCTCGTCGACAATAGCGGGTTCCGGCAACGCTGGGGCGACCGGACTTTGTAGGCGATGATGATGGTGATATGGGCGTTTCGTTGGTTTTACATCAGGAGCGTCTGCACCTTCTGGTAGGGAGGAAGAGGATCGTTTGACAGTGGGTTCCGAGGAGACCATGGCGCCGGTGGTCTTGATGGATGAATGGGGAGAGATCCAGAAACGGCACCAAACACAAGAACCGCGTGAGGTCACGTGCTTCTGCCTCAGGCAGAACAACCCTACAGCAAGTCACTCAGCTTCAAGTGCTCAATTAATCAGATAATACAGAATTAGCATAGCAATATGAATTGCAGTTAAATTATAATATGTATTCTCGTAGTTAAACCCAATCATAAGTCGCGTAATCTATTGACCATCAACGAACCGTTCACAGACAGCAACCCACCTTCAAAGTCAGGCCACTCACAGCCGTCGCTTACTACTCGCCGGCCCGGAAAGCTTCACCTCGACTTTCACTCTCGACATCACCGCTCGCTTTCCCTCTCCTCTCCTCTCTCTCTCCGCACCCCCCACCACAACCTTAGCAGGTCAATTCTTGCGCGAATCTCCTCTACCAGTTCCTCAGATCCTTCTGAAGACACTAATACATCACAATGGCCTCCGTTGCTCCCATCACCGGCGTACGTCCACCCTTCTCCCACCCTATCCACCGGGCTCTCATCCACAACCCCATGGCCCCCAGGTTGGAACCCTATAAACTAACATTTTGCGATATAGATGCTCCGCCGCACCCTGGTCCTTGACCTGAGCACCGCTTTCGGTGAGTCCGCCTACGACCCCGCGCTTCCATTGACCCGAGATGTCTTCATATGATTCTCCTACCCATATATCCGATTACACCACATTACCTCCCTCCGCGCGCCATATACCAAAGCGACCCAGGACAATTGATTGACTGACTGCCTCGCAGGTTTCGGTACCACTTTCGGCTACCTCTGGTGGTACGGTACGTATACAACAGACCATCAATCCTTCCAACAAACCAATCAATCATCCACATCCCAGCGGTAACAATCACTAACAAAGCACCACTATATAGGCTTCCACCTCCCCCGCGTCCGTGCCCGTGACAACTACTACACCCGCCTCGAGGCCGAGCGCGCTGCTGCCCAGCAGTAAATTTCGCACCGGTATATGACCACAATGCAATCGACTTCGCGCGTTGATTGGTGCCCAATGTGCCCCCGTTAGTTATGCCGGATGGAACCGGGATGCGTCAGCTACAGTGATTTTGGGGTGGAATTCGGGGATGTGTAGCTGATAGGATGTGATTGATATTGTTTTGTTGTCTGGTATATTGCGTGGGTTGGGATCCAGTTGATGAAGCGGGTTGAGTGTTTGTGTGCGTGTGTGTGGAATTGAAAGAATAGAAGGGAAGAAAGAATAACGTTCCTCGGTATTTTTGTCTGTTGTATATACGCTTGTACTCATACATGCGGTTGTTTGAGAATTATGTCGGTTGGTCTTGTGTTTTCCGTAGGGAGACTAGTGTGCTCCGTAGCTCATACTCCAAAGGTAAGATTGATTACATCAAGTACAGTGGTGTTTTTTTAAAGATGTGTTCATTTCTTTCATAAGCAGGGAATCTATCCAGTCGCTAATTAATCCAAGTGGAAATGTAGGCCATGCACGTAAAACTCCCCTAATCAACACACGACACACACTGCATCCTCCACCATTATACCCCATGCCCATCAGGCAAGAGCACCTAATTTCACTACCTACCAACACAGGGCAGGCCAGGCCACCATTCACCGCATAACCCGCTCATACTGTATCCCCCTCACGCTACCACCACCCATAGACGTCCTGACGTTGCGCTTGAACGCTTCCCGATTCTGTCTCAGATCGTCGGCGGCCTCCTTGTTCAGCGGATCGGAAGCATTCGGTTCCAGGAAGAGGAACTAAGCAAGGTAGAAAGATCAGCAAAACACCCTCCAAAAACATCCAAGCCCTCGCCCTCTCCCCAAAGCAACCAAAAACAATACAGAAAGGGAAGAAAAGAAAAAGACATACCTGCATCCCCACAATAACAGCATTCAGGTTCAAGACAGGCTTCCAATCCTCCCTCAAAATATTCAAGCACACATTTCCCTCGAGATCAATATTCGGATGGTAGATCTTCTGCGTGCACTTAACCTTCGGCGGATCATGCGGGAAATTCTGGTTAACCGTGAAGTTGAAGTGGAATGCGCCGCCCTTGTACATGCCCTCATCCGGCTCGATAGTGAGAGTGAAGTTCAAGATGTCGTCGGGGTTCGGGAAGGACATTTTCATTGTACTTCCGAGGGTGAGCTCTTGCAGGTCTGTCTCGATGTTGATACATGGTTAGTTATTAACGTCCTGGGGAGGGGTGTGGTTTGAGAAAGGGTAGGTAGGTAGGGAGGGAGGGACAGACCTCGTTGCACGCGCAGCTGGGCGGCGGTGACCTTCTTCTTCTTTTTACCAGCAGCTCCTTCGGCATTTTCAGCTTGCTGCTGCTGTTGTTTCTGTTTCGAGGGTGTTAGTGAGGAGGGAAATGTATGGGTTGGTAGGTAGATGGAGTCAGTCGCGACGTACCATCGACCATATCTTCAACATCGTGGCTGATCTTTTGCGGGCACGCGATCACCTGTGTGCGGATTTGACAGAATATAGAGTAGTTTGCAGAGAGTTGGGTCTAGAGATTGTCGTATGGAATCGCTATACCCAGAGTCGTCGTAGTGTTGAGTGGGCGAAGAGGGGAGGAAAGGCTGCGGGGTCCTTTCGTTGGCCGGTACGACTATTCTCCACTTCAGCGTAGAGCAGACCGAAGGTGACAAGACAGAAGGAGGCAGTCCTTTATCTCAGCGTAGAGAGGTGGAAGATCACGACAGAAGAAAAGTGCTTGTATAAATGCGTGCAGAAAGGCACCGAGAGGATTATCAGAGACAGGTGATAGCCGGACTGCCGCAGAGAGCGGGCGGCGGCCTGACGCCATGGCCGACCCATTGCACCACCGCCTGCCCATACCAGTTGCCACTCGACACGCCCATATCCACGGCTTTTACGTTCTCTCTTTCTATCGTATATTGTATGGCCATGCCACTTTGATGTTATTATGAGGGTTTCATTTTGAACATTATCTGCGGGAATTTCCGTGTAAAACAGTCAACCGATCGCCTTCCACGCCCTTGAATACATCCCATTTCTAATGCGCTAAGAGTCTACAAAACATTGTCGTGCCTGCAGTCCCTCTGAAATGTGCAAATCCAACCTGAAACAAAACACGGCCGAACCTGGGAAACAAAGAATAAACATCGTATGTAGAATACAAAATTGCGACAAAAATGTGCCAAGAATAACTCCACGAGGCCTCTTCCGGCCATGAGCAAAGCACCTCTCGTTGACAACTTTTCGTTCATTATGCTGCGCACCTTCTCTAGCGGCGGGCAAAGCAACACATCACACCGGTCTTACCCAGGAACCAGCAGGCTCCGATGAAGCGGAAAAGCGCAACAACGGCGTTTGACCACAGTAGGGCCTGGAAGAAGCGTGACGTACGATCGGTGGCAGAGTTCTGGACCAAGCCGTTAGTTTTGTCTTTTTGGGAATCAAGACTTCGTTTGGTGTAGGGGATATACGTACTGTGAAGCCAAACTTATCCACACCATCGCTGGTGATGCAAACAGCCATTAGAGCGTTACTGAAGATCCAGAACGTCACCAATCTCGTACGGAAGCTCTTGTACGAGTCATCCAAACTCTTCTCATCCTTCTCCACGGGAGCCACATATGGTGTCAAAGCACGCTTCACCGTAGCTTCAAATTGGCTGTCAATATCGGCCTGAGGCTTGTCAATTTCCTCAATGACGGTCTCCTTGCCCCCTTCCTTGGTAGTCTTCGCGGAGGGAAGAGCATCTGCCTTATCAGAACCTTTGGTACCCCAAGACACATCGTGCCAGTTGCTGAAGGCATACACGTTGAGAATGTTGATGTAAGAAGACTGCACGGCCATGTACTGAGGGAACGAGGTGAACATGTGCCACGGGTCCATGTACATGAACGAAGCCACGAAGTAGAGACCGAAAGTGGCAGCAAGCGCAATGATAATGATACCGGCACCTGTCGACCCGAAGAACGAACCAAGGAACGCACCAACACCGTGCGTGGTATCAAAGTCCATCGGAGCACTGCCACTGAAAGCGCGAACTACCAGGTATAGTGCATCGACGACAACGTAGAGCTGAATGATACCGAAGACAACGAAGGATGCGAGGTACGAGAAACGGGAACCTTTCGGGCGATTACCCAAAGCGAGAATGAACTGGAGGAGCAGGAAACCAAGGTAGGCATATTTGACAATCGTGTTGACGATGGGAGTTGCCGTTTTGCCAAAGGGGAAACCTGTGTGACCGTTGCTAGCGCTAGGAGTACCGACCAGGTCCATGATGACCGATGTTGTAAGCCAATAGGATGCTGGTTGCCGAAAGTCAGTAAAAGCTCTCAAGTTTATGCTATAGTCGAAAAGGACCACGAAACATACCCAGAGAGAACCATGTAAGAATAGTCGAGAAAGTGTTGTACAACATCTGAATATGAAGGAAGAACATTCGAATGATGTTGTGGCCACTCTTATACATCCGTCCGAAATGCATGAGCGAATAGATACCGGCTGCGAAGGATCCGTTCAACCAACGACGACGCTGCGAGATGAACTCAGCAGCACCTTCAGGCACGTCAGTTTCACCCTTTGAGGCTTTAACGTATGACAAATGCCATTTTGAGCCAGCCTTAGCAACCAGCTCGAAACACAAGATACGGTCCTCGGCCAAGAACATGTTCTTCTTGAAAATGTTCATTCCCTCGATACCCTTCTTGCCCAGCTGTTTGGAGAGCGTATGATCACCATGGAAATACTGCTCCAGTGGGCGGCCCATGATGGCACGGAATCGGTATGCTGAGAAAGCACCAGGCAACACACTGACATAGCCGAAAGAACTCTCCAACGGCTTGTCGAGGATGTTACTGATTTTATATTCGAAGTTCTGGGCGGCAACGAGAGGGTTGATTAGGTTTCTCCAACCCTTACCCAACATGGCGTGAATTTCACCACAAGCACCTCCGAGGTCCTTGTCGTTGTAGAAGGCCTCCCACAGGGCCAAGAGTGACTTGTGACCAGGCTTGGTACCAGCATCGAGGAGAATGCAGACCTCGGGGTTCAGGATACGGCCGAAAGCGTTGAAAAGCCATCTATGAGAGTTGATCTTCTTGCTGTTCTTCTGCTTCAAACAGAACATCATCTGAACAGGAGGTAGTGTGCTGGGACCGTCATCTGTCGGGCGAATGAGCTGCTGGTTGGGGGTAACGGATAATTGCGTCGTGTATTCGAACTATCAGCTGTTAGCAAAGTCCCCATGTGTGTATTCTAGGATTCCGCGTACGATATGAGCAACGGTTTCCTTTCCATCAACATCACGCTTCATGACACCATCCTGGTAAATACCAACGGTGGCCAGGACATCCAGCACATCCTTGTCACAGGGATCAATACCATCAAACACCAGGCAGACCACAATCTTCTGCCAGGCTGGCCCACCCTTGTTCCAGAACTCAGACTTCTTCAAGTTCACAATGTCACGAATGTTTTGCATCACACCATGCAGCGTACGGGCTGTAAGCGTCTTATCTTCGTTGTAATACGTAATAGCAATCAACAACTCGGTGTGTCTGTTGTACATGGCAGGACGAAGGTTATAGCCATTATGAAGGGTAAACTCGTTAGGATCACACGTGGCTGCGGTGTCTATACCAAGGCAATTCTCCGTTAGTTCCGAGCAGCTGCATGATTGGGCCGTGCGGTAACTTACATCGCATGTGTGTGAATTCTTCGCTTCCGCCCTCCAGGTCGTTCCTATACTTTGCCTGGATTGCATTTTGAATAGCACTAGGCACCGGGTAGTCAACACTCAGGACTGAGCCCTGCACAAGCTTGACCTTTCTGGTGGCGTAACGGCGCAGGCCACCGCCGCCACCACTACCAGCACCTCCAGGAGCCTGTCTCTGGCGCCAAGCCTCTGTTGACGAGGTCTCGCTACGAGCATAGGGCGAAGCAACACGGCCGGGGACGCCAAAGGCAGTCGCGGGGTTCTCTCCAGACTGTGCAGAGTAAACCGAGCCACCTGCACTGTAAGGATCATGATAACCCGCATCGGCAGCATATGTCTCGGTCAAGCTGTATCCAGAGGTGGGCCGAGCCGGGGACAGATTGCGCTGCTGGGGGTCATCAAAGGGACCTGTGAATGGGCCCGTTTGGCTCGATAGCAGTCCTCTAGACGCTTCTTCTTCATACTAGAGATCATCCAGATTCTCATGTTAACTGATTGTTTTCATACAGACGCAACATCACACGGCCACGAAGAATGAAGACTTACGTTGTTGCCGGCTGGTAGATCCTGAAGCCGATGCCCACCGTCATCGTAGCCGGGAGGCGAGTGATTACCAGTGCCTTGGTAGGCCATGGTTGATGAACGAGATTAAAGTCGTAATATGTGTGAACTGAATTCGACGCTCAAGCAAAGCCCCGTGGGAACAGAATGCAAGGATGGCGCAAGAAGCAATGAGGCGTGAGGGTATCAGGGAAACAAGGAGCAAGGAGTGCACCGGCTGGGGAAGTCAGACAACGGAGCAAGTAAATAAAGCGGGCAACCACCCCAAGCGGAGGGAGGAGACAAACAAGCGCTCAAATGGCCGGGGATGCGCGAGAGGGAAGAAACGAGCGAAGGGGAAACGAACAGCTGAAAGAAAAACTGGTCGAGGGGCGCGAGCAACAGCAGGAACGTGGAAAAGCCGCCAGGGCTGAGCAGAGGTACCTTGCGATCGCAGGTGATGAAGAGTGAAGACGCTCGGGAAGCCCGTCTGACCGTGGCGGACAAGAAGGGTTGGGTTTGGTGCAAGGTTTCCCAAAACAAAGCTGGGAGGGGCAGGAGGAGATGGGAAGGGAAAGAAAGAGGAAGAGAAGTGAGACTGGGCGGGATGGGGATGGATGAGCGAGAGAAAGGTCTCAGGATAGAAAAGGGTAAAAAAGAAAAGAAAAATAGGAAGAGAAGGGAAGAAAAGGGAAAAAAGGCCCAGAAAGACGCGACAAGCTGAGAGAGACAGCTTTCCTTTCAAATGGTAAGGTCAAGGGTCGCCCTGGCGGTTTTTTTTTGGGGTTGGCAGCGTTCGAGACGGGGGCAGCCTTGGGGGGGTGTGGGTAATTGGATTCCTAACCAAAAGGCTGGATACAACTGAGATCTCCCTGCGATCACGGCGGATACCGATGATGGATGCTGGCTTACTAGTCGATCAAATCCTAATTATTGTCACTTTTTTCTCATGTCTTACTTGTTGGCCCTTTGGTCTACAACCTGAAAAGTGAAGATGAAAGAGTATTCCTAATTATTCACAGGTTCCTGTCCTGTCCATTCAGCTTTGAAAAAAGAAATCCAGACACGCCTTGTTGGGGGGGGAATGTATTGCTGGGCTGTTTGACCATTTCCTTTTTGGTATCCCCTCATATTTCTTCTTTTGACCGCAAGGTTGGGCAGGCTATTGCCCACGGATCGTCTCCTGCATCATATTCTTCCATCTTTCCTTCCAGACTCTTTCTTTTACTGTGTACTCCGTACAGAGCGAGCAGAGCCACTCGCAGTAATTTTTCCGTCAATACATAACGCCCCTGACTGTTACAAGTTGAGGGCATTGTTCTGCTCGCTCCCCTCCTTGGCTCTTTGCTCCGCACTTCCAGTGTTATGTATTTAAAATTATCAAGGGTCTGAACCCTGATTACGGGCCAGTGGATATGGACCCTGGTCCACTTGAGTTTCTTTACTTTACCGAATTACCCTGAAAACACTGCCTTTCCCGTTCGGTATTGTCACCGTATCCCTGCCAGGTACCATGTAATACCTTCCTTAGTCGGTGGCTGTGTGTGGCATGGCGGTCAAGGTACTAAGTCTACACCGTGTTCTATTGAGGAATCCGATGGATATCATTCTTGCCACTCATGGCACTTCTTGCATTGCTATCACGTCCCGGTCGTACCATGCAGTAGCTATCAGTCGCGTGCTGTAATAGCATCCAACAATTGGCAATAATGATGTCGAAGCATAGCATAAGGTGGCTTGACGATAGGGATTCGAGATAACTTCCAAGGTTCTGTTGGCCTCCAAAGTATGGGCATTCCACATCCCTCGCCAGCATAACTGACCACATACAACAAACAACATCAGCCACCAATAGTCAGCACTGGACGGACCCTAAATCTCCAGATTCAATTCCTCCCTTCCTGGGAAGATTTTAGATATCGCTTACCTAGAGAGCTGTCATTGATCTTACATAGTAGATTGCTTGTTGCCGGACTTGAAACGCCGCCCCCAAAAAGTGCCCCAAACCGCCCCCCATAGTGCCAGCTACACTGTTACTACTACCCGTCTGCCATAGTAACCAGTAGGAAAAGTGACCTATCGGAGATCGGAGAACCTATAGCGGGTGGTATTGGAGAGGTTTGGTATCGCCGAAATACAGGACATACGGCGAATGTTTCAGGGGGCGGGGCTCACCCAAAAAGGTCTAAACTCCTAAAATCCCCAGCCAAATATAGGCTTGTGGAGAACTCAAGTCTCCCCTTCACTAGGGGCCTTAAGACCGTGTTTATCAGCCGTTGGTCACTCAGGAGCCACCAGCGACGCTAGCCTGGAATCCTTAATTTTGCCAAGGTCACACTGGATCACTGAAAGACAGTCAAAGCCCAATAAGCGGTTGGAGGGGTCATGCTCACTGGTCAGCCGCGGTTTCAAAGCGGCTGGCAAGTGTTGAGAGTAGGACTGATATTAGGTAATGGCCAGCATGTCCACACACACACACACCCTTTTCTTTTTCTTCTCTCTTTTTCTTTTGCAAGCCATCATTGGATCTCACTGGTCAGCTCTCTGCCATGGTCAATGATCATCACTGCCACAGAAAGCTATGGCGCTCAGGGGACTAAACCCTCATCAGGGTTAGCTTCGTCCTCTCTACATCCTATCTTTAGCACCCGGTGACAACACAGTCTCCCTTGTCCCGTGAATCGCGAGTCAGACAATGTGGCACCCTCCAAAGACGCGACAAAGTCACCCAGAATTTCCCCTGCTCGCGAATCGGCGTCCCTGAAGCCCTGGGCTGGCAAATTTTGCCTCTTATTTGACTATATTTTGAGTAGCACATGAACGGCGGGAATCCTGGTTCTCTTACATCAGAAAAGTCGCCACGCTGGAAGGTCGTCGGGTAGTTCCGCTTTGTATGAACCTTAGAATGTGATTCTTCCTTTACGGGTTACAACCGCCATTACAAACTCTGGTCACACTCCATCCGCTGGGCTGTCGTAACCTAATCAAATTAATACGATCAGATTGCAACGTAGTAGTAGCGTGGCTTAAATGAGGAGTAAACAAGTAGTAAACACCTTCATAAAAACCGTAATGTTATCCTATCTATGCTCAGCATGTACTCACAAACTTAAATCTCCGAACGCTGAGTTGTCCCGCAGTATACATACTGGGCAGCGAGGAGAGTTGCTTGATGCAAGATCACACACACGCGATAGGCTCAGATCTATACACATGTGAAAGCCAAGCAACTGCATGTACTCGACTGTGCGTCGCGAAGGGGGCCCTACTGCGGCAGTGTATATACATGGTAGTTATTCCACTGCAGCCACTGGATCCGGTTACTAGCGGCGGGATATATATAGAGCAAGACCCTCGGTACCACTACTATCACTTAGTCCCAAAGGCTAAGCGCAGAAGCATTCACTATTGGCCGCTTGTCTCGGGAATGAGAGACAGATCGTCAGCGGCTACTGAGAACTAAAGTAACGACTGTAAGACATAGAGCGGTGTATTCAGTAGGATACGGATAATCCTCTACACTAAACTATAGCACCGTCGGGGCGAAGCTCAGGGGTGGTGTAAAATCGCACACAATAAGTCACAGAAACGGAAAGCAGATACAGGAGAAGTATGCACATCGTAATGAGCGACGGACGCAGTCTCGGGCTGTTCTGATCGTGCATGACTCGTGCCGAAGTTCTATGCATGTACCCTTTTGCATGCTTCGGGCACTGCTGGATATGCGTTGTGGTGGATGCCGGTTGTGGTAGATGCTTATTTGTACTAGTTGCTGTTTTTATCATGGCAGTGTATAATGAATTAGCGTGAAGCCCGTATGTCATGGACGAAATTTTGAAACAGGTCGAGTTTATCTACCAATAGTAGTAGTTGGATTTACATTATTATAATTCATCTTTGTAGTACTAGTATATATTTTGGGTGGTGTAGAATTTAGCGATAAGTAGTCTTCCACACTTATTAATCATATGGTGAAATCAATATTCACCACAAATTATTATACTAGATATCACATCTACTATTAAAATATTTAGTTTGTTGTCCCACATAGTTCTTCAATTCATTCCATTATTTGATTGTAGATTAACCGGATAGTAGCTTTTGTTTACTACTTGACTCAATCCAGTTTAATAAATTTCTTGGCAGTAATGTCAACAAAGTCTACCCTACTACACAGTCTCGGACACAAGGTAGCCTCTGATTTTCTGTACTTGTTGCTGTTGCAGAGATTGGTTTGCGTCCTTTACACAATCAGAAAGTAGTATAAAAAGTTTCTGCCGCGGACAGTTTGCCAATCCTTGAAATTGCTATCCCTTCCCAACACGCCACTTAGGTCTGAGATATCTCGCGACTCTTGTGTTGCGCAGCTGCATGGTTAAACCACTAGATTGGTCAAACATCATCTATCCGGCCTACATCTTCCGCCTTGTGTAGTATTATCTAGTTTGTTGCGGGGTCCTCTCCTCGTTCGACAATCAATCCTCTTCATCATATTCTACGTACAAGGTAACATCTTGCTGAGGGCACCTTCCCAAATGGGAGGGCCATCACACACCTTCTTTTGTGAGCCATGAAAACACTTTGTAGTTAGCATCATCATCATCATCTAGCAGAACAGAATAAAACACGTTTGCTTGTCTTCTTTCCATATAGATTGCGTGTTCGACGCCTCAGATCGAGGCGTATCTCCCAATGCCACGGGCACCTTCCCTTTAGGGAAGGATGTAGGTAGTAGAGAACTCTCCTTTGCTTGTTCCACATGATGTATCTATCAAAGAATCTTCCTAAAAAAGATGAATCAGATCCTTCGTCGTACAACTGTTTGATTTCCTCATTAGATCTCTAGAACGATCCTACGGACCCCTGATCGGGAGCCTACACGCTGACGGCAGCACCCAAGCTGATCGCAGCACATCTTGCCATCGACTGAGAGACCTAAGGATCGGGCAGGAAATGTGACCCATGACTAAGCATCTACAATTTGGTCCATGATGTAGTAGTTAGCAACTGTTGCAGTACTGACAACCACCATCTAAACTGTAAGTGATCAAGCTCACGTCACTATTAGTGTGAAGCGGGGGTATCCTCTGAAGTGAATGATACTAAAACCGAGCTTCGATGCCTCGCACTTTCCTAGATTCGATTTTCTTGCAACACAACCATCTATCGACTTCCAATATGCTCGATCTTCCAACCTCCAGCTCACAACAACCCAACATGCCAGGTCTCACAACTGGTGTTATAGCACCACCAGCTCCTACTCTCAAGTATGACGGGTTAAGGAAGTTTACCAACATGTTGAAAGAACACCTATCGGAAGGGACCAATATTCTCGAGTTTTCTGAAGTTACCAAGGACGACTTTTCTGTTCTATCGTCAAGCAAAGCCCGACTTAGCTATGAATTGGGGATTGCGCAGACAGGCATATGTGCTGTATTATTTCCAGTATCTTATGCGCGGGTAGTAGTCTTTCAACAGCACCCGGCTGATAACCATTTAGATAGTACTATATAATGTTGGGGACTTACTATAAGCAAGCACACGCTCATCATCATTCTAGCCTTCTTTTTTTGCGGCTTCTCATTAGTAGTACCTCAATAGTCAAGTTTAGTCTTCAATTGCCCCATGACTACCCCTCAAGTAAACCCATACAGCTTCCCATATCTGGCTAGCACTTGGCAGCTAATACAGCATCTCTAATAGGATAAACTGAAATCACCATGGTAGACACCTAGTAAGCCATAATTGAAGGATTCATGCACAGGTCAGACGAAAGGCTTATCCATAAGGGGCCGTAGTTACAGAAGAAAACACTAATGGATACCCATGAATACTGCATAGTCCTCTATAAATATCCAAGGAATAGTTATCGTATGAAAGTCTACTCAAATAGCCGAATGATACTATTCAGCAAATCATAAATATAATATGATCATTATATTGGTCAGGTATACCTTATGAACTTCCACCAAACTTCTGTATCTAGTCTTATCTTGATAATTAGTTATAGCTTAGAGACACTAACTAACAAGCACTAGATCGATGTCAGGGGAAGATGACGCTTTGTCAAGCCTAGGGCCAAATCATGCCATCTGACCAGTCAGAGACACGGAATTTGTTTTCAGGGGATGGCCCCAAAGATGGCCGTGGCCCCCTTAGACCAGCTAACAAACTGGGTCTGTAAGTAAAAATGTAAAGAATGTGCAGAATTCAGTCCTATCTTGCGATATTTGATAGTCCAGTCAAGTTGTGGTGGATGCTATGAAAGAGTTGACTGTTGGAAGATGGCAGGCTAGGCACACGCCAAGAGAAAAGGGAGACAGAGGATATGACACTATTGAAATGTCATTCTGTCACATCAATAATATGCTTATGGTTTGACAGCCTATGGAGAAAGCACAGATCTATTGAAGACTCGGCATGAATATTGATTAATTCCATATCCACCAGATAATATGGACACTGGGGGCCATCGGGACCCAAGTCCGGCTTATAGCAGCAGGTGAAGAAGTGAGTATTGCTGTGTATACAAAGTACGGTTGACCCTGAGGCTAGAATTCACGATAGACCCTTCATGTTATTTTATGTTATTAAGCTTCTAGCCCACATCATGTAAATCTCTGCCAAAGTTGAAGATAATAACGGTCAGTGATGGCATGGGGCTGGTCTGTCAGGATCGAGACCGGATGACGCGTGGCTTGAGCCATACGAACCCGCCCATTAGCGTTTGGCCGTTCTTATTAGGCCTCTCGAACATGTGTTCCTACAGTCTGGGTGATGAGTCTACCTACTCCTGTATGGAAGATAATCTTCACCCCCAAATGAAATAAAAAAGTTACTCTTGGGGCTGACAAGTCCCACCATAGACCTGACTGACATCTGGTGCTATGGAAAAGGCCAAGTCCTTTCAACGGTCGGCTTTTGGCGGGAATGGCAGACTAGCTCAAGTGCCGGCTACAGGAATAGGCGAGAAGAAGCAGAATGGGCATCTAATCTCGATTAATGAGTTAATCAAATGGATCATCTTGTCTGCCGTGCCTGAGGCTGCGGGTGGGTGCCCAGCGGCCTCATGATTCGACCAGACGTCCCGTGTTAATTTCCGGGCGAAGGAATCCAACGTGGGCTGGAGGTTCGAGACCATCCAGTCCAGGCACGGCCGGCCGTGCCTGGCACACATCCAGAGAATGGTTGGTTGCACTTGAGACACCCGACGTAAGGAATCATGGGGCATGATGGGAACCCTCCTCCACCGTTCCGTATCTGCCAGGGGGGTCGGGCTTGTGTGGTAGGCATCTTTGTTGCAGCAGTGCACAGAGGCATGCACATACAGTACTAGGCGACCGACCCGTTCATGGGATTATTCTGCGAACCGCCCCCCTCTCTCTCTCCACGGTCGGTTGGATAGGATTTCCATTTTCTCCTCTTCGATTATAATTCTTCAATAGTTTGATCAATTTTCTTTCCTTCCGTAGAAGGGGGGTGCTAGTAGGACAAGCATCTCGCAGTATTCACTATAGTCGGTCAATATTCCGGCACTATTCCGGACTACTAAGTCTCCTATTGACAATGGCTGGTGTGCCGCTCGCTGGTCTGGTAAATTGCGTTCGTTCCACGCCGTAGAGGAGCGTTCCGGCCGGTGCGATGGCCTGGTAGAATACGGGAAGACAAGCATATAGATTGACAAGCTAGACTTCTGATGTGGATGTTCGTTGATGCTAAGTGGTGAGGGAGATGAGGATGAGGGTCGCCCATCTTTTGGGATGAACCAACATTGGATAGACAGAAGATACCAAAGTAAATGAATTGAGGATTGACTTCCCCTCCCCTACGTGAACCGTGGCAGTAAGAGCCAGGGAGTGAGTGGGCATAAGCATCACAGCCCAGCACTAAACCCAACCGAGTCAGGCCTTCGCCCTCTCCGCGTCTCCCGCCCACACACCCCTTCCACTTCCACACACCCACCACCACCACCACCACTTCAAGTGGTTCCTCTGCTTACTTCCCTCGTTCCCTTTCGGTTTGTTCGAGTACCTATTATTATCGGTCATTTCTTTCTTTCGACTTTCACTCATTTGCTTCTCCTCTTCCTCCTTCTCTTCCCTTTCGATCCTTTTGCTTCTTTCTCTTCCTTTTCTGCCATCAACTCGTTCTCCCCTCGTCCCTCCTCTCCCCAACCCCCGGGACATACCGCCTTCTTCTCCTCCTGTCATCTCGTTACTCCCCTGAAATTCATTGTCCCTGCGGTGGTCCTGTACCTGGCAGCCACCAACGCGTGTTTCTCCGACGTCAACCCCAGCGACCTATCAAATATCAACTGCCACTGGGGTTGAAATTGTCCATCGCACTGACTGTCCAAACGCCCGACTGGGAAGAATCATCTACCGCCTCACCTCAACGGAGATCCACCCTAGATCGCATACTATGACCGTTGTTGCCTACCGTCCGCCGACCGACTTCCCTACCACCGACATCCGTTCGCTTGTCTGAAATCATCCGTCCTCCTTTTGATGACCTCGTAACCATCCTCACGACTTGACGTCTGTTGAGCATCCACACTCTTTTACCAGATTTACTACATTCTGCACGTTCTCTTCGCCGTTGATCGGCCTGCCACTCTTTTCTCGCCAATTTGAAGCAGCAGCGTTTTATCACGACCCAACCTTATACCTCCTTGTTTTTATCCCTTCGCCGTGACCCATTTTCCAAACCACATCCTACCTTTCATCATGTCTTTCCATATTCCCGATACCTCCTCCCCCAATGGTATGTATTCTTCTTGATCTGGTGCACGGCATTAGTTGCTGACATGATCGTGTTGAAGTCTTGTACGCCCGCTCTCTTCTGTCCTTCAGAAGCTGTGTGTCATGTCCCTCTACATCACCGTCTTGCCCTTCCTGCGACGATGGCTATACATGCACGATGACCAGTCAGTCATGTACTGCGTGTGCCAGCACCCAATGTGTCAAGTCTCCAACATCTAGCGACAGCTCTAGCTCAAACAACCCGGGTGGAGGAGGCAGCGACGCCGGGGCGATCGCGGGAGGAGTCATTGGTGGTGTTGCATTTATTGCCATCGTGACGTTCCTTGTGTGGTGGTTCTTCATCCGGAAGAAGCGCCAGGAACAGGCAGCCAGTGTGGGAGAGAAGGCCAGCACATTCAACGACACCCGACAGTCGAGAAAATCGACCCATTCGATCGCATCTACCGTCCTAACTCGCGCCTCCAATGTGATTCAAATCGCATATATCCCCGGTGTCACCAACCGCTCGCCCCCAGAAACTCCAGGCCACCTCGTGCCGCCTGTTCCTCCGTTGCCCGGTGCCCACCCTGATCAACACTTCTTCATGCCCGGCGATCTTCGCGACTCCACATGGTCGGAAATGTCGAACGAACGCCGCAGCATCGCTCCCAGTTTGCGCAGCAGTGTGGCCACCACTATCTACCGAAACAATGCCATCGTCAGCCCGATGCCTGCTCAACAGATCATGCGCACAAAGGCCGCAGTGGTCAATATCAACGGAGCTGCCGATGCGCCCGCTGTTCCTGCCATCACCCAGGCACAGCTCGCTAAGGCAGGCGTCACTACGACTACCGCTAACAGCTCGATTGTCGCACGCACGGTTACCGCCAAGCCTGTTATGGTGAGAGGTGCCTCGAAGAAAAAGAACAACAACGCCTCTGCGTCCCCCGCCGTCCAGACCATCGAAGAGCAACCAGAGACAAATAGCGCGGCTGCGTCCAAGTCGCCTAGTACCCAAGGAAAGGAAGAGACGCCTACTTCGGGCTTCGACGCCAATTCCTCGGATGAAGAAGACTCCGCACCAAAGACCACACCGGCACAGAACGCCAGCAAGACAGAGACAGCTAAGGAGGAGACACAATCACGACCCGCTACCGTGATTGAAGATTCGCCAGCCGTCAGCCAGAGCCCTTTCCAGGACCAACCCGCAGAGACCGATCGCCGAGCGTCTGCCCGAGCGTCTTCTTTGCTAGAGAGACCCGAAGGTACCCAGTCTAACCGAAGCAGTCGACACCTCCCACCGCGAGTCGAGAGCCCATTCTCTGACGCCAACGAGGTGAAATGATCTGCACACGCTTCTTTCCTATATCCTGACTTTTTCTGCGTTTGAAGAACCCTTTCATTTGGATGGCGACAAATGGCGCAAAGTGATTAGCAGTTGGCCGTCTGGCCTGAGACGGGAGCCTTTGGGAGCCCCTACTTTCTTGTATCTATGATTTATGCTTCTTGATCTTGGATCTCCATTGGTCTACTAGAATTTGCCACGAACAGTTGGCTTTGAATTGAACATCTATATATGAATCCTCCATACGCCTTGCCAGAATGCCAGCTACGCTGAAATTAGGACGCACATAGCTGGAATTGCCCAGCCCTACGGTCCTCACAACCGATATACTCCCTCCCTGGACATGACATACTATATGTAGTCTTTCCAGCCCCCCTCTTCAAGTCAAAATATATTCTTTGACACTAAGAAAGCCAACTCCCACTACCCTCCCCATCCTCCCACTCTACAACGAAATCAATAAATCACCCCTCATCCAACCCAAAAACCACCACACCCCCCGGCCACCACGGAATATTCACATGCACCTTATCATCCTGTCCAATCGTCAAACAAACCCTCTTCCCCACAAGATCAAACTCCGGATACGCATACGTGAGCCTCGCCTTCTCGGGCACCTCCCAACACCTTGTGATCACCGTCGACTGATACTGCAACTCATTCCCATCGCGCAACACCATCCCCGTAATAGCCGCAGAATCCCTCGCGTAATCCACTTCCCCTGCTGCAAGCGCAACGTGCTCTTCCAGCGCAATGACCTTCTCCGCTGCCACGGCACATAAGTGGCTGCTGAACACGCCTTCCTGGCGGGAACAGGAGCGGAGAAGGTCGACGGCTTCGCGCCGGGTGAGGGGATCGCGGCAGAGGGCTGCGGTTGTGTAGAGGGGGGCGATGATGCCGAGGTCGAGGGAGAAGGTGGGGGGTAGGTTTGCCGTAGGCATCATTGCATGTGATGGCGTGGGTGGTGGTGAAGATGGGCCGGAGAGCTGCACGACTGATTTTGATAATGAGATGATCTGTTTAAATATGGAGTTGAATCTGTCCCAGACTGTCGAGTCGGACGAGCCGGAGTTGTATTGTTCTAGCATCATGGTGTGCTCGAGACGGTGGATTTGGAGGATTTTGAGCCCGATTTGTTCTTTTGTTGTTAGGGTGGAGCCGCGCGTTTGCTCGAAGTGGTCGAGGGCCGTGGACCATTTGATTAGGATGGTTGCATAGTGGTGGATGAGGGGTTGAAGGGATGGGTTTGTTGTTGGTGCTGTGGGTGGTTGGGCGTCGATGAGGGTGTGGTAGTCGTGGCGGAACATGCTGCTGTAGTGCTCGTAGATATTGCGGGCTTGGGAGAGGGAGGTGAAGGTTGCTGGTATGTCGGTGAAGTCGCTGGATACGCCTCGTAGCTGTGCTGTGCTGCAGGCTGGGCTGTCTTCTATTGATCGGGTCTTTCATAGCATTAGCGTGTGATATCAATTGGCTGTTATGGGGGCCATTGGGGGTAGTACTAAGGCATATACTTGGATCTGCAAGCGGATAAGGAGTTTTCGTATTTCATCGATCTCGAGATTTGGTACAGTGGACGGTCTTAGAAGGGGATGATGATATGTTCCTGTGCTCGCATCGTAGGCAACCTCGCCTAAGATCTTCATACCGCTCCTAATGTGGCTGAGGGCTGCGACGTAGTGTCCGGACATGATCTTGAGTGATGGTCAAACAAACGTGTGTCTATAACCGAGCCCGATCAACATACCTCGTAACAAACGAATAGCACGCACGATATGAGACAAACGTCCACCGAAAGCGTCCCGCCATGACTACTAGTTAGATACGTGGACGATGGACTACCTGGATCCTCTGATGGACGTAAAAGAGCCCGAATCGCCGCAAGGTATTGTTGCAAGGCAAAGGTGTCATGTCGTTTTCGGCTGAACCAGGGCCCTGGAATCTGCTGACTATTTTCAAAGTTCTCGTGCAGCGCGCCCAAAGCGACCAGGGCGTGCCATATTGGCTTCTCCTTCTGACTGACTTGCAAGACTGACCGACTCCATAATTCTGAACCACAATAGCCGGCCAGAGAGAAGACGGTCTTTTCGTAGAAGAACTGAAATGATCGAATATCACGTTCCCCTGTTGCATAGCGGAAGCCGGTGAGGGCCTGGGAAGGACGTGGGAGGACAGTGGCTGTGAGAGTAGAGTTGGTGTTGGTAGTAGCATAGCCGTCGCATTTGCGGCCCGTCGAAGTGCACCTCAGGCAGCTTGGTCGGGCTTCGTCACATTTGACGTGCCTTACTGTGGTGATAAAGAAGAAAGCGTGTGGGCATTACTATTGTATATATTCATGGGGTATCAGACATGACTTACTTCTATGGGTGGATTAGTATAGTATTTCTTTATCGCAAGGGAGATAAGTCACTTACTTGCATGTGGTACACCCTGACTTGGTCCGTGTCCGATACACTCTCTGCCGGGGTTTTCCAGTGCGAGAGCTCATTGGTGGTTTGATCACATCAAGAACCATGTTCCACTATAGATAGGCGTGCCAAAAGAAAGCCTGCAGGTTGTCAGATGGAGACTACAAGTCGGAACAAAGATGGCGCCATTGCGGGGAAAAGAATAGCTGAAAATTGGTCAGCCTCGGAATGAAGACAGCCTCGTGTCTGCCTTCTCCGAGCCCGGATGGGGCTAAGCAGGAAGTACTATCCACCATAGTATACAGGTGACATTCCAGGAGATCAGAGAGAAAAGAATCATATCCAGTGTGCTGCAATGGATGCCAAGAATGCAAATACGACTTATACTTTGTTATTATTCGAAGGGCTTTCATTGTAAGGCCAGACTCTCCAACCCCACCGCGATGATCTCATCGCTCGTCTTTCTTAATTAACCAGCCATCCACTCCTCCATCTTCTCATCTCCTCCGCACTTCATACATCCTTCTGTGACAGAGAACTCACCATGTCTGCTATACAGAGTCTGCGTTCGACCTATCGCCTAAACTCTGGCCATGAGATCCCCATCCTTGGATACGGGGTGAGCTTATCCTGAACCTTCCCCATCCCGACCAGGCAAACTAACTAGTGAACCAGGTCTACCTGATGTACGTGCACTAAGCCAGGCTTCAACTTACATCCCAACTAACTTTCCCAGCCCGGCCTCCCAAACAGAGAAAGCTGTTCTCGAAGCACTCAGAGTTGGCTATCGTCATGTAGGTTCTACACCCATCCCGCCCATCAATCGTCACATCTCATCAAGGGATCAGGTCGACTCTGCCATCATGTACCGTAATGAGAAGGCCTGCGGGCGCGCCATCGCAAACTCCGGTATCCCTCGGTCGGAGATCTTCTTCACAACCAAGATCCCCCCGGGATCGATGGGATACGATCGCACCAAGCGAGCCATCGACTCAAGCCTGCGTGAAGCACAGCAGGAATACTTCGATCTGTAAGATCTACTCCAAGCCCCTTCAACCAGAAGAAGCATGCTAACGAGCGTAGAATCCTGCTACATGCTCCCTACGGCGGTAAAGAAGCCCGTCTCGGCTCGTGGAAGGCCCTTGTGGAGGCACAGAAAGCCGGCAAGACCCGATCCATTGGAGTATCGAACTATGGAATCCACCACCTCGATGAGCTGGAAGAGTACATCAAGTCCGGCGGAGGCGGCCAGATCGACGTCGGTCAGTATGAGCTGCACCCGTGGCTGGACCGATCGGAGATTGCAGAGTGGTTGCAGAAACGCAATATCGTGGTGCAGGCCTACTCCCCCTTGGCGCATGGGACGCGCATGGGCGAACGTGTGCTGAAGGAGCTGGGAAAGAAGTATGCCAAATCGCCAGCACAGATCATGATCCGGTGGGGGCTGCAGAAGGTATGTTTTTTAAATGCAGTTGAAAAGGGTCCATAGCTGACGATTGTAGGGATTTGTGCCTCTGCCCAAATCAGTGACGCCCAGTCGGATCCAGGAAAATGCGGAGGTCTTTGATTTCGCATTGACAGAGGAGGAGATGAAGACACTGCACACAGGCGAATACTCGCCCACGGATTGGGATCCCACAGTGGACTACGACTAAATGTAGACCACTTAGCATGTAATGAGACCGGAGTGTACCGAGTAGACTGATGGTTATGAATGGATGAAGTCTGTTTGGATAAGCACAAGACAGGCGGGCCGGTCCCCGCGGGGCTGCTTAGCAATAAAACCATTATCTTTCTCCCCGCCAACTTCAGCGCATTCCATCTCCGAATTCCCCTCTTGCCTCGTCTATATCGCCTCTATCCTCGAGAATAGCCTTCTTAATCCCGTCATCATGAAGCTAATTCTCTCTTCCTCGTACGTCTACTATCGTATCTTCCCCAATCCCCCTCTAACAACCACAGAAATATCATGATAAGCGGCGAGACCATCATCCGCCATCCCACCGAAAAGTCCAACGTCGAACTGATCAACTCACTGCGCACAAACTTCCAAGCCGCTCAACACGCCTCAGACCCCTCTAGCGACCGCCCTCCTTACACCACCTGGACCAAGCAAGGCGACAACGCTCTCTACATTCCCGCGACCGACTTCGCGCACGGTCTCTCCGAAGAGCGCTCCCAGTACGACATCACCGTCAAACTATTCTACCTCCCCGGCATTCCTGCCTCCCGGCGCTGCGCACACACCCGCGAAGCCATCGATCTCGTTCTTAAGGAGCTGCACGTCGACTCTATCGACTTGCTGATTGTCTCCTTCCCGGGGATCCTCTTCGACGCCGACGACGACAGCGACGAGGAAGTCTCTTCCGACAATGGCAGCGAAGAACCCGATGACTTTGACAGCATGATCCAGACATGGCGTACCTTGGAGGGTCTGCAAGAACAGGGCATGATCTCACAGTTGGGAGTCGCGGAGTTCGGAAGCGAACGGCTCGCCCGATTCCTTCCCCACACGAAGGTTAAGCCGTCTGTCGATCAGATCAACTTGAAGGACTGCTGTGTCGTGCCCAAGTCGCTGATTCTCTACGCTAAGCAAGAGCATATTCAATTGCTCACGCATAATGACTGCATGGATATCTTGCCTGTCGGCACGACCCGGGATCTGCTTGGGCCTGGGGAGAAGGGCGCAGGGATTCTAGCCTCGTCGCCGGATGCGCCCGATGGCATTCAGGGCGATGTCGAGCCGCAGTGGGTGGTCAAGTACACGGCTGTGGTGAAGGATCGGGGAGTGGTGGAGAATAAGGGATATTTTGCGCTGGCGGATGTAGGCAGCTGCGTGGAGAGGTCATAACCTTCTCCTCCTTCCTCATTCTGCTTGCTACCTGATTACACACCCTCGCATGGATAAGCACGGCTGGCGTTATTCGTTCTGTTCTTGTTCTGTTTTGTTCTACTTCTAAGTCTTCATATACATAACGACTCAATGACAAGCACATCCACCCCATCCATATCTCATAAAACAAAGAAATAGAAAACCAATTCTAACCAAGCATACTCCTCTTCCTCCCCCTCATCCTCACATCCTCCAACCTCTTCAACACCGACCCGGACCCGCGATAACTCGCCCGATACCCCTCGAGGACCTCCCCAAACAACGGCTCCGTCCGGGGATGCGTACTCCCAAACGCGCGCTCCAGCACATACAAATCCACCGCGCGATCCTCATCCTGAATACTCTGACTCGCCAGTCCAAAATCAATCAGCACCACCTCACCCTGCATATCAGGACTAGCCGCATCCCCATCCCCACCCTCATCCGCACCTCTCAAGATCAAATTACTCGTCGTCAAATCCCCATGCACCACCCCAGTCTTATGCAACGCCCCAACAGCAGCCCCAATGCGTCTCAACAACCCCTTGACTTTCTTCTCCTCTTCCTCAATCTCATTATCCTGTTCCTTGACTTCCCCATCAACCTGTCTCTTCGCCCCCACACCAGAACCAGAACCAGACCCAGCACGAGACTTGATATACCTCTCCCACCGTTGGATCACAACCCGTACCACACATCCCTCGATCCATTCCATGAGGATCCAGGCTCCGTTGCCTCTCACATCATCATCACCTCCCTCACCCCCATTATTGTTGTTCTTGTTGTTGATATCCCAATCCACCGCCAACACCGCCGGAACATTCACCCCCTCGCGCACAAGACGCACCAAGCACCGCGCTTCCTGGAGGACGCGAGCACGCGTCAATCGCCGGTCGAGGATCGGGTGGCGGTAGGGCTTTGTCGGGCGGATTTTTAGTGCCGCGGGGGTGGTCGGTGATAGGTAGGTCGTTTTGTAGAGGTGAGCTTCGGCGCCTTGGGTTATTAGGGTCATGGTGTTGGAGGGGGTGTGGTGGAAGGGTGGGGGGAGGGGCGGGGGTGTGTAGGATTCTGTCGTTGAGGTCATTGTTGTTGGTGTTGTTTGGAGGTCGGTTGGGAGGTGGTGGTGAGGTTGTGTATTGTATGTTGTGAAGTGTGTAGGTAATGCTGGTGGTGGGAGATAATGTGACTGGTTATGGAGGGGAGAGTGAGGGGAGAAATCGATGTTATCGAAAAGTTCGGGTGGGGCGGGGATTAATGGATGGATGGCTTTATCGGCCTTATTAAGCAGTGAGTTTGGCGCTGCTGCAACCACCAAGCTGTAAGTACTCCTTATAAAGTATTAGGTACGTAGTGTTCATTGGGTTAAATACTCTTATAAAGGCTTATGAAGGTGAAATTGCAGTGTTGCTGCTATCGCTAAAAGTACACAAGTACATACAACGCCTGGTATGCTTTTAACCCGTCCCTTTTACAAGTCCTCTCTTTCGAGTGCTTTTATGTATATCATGATCGCTTGCGTCGAGCTGCCTTGGCTCTCTCCAATGGCGCCTCGTACACCTCGGTCCATGTATCTTCGAACGTCGTCTTGCGTGCCCCGATCTGTCCCTCGAAGAAGTTCATCTTGCGCACCACCTCCATCGCTCCCGTTCCCAGTGACACCGTCTTGCCCATAATGATACACTCGGACACACCCTCGATGAGATCGCTGCGACCCGCACCACCGGCGTCGAACAGATGGTCCGCCGTCTTTTCGAACGACGCCAACTGCAGGACGGAGTCACGCATCTTCGCGAGACCGAATCGCGTGATACCCAGCACTTCACCCTTGTAGGTCATGACATCGGCCAGCAACTGCATGTGTCGCGGATCAATGTCCATGTCCTTCATGACCTCGCTGATTTCCTGCACGATGGTCGTCCGCGCCGCCTCGATACCGAGAACGTCCCGCATCTCCATGACGTTGTTGGTTGACGTGCGCAGTCCGTCCACACCCATCGTTGTCATACACTCCCGGAGACCGTAGCCTTCCACCAGAAGCGTGTTGGTGGTAGACGTCTCGTCGGTTCGGATGATGGCACGGAAGGCCTGGGGGTGACCCAGGACTTGGATGTCAGGGAGCATGCGCTTCAGGTGCTTCAGACGGAGGAAAGGATCGGCACTGGTGTGGGCGATCTCCGTCTTGGACAGATTGGCCTTGGTCGACGGATCCACGTCCATGTAGACGTGGATGTGGGACCGCGAGCATCGGAACTTCAGATCGTCCGCCTTGAACCGTTTGTGGTTCTTGATCGCCGACAAGATGTTCTCGATCTTCAGCTCGAGCGCCAAGTCCTGGATTGTCTTCCAGTTGATCTTCACTGTGATGTAGGCTTCCTTGCCCGTCCATGTCTCACGGACATAGTGGATAATGTCTCGCAAGTAGGTCTTCTCAATACGTCCCTTGACGATTCGCGCCGCGATGATATTGTCCTTCGTGACGAGCTCGCAAGCAACAACAGGCGTACTGATCTCCTTCGACGCGTTGATAATTTCCTTAATACGGGGTACACCCTGCGTGATACTCATACCGGCGACACCAGCAAAGTGGAAAGTTTTCAGCGTCATCTGCGTACCAGGTTCACCAATGGACTGTGCACCAACTGCACCGACGGCGTGGCCAGCCTCGACCTGGGCCTTCTTGTACTTCATCAAACATGACGAGATGAAGGTGCGGAGCGTGCGCTCAGTCAGCTTTCCGGTGTGGTTCAGACCCTTCTGACTTCTCTCGTCATTGGGGTCGATGTCACCACCGCGGGAGATCAGCTTGTCTGCCTTCGTAGCGACATATTGCTGGATAGACTCGAGGAAGTCACGAGCACTCTCGAACTGATCGACACCATGGTCAGACCGATCCATGTAGCCGAGCTCGTTGCCCATCAAATCCTTCCGCACCAGCTTAGAGCGCTCCTTCGAAAGCATCTCTTCGCAAATCTCCATGATCTCGGCCGGAAGCAAACTCCGCTCGTCGTTCTTGTAAGTCGTCGACTCGGCGTGGATGAAAGTCCGGTCGAAATGGACAGGCTTGGCTTTACCTTCCATATCCAAGGGATCAAGCTTATCATCACCGTATTGGAACTGGACAATGGCCGCGGACGAGTTACGCACGGTATCATCGTATCTGGTCGAGAGATCTTCAAGCGACTTCATCAACCGACGAGACATGTAACCCGTCTCGGCGGTCTTGACGGCCGTATCGACCAGACCTTCACGACCGGACATGGCGTGGAAAATAAACTCCGTGGGCTCCAGTCCGGAGAAGAAACTGTTACGGACGAAACCCTTGGACGGGGGCTGGCGAGCGTTCTTGGGGAAGTGCGGCAGGGTACGGTCCTGGAAGCCGTCCTGCACACGCTGACCACCGATAATCTGCTGACCGACAAGGGCAACCATCTGGGACACGTTGATACTGGAACCCTTGGATCCGGACGTGGCCATGATTAGGGGCGAGTTGTATTTGCTCAACTGAGCGATACACTCGTCTCCTGCCTGCTGACGGACCTTACTGAGAATACCGGACAGTTGGTTCTCCATGGTCTGCAACTCGTCACAACCAGGATACTTCTCCAGTGTGCCTGCCTTGTACTTGGCAATGACTTCGTCACACTGTGCGTACGCCGTTTCGACGAGGTCATGCTTCGAACGTAGGAGCTTTTCGCTGGGATATACGTCGGTGATACCGATCGAGAATCCCATGTTTGTGAACCAGCGGGCTGAGAGCCTGGACAGGCGGTTCATACCCTCGGCAGCCGCCACAGGCCCGTAATCTCTCAGCATAATATAGAACACGTTGTCTTTCTTTCCGGAACCAATGGTGGATTTGTCCATCACACCACACATCACCTCGGAGTTACGGATGACGAGCCAGGAATCCTTCGGGTCCAGATCCCGTGGCGTACCATCCTTGGGAGCCTTGAACTGTCTGCACGCAGCATCCAAATTGACCAAGACGGGGTCATCCTTGTTCGGCCGCATGAGGATGTTGAAAACCTGCTTTCCGGTCCACAACATCTGAGGCTTAAGCACAGCTGGAGGGGGCAGGTCGAAGCGTGTCTGCGGGCCCAGCATGTACAGACAAATTTGGGTGAACGAGCGGCGGTCGAAGAAGTTGTCCTTGCTACTGAGAATGTAGGCGGCACTGATGAAATCTTGAATGGCAGAAATAATCGGCTCTCCGTTCTTGGGCGTGGCCAAGTTGTTCTTGACTCCCATCAGTTCCATCGCTTCGGCTCTCGCCTCCTCCGTCTGAGGCACGTGCAAGTTCATCTCGTCTCCGTCGAAATCCGCGTTGTAAGGGTTACAGACACACTCATTCAGTCGGAAGGTCCGGTGAGGACGAACTTTGGCAAAGTGAGACAGAATACTGAGCTTGTGCAGAGAGGGCTGTCGGTTGAACAGAACAATATCACCGTCCTCAATGTGGCGCTCAATAACATCACCCTCCTGCAGTTGGTCGGCAATCATGTTCAGGTTACCATACTTAAGGAAGAGCTTGAACGTCTGGCCCTTTTTCATAATGTAGTTTGCACCCGGCCACTTCTTCGTGCCGTTTCGGACTCTCTGCTGTAGCTTCTCTTTATTGTACCGAGTAACAACTTCGGGATAGGTCATGTTCTTGGCCACCAATTCAGGGACCGCAACCTCATCGACTCGCAGGTTGGGATCGGGGGAAATGACAGTACGGCCTGAGAAATCTACACGCTTTCCGGACAAGTTACCACGGAATCGACCCTGCTTACCCTTCAATCGCTGCACGAAACCACGAATGGGCTTTCCAAGGTCTGCCTTGTTCAGACCCGGCACATCACTGTTGATATACACCGCAATCTGTAGCTGCATGTAGTCCCAGCATTCCATAATTGTCTGTACCGGTGCGCCCTTCAACAATGCGTTTTTCAGGTTGATATTGCTCTGGACAATGTCGCCTAGCTTGGCTGTCAAATCGTCCTCGGTGGACGCCGCATCCTGACCGACGGAAGGACGAATACACACCGGAGGAGCGGGGATGAATTGCCAGAGGAACATTTCCGGTCTTGCTTCCTTCGGGTTCAAACCAAGCAGCTCGCAATCGGTATCGGAAATCTTCTTGAACAGGTTCAGCACGCGAAGAGCGTTCATATCATCCTGGGCCTTCTTGTAATGTTTCTCGACCTCAGCATTGGACGTTCTGGCTTCGTCGAATGACCGGTCGAAAACAATCTTGCTGGGCGGCGGAACTTTCTTGACGGAGGTCGAGGCGTTGAATGCACGGAATTTGTCGTGGGTGATTTTGAGGGCGCTCGTTCCAGCTTTCTTCACCACACCGTTAACCGCACCACAGGCCTCGCAGTTGCGTGTCTTACGGCACCGCTCGTTGATCCGCTTCGCAATCTGGCCGCGCCGCAAATTATCCAACCCAGGACGACGCATTTCACGAAGATAGGCACGGCGATCGGCTTCGGGGAGCAGAATGCGCGAACATTCCTTGCACACTTCCTGCAAAATAGTAATGACACGCTTGAAGTAACCGACGTGGAAAGCCGGCAGCACGAGCCGGACATGACCGAAGTGTCCATTGCAAATCTGGAGAGTGCCACCACAAGTCTGACATGAGGAGGTCTTGTTGGAGATACCCATGCGCGCATCGAGAGGACCATTGGCTACCACCGCTCGATCATGATCGAGATCGAAGAACTTGCGATCCGAAACTTCCACCACACCTTGGCTGACAATGTCATCGTTGGACCTGGACGATTCGCGCGCGGTATTAGTCTTGACTGCTCCGCAGCGGAGGTCCAGGAGGGGTAGAACGGGGAGAAGCAGAGCCATGCTTACAGAACACCAAACTTCAACTCCTTGATAACTTTGGGAACGCGGTCAATGACCTGGGCCTTGCCCAGGTCGACCTGCACACCTTCTGGAGGCTGCATCGCCGTTGTCAGATGATGATCATGGCAAGGCGACACTGACTCAACGGGTAGAATGCGACGGCGCTGAAATCACCGTACAACGAACAAGAGAATCGCCCAGACGTATGATGGTCAGTATTGCAGCCAGCGGCACTGCAGCTTGTGGATCTGGAGGAAGGAAAGCCAGCAAGAGAAAGCGACCGCGGGAGGGGGAGAAATTGCAGACGACCGCGGCGGCGGGGTCGGCGACGAACTTTTCTGCGGTTAAATTGTAAGCTCCAGCTTCCGCCGCTCCGCCAATCAGAGCCACCGGGAAGCCCAGTATTCACACTGCATACTACTACAATTCTATACAGACATACTCTGTACATTGTGGACGAGAAGATGCATTCAGGTGCAAAGATCTATCTATCAATATAATAATACAGCAGAAGCAAATATAATATAATATACTGTACAGTGGCAGGCATGATGCCTACTTATTTAGCCAAGAATGCCTGGAATGCCTTTTGTTCAATCACCACGTTTCCAACAGCCCGCAGCTTCTTGCGTCCCTCCTTCTGCTTCTCCAAGAGCTTCCTGCGCCGACTGACATCACTGGCATGCAGCTTCGCGAGGACATCCTTCCGGTACGGCTTAACGGTCTCACGCGCCACAACCTTACGGCCAACAGCTGCTTGGATGACGATCTCGAACAATTGCCGGTCAACGTGCTCTTTGAACTTAGTCACCCATTGTCTGCCCAATCGCTCTACTTGGCTGTAATGAACGAGCCGTGCGACCGCATCCACCGGAGCCTTGTTAACCAGAAGTTGTAACTTGACGATGTTGCTTGTTTGCCACGCAGATTCCTCGTAATCAAGGGTGGCGTAGCCCTTAGTAGAGCCCTTCAGCTTTCCGAAGAAGTCATCAACCAGCTGCGCAAGGGGCAGTTCATACTTGAGAATAACCTGAGTGGATGTGAAATACTCGAGGCTCTTTTGCACGCCTCGGTTGGACTCGCAGAGCTCGATGACCTTTCCAAGATACTCATCGGGGAGGGTCAAAGTAGCGACAACATAAGGCTCCTGAATCTCGGAGATCTTGCCACGAAGCTCTTCATCCTCTGGAAACTTGGCGGGATTGGAGATAATCTCTTCCTTGCCGTCTTTCCAGATGAGTTTCACGGGAACGGAAGGAGGAGTAATGATGATACTGGCACCGTGCTCCTGGCGCAGACGATCCTCAAAGACAGAGCAATGCAGTGTTCCCAAGAAGCCCAACCGGAAACCTGCTCCAAGAGCATGAGATGATTCCTTTTGCACAGTAATACTCCGGTCGTTCAGGCAAAGCTGGTTGATACTATCTTCCAAGTGCTCGAAGTGATCGGCGTCCACGGGATAGGCGGCCACGAAAACCATTGCCTTGGGCTCTTCGAAGCCCGGAAGCGGCTCGACGACTTTTTCAAACCCAACCTTCGTGTAGGTATCACCGATTTTGGCTTCCTTGCTTCGCTTCATACCAGGGTTGAAGAAGATGTAGCCGACCTGGCCAGCCCGAAGGACCGACTGGGCCGTCTCATTGGGATACATAATTCCGACCTCGCCCACGAAGTATTTGATTCCAGTCGCGAACGACACAAGCTGGTCCCCTGCCCGGATTTCGCCGTCGAAAACGCGGACCAAGCAGATGACACCTCGGTACGAATCATACCAGGAATCGACGAGAAGCATCCGTAGGGGATTGTTAACATCTCCCACCGGTCTTTTTTGAGTCAGTTCCAATTCTTGGCTAAAATGGTTCGTTGATAGACTAAACTTACGCCGGAATCTTCTCAACTACAGTAGGGAGCAATTGCTGCACATTAAGTCCCGTCTTGGCTGATACCAACACTGCACTTTCCGTGTCAAGCTCAAAAGACTGTTCCATCTGGTCAAGAGCACGCTCCGGATCAGCGGAAGGCAGGTCCACCTTGTTGATGACGGGGATCAACTCCAGGCCCTGAGAGAATGCGAGATAGAAGTTGGCGACTGTCTGAGCCTGGATACCTTGACTGGCATCAACTAAGAGCAACGCTCCTCCGCAACTGGCATAGCTGCGCGAAACCTCCGCACGGAAGTCCACATGGCCCGGTGTATCAACCAGATGCAACAGATAATCCTCACCATTATGGTTGTAAATCATTGTACATGTCTGTGCCTTCACCGTAATACCCCGTTCACGCTCGACGTCAAGCTTGTCCAAAACCTGCTTGTTCATACCGGGCTGGATCGTTCCTGTGAGTTCCAACAGCCGATCGGAGAGGGTACTTTTGCCATGATCGACGTGGGCGACAATGCAGAAGTTACGGTATCGATCAATCGGGATAGCTGCGATTCTTGATTCAAGGTCGGAGGATGGCTGGCTGGCCGGTGCCCTGGAGCGCGATGCCCAGCATGCGGCGGAAGTCGTGAAAAACCGGGCTGGATTAGCAAGGCCGGATGGCGGCTTGAGAAGGCTTGCAGCAGGACATTTCGGTGCTGCGCGCAGCCACCTGGCTAACTGCAGGCATCCTCGCATCTGGAGGTCTGCAATTGCATGGGAATGAATTGCTTGACGAGATAGTATGCGGACTGCAGACACGGTCAGGCACGGGCAAGTCTCCGTCAGTTTGGCGGGCGGAAAAAGTACGGCTGCGGAGATCAGGTCGGCGGGCGGTCAGTCCAGATTGCCGCGGTGACTGTCTCGATAAACAAAGCTTCCTCTTTCCCCTCGCATGCAACTCTTCACGCCTGAGTAGCTTGTCGTCAACACTTCAATTCCAGGAACTCCCCTCACAGCCATCATGTCCGCTACTAAGGATAAGTCCAAGGTTCACAAGCTGTCCTTGAAAGGTACGGACCAATAGTTCGTGAGATATCAACAGAAGCTTATACACAGCAGGATCGGCGAAGCTGGTGGCCGAATTCGTGAGTTTTGCTTTCTTGACTGAGGTATCACCCAGATATACTAATGAATCTAGTTTGAATACTCTATCAACTCGATCCTGTAGGTTTATTGGCGATGCTTACAGGAAATTGCTCATCTGACTCCTTCCAGCTTCCAGAGAGGCGTTTACCCTCCAGAGGATTTCACAACGTGAGTGTCTTACACCTGCCAATGTGGAAGCAAACTAACCAGTTCTCTAAAGTGTCAAGAAATATGGTCTCAATATGCTGGGTTGGTCATCACGATTCTGGTATCCGAGTCCCCTCGTTGACCGATAATAGTTACCGCCGACGACCAGGTCAAAGCCTACATCAAGAAGATTATGTCGCAGTTGAACAAATGGATGACTGGTGGCAAGATCTCTAAGCTTGTCATTGTCATAACGGACAAGGAAACCGGTGAACATGTGGAAAGATGGCAGTTCGATGTACGCAAGTCAATCCTCCTCACGGGATACAGGGCTAATGAGGTATCAGGTGCAAATCTTTGGAAAGCATTCCAAGAGCCAGTCATCCCGCACTTCTGGTGACAAGGAGAACGCTGCTCCTGGGTAAGTCTGACACTATGCATCCCACTCTACACCACTAACCATGTCTTGCTCTACAGGGACAAGGAACCCCAAGCCGCTGCCACCGTTGAGAAAACCGAGAAAGAGATCCAAGACGAAATCCAGGCTATCTTCCGCCAGATCACCGCATCTGTCACATTCCTGCCAGTCCTGGATGGCGACTGCACATTCAACGTCCTGGTGTACGCTGACGCCGACTCCGAGGTCCCCGTGGAATGGGGCGACAGCGACGCCAAAGAAATCAAGAACGCAGAGAAGGTGCAGCTCCGAAGCTTCAGCACCAACAATCACCGCGTAGAGACTCTAGTCAGCTATCGCCTTGCTGATTAGTTCACTTCGACACATCATCAGGTGTTCAAAGGGAGGCGTTACGGAAGAGAGGGCGGGATCTGAATTCGGGAGCATTTCGGGCATCTTTTCATCAAACCTTGTATTCTACATCTATTTTTTTTCATAACTAGCATGATTGCTATCTATCAATGACTAACGAATCTGCATCATTGCAACTGTCCCCACCAAGGCAACTCCTCCATCTTAGGAAACCATTCATTCCCCATCTCCCCTCCATCCCACCTCACCAACTCCTCCACAACAGCCTCCAAGCCCACATTCACAAATACCCCATCCTCCATCCCGGCCCTCCACCCGCGTTTCACCCTCTTCCCCGCCAACTCCTTCTGCACCCCATACCTATCCCTACTCCACAACCCAATCCCACTCTTCTCCTCCCCAGCTAATAAAGAAGCCAACGGCGTCACCTCCTCCGGCGGATTAATCCCAACGACCGTAGACGCAGAATCAGAGAGCCCCAAGGCCGGAAAATGATACTCTACAAACCGCCTCCGTTTAAACTCATGCGTCACAACAGTCACCCGCTTCGGATACACTCCCGTGCGCAGTCTGAACTGGAGCATGGAGAACAGGACATTCTGGTATGAATCCGTAGCGTAGGTTTCAGCGACCACTCGTGTAGGGTTTATCTGTGGAGCGAAACCGAAGTAGTTGTTGTCTTTGGCGAGGTTCTGGCGGTATGTATTAGTGGACAAGGTCCATATAAATCACCAATTCTTGCCATGGGAAGAAGATGTAGACATCGTAGACATAGTTTGGATTGGCGGAACTTACAAGATACGACACCCCCTCCGCAAGATCCGTGCGTCCTTTCTTCGTAGGTCCCCTATAGTTACCCATTCATCAGTAATTAATTCAACCAACACAATACTACCACACACAACATCTATTATAATCATACACCCGCACCCTCAACCCTAGTAATCTAACCAAAGCATACAGGCAAAGTTAATCCAACTAGCGTTAAGCCTCATACATACCCGGAAAACACCAACAAAGCATCTGGGTCATCAACCAAAGCCTGCAATCCGGCCTTGACGTGGTTTGTGAACGTAGGTGTTTCGCCCTTTTGGAAGGGTTCTATAATCCTGTTCTCGTAATTAGCACCAAAGGTTTAATTATGAATTCTTTGATTCCAGATTAAAAGGATCAGCTAGTTGTTCATGGGGATGGCTGCGCACCATTCATCCTCGGATAGACCGTTTGTAGGCCCGCCGGTGTATATGGCGTGGCAGCAGACGATGATCAGGTGGGTGTAGTGGGGTTGTTGTTGCATTACTGGGTTGGAGGAATGTGCTAAGTGGGTAACAATGGTGTTGTGTGGGGGTAAGAAAGGGAGGCTTAATAGGCAGTGTTTCAGAGGAGTGTCGAAGTAGTGTTCACAGCGTAATAAGAGAAATAAGGCGTTGTTGGGGAAAGTTACTGTTGATCACTTTTGATGGTTTAGATAACCACTGACATATTTATGGATTACCTAAGCAGGCTATGTGAGGATAAGAAGTATGATAATATCACTAATTAACTTGTTAAGCTCGAATAGCTACAGGCAGGAAAAATTGGAACATAGGAAATTTGGTCACTGGTTGTTTCGGCGGCAGATAAACCCTTGCCACGGTTGATCAGTATTAATGTACATGCTAGCCTGCTCGTTTTTGAGCAGCCACACCCGAACGCCAGACACAGCATCAACACACTCCCAGAAACGTATAGCCGACAGAGAATGTTTAAGACATGGAATCGTAATCCTCACGCAACACCTTAGATACTCCACATATGGTATGCTCCGAAATGAGATGCGTGACGCTATGAGAAGTCTGCCAACATAAGGAAAGGTTGAGACACTGTTAACTTGACAATGCAACACATGCAGGGCAAATGTACAATGGTAAGGTGATATAATGAGATGCGAGAATGTCAATTACAGAAGTGTATAAATGAATGAGAACCAAGAGGGGTATCAGGAGAAGAGAAAGAGAAGCGTCAGTCCAATGGATCATGACGGAACGTGCATTCGTCGCCTTTGCGGCACTTGCCTTCTCGCCAGTACCGACAGGGAACCAATCCTGCTTTGGGCTAGGAACATGTTAGAATTGAAGTAGAGCAATGCAAGGTGAGAGGTACTTACATGCTTCTTGTTCGGCTCATTTGACCTGCTTCGTTTAGAATTGAACCTTTCATCGTCGTTTCCGTCATATCCGCCGGTTTCACGTATGCGCTTCCGCTCCGGATCCTCGTAGTGGCCTGGCGGCGGATGTCCATTGGCCGCAGCCGATTGGTTTTGACCAGTTAACTGAGAAATAATGGCGGCCAGATTAGGAGCGATGCTAGGTTGCGATGGCTGGGCCTGCGGTACAATGGGTGCAGGTTGCATCTGCTTTTGAGCATTGAAGATCGACAAAAGTCCCTGGAAATCTACACCCTGAGCACCTGGAGGCTGAGAAGCCGGTGGGAACTGGGGCAGTTGCAGTAGTGGTGCCTGCGGAGGCGGGGGCGGTTGCTGCTGCTGCTGCTGGCGGAACATGCTGAAGGTTCGCTCAAGGTCAGACATAGGTGCTTGGGCGACTTGGGGTTGAGGTAGTGGTGGAGTGGATTGTTGCTGAGGCGCGCTTTGTATGATCTTGAGCAAATTCGAAATATCGAATGGCGCGTTCGGTGCGCTCTGGGGAGCTGGCGCTGGCTGAGGGTTGACCATCGCGAAGTATCGATCTTGCCGTGCCTAGTACGGTTGTCAGAAGACGTTGTATTCAAATACGAATGGAACATACCTTAACATGGTCCGGTAGTTCCCCAAATGACACAACTTCAGGTGCGGTGTCTTCCGCATCCGCTGGGGGAGGTTCCTTTGGTGTTGACGGTACGTCTGCCGGCGAGGTGTAGAAGACCATGAGCGTTGTGGCCTCCCGATGCTCCTGAGCATTCTTTTCAGGACTAGTCGGCTCTGCAGTGCCGCCGCGCTTGATGTAGTTTCGCGAGCGATCGTCGGGTGCGATGTCGCCGTTGTCGATTTCTGACTCCATTAGTATCAAAGCACAAGAATAACAACATTGACAGAAATAAAACGACCTACCTGAAGGCTCATAATAGTCGGACAATTGCTCCTCACGGATGCCACCGTCATCTTCCTCCTCAAGTTCGTCGAGGTCTCGGTGAAGTTTGAGCACACTGCCTTCACCCTTGACATCTCCCAGGTGATCGCCAGGGCCAAGTTCTTCTTCGGGATCATGTGTAAATAGACGAACTTCGGTTAGGGACGCATCAGGCTTCCATGTAACACGCAACTTCCGGCGCGCCTCCTTACGCAACCTCTTCTTCCGTTCTTCTTCGGTCTCAGGGGGTCTATCCTCCGCAGGCTGTGCAGGAGCAGGATCCTTTTGCTTGTTCAAATCTGCCATCAAATCCCCAAAAGAGAAAGTAGGTCTTGGGGGCGGGGGTTGGGATTCTTTCTTTTCCGCAGGATTACTGCTCATTATGTTAGCCATCAAACCAGCGGAAAGATAACGAGATGCCACGCACCTTGCTTTCGCTGCGGCCGCCGCGGCCGCCGCTCGTTCTGCGTTCGATGTTCCAGGTCTTTTAGAGGCCGAGCTCAAACTACCAAAGAGGCTGGTAGGCTTCGGTGCAATAATGTTGGCCTTGGGGCGGGCTGCATTGGCTGCAGCTGGTTTGTTATCTTGTCCTACCTCCTGCGGCCGTTTGCTGACACCAGAAACCACAGTGCTGTTTGGTTTTGCTGCCGGTTTGGGGTTTGCAGTGACAACCATTCGCTTAGTTGCTGGCTGCCCATTCCCTTCACCTTCTCGAGGCCTCTTGGATCCAGTAGCCTCACCACCACGTCCATCTGGGACAGACCCGTCAGACACTGAAGTTTTAGGTGAACCGTCCTTTGACGCGGATTTTCCCGCCTCTAGTTTACGTTTCGTCGAGGCAGCGGCATTGTCCATGATCTTTTGAGCCAGCTCTTTCACTGTCGGTCCGCCCTTCTTGACGAATCTAGGCAGCAACTTGGCAACGTTCGTTTTCTGAAGAACATCTTCATCCATTGTCACGAATCGGGAAAGCAACTACAGTGAAGGTCAGTCTTGATTCAATAAGAGGTTCCAGAGCCGCTTTGTAGTTTACCTTGAGTATATTCACCGTCAAAGTACCATCAATGTCAGAAGCCTGGTGGCGATCCAGCAAAAATGAATACAGGGCAGCTACAGCCATTGGATGCTCACCCAACCTGGAAACACATACGTCAGCGACCGGCACAATCTAGCAGATGAACATGAGAATAGCAATAAGCAGATGCAAGGCATCCGGAGGCTAGCAAAGTTCAGGCTCCGAAGGGTGACACCACAACGGAACACACTTGGGCACCTGTACAATGACGGCAGGAGATAGCTCGTCTGAACGAGGATGAGCATTCTATCCTCCTTTGTCTCGTGCTTGAGGACACACAGCTAGGTATGTTTAGTCCTCTGATGGAGAGCATATATGCACCCTTACTTATAAGCACATTTTTATATGCCAAAGCCCACACTAGGTAGATTACATGGGAGAGGCTCTCAATTCGTTTCAGACTTCTATGGCCACGAGGACATGCCAGATGCGGGAAGGAAAGGGAAGACGGTAGAGAAAGGACATACTTCTCGACAATGACTGGGTGACCTTGCTCCTGGGTGGTGCTGATGACGACGTCCATAAGGCGCCGCTGAAGGACCACATTCTTCTTTAGTTGCGCTGCTTTGTCATTATCACCCTTGTTTTCTGCCACCTTCATGGCTTGGCTGCTTTCTTTCCACGCATCTCTTACGGCTTTGACAACATCTTTGAACGCAACCAGTGCACTCTTGACCTTGTCAACATTGGGGTGCCTATTACGTGGAGACCACACAGCTTTGAGCGCGTCATACCGCGCAGCAGCCTCGGGTTCGCTAGGACGAGTGGGTGGTAGTGGAGATACCTCTTCAGGCTCCTGGATCTCAAGATCCGACTCATCAGAGCTATCTGATTCAGAACTAGAAGAGGCCGACTGTCCATCCAGCTTCTTGCTCCCCCCTTTCATTGTGGGCTTTTTGGGCTGCGACTGTTTCTTCACACTGGGTTGTTTCTTAGGTTTTGCTGCTTTAACTGGTGCAACGGGGGTGACTGTGTCTTGACCTGTTCCGGTGAGTGAATGTGACACGACTATGGGGTAGAGTGAATCATACCATTCAAGGGCACGATGAACTCATATTGCGTGGTTGGGGCAATTGGTTGGTTCCGTGCAATGGGCTGATGCTGAGGCTGGGGTTTATGCTGTGGCTGTGGCTGTGGTTGTCCCTGACCTTGACCTTGGCCCAAAATTGGTGGAACTTGCAAGTCATCCCGGAAGAAAGTGTACAACCTATGAACAGTCAGACCGCATGCGATTACCAAAAGGATCAACCCGGTTATTGGGACATACTTTGGATCTTCAGGACGCTCGAAGTCCGCAGGGTTCATGTACATCAAATTATTATGAAGGGATGCTTGCTGGCTAGCGGCTTGTTGCGGCGAGTTCAAGAATTGTGGATTGATGGTCTGCTCAGAGACAGTTGGAGTGGACTGTCCGTACCCAGCAGCGAAATTAATCGGAATATGCTACTGAGAGTCAGCTATGAATGCAAACGAATGGCTCAACGAATCATACAGTGGTCCCCTCCGGATAGCCCGCAGGAAGTGTGTACTGAGGGACTTGGTGCTGATGGGAGTCCGATCGATATTGTGTTGGCTGGGCCTGCGCTTGAGTGGGCCGAGGAGAGTGAGACTGAGGAAAGACATCTGGTACCGAGAGATTCTGAGGAGGATAGTAGCCACGGGGGAAGGTGTATGACTGGAAGTGTGAGTTGTCGGACGAGGGGAGTGGCTGTGAATCAAACGCAGGTTGCGCATGAGGAAATTGCGCCTGACGATATTGCTGGTTCATGGAATATGTCTGCGGTGCGGGATGTATTATTTGTTGCGATTGCAAAGGGTTCGTTCGCCACGATTGGGGAGTTGCCGACGTATAGATGCCACGGTTCTGTTCCTGGGGCGTGGGCAGAGGACTCCGGGATTGAGGAGTCTGACTGAACATTGGGTGATCCCAGCTGATTCCCATTGGCGTCGCATGTTGCTGTTGCGGCGGTGCCGGCTGGATCTGTTGAAGCTGTGGCGGCTGGGATGGGTGCGAATGTTGATGTGGGGGGTCGGGGTTTGTATACAAAGGCTCAAAGCTGTTCCAGTATTCGGGCGGCAACGAGCCGGGGTCTACTGGTGCACGGTGCAGACCGGGCATGATATTCTGCGGCGGCGACTGCTCCATGCTCCCGTTCATCCCCCGCTTTCTAGAAACCCACGGACCCTCGATCTTGAAAGGATATGTAGGTCGAGAAGTATATAATTGTCGTGGGTAGCGCGGGTGGAGTCAAGGTACTAAGGCAGTAAAGCGGGTGCACGGCCAAATGTAGTATAAGTCACATGCATCCACGTGCCGGGGGTGTGTGTGTGTGGGAGGGACCAGGCTCGATTGGGACAAGAGCCAATGCCGCTCTGGATTTGGTCGGAGTTTGGGCGTGATTCCCCTGGTGGGGAGGGCTCGCCGACTCGCGCGTTGATTGGCTTACCCGTCACGCGTAACGGCGGCGCAGTAAACCTTCCCAATGGAGCCGGATATTAGGTCAAGAGCTCTCTGGGCGAATCAACCGTCCCGACCGTGTTTGTCAGCCTAAGGGATCGCTGATACGTCGATAGTGGACCAAGACGTAGAATAGTAGTCAAAGATAGTAGTAGTAGTGTAGGTGTAGTAGTAGTAGTACTCCGTAGTGCAAGTAGGTAGGTAAGTAGTAGTTTCCGGGCAGCAGAGCTGATGAGTTGCCGAAAGGAAGGTGGCAAATGGTCGGCGCCCGCTGCTCCTCCCGCTTTCCAGTTCCGTGAAATTGTCTCCTATTCGGAGGCAGCGGAGGGGGGAAGGGAACCACACCTGAGCTCTCGGAGTAAGTCAGAGGGAAGCAATGGCACCAGACTTTTCGGCTTTGCTGTGCCTGATATCCTTAAGGTCACGTCACGTTGCGCGCGCGGTATCCCAGTGTGCAGCCTCTCTCCTTCCTCTTTCTTTTTTAGGCAGATTAGAACAAGGTTGTCCACGCTGCAGAAGCTGGATCAACTCTTTCGAATACACCGGCCAAGTACTCCGTATAATAGACGTAAGATAATCTTGGACTTCCTGAAGAGCCTGCTCTCCTTCTTCTGTTTCTGTCCTTTCCGGCTTTCCCAAGCAATCCTTTTTAACAAATAAAAGCCTTGTGTTTGTATCCTTGTCCTTGTTCACTCTTCTCTCCTGCCAGCTTCACTTTCTCCCGTCTTCTTTCTTTTTGGCAAAAGGCAGCTGAGGCAAAATCACTCGTACTGCCTGTCCTGGGTGGACCTTTTCTTCTTATTCTGTCTTAAAAGATGATAAGAAAAGGTGTTATACAAAGAACCACTCGGGACTGCAGCTTAGCAGCATAGTCATTTGCTTTACGAGGAAGGGTGGAAGGGATAGGGATGGGGGGAGAGGGAGGGTGGTTGGTAGTGCTGGTTGTCGTGAGACTGAAAAAGCCGGGCGGCGCTCGGTTGGGCCACGCCTCAACTGAGCTACGCCTCTTCCGACCTAGCGCCAGACACATGATCGCGGTGCTTGGATTGGCTGGGCGGGAGCTTATGTCATCCCCTCATCAATTGCGGGAGCTTCTCAGGATGCCAGGTGGAGAGTGTGTAGTTACAGACTGATGAGTGGGTAATTCCTCTCTATCATATTATCTATCGCCAGCGGAGTTCAGAGCCCGTCTTTCTTCACCATTGCTGCTTTTCTCCCCCGGAATTCACTATTGCGTCGCTTGATCTCTCTGCCACGGTCCCCTCACCACATGTCATGAATCTTGGCCATTCCAGGTAATCGTGATAACCATCCGGGGTGAAGCAAGTCCAGCTTAAATCGAACTACTATGGCCTCGCAACCAACGTCTTTGAGGGACCGTCAGGTCGGTAGGTTTCTGCTGTCCGTATCGGATTCGTGTAGATATTCACAGCTTTCTAACTCGATCACAGCCTCCATCCACAAGATTCTCAACTTGAATCATGAACCGCAACCCGCGGAAGACGCCCACCACGATGCGTCCGCGCAGGGCCTCATTTCTACCCCGGTACTGAACGAGGATGGCGATCCTATCTGGAAGGTCCTGGTGTTTGATAATATGGGAAGAGATGTCATCAGCAGCGTGCTGCGTGTCAATGACCTCAGAGCTTGGGGAGTCACAATCCATCTGTACGGACCCTGGTCCAGGCCCCCTAAATCGATCGCTGTGCGTGCGTGACGTAGCTAATGACCTCCGCCAGAAACATCAATTCCACACGATACCCGATTCCCGACGTCCCTGTTGTATACCTTGTCGAACCTACGCCTTCCAACGTCGAAGCGATCACAAATGACCTTTCTCGCGGTCTTTACTCTCCCGCCTACGTCAACTTCCTCTCCTCCGTACCCAGACCCCTCCTCGAAGACTTTGCGTCTCAGATAGCAACAACCGGCACCGCAGAGCATGTCGCACAAGTTTACGACCAGTACTTGAATTTTATTGTGGCCGAACCGGACCTTTTCAGCTTGGGGCTAGGAAACGATGCATACTGGAAGATTAACAGTGCGCAAACCAGCGACGATGATCTGGACGCCATTGTGGATAGGATTGTAAGCGGGTTGTTTAGCGTCAGCGTCACAATGGGTAGGTCAGCCGATATGGTCCTTGTACTTTTAACTGACGAGTTGAATACAACAGGTGCTATCCCGATTATTCGGTGCCCTAAGGGCGGCGCGGCAGAATTAATAGCAACCAAGCTGGACCGCAAGCTACGCGATCACATCCTTAACTCGAAAGACAATCTGTTTTCAAACAAGAAGAACACTCCGGGAGTTCCCTCATCGCGACCTGTTTTGATCATCGTCGATCGCAACGTGGATTTGGTGCCCATGCTTTCCCACTCGTGGACATACCAGTCTCTGGTTCAGGACGTTCTACAGATGCGCCTCAATCGGATTACCGTTGAGTCAACTGATGAAGCAAACCCAGCCAAGGGCGTCACAAAGAGAGCATACGACTTAAATAGCAATGACTTTTTCTGGAAGCGCAATGCCGGCGCGCCATTCCCTCAGGTTGCGGAAGACATCGATGCGGAGCTTACACGTTACAAGGAGGACGCCACTGAGATCACAAAGAAGACCGGTGCTTCCTCAATTGAAGATCTCCAGAACGACACCAGCGCCTCTGCACAGCACCTCAAGGCTGCCATCACCCTCCTTCCCGAACTACGGGAACGCAAGGCGATTCTTGACATGCACATGAACATTGCGACCGCCCTGCTCAAGGGAATCAAAGACCGTCAGCTGGATAACTTCTTTGAACTGGAAGAAAATATCACCAAGCAAACAAAGGCCCAGATCATGGAACTCATCAACGACTCCAGTAAAGGCAACGAACCCCTGGACAAGCTCCGTCTTTTCATCATCTGGTTCCTGAGCACTGAAACAGAGGTTTCCCGCTCTGAGATGACACAATTCGAAGAGGCTCTCACTCGCATCGGCGTCACGGACGTGACCCCCATCGCCTATGTCAGACAGGTCCGAGAAATAACCCGCATGACCATGATGACTACCGCAACAGGCGCTCCCCAACAACAGTCCTCTAATCTCTTCCGCGGGTTCTCCTCTCTCTCTAACCAACTGACTGACCGCATCACCTCCGGAGCCCTCGGCGCCAACTTCGATTCCCTCATTTCCGGCGTCAAGAATTTTCTCCCTGCCAACAAGGACCTGACCCTGACCAAGATCACCGAATCCATCATGGACCCAACCTCCGCATCCAGCTCCGCTATCGCCAAGACAGAAAGCTATCTCTACTTCGACCCCCGCAGCGCCAACGCCCGAGGCGCCATGCCTCCGGCCTCGGCTTCGCGCAACGCCCAAGGGCAGAGCCTGAACAGCTCCGGGCCCGGCATGAGTGCCACCTTCGGCCAACGCCGACAGGCCTTCAACGAAGCGATCGTCTTCACCGTCGGTGGAGGCAGCATGGACGAATACGGCAATTTGCAAGACTGGGTAAGCCGGACAAGCGGACAACCAGGCGCTGACGGTGCCGGGGCCGCCAACCGTGGGGTGCACGGGGCGCCGAAACGGAGGGTTGTCTATGGTAGTACGGATTTGATGAACGCCAGAGACTTCCTTACAGAATCATTGGCAAAATTGGGCAGGGAGGGTTGAGCATATTTTGATGCAGCCGGGCGGTATTGTGAGAGCGGTCGCAAATAGAATTTGCCTTCGACGTATAGTACTTAGTATAGCTAATTGATACGCTTATGGAGATGATCACTACCTACGTCGAAACCCACCTGAAACAATACATAGCATAAGCAAGGTCCATTAAATGCCAGTCAATCGACCACAAAAGAACTATTATCATGCCAATAGACACGGTGATAAGCATTAAACAAACGAAATAGAAGTAGCTGGCGCGCGGAGCATTGCAATAATCTTAAAAGACAGTCACAAAAGAAAACCATGATTGAAATGAGCAGTCCCAAGATATAATTGACCACAACCATACGAGATCCCCCTAACCTTAATAATCATGAACCATCCCTCCGAATCGCACCACCGGAGCACGATCTACAGTTCAGTTCGAAGTTCAAACCATATCCTTTTCCCTCTTGAAGCTCTGCACTGAGATCTCATGTTCGACAGTAATGCCAATTTCTTCAGTGTTAGTCTGCTGCTTGCACTGCTTAGAGGAACCATTGTCCGCGTAGCAGGTTGAGACTGGATTCACAGTTGGCGTTGAGGAAGAGGTAGTAGTAGTACTGGTAGTGTTTCTACTATCCCAAACAGGGAAGGAGAGCACGTTCCAAAGATTGCGGCCTGACGAGCCAGATCCGGTGCCAGAGCCAGCGCCAGCGCCAGAGGAGACTTTGGTCAAGGCGACACCAGCCCAGATGGAGGAGAGGGGAAGGGAGATGGTGACTAGGGTGGCCACGTTGGAGGATAGGGCCGGGACGGCGGCGATGTAGTGGATGATTGAGAAGGTGGCTATGGACGAGGTTCAGTTAGATATGTGAGGATAAGAGAGGGAGGGAGGGAGTTGCACACCTGGAATGACCAGAGTCTGACAACCCATAATGAAGATGACCTTCATTGGGCCAAAGTCTCGCACACCGAGTCTGCGGCGCTGACGAATGGCAAATCCGAGCTTGGCAACGAAGATGGCGCAGAAGAAGCAGATGCTGATTGTGGCGGTGATGTTCTCTGCACTTTGAAGCCAGATGAGAGGAATGCTGCTTTCGGCTGCCATGATTGCAATGGCGTTCTCGCCCATCATGGCCATACGGAATCCGACTGGGATCAGTGCAACCACGATGGACAGTGAGAGGAGAATCTGTCGGTATACACGACCGAGGTTCGCGCAGATGACCTGAACCTGCAGGACGAGCGAGGCCTCGATGCATATCACGAGGATGGTGTAGAATACCACTGCGATGACGGAGTTGGCGTATGCGGAGGTTGGCACTCGAGAGAAGTCTCCTGAGAAGTAGGCATACACTCGCACGAAGTCGGTAGTGAAATACAAGATCTGGCAAAAGAGACGGCCGACGTTGGAGAGCAGTGCAGCGCAATTGAGGATGAAGACGCTGGAGCTGCGCTTCTCGGGTCTGGTCAGGAGCAGGAGGATGACGAAGAGCACGATGGAAGCTCCGAGCTGGGCGCCATAGTTGGTGCAGATCTGAATACAGTACTGCAAGAATGTGTCAATTTCCTGCACGTTCACCTCGAAGGGGGTTCCATCGCCAGTATGGAAGGTGACGTTTTGGGCAAATGGATCAGTTGAGGCCATTGTGGCTGTCAGAGTGTAGCAGTAGTATGGTTGATATGGTCTGCAACGTTGAAGTCAAGTATCTTGAGTTGCTAAGTTGGACAGGTTATCCGACAGGAGAAGCTGGGAGGTTGAGAAGTTGGCTTGGATAGGCCATTGAAATGGATATGACAAGTGTTCGAGCAGTACGCGGCCTTGCTTTTTAACTTAGAAGCCATGGCTGTACATTCATCGTGCCAAGTCAGACGTGTGATGCTGTATATTGTCTTGCAACACCGAAACAGACAATATGAAGGATGGAGCTGATTTGGGGGCAACAATACTATGATGGAATAAAGTGGATACCAACCCTTAACAATGACAATCTTCACCGCATTGAGCAATAAGCTCCAGGAGGTGTTTGTGAAGATGTTTAATGTAAGACAAACAATATCAAGGCCCATGCAAAGAACAATGGCAAGCAAAAAGGGGGGCCCCTAATGGAAGACTAAAGCCTTCGGTCAACACTAGACACAGCTCAGACGTGTACTGTTTTTCTTACCTCTGGTAATATAATCATCCATAAGGATTGTCAGGTCTGTTGGACTTGGCCAGTATGTATCTGTCTATGTATCATTGGCTGTGTAGTTCATCCCAATCAGGAGCTGGGAATGAGTAGCCGCCGCTCCAACAGTGCATGTGCTGAACAGTGCAAGATTTCCTGGAGCAATCGGTCTTTAGTCCTCTTGTTGAGCTGCTTATGTGTTATTCCACACGAGATTAGTCCGGGCTGAAACAGCCTGACCCAGAGCTAGATGATTGGTTATTTGTAGCTCCTGCGAAGTTGTAGGATGTTTGGGGAATCCCCATCAAGCTATTGATAGTTGCATTATCATCAAGAATCTTGCTGGTTTTGTGCCAGCAACTATGTATGCTTACATTGAAGTCACTTAGATTCAAGTAGCTGAGAGGTTCCAAACTCGCGTTGACTCCAGGTCCCTAGCTAACACCAGTATAGTATTAGCGGGGAGGGAAATGGAATGCCACGCTATAGGGGCCGAGTCAGTAGGGAAGCAAAACCGACTCTGTAGCAGCAGGCCAAACTTCTGACCATAGCCGGGTTCATACGCATGACCTGAGATACTAATGGGAAAACTCTGGTCGAAATTGAGTGGTTCATTGTATTGATGTGATGCCACCCGCAATTTAGCTTAGTACTTACTCTATCCTTTTTATATCTTCCACTCCCAACAGCAGTACCAAACTCCCCGCTAGACTAATCTCCATCCATTGACTCTGTACACGCTTCAGTCATTAGTATACTTTAAGATGTATGTTTCCGCAAGGATAGACATATTCAAGAATGAATGGCAAGGTGATGTTATAGATCAAGATGTCAGCGGGAGAAAGTTGCGGGGAACTGCCGCGGCGGTGGAGCGAGGCTGCGAGGCACCAAGAATGCCCAGGGAGTCTAGCTCCAACTCCAACTCCAACTCCGCCATCCCACTTCTCCCACCATGCGCCTTCGCCTCCTCCGCCATGGCTGCTGTGCCGCAAAGGACGCTTAACTGGCTGTACAGTGTCCTGATCAGGGTAGCTAAAAACCAAACACAGACTCCTAGAATAGGACCACTGACAGAAATAGGACCACTACGATCCCCGACAAACCTACCAGGACCCCAACCGCACCTACTATGATGTAGCTAATGTGCTCGGTCAATACCCTTCGCTGGGCCCCAGGACTGAAGTCTATAGTATGCCACCTTGCTGCGACCTTACTGCGATCTTACTGACCGATTCTTTTCTTCAAACTTCTAGCATACGAGAACGGTTTCTCCGCCCTCCTCCTCCAACTGACCGGCACGTTGCCCGTGACGTTTCGCGGCACTGTTTACAAGTTTCCCATCACACTATGGATCCCAAATACATACCCCAGAGAACCGCCATTGGTTTATGTAACACCGACGCAAGACATGGCCGTTCGTGTGGGCCAGCATGTCACTTTGGAAGGGAGGGTGTACCATCACTACCTGGCACACTGGGCTGAAGCGTGGGAGGTTAGTCAATGTGACTCGCAATGCGCATCTCGTTATCGCTGACACCTAAGCTTAGCGATCATCTCTTATTGATTTCCTGATGATACTTCGTGAGGTTTTCGCCAAGGAGCCGCCGGTGAGATATAAACAGCAACAGCCTGTACAGCCGCGACCGCCTCCGCCAGCGCAGGTACAGGCGCAAGCACCTCCTCTACCTCCTCTGCCTCCGGAGCTTGATACCTCAATTAATCGGCCCTCTCCTACCCATAGCGCTCCGAATGCTTCTCCGCAAGTACCTGCTCAGGTGCCACCACCGCCGCCTCCAAAACCCGGGCAGACACCTGAGCCACAACCACAGGGCACTCCGTCATCAGGGCGATACTCGTCTCCCCCTCCGCTGCCTCCACTGCCACCAAAGGAGCATGATTCCAGGAGAATATCGATGCAACCACAGACAGGCATTGGCAACCCTATGAACAGGCCCCAGTACCTACCGGATCGCAGTCAAGTTCCTGTAGTGGCATCAGGACAGTATCAGTTGCCCCAACAACCGCAGCACGTCTCTCAGTCGACACCGGCATACCAGACTGGCCCAGCGCAGTTTCAATCACCGAACGGTGTCCCTGTTACTCGCTCAGATGACCCCAGTCGTGGGCTTCCGCAACGGAACTCTTACCACCCCGTACAACAAGCCCCTCCTGCGGCCTACCAGAGACCTCCGCCACAGCAGGTTCCACCGCAAGGTTCACCCCATGTTGGACTTCAGCAAGCACAGCAACCAGCTCCACGTCCCAAGTCAGAGACGCAAGATCTTCTTACCTCTCCGTTTGAGCTCGAGCTCCCCTCGTTCGCACCCACCGGCCCGGCGCCCCCAATTCCACCCAACCCCGAGAAGGACGCCCTACTACGGGCCGTCTCTAAGACTCTAGCTGAAACACTGCAAGCAAATGTCGCACAGTCCGAGACTGCTGCTCAATCTTTGATTTCTCAATCCCACTCGCTGCATGCGGCAATTGCGACGCTTCAAGGCGAAGTATCGTCGCTCAACACGCTCAACGCGACTCTTCAATCGAACACCACGACTCTGCAGCAATCTCTCATGCGCGCCGACGGCGTCATCGCCGATGCGCAAAGCCGTATATCATCCTCGGCCCCGTCATCCAGCACTGATCCCGTTACTTCGGGTCTCCCACCAATCGACGAAGTTCTCGTTGCCCCAACCGTGGTCGGTAAACAATTGTACGACTTGGTTGCTGAGGAACGCGGTATTCAGCAGGCAATCTACGCCCTCCAAGCTGCGCTGGTTAAGGGTGTCATTGGGGTTGAAACCTGGTCACGTCACACGCGTGGACTTGCGCGAGAAGCGTTCTTGAAACGGGCATTGATACGGAAGATCGGGAAAGGCATGGGATTGGAAGTGCATTGATGATACGATGATGCAATCACTACTTTTTGGTTTGCGTGACCTATGTTGACGGATCTGTAGATAGATACCCATAAGGTCGATACAGGTTGGCCAGACAATGTACATAGCTTGGTGCGTCCGTAGTGGAGGTCTTTTTTAAATGGATTAACAATGTGCAAGAAGCAATCATTCGCACAGTTCTCAACGATTAGCAACAGACAATGCAAGATAAGCCACTAGAAGATAAAGAGATCATAAACGCAATGACCAATGTTTTCTTTCCTGGAACCTTACTTCGACACACAATTACCACTATCCCAGTAAGTATTACCCGCAACTATCATCCCCAATCCCCATTCCACCAACTACTACTATCCCTATACAATCTCCACAACCATCCAACCCACCCCATCGTAAATTAAACCCCCTAAACCACAACCCCAACAACAACAGCACCCACCAACCCAACCATCCACCCCATCCCCTGCACACTCACCACCTTCCCTCCACCACTCGACTTCGTCTCCTCCGCAGCCTTCGCCTCACCCACCCCCGTCGCCGCAATTTGCCTCTTCACCTCGGCAAAATAACTCTGCACGTCCGTCGGCAGCGCCTTATACCACTCGGGCGTATTTCCAGCGCTGAACTCACTCGCCAAGGCGACGCGCTTCGCGGGCACGAACAGCTGCGCGAGTGCTGTGGGAGGAACGGCTGTGATGACTTGGTGCACGACGGCGTGTGGTGGAGGGGATACGCTTTCTAAGTTGGGAACGGGTTGGGTGGGGGTTGGGAGGGAGGGTTTTCTATTCATTTAATTATATCAGTCATATGATATGAAGAGGGGGAGGTGAAGGCACGAACAAGGCTTGCGCGAGAGCGGCGAGGTTGTTGTCGTTGAGGTTCACGTTGGGGATGGGTTCGGGGGCACAGAAGGCTGTGGTGGCTAGGAGGGTGGGGAGGAGGAAGAGGGAGGAGAGTTTCATTTTGGTGGGTGGTATTTTTTTTGGATTTAATTTTCGTTAAATTGTTTGGATGGTGGATGGGTTGTATAAAAAGAGTGTAGTGAGTTAATGGTGGAAAGAGAGGTACTGGAGGGTGGAGTGTAGTTAATGGTATATGGGACGGATGTTAGGGCGCAGGCACATCATCATATGCATGGGACTGTCTGGCTCACTTGGACCGAGATCCGATGTGTGAGGGGGTTAAACGGATGGGATCGTCGTGGAGAAGGGCCCGGGCTAAGATTGAGGGATCTGCATACCCAGGGGAACTTCTGAAGCGTAGTCTGGGCTAGTTTGGACTCATTTTTAAGGTTGGGTTTGTCCTATGTTTTTGGGAATAAATGGGACGGGTGTAACCTAGTTAGGATCGAAGATAGAATATGGGTTAATATGGTGAAACGGGCTAGGCCTGGGTTGGGTGTGGTCTTTGATGTGAAAATCATTTCATTGTAGGTCTATGAATGGCCATCAGATTGAGGTGTAGCACGGAACCTCCAGGTAGTTAGGCTTCAGGGTAGATCTCGAATCCTATATGTCTGGGTAAGTAGATAGTCTCCTGGAGCTGACAAGCAATAAGATCGAAAAAATGTGAGTTCTTGAATATTTAAATTGGCAGTTGCCAACATTGACCGATATCGCATTTAGGGCTATGGCCTTTCACTTTTCTTTCATGACCTGCAAGGCATGCTACCATCTACTAAGTACATGGATCCCCATGGATCGCCAAACAAAAGAAGATCAAAGGTACAGCTTCCATTATATATCCAGGAAGCTGCCCACCATGTGCGGTATTTGCTACCTTACATCGTGTGAAACCTCCAGTCTGTCATTGAAGATATTCTACTGATGTAGTTGAAAGTTCTATACCTACAGCATCAATCACAGCTAAAAAGCACTGATCCACCACGTGAAGTACCGGCAGTTACATGGGAATAACCTCTTACTCGCCTATATCCTGCCAGACATCCCTTCACAATGTCGGGTCATGCCCGACGAGAATTCTACACTTTCCAGGAAATATCCGATAACGGTAAAAATAAGGAAGACAGAATTGGAATGCTTCGAAGACCATTAACCTCGTGTAACCATAAAAGACCCTCAACATCCACCGAGGTGAACATGCAGATGCCTTACAAATTTGTGGCTGCAATATATTCTGTCTACAAAAATGGCTTTCACAAATCTTTCATCACAATTGCGCTGGTTCGAGATGGAGCCATTTAAGAATGGGATGAAGTCAGCTGAAGCAGTTACTATCTGGCTGCATGAAGCCGGTATACCCTGTGCTTTCATTGGGGAGGTCGCTTTGAGTAGCTACGGCGCTTTAATTCCCTACAAATTGGTAAGTTCTTCACCCACAGCCTGCTAACAATTCAAGAAGAGGGAAAATACTAAAATATCACTCTGCAGGGCACCAGCTTGATCGTTGCCGATGCAAAAGTACACGAAGCATCCGAGGCTCTCAGCAACCACGGCATCGAGCCCTGCATTAAAGGCAAGGAATGCGACTGGGAGAATGATGCTCTGACTGAGGAAGCGTCATCACCTGCGCCTTATCACTTCCATCTTGATCACGGTCCCCAGGGTAACCCCCCATTTTGGTGTGAGTCGCTCAAGTTGTACAAGAAGTCTGATATTGATCCGACGCTGCCTGATCCTGGACTGGGTGCTCCAGGGCCTGAAGACCAGAACTATATGGTTGTTACAGACCCTCGCTTGCCAGAACGCGGACGATGGAAGAACAGTACGTGTTCCGTTCAGATTCTCACAGAGCCACGATTTTTCAAGACCATATTCAACCAGGCAGTCAATTGTAGGTCAGGTGAATTTTCTGCTGATGAGCTCGCTCCCTGGGAAGGGAATGTAGTTCGGCTGAAAGAGATGATTGATGATGCAGAGCTGCAAAGCCATGTAGTCGAGTTGATCAATGGTCTCGAATTGCCTGTGCGTCGGTACATTGAGCTCTTCGATCTAGAAGACCTTAAACCCTGCCGAAAATTCATCTCTCAGGTGAGACTTGGGAGCAAGTGCAAGAGTCCGTAAAGGTGCCAGGATGGTCAAGTGGTGGCTTTCCGGTAGACACTGTAGAGATAGCTGGTAGTAGTTTCTATCTATACCTATTGACTACTTTGTTGTATCGTAGGTTTAAATCCTGCGACTGCTGACTGTAGAGAGATTCTTACCAGAATTTATCTTATTGCTATTCTGTTGCTTTTACAAATAATACCCAGACTATACGAAGAGTAGACATTCATATAATAGGATTCATATTTAATAACTCCATTAGTACTGTCTCCCTGCTGACCTGATTACTACTCGCTCGATTGGCTAGGGTAGACTCAGACATAACCGGAAATTGATTGAAGGTGAGGATAGAAGGACACTGTGCATTCACCCACAGACATATATATACTCACTCACCCTCTGCCACTATTTCAGATTGCCAGAATACTCATTGAAGGCCTGACTTGATCATCCATTGAGTGTGATAACTGTGCACTGCCAGTACACTGGTCAGTTGCAGATGGATTGCTTTTTTACCATCTAGTCGTTGTCACTTATCGTCAAATCTGTATAGGTATTGATATCCTTAGATATAACTGGACAATATCATTCGTGATCTGAATCCCAGTTCTATTACTAATCGTACAATGGCTTATTCTCCCAACTATGTTAAGATAAACCCTAGTCAAGGGTCAACTTGGCTTGTTCTTAGCCCCGCCAGTCCCTTTGGTAAATAAAGCCATAAATAGTCAACAAAATATATCAGCTGGCCTGCTGGCCCAATGGTAAGGCGCTTGACTACGGATCAAGAGATTGCAGGTTCGAGTCCTGCGTAGGTCAACTTTTTTGCCTCCAGACCCTCCATCTGGAGGGTCTCTTTTTTTTTCGGTCCCAAATGTTGTGGTGGATCTGTTTGGCTTTTCCGCCTTCAGCCTAGCGCCCCTTCCTGATTGCTCCGCTTTCATGGTAAACATTAACCCCAGATACATGAGACCGTTAACTATCTACTACATTCAAGGCATGCTCTCATCACTTCTCCGGTTTCTACCTCATCTTGGACGGCGATGGAAACCATTAAGTTTCCCCAACTTCAACTTCGTCCGAATCCCCAACTGGCACAAAATAGAAGAAGAGACTCTTCCCGAATATACCGCCTCACAGTATTATCGCACGCGAATAGGAGAAGTTATCAAGGAGCGGTATCAAGTCATTGGTAAACTGGGATATGGATCAACTTCAACCGCGTGGCTTGCACGGGATATGGAGTGGAGAACCCCCTTTTCTTTCTTCCCATGAATGAGCCTATCTGAGATACTCATACATCATAGAAACCGCCGTTATGTTATGCTCAAGATATTCATTGAGGCTTCGTCTATGGGTCAGCAAGTCGACAACGAGCTTAATATGTGCAGACTTATGGAACAGTCCCCGATCATCCACCCCGGCCGCGATGTCATCAGAACATTACTCGATAATTTTTACATCGACGGCCCTCAAGACAAACATCGCTGCCTTGTGCATCCCCCATTATGGGAAAGCGTTCTAGCTTTCTTGCGCCGGAATCCGGTTGAGAGGCTACCATCTGCAGTCATTGCTGTTGTTCTTCATCGCTTATTTCTAGCATTGGACTTTCTGCACACGGAATGCAAGATCGCGCACACGGGTTTGTAGCTCGATATATCTACCAGCTTTTATGATTCTCACTTCTCTTTCCCCCCTTCCAGATATCAAAGCCGATAATATCATGTTCGGTATCAAAGATGACTCAGTCTTTACGGACATCGAGGAGAACGAACTTCAACGACCCGTCCCGAGGAAAGAGGTTGACGAAAGGACGATATACATGTCCCGGGAACTCAAAGTACCTAGAGGAATTGGCGCCCCGGTTCTGTGCGATTTTGGTTCAGCCTTGGTCGTCAATGATGAATACCAGAGGGTATTTATTCAACCTCAGATCTATCGAGCCCCGGAGGTGATACTGGGAGTTCCATGGACGTACAGCGCTGATATTTGGAATGTTGGATGCATGGTAGGACAAAATGGTCTATATTCGTCCGCTGCTCCACTAATACTTGAGCTAAAAGATCTGGGATCTATACGAAGGCGGTTCCTTGTTCACGGGACAAGACCCTGTAGATGAGAGATACCGGAGTCGAGCGCATCTTGCCGAGATGATTAATCTTCTTGGACCGCCACCGGAGAGTTTGCTTGCACGGGGGGAACTGAGAGATAAGTTCTTTTCGAGTGAAGGTGGTTATACGAAACCTTATGGGGTTTGTCTTTTAGATTTACTAACTCGATGAGTTTAGGTGCTTTCCTCCATCCGGATTTATTGACTGATCGGGTCCCACTTGAAGAAAGAGAGACTACTCTGGAGGGAGAGGCAGAGAGGGCTGCGTTTTTGCGTTTTATGCGGAAGATGCTGCAGTGGGAGCCGAGTAGGCGGAATTCTGCTAAGGATTTGGCGGAGGATGAATGGATACATAGTCATATGAGGTACTAGACCAATGCTACTTTTATCATACAATGGGCATCATGTCCTAGTCAACAGACCCTTCTTTACTAAATAGTACGTGATAATAGCACACATGAAACACATTCATACATCCTACATCCATACTCACCATTATTCCAGAATCCACACCTTACTACACGTACTCTACTCCCAACCTACGCAAACCACACAGAATGATAAAGCAAATCAATAACTCCATTCCCATATTGTATCATAGCAAGTCATCATATCACATCACATAATCCCAACCCCATAAGGAAGGAAGGAAGGAAGGAAGGAAGGGAAAATTAATATCTCTTCTGGACCTCGCTCTCCACGCCCCTCTGCCTAACCTTCCCCTCATCATGCACATCCCTCCACTTCCTCTCCTCCTCCTCATCACCCGTCGCCGCAGCAGCGACCTTCCCAACGGCTCCCTTGGCCCTACCCTCAACACCCTCTTTCCAATCCCTCATCTGGCCCTCGGCCTCAGCCTGCTTTCCCGCCGCATTCTGCTCCTGGCCGGCCTTCCTCAACCCCTCATTGCCAATCAAATTGCCCAATGATTCCTTCGCCGAGCCCACAGTCTGGTCCCAGCTGCCGTTGCTGCGCTGCGGGTGGTCTGTGGCGGCGGCGCCCGTGGCAGGGTCGGCGGTAACGGGACCAAGCTTGGTGAAGTTGTTGTGGCTGGCGTTGTGTTCGGCTTCGCCCTGGGCTTGGGTGGCAGTGCCGGTGGACTAAATAGTAGATGGAGGTTAGTTTGTGGGGTTTGGAAAAAGGGGGAGGATGAGGGGAATGGACGCACTTGAGCGGAGGAGTCGCCGGTTAGGGAGCCAGCGGCGCGTTGGACCATGCCGGTTGCTTGGTCGACGTAGGATTTGAGGGTGGAGGTGGAGGTGGTGGTGTTGTTGTTGTTGGTGGAGTCGGTGGAGGACATTGTGGTTGGTGGTGTTGGTATGTAGTGGTAGTAGTAGTTTGTTTATAAGAAAAAGAGATGTAGTAGAGAGTAGATTGATTGTAGTATAGTAGCGTTTCTTTGTTTGCTGATGTATTGTTGTTGTGTTGTGTTGATGCTGTGGGTGTATTTATAGATCGAAGTTGGTGGTGAGTCCGGGGTACATGACGTCAAGCATCGACGTCATCGCCAGGCACGGCAGAGATAAGTGACCACCAAAATGGATCCGCAACAGGAACAAAGGGGCAAAAGAGCAAATGGAAAAAGGCGATGACGTCCAAATCTCTCATGCATTCATCAATCTCGTCATAATCAAAAGTATTCATCGCTCTATGTACATCGATCATCTTCCCCCCTCGTCATCGTCATCGGCTGTCTCAATGCTAGATAGAGAAAAACACCGACCCGCTCATTAGTGAATCTTAAACAAAACAAAACCAAAACAAAACCATGCAGCATCTATTACATGCAATGCTACCAATGACATATGCCACCCTCGCTGTCATCCGCTGCCCATGTTCCTGATAGTCCCACCACCTGGAGATGTCCATCGTGGTCCTCGTCCACTTTGCTCAGCGCCGCGAAGCTAGACTCCGACGGTCCTGTGCTCAAAAGCCGACGGGCCCATGCATCGATCGCTGGCTCGCCCGTCTCGTCCCGTGCTTGTTTCAGGAACGGGATCAAGGCCGTTCCACCCGTGCCCCGCAGTTTCTTACTGTCCGGCTTCTCACCGTGTCGGGCGGTCGCCAGGTTAATGGCTCTTTTGGGACTGGTTGCGCGCGCTGGGCGACTCGGTCGAGCATCCCGAGACTGAATGATGATATAACGGGATACAATTTGGATGTGCTTGTCGCGCATTGCCCGAAGCATCGACAGACATGCGTCGTATGCAATGCACAGTGCCTTGTCCGAGCGTCGTGCTTCCACATACTGTCGGATGTTGGCCACGGCATTAACATGCTCCAAGAAACGACGGTGCGCCGCAGGCATGTATGTACGCATCTCCTGGATGAACCCGTGACGAGGTGCCCCAACAACACCCTCTTTCTCGTCCTTCATCGGGGTGCTGCTAGGACGCGTCTCCCCGGTCGGACGGTGCTCGATGCCCAGTGCGATGTCGAAGAACTGGATCAGTGAGCTCTGGGCATTGCTACCGCCGCCATACTGCCGATACTCGGGCTGTCCGTTTCCATAGTCATATAATAGACCATGCGGGAGGCCAGCATCAGCCATGTTCTTGCTCCCAGCCAGATAGGGCCGGATGCGGTGGTAGAACACGTACGGATCGCAGTGCTCGTACATGCGCTCCAGCAGCGACCCTACCTCGTCCAGCACCTCAGCAAGTCGCTGCAGACATTCGGTGACTACCAGGCTGTTTCCAGCCCGGGCCGCCGCAATTGCTTGCAGCACCAGCGGGATCGAGGGTGCTCCACGAGCTTCAATGGCCACGGAGACCAGGTAAAACCACTTCTCATCCAATGACCCTGTAAATGTGTTGATGGTGTCGAGATTACGTAGATCATCGATCGATTCCTCCGGAAAAATAGGCTTATAGTTCCACAGACACACCCCTGCATAAGTGGCCACGGGCGGCAGACCCAGGTGCTCGCAGACGTCGAATAGTGGGACGGTCAGCTGAGGCGGGATTTTCTGGTCACCAATATTAGCTCAGGAACTACTTCGTAGCATTGTGTCACCTACCTCTGCCGGCTTGCTTCCCCCCCATACATACCCATGCAGCATAAATACCAGTACGACGTAGGCCCTGCGCCACTCGTTCTCCGACTGAAGATATGATGTAGACAGCGTGGACATATGATCGACCACCTCCCGGATCCTCCGGCTAGTCAAAAGTGCCTGCAGGTTGGACACGATCCACTCCCACTTGGCATAATAGGGGTCTGGCAAGATCTCAAGGGGTGGCTCTGGAGGGAGGAAGCCATGGTCTGCCGAGATCCCGTAGTCCGCCAATGCTGGAATCGGAGGAAGCATGATGATGAGACGGCTCAGAGAAGCCTAAGCGACACTGTATACGAGTCGGGGTGAATGGGAACGCCCAAGGAGCCAGCGACGACGCCTAGTATTAATGTACTAGATGCTCACGTGCGAGTGGGCTCACAGTGAGGGCAGTCGCTTAAAGTTCGCTGATTGTCCGGAACTTGACGTCGAGCGGAATAATATGGAAGCTCGGAGGAAGGAGAGGTTCCAGTGCCCGGACGTGAGTCCGGACAATCTCTAGTGAAGCAACAGTCGTGTGACGCACACACTGCGACAAAGCAGGCGAGATCCCAACCGACCAAGTAAAAGCTGACAAGATCGGACACAAACAGAAGTAGGTATCGTGTCGGGCCTGTTACGGACGCCTCACAACCGCGATGCAGTCAGGAAATCAAGGCTTCGGTTGATCTGACCCAGGTCACAGCAAGATGAGCAAGGCTCAGAAGAGGAGACCAGGCACAAAGGGCAGCTCCAGGTCTGGTAGTTGTTAAAAAAGTGAGGTTTGTGAAGGTCACGGGAACAACCGGATAGATTTGAGCACAAAGATGGCGAAATGAGAGAGGGAAAGGTAAAAAGAAAGGGAAAGGAAAATTTGCTCAAACTAAGATCATCGTAACAATGGTCCTCTCCCGAAGTTAAATAATCAGCGACATTTTTGGCACCAGGACTTTTCCCAGGAAAGCCGCGAGGACCGAATAGCCGGACAAGAGAATTAATCAGCCTGGCGACCCAGGATCAGTCATTCCGCAATAACGGCGATTGTGTCACCCGGAAACCGTCGACCGACACGAAACAGGGGTAGAGCCAGCGGTCGTGGAGGTAGTATATTCTGTACCCATGGTGAAGGGTAGGACAGTTGACTAGTCCGTGGATGGACAGTTGACCAGAAGTCAAGTGGGCCGGAACCAACTAAGCCAGGCCAGACGGGAGAGCAGAGGCGAAGATTTGCCTCTGGAGGAAGAGGCAGTGGCCAGGAAGATGGCGGGCTCAGACACAGTATTATTGTTGGGGATCTTGGTTGATGATATCCGTCATATCACCAGAGACGGAGAAGGGAGGCGAAGCTGTTCCCATGGTAAAGTCGATGGCTCAGCGCATCTGGAGTAGATGAGGCCCTTGGACAGCGCCAGCGGGAGGACTGGGTGCGAGCGAAAGGGGTGTCCACCGGATTCCAGTAGGCTGAGTGCTAGAGAATGAACCGGGACTGCGTGGGAGGGGAGGCCGAGTGCGAAATCGGGCAGTTAAGCGAGCTGGGGGGCGTATTCGCTCCCACCCACGCCACCCCGTTCGGGTCTGCGGTGAGATGGTCGGCCCCGTGCGGAGCTGCCATCTTATTTTGACTTCCGACCTCGCTGGTTGGACAGCAATGATCTGCATGATTGTCTTTTCGTTCATGGTTCGTCCACCGGAGAATTCCCGTCTTCTTCTTTTCTTTTCTTTCTCCCAGACGGAATGGATGGTCTCTGAAGACGTGATTACCTCGGCGCCGGGAGTTCTCCGCGTCAAACGTTAATCACGTGATGTTGCTCCTGCACAGCCAATCACACATCACCTGCAGCTTGCTCGAATTGGTGCCTCCTTCGTGAGTCAGCAAACACTGAATGGAGTCACGGGATGCCAGTGCTTGATCAGCAGTACTATCTATTCTCGACAGTCTCCCCTCCAAGCACATCACAACAGGACTCAAGGCCTTGGAAGCATAATCGTGGCCCCATATATATACATGACGTACTGAGTACTATAGGTACAGGTCGCTCAAAAGCCAAACCAAGGTCATCGGACCGCCAATACTATTCATTCGGTTTCCATGAAGCTTCTGTCTACATACTCATCTCTCTAGATCAATCGAAATCATGGGTCATTAATATCCATTTTCTTTACAGACTGGACAGATCGTCATCAATCCTATAATGTTACACACTATATGAACGCCATCCCACCGCTGATATCTGGAAAAGAAACAACAAGTATGCGCCTGGTATACGACCATATAACCGCCCTCGCAGTCAGTCTTTAACACAGAAAGAGAAAGTTTTTAGTGCTGGCTCCATTCAATCGAGTTCAAATCGATACCCTCCTGAACCATCTCCCACAGCGGGCTCAGTTCCCGCAGGAAGTGGACGCGGTCTTGCACCGCCTTGAGCACGTAGTCAATCTCACTGTCGGTCGTGAACCGGCCGATACCGAATCGGATACTGCTGTGGGCACTCTCATCGCTGCTGCCCAGAGCCCGCAGGACGTAGCTGGGTTCCAAGGAGGCAGACGTGCAGGCACTGCCGGATGAGAGGGCAATGTCCTTCAGCGCCATCAGAAGCGACTCGCCTTCAATGTAGGCAAAGGAGATGTTAACGCAACCGGGGTAGTGGCGGTCAGGATCTCCGTTGAGCGTGGTGTGCTCCATGGCCAAAAGTCCGTCGCTCAGGCGCTTCGACAGCCTTGCGATGTGCTTGGAGTCATACTGTGCATATTGGTCAGCTACTTTCTCATCGACTTCACTGTCTCGCAACAAGCAAATGCAGCAGCCCGACTCATCACCCCTGCTACGGTCGTCAAAGCACCATGGGGACACGCAAAGCGTGTCGCTACCCCCATGGCGCCTCAGTTAATCGATACATATTAAAGCTTATAATCATCGCGGAAACATCCTGACTGAGAGCAAATTCGAGGTTAAAAGAAAAAAAGGTGGAACGTACCTCCATGTCCTCGTATGCAATACGGCAAGCCTCGCCAAATCCGACTACGAGGTGGGGGGCAATGGTGCCACTGCGGAGACCTCTCTCCTGTCCACCTCCGGAAATGATAGGCTCGAGACGAACTCTGGGCCTACGGCGAACATAGCATGCACCCATACCCTTAGGGCCATAGATCTTGTGGCTGGAAATCGACATCAAATCGATGTTGAGCTTATTGACATCCAACGGAATCTTGCCCACGGCCTGGGCACCATCGGTGTGGAAGAAGATCTTCTTCGAGCGGCAAAGCTTTCCGATCTCCTCCATGGGTTGAATGACACCAATCTCATTGTTGACGGCCATGATACTGACCAGGGCAGTGTCGGGCCGAATGGCCGCCTCCAATTCTTCCATGCGGATCAATCCATTGCTCTGCACGGGCAGGTATGTCACATCGAATCCCTCGTCTTGCAAGTGCCTGCAGCTGTCCAAGACACACTTGTGCTCGGTCTGGGTGGTGATGATGTGCTTCTTCTTGCCAGAGCGACCGAAGAATCTGGCGACACCCTTGATGCTCATGTTGTTGCTCTCAGTAGCGCCGCTGGTGAAGATGATTTCCTTGGGGTCGGCGCCGATAAGCTTGGCGACGTGTTCTCTGGCTTGTTCGACGGCTTTCTCGGACTCCCAGCCGTAGGCGTGAGTTCTGGAATGGGGGTTTCCGTAGATGCCGGTAAGGTAGGGAAGCATGGCGTCAAGGACACGGGGATCCGTCGGGGTCGTCGCCTGCATGTCGAGGTAGACCGGGCGGGTGCCCTGGTCCATAACAGTCGCCTGCTTCAGAATGCCGGCGGTAGGGCTCATGGACGCATCGCCGGAGATGCCCGAACCAGGAAGATTAACCTTCTGCGCATTAAGTCCAGTCTGGTTCACAAAAGCCTTCTGGTCCTGCTTGATGGCCGTGTCCACCGTAACCTGGGCATTTCCAGCCCTGGTTTCGGAGACGTACGACCGTCTGGGGATAGCAGCGCTGGTGGCGACCACCCGCCGGGGCAGGGATGCTGTCAGAGAGCCATGCGGAGTCGACAAAAGCCGACGGGCATAAGCCCGAGATGCCTGTCTCAAGGCAGTAGGGGTCATAGTAGACATTATGCAAATAAAATCTGCAACTGTACCATACACGGATGGATGAACAGTTGATGACCGAGGGAAGATGACAGCAGGGGGACGACGAGTTCGCCCGGTGGGAAAAAGTTTGGATCCGGTTATATCATTGCCGAGCCCGCTAGGCCCGATCGGATTTATCAGATAGTCCGGCAATTTCCCAATCGGGGCTCGGTCTCGGTGTTACTTGGGCCCTTGATAAGGGGAGTTCGCCAGCTTCCCGCGGAGACCAACAGCGACTACGGAGAAGTCATGTTAGTTAGTAAGTTGGCTTATGTAGTGAGGTAAAACGTAAGACGGGTCTAAGATGAGTCTATATTTTCAGGAGTCTTATGCTTGGCTCCCATAGCTCGATGCGAATGAATGTAAGAAGACATATGTCTGGATGGATCAGACGAAAGATCCTCAAAGGGATGGCCAAATCCAGGCACAACTATGGGGCAGACATTCCACATTCATTGTGAGACAACCACTTATTCCCGTTTATGTTGCTGGCCGACAACATCGTCATCGGTGAATTTCCCCGGATTTCCCACACTGGGAAGACCCAGCCTTATGTGCTGGCCACTGGCTGCTGACGGCTGACAGCTGACAAGCTGAGAAAATAGCATCATGACCAAAACAACACTCGACCGATCACGGGGGCACAGGACCATTGATGTGGCAGAAACCGGCGGAAAACGAGGGAAATTCTTGGGCGTCGAGGTCTGTGTTGACGATAGTGGCTACTAGTGCAAGCGGATACTCTGGTGCCTAACAAACACCGCAAAAAGCCATGGAGAATCTTTGCTGCTTCCGACACTCCGAGCCCCCCCGGCTGGCTGAATAATCGGCCCTACGATCCGACCCTGAGCCACATCTGGGATCGAAGTTCTTCAGGGGTCTGGAGAGAGAAAGGAAAGATTCTGGAGCCTGGAGAGGGGCTGATCTTATAGTTTTTTTGCTCATTTACTATTACAGTCCCCAGGCTACTCCATATTTTATCTTTTCCCCTCTGCAGCCTTACCATTTGGCCTACCCAACTGAACCAACACCAAAACACACCAACAAGAAAGGGGGGAGCCACAACTCAGCCACGGTGAGCAGGCAGAGCATTATGTCATAGCTCAGCCACGAATCATGGCAGTCTAACCGTCACCGGCAGCCAGTATTCTTTAGTCCTCACTAGTCCGTTTGCCGCGAACAAAAGGCACTTCCTCCCCACTTCTGGCCTACCACGAGATCCCTGGTTTGATCTGCTCTGGTTATTCACCTTTCTCGACGCTCCTACGCCTTCGCGACCCTCTTCCGACCCCTTTACACCACTTCCTACGACCACCACTTTCCTGCCCTTCTAAACCGAATCCTTCCGCGGGCGTTGGGCGACCTGCGGCCAATCAGAGATGAGTTTGAAGGGCTTTCAGAAGAGCATTGTCCGCGCTCCACAACAGTTCAAGGCCAAGTTCAATATTGGCGAGCATACCAAGGACCCTGTCTACCTGGACGCTGAGCGACGGTTTCAAGAACTCGAAAAGGAGACCAAGAAGCTGCACGATGAGTCCAAGAAGTACTTCGATGCCATCAACGGTACACACGGATCCCCTGTCTCGCAGCTACCCCTCCTTTTGCTGACTGGCGTATTTTTCCAGGCATGTTGAACCACCAGATTGGATTCTCCAAAGCGATGACGGAACTCTACAAACCCATCTCCGGTCGTGCTTCCGACCCTAGCTCCTATACAATCGAGGGTAATCCGGAGGGTATCCGGGCATGTGAGGAATACGAGGCGATTGTGCGGGACCTCCAAGAATCGCTGGTGCCCGAGTTAGAGATGATCGACACCCGCGTCATCAGCCCTGCACAGCAGCTATTGGAGGTAATCAAGGTGATCCGCAAAGTCGCGGTGAAGCGAGACCACAAGAAACTGGACTATGACCGCCACAAGAACTCGCTCAAGAAGCTTCAGGATAAAAAGGACAAGTCACTGAAGGATGAGAAGGCGCTTTACAAGGCAGAAAATGATGTGGAACAAGCGACTCAGGACTACAACTACTACAACGACCTGCTCAAGGACGAGTTGCCCAAGCTGTTCGCTCTGGAGGCTGAATTCATCCGTCCTCTGTTCCAGTCCTTCTACTACATGCAACTGAACGTCTTCTACACACTACACGAGCGAATGCAGGGCATCAATATCGGTTACTTCGACCTGAATCTGGACATCGAGGAAGCGTTCGAGAACAAGCGCGGAGACGTCAAGGAGCGCGCCGAGGAGCTCAGCATCGTCCACTTCAAAGCCACGGGCGGGCGCAAACCCGGCTCGAAGCTTGGCCCCAAGGACAAACTGGCGCAAGAGGGCAAGAGTGGTTACGCCTCACGTCAGCGAGATCCCGATGTTGTCGAAAACCCCCCGCCGCCTTACTCTGCCACTGCAGGCAGCAGCTTTACCGCCGCAGCGAAGAGCAAGCCCGCCCCTCCGCCGCCGAAACCGAAGCCCGCTCGTTTCAGCGCTCCCGTCGAAACCGTCACGGCACTATATGACTATGAGGCCCAGGCGCACGGCGATCTCAGCTTCTCCGCCGGAGATGTCATCGAGATCATACAGCGAACGGATAACCAGAATGAGTGGTGGAGCGGCCGTGTTGACGGACGAGAGGGACAATTTCCTGGTGAGCATGACCAGCTGTCATTATCAAAACATACCTCGCTAACCTGTATCCAGCAAACTACGTCCAGCTGAACTAGCATTATGCTATAGCTATATAATATCCTTATTCCTTGCTCGTCAATGTCATCACTGGTTATCTGGAGTTTCGGAGTGCCATTGTGTATCACTTGACAAGTAGGAATTGCCAGTCGTTTTTGATTCTTGCCATAGAGCGTTGCATGATGATGACCGTTCGCTGTACATATTGATAATATCGAGGTTGTTTATTCCTACTGCATATTTGACCACTACTTTGGGTTCTATAGAACTTCGGAAGTATTTCAATGCGTTCCTATGCAACTTTTACTAGAAGCCGTGACATTCGATTCCGATGGGTTTATCAGGTAGACAAACAGCAACCCTAGTAACAGGGATATAGGACTTGCAACAATGGCTGTCCACCAGGCCTTCTACCAAGTGATTCTAAGTTGTCGAGAAATGCGGTCACTTTGGTGTATACTAGTACCCCGTAGTATAGTATTTTTGGCTCTGAGATGTGGACATCACCGACGTCACGTTACTGTCAATGCATTAGCATCCCCTCACCTTCGCCAGACTTGAGCTTCTCAAGCCCTTCTTGCAGTATTCGGGTCGTTAATCAACGAGCTTTATGACTATCCCTTGTGATGATATCGGGGGAGCATGGAGGGAGGCAGGGATGGATGCAACTCGCGACGATTGAACCAAGTCAAGTTTAGCTTCCCACTGTCGGGCCCAACGTACGCACTATAAATGTATTCCTGGAGAGACAAGACGGTCCAGAAGAACTCCTAGGTTTTCCAATCGTTCGAGCATGAACAGACACCAGTGTCCTGATTGTATCTCGAGTTCAGCCTTTTTGGGCCCTTAGGCATCGTCAGGCATGTGGAAGTATCCTTGACGGGCTAATAATTCTTTTATCTCTCGCGTCCCAAAAAAGGTAGCAGGACTAATTTCAATTTTCCAGAAGCTCAGCCAAGAGCTCCTGGGCTATCGCCGGCACAAAAGCGACATGACTCGGCACAGATTACTCGGTGCAGCTTGTTCAACGACTTTATAGGGGATCTAAGAGGGATAGGATAGTATCCTACCACAACCGGAGAGCTCGGTGAAAAGCGCCACGGTTCGTCGAATTTCCTAAGAAATGCCACAGAGATAAGAGCGGTGTATACGTATAGATAATCGTCTTTCACTCCAGAAGTGGCAAGGACAACGACCTTCAAATTCTTCAGCAAGCCGTGATGAAGTACTCGTGTGATGTGTTACATATCCTGAAACACTGACCACAGTCATGAGGTCTTCGGTCTGCGCCGCAACTGGGGGACGTGGGAATTGTGTATTCCTCGTCACGTTGCATGATTGAGCACCTGGCAGCTTCTTCCCCGTGCTGCTCATTACTCTGCCTGTGCCGCCACTGCTCTTGGGCAAGTGCGATTAGGATTCCCATAATATATGGATCCACGATGATATTTGCTGGCTGAAGAGACCGTAGCTTCTTATCACAAGTCCTAAACACGGGCTCGTTGAATCCCTTCCCCTGTGAGTTGTGTACGTACTTGCTCCGACGGGACTGTATCCCATCGAACGTGACGTAGGCGAGGGATGGGCCGGTGGATTTGCGGGAGAATACGCCCTCTGTCCATATACTCGCGACAGACTGCCGGCGGAAGTAGAAAGACAAAGGTTCAGAGCTGTGGCTGTCAGCGATTTCGATCGAGGATCGGCATGCAAGTAAGCTACCTAAGAGGACACAGATCACATGCGCCAAGTATTTCTTTGATAGCTGATTTCTTGACCTAACGTCCTTCGCCCTCCAAATTGGAGCATCGCACGACGAAGGTCTGAAAGCATATTTAGCTTTGGGAGATGGCGAACGGGGGAATCCAATAACACAATTTGCGAGTGTGGGCGCTCCTTCCTCTGGCTTGTCTGCAGAGTGAACCCACAACCCAAGAGCCGCAGATGTCTCTCAAAGTCCAGGCTACCGGAGGGACATATAGACGGTCTCGATTGTTAGCGCGTAAAATTGAATCTATCGAATTGGGCTCGACCATCTTATCGTTGGTTGCGGCCTGAAGTGACCGCGAGGCCGTACAGAAGGGCATTGATGATCATCAGTGGCCTTGCGCTTGAGTCTATAGCTGGCATCTCGTGGCGTTATTGCATTGTAAGTCCCAGATGTTTCTAGGCTGTGCTGGCCGCTTGCGAGTAGTGCCAAAGCTGAAGGAAGTTTGACGCGTCAGGAATGAAAGGAAATGTGTTTGGAAGCCAAGTCAAATGTCACGAGGTCATGTGCATAGACACTATAGATCCAGTGAGGGTTAATGTTTCTTAAAATTAGCACATACAGCAGGCCTTGCTTGGCCGAGAGCCGGTAAGTCAGTCCTTCTATGAATCATAACGGCAAATGGCTCACGGCATTTTTGAAGCTCAAAGTCGCAGCGAATTTGGGCGGCTCTCCGCGAAGTATGGGGGTTATCAAGTGGCTGCACAGCACCTCGAACCATGTTAACGGAATAGCTCTGCTATTAGATGGACAGCACGACACTTGCTCGTCTTTTGACTATTACCTCGTCAAAAAAGCCTTATCTTCAGATCATTGCGCCTGAGCATGAGAGTTGCCCCGTCTGTCATAATACTCCGGACGTTTATCCATGCGAGCCGGACCATTACTGGATAGAAACCCTGGCTACGGCCTGCCAGCTTGCAATTTTCGGAAAGCACAGACTCTCAGCTTTTACAGCTACCAGGCGGGCTTTTCTGGGTTGCCCTCGCATGTGCTTCACGTGCTGAAGGGAGCGCAGCAAAAGCATACCCTCAGCGCGAAAGACAGGCGCCGCACAGAGAAGGATATGTAGATTCTGCGGCAGCTATAGTAGGATCCTCCTCTCCCATGGGACATTCTTCATCTGAGTACGAGATTGATCCAAATGACGTTGACGAGGACGAACACGACGACGGGCGAAGTAAGCCCGAGGAAGTCACGGTCCATTTGCTTGACAGCTATCTATACTTTGCCTTGAACCTTTGCCTCCTTCAAGAGCCTAACAGCCAAGGAGAGATTCGGGTGCGAGTTGAACGCAAGAAGACCACCATTCAGGTTCCTGGCATGTATCATTTCACTGCTGGAAATGACGATGGGTTGTGTTGGTTGGATCGCCATGTTCATGGCTGGAGCATGGGTCTGCCAACCCTGGCCTTTCTTGAAGCCAAAAGAGCTTTCAAATTTATCCATATCGATGAGCGAACGTGAGAGTACCAGCCGATAGTTTCAAATGAGACACTAGCCCAATATCTCGGTGAGGCAATTGTGACATGGAAAGCGAACCAAAAGTTCCAGGAGCAAGAGTAAGCACTGGCTTTCACATTGCTGGTTAAATGGCAATTTTACATTCACCCATTTGCGCTCTAGTGTATTTCTTATTGCCGGGGCAAATACATTCTTGCGTTTCGTCCACTTTAGGTTATCTGTTGCAATCAAACCCCCTGCAACAGAGCTTAGATGAAAATTCTGATTTTCGGGGCGGCCCTCGCATATTGGAAAATGTATGTCATTGTTGCAATATGGCGATCACGAAAGAAATTCTGGGTGGTTCATAATATTCACGTCCAAACAGGGTTGCAACTCCTTAGCGGGCTACAGGGCCCCAGATGTGACTTTTACTGACTGCCTCGACAGCACAAGCTTCGGCAGGAATAAGGAGTTCAAAGGGACACTACACCACCCCCGTACAAACATATCTTGTAAAGGGTCGGGCCACGATAAAGTTGCATGCCGGAACAAAATGGGTGAGATGTTGTTTCGATACTTAAGCGGTCGAAAAATACTTCGTGGTGAACCAGCGCTGGCTGTACCCATAACCGGGCGAGGAAACAATATAATAAGCAGATCACCTGCTTATCTTATTTTCCCCTTACTAGAAACTCGTATCTGCTAATTCAGCAGCTCTGTAACCGAGGATATGTTCCGATTGTGTCGTGTTGGCTCTCTTTGAAAACAATATTTACGACAAGATGCTTTCCAGAGATGCTGCAGAATACCACAACACTCAGAACCCCCAGCAGCAAACTTTCAGCGGTGAATAAAAGTATTAGCGCGCTCATCCTCAAACATCAATACTAGAGATCAGTCTAGTTGTCTCACCACGGCCGTTTCAACAACGCGACGACCGTGAAACCGTCTAAAGATGCGCACTTTCCCTCTATAACATCAACCACCTGAGGCAAGTCAAGATCGTTAGACACAAAGGCATCAAACTTATCTCCGAAACTATTTCAATCTCACCATCCTAATGATCACCCTGAAACCGCACATCGCGTTCATCTTGCAGAACCGTCGTTGCTAAGTATAGCCATAGCCGCCCGAACCCAATAATGAGAACCCACCAGGAGGCCCAAAAAACGAGCTTTCACTCAAATCAGATACTTAAAACATCCTTATTCCAACAACAATCTAGCTCCAAACACATATAATTTCCCATTGACAATCACTATCGAAATTGATGTGCCAACAGCACTTCAAATTTGGTCCAATGAAAGAGACATGGCACTCAGCGCACAAGCCAAGAACGGCCAGAACCGCAGCACAACAAGCTTTCAGCAGAAACATACTACGAGAACTGGATGGGAAAACGAGATTAGATCTTCCCAACAACAATCTTCATCCATTCCAGTTTAGATCTCACACTATCCCAATACAGACATATCTCCGACCACGACACGAGACGAGACGTGGTGCATGCATGCGTCTAGAGTCTAGACGCACGGCACCCAACCCAGCGCTCAGGATCCGAGTATCTCATCCCCCTCCTCATCCTGCTGCAAGATAGATACCATGCATCCATCGTGCGTTCGCTAAAATTGAACAAGCAAAATCACATGTATAGCTCGGTCCGAGGAACAACCTCATGTTCCTGTTCCCCTCTCCCGCTTTTCCTCCTCCACAGTGAAATAGATTAACTGGTTCCTGCTCCTGCAGGAGGAACCACACCGCTATTGGGCCACGCCGGGGTGGATCGACAGTTTAGTGAGCCCTAAGATGCGGGGTGATGATATCAAACGGTGGCGTAGCGTAGCATACACTAGTTACTAGACATGAAAGCGCAAGAGCTTATCCTTTCCTTGCTCGGTTCACATGTAGGTCAAAATGTCGATAGCTACCAACGCATTATCCTCGGAGGTGGTATCTTGGTATGGTAGCCAACAAACACACCTCTGTCCCGCCCTCCTTCTCTCTTCCCCGGCAAGGGGTCTTGAAAAAATCTACTACTAGTACTACATAGTACTAGTCAGTCACTCTCAATTCTAGGCCCGATAAACAGAACCAGAAATACTAATAACCCCTATAATAGTATAAAGCCACACAGTCCGGATAATCAACCAACAATAACTTTTTAAACCCCTTACCAAATAATCAACATACTCAACCCATTCAATCTAATCCCGAACGCCTAACTCCCTCCCAAAACAAACCCGAATCCGAAACCAAAGATCAAAATGAACCTCAAACATCTCCTCCTCCTCGCCACCCCAATCTCTCTAACCCTCGCCAACCCCAATCCCAACCCGGTCGGGCCCCGAAGCCCCCAATCCACAGGCCTACTATCGGACCTCCCGTCCCTCATTGACAACCTCAAGGAACTCCTCAGCCAAGACACAGTCGACAACCTGGAGACGATCGTCAAGGGCGCGGCAGTGCTACTTGGGGGCGATACGCCGCAGAACCTGCAAAAGTTGTTGTCGAGTAGCAATATCGACAAGTTGCAGAATATTATCGATAATGCGGATTTGCTGTTGACGACGTCGTTTGTAAATGAGACGAGTGAGTTGATTGGGGATGCGTTGCCGGTAAGCCTATATTTTTCTTTGCTTCGGAGTATATAATATGTGAGAATACAATGCTAATGAGGGCCAGTTGGTGACTGATGTATCGGCGTTATTGACGGCTATTATGAAGACTGCGTGAGGTGCAAGAAGTAGTAGTAGTTTATAGGACATAGTATAGTGAAATGAAATGATGATAATGATATAATTAGTTGCCTTAGTTGCTCCTATTACTCCTAAGTACGAGACCAAAACGTAGCAGAAACCCAACTATACTAGATAAAAGAAGAAAACGCTAAGCATTCAACTTCCCCTTCAACTCCCCCAGATAATACCTCAACGGATACCCTCTCACCGACGCAGGCAGCGCCGGATACACCGCCACCGAAAACCCCATCGTCCCGCGATACAGTCCCCTCGTCTTAGCTGACGACTTGAGCCCATACGCCTCGCGGATCCGAGGAGGGAGCATCTCAATCGTAATAACCCTCAGCAGAGGCTTCACGGTTGAAACCCAGCGAGGCAAGTCCGTCCGATTCAGAAGATCCTTAGCGAAGAGATGCGCGTCCCCGCTGACATTCAGCCGCTCAATCTGGTCATCCCAGTACGTCCAGAACGCCTGGCGAGTGGGCGGCCAGACGTCCTTGGCAACGTTCAGACAGGACAAGATGGTAGAAAATTCAATGTAGGCCTTTTCAGCGGTACGATAGTCGACGCGGCCGTAGATACGCTGGTAGAAGTCGGTGGCGGTTGCGTAGAGGGTGGCTGTGAGCCACAGCTGGATGTAGGGGTCGCAGGGGAGTTTGGTAGGGAGAGGAGGGTGGTCTTTCTGAAGAAGGTCGAGGAGGAGTTTCTTCTCTTCTTTGGTGCCAAAGACGAGGCAGGCGATGTAGCTGAGGGCTGTTTGGAGGGTGTTGCTGAGGTCGGTGGCGAGGTTGTTGTCGGTGCTGGTGTTGGCTGGGGTAATTGTCTCGGTCTTGGTTTTGGTGGCTTCCTCGAAGGCGGATCTGATGTTGGGGTAGGCGGCTTGGAGAAGGAGAGCGGCCCCGGAGCCGGCAAAGAGAATACCTTCTTGGAGGATTTGAGGGAGGATTTCGAGCTTGTCGAGGGCTTCGAGATGGTTGGTGGTCACAGTGGTGGTTTGGGAGGAGACCGGGGAGATGCGGTCTGATGTTGCTGCGGCGGCTTTTTCGTCCATTTTGCTTATGATATGGGTTGGTGGTTTGTATTTGGTGGATAGGTAGTTAGTAGCTGCTTGGATATTATTATTGTCTGACAGGTGCGATTAAATCAAATTGATGATTAACGGCCGACGCTGATAAATGCAGCTCGATGCACATGCCGGTGCAGCGACATTGCAGGGGGGAACGAGAATATACGGGCACAGGCACATCCGCGGCCTGCAAGCGAGAAAGCATATCGATCAATCCTGCGATTTGATAGACAAACAAACCTCTCACAGCAGGGAATCAGTTGACCCATGATTTACTTTGCAAAGGACTGTGGATAAGCATCCCCGCATCCCCATCGGGCAAGGAGTCCGAAATCCCCAGAACACAGTGGATCATCCCCCGTTTCAACCCAAAATCGAGGGATGCCCTAAAAGCATCCACCAAAACCGGGCTCCGAAATCAACGTTCAACCGCGGTTCTCAATAGTCGGGCGGATCGTCGCCCTGACCAGGCCGCATGTGAACCCAATCCATGGGTCATCATTGGGCCTGCAATTTCCCACTTGCACTGATCGACGGGTTCCGGGACGATCCTTGCGGAGAGATGGCAGGGGCTTGAGGGTTGCATTCCGAGGGCGGCAGGTGTATACGAGAATCATACACGTTAGCAAGGTTTCTTAACTAGTCGGTGGGTTGCCAATGGCTCCATGATATCAGCCGTTACTATATCAGATCAAGCACCCCGGTTATCCGCCCCTCTTCGCCGGCGACCGTCCCAGCAGCAAGGGCCACACCATCATGGACGAGAAGAAGACCTATCTCGCCTCCAAAGAGGCCAAATACGCCCTGGGTACTCATCGTGGTCCTCTGCCCACTGAAGGCCTGGAAATTGAACATGTTGAGACGGCCAATTCCATCTCCTTGGAGCCGGTGAAGCGCACGCGATCGCAGACTCTGCGTCGCCATTGGGCTCGGTTCTGGTGTTGCTACGCATTCTGGGGCATTATTTTCCTGGCGATTTTTCTGCCCATTTTGTATGCTTCCCTTTCTTTTAATTGTCACCAGTCTATTCCGGGGCAATGACTGACCATTGATCAGCTTTTGCGTGATTATTCCCGCCATTGCTCAGCGGGTCCTGGACAATGGCACTCTCGTCCTTGTTCACGCCGACGTGCTCCAGCCACGCCCCAATTCCATCATGCTCAGCATCAATTCCGCCCTGAACTTGCCCATAAGCTTCCCTGTGCGTATGGATAACTTAACACTCTCACTCTTCAATCGCTTTCTCCCGGAGAACAACACCTGGGCAAAGCTATACATGGACGGGGCTACAATCAGCGGAAACACAACCCTCAGCGTGGATGACCAGTTTACTCCATTGGATGTCTATCAGTGGACACAATATGTTCGCAGTGTGGTCTTCGAGGCCCATGCTCCATTGTCCGTCAAGGCTCCCGTCACTGCATATATCGGAAAACTGAAGTCCCACATCACCTTGAACAAGGACATTAAGCAAAACAGTGCGTCTCCCTGAGCCTTATTATCTAGAGTGAATTGCTAACTGAATGCTCCAATGTGACAGCCCTCAACTCCTTCGCCGGCTTTTCTATATCCGATCCAAAACTTCTCCTTCCCGCCGAATCCGACGGCACTAACCTGGTCGCCAACGCAACCCTTCCCAACCCTTCTGTGATGACTCTTGAAATCGTGAGTCCTCCTACCTATATATGTACTATAGCCAATCCTGACCGAACTACAGGGCAACACCACTCTTAACCTCCTCAGCGGCAACCTCACTCTCGGAAACTGCACTCTCAACAACCTCATGCTCAGACCAGGCAACCACTCCACGCCCGTGCGAGGGATATTGGATCTTGGTACACTCATCGAAAACATCGGCCCTATACTAAGTGAACAAAGCGATTCAATCAAAGAAGGCTACTTAAGTCTCACGGCCGTCGGCGCGAACGTCGAGTACGAGGGCGTTCAGGTCCCCTACTATACGGAAGTGATGAAGAACCTGACCATGACGGCGAAGGTGCCGCTAGGGTCGCTAGTCACTAATACTCTAAGCGGCATCTTGCACCCCAATGGGACCAATATCTTCGCGGGGTTGAATATGACTACTGATAGTGGGGAGACATTTACAGTTGGTGAGGATAAGGCGGATGGTGGCAGTGATGGGGCATCGTTGGGGCGAAGGGCATTGAAGATGCTGGGGCAGGAAGAGAGGAGGGATGAGGTGGTAGATGTCTTGAAGGCTTTGATAAAGAGGGGAGCTTACGAGATATGAATATGGAGTTTACTGTTGGGTTTGGGCGATGGCGCTGGCGTTACTATATATAGTATAACCTGTTGATACTCTTGTTGTTAATGTATACCTGAGCTGGGTTTGGGACAATTATGGGTGGGATCGTCCTAACGAGCAGACTTCTTCGTTGAAGTATACCCAAACGGTTACTTGCATCCAATCAATCAGTCTTCATCATCTATCTATCAAAGTTCCTCACAGACCCTTACATCCCTCCCCCACCCCCTTGATCATTCAGATGCAAGACATACCCGCAAGGGTATGTGCATCATGCATCACCAACCAAACCGTCCCATGACCTCACCCCTCCATCCCTGTTTTCAACTATCTTCTCCCTCCCTCCCAAACCATCCCTCACTCCCATAACCCATCCAATGATGGCACCACATAGCCTGAACATCGCCATAATCGGCAGCGGCCTCGCCGGCTGTCTCGCCGCCCGTATCCTCCGCGAGCAACACACCGTGACCATCTACGAGCGCGATACCGCCAAAGCCGAAGCCGGGGCCGCCATCAACCTCGGCCCCAATGCCGTGCACATTCTCAATAGTGTAGGCTTTGATCGTCGCCGTGCCTGCTCCATCCCAGTAACTCGGGTTCTGTCGTACAACAAGCAAGGCGAGCTGACGCGGGAATCCATCCATGATTACGTCCAGGAGTTCGGAGCGGACTGGTTATTTCATCATCGGGTGGATCTGCGAGATGAGCTTCTGCGGTTGGCTACGGCTCCGTCGGAGGAGTTGGGTTTGAGTGGTGAGCCGGCGAAAGTGCGATATGGGGCGAGGGTTGTAGGTGGGGATGTTGAGGAGGGGAGGGTGATATTGGAGGATGGCGAGGTGGTGGAGGCGGATCTTGTTATTGGTTTGTTTGTTTCTTTCATTCTTCCCTTTTCTTCGGTCTACCTGGTGTTAAATGATATCGTTCGATGCAATACTGACAATGAAACAGGCGCCGACGGGATCCGATCCATCATGCGCGGCCTCGTCGTCAACGACGACGCATACATCACCGCGCAGCCATCAGGCTCCTCTGCATTTCGATTCACCATGTCCCGCGAGAAGGTCATCGAGCTACACAATGGAGAAGTGCCCGAGATAATGGACTCAAGTAAGCCAGGCACTTTGATTGGTGTATACGCCCTTGACCCAACGGAGCGACGAGTGATTATGTATCCGTGTCGGAACTACGAGATCCTCAACTTCGCCGTGCTCGCACCAGATAATATGCTGAAGGCACCGGCGTCATCAGATTCATGGTCCGCGCCGGGCGACAAAGACGAGATGATCTCGCTGTTTACGGATTTTCCAGAGTGGGTGGTTAAGTATTTCCGGTATTCTCCCCCTTTCCCTCAATACTTTATGTGGTACACTGACATGGAAATAACGGCTACAGTGCAGCAGAAAATATCAAGCTATGGCAACTCCGCATGCAGGACCCATTACCCACGTATATCCGCGGACGAACGGTCCTGATCGGCGATGCTGCGCACGCCATGACGCCTCATCAGGGCCAGGGAGGATGCCAGGCCATTGAAGATGCAGAGGGGTTCCGGCTTTTCCTTGGAAACCATGTCACAAGGGAGAGTATCCCTTCTATTCTGGAGGACTTCGATCGTGTACGCAGGCCCCGGGCGTCGCAGATTCAGCTGAATACTTCGCAAGCTACAGCGAGACACTCAGCGAAGGAGATTTATCGGTTTCGGAAATTCAATTTCACCTATCATGGGATTTTTGAGGAGCTGAAGAGAATCAAGACGGGTGAGGAAGTGGGTCAGGGGGAGCAACTCGAGAAGGAGTCTCAGCTACATTCTGCTGTTGGATCATGTCGCTGTAGACCATGTCAAACACACACCTAGTTTTGTTAGCGAATATAATGGCTAAAGTAGTTGCCCAGACATCAACTTCGGTTGTGTAGTGTAATGGTCATCACTCTGGATTCTGATTCCAGCAATCCCGGTTCGATCCCGGGCACGACCTTTTCTTTTCCTTTTTCTTTTTTTCCCCTCCACATCACTACATCGCTGATGCAAATTAGGACCCAAGGGAATTGCCTGTTTCCTGGTTTGTTACTGTTTCGCTCGACTATATCCAAATTGGCTTTTTGTTCCCGATTTGGACACCTGGAGGACTCTTCCAACGTGGATACTACAATTTTCACTAGCGATGAAAGTAGCCTACATTGTTACTACGCAGCTGCAGAAGTTATATATATTATTGCAGTGCGCTAGGATTTGTATAGCTTCGCTTATCAGTTGCTCCTGAATTCACCAGCATGCATGCCAAACCACTCACTCTTGGTGACGCGTGAATCCGGCAATATATTAGCAAATAAATTCACGGGAATATGTGGAATATTTCACAGTGAACCCAATGTCTCCCTCCCAATAGGAGAGTCTATTGAATATTTTAAATCACTCTTCTCAAATCACCACTGACTGTGCATTTCGCTTAAGATAGGGTAATGACATGAAATGTCATGATGCTATATTCACGGAGAAGCATTGAATGATGGCTCACGTGAGAAGCAATATATAAACCTGGTGCCATCCCTCTTCTCTCCTTCTCTTCTTCTCATCTCCAAGCAGCTACCAGTAGTCCCACTATCAGTACTACGTTATATTATACTATCAACTATGATACAGCTACATATGATGCTTGATAAATATATTTTCTGATACTTTTCGTTGAAACATTCGAGTCAACCAGTCTGCTGAGTGGCTATCGATATATAGTTCGGGTCTACTTGGCTACATGCTGCCCGAAACCTATTCGAGCTCTACTATGAGCCCTCGCTAGTTGCAGGAAATGTCATGCTCTGCTTCATACTAGCTATAATAGGCCCAAACAGGGGCTCACGGAATCTGGCAGCGAGGAAGTTAAACAACGGTGGGCTGGGCCGTTTACGGTATGTACATGATCCTTCTCTTACTCCTTCATACATCATACCATCATAACAACTTAAGGGATAGCTTCACTAAACTAACCCTATACAGGTTCCACAACACGAAAGAACTCCCAACAAAAGCGGCGCGGCACTTTCGGGTTAACCAGACCCAACACTGTATCATCATAAACCGGTGCAGACGAAAAGAGTGCCATCTGCGGCAGCCAATTGTGGTCGGTTGGCCGGTCGGGTTTAGCATGCTTCTGATACCTGTCGGGGCTAGTGTGTAGATCCCTGGCTTCAGCCTAGAGGGACACAGATGTTGGGAAAACACAAGAGAGTTCTCAACAAAAAGAGATTCAGCGCTCTCGATCGACCCAGACATGACACCGTCTGTTAATTATATGAAGATATAGAATAAAGAAGGATGCCATCTGCGGCAGCCGATTGCTGTTTGCTTGGCTCAACCTGCTGTCTGTGATAGCTGTTGGGACTTTATGAATCTCTGGCATCAGCCTCGAAGGAAACGGTGATGCTGAGAATATATACAAGAGTTCTCAACACGAGAAAAAGACAGCATTTTCGGTAGATCCAGACCTGACAGCGTCTGTATCATCATATAAAATTAAAAACAAAAGGATACCATCTACGGCAGCCGATTGCGATTTTCCTGGCTCAGCCCGCTGGATTTGGCACCCGTCGGAGTTATCTACGTCTCTGGCATGAGATGTTAAGCAAACGAAAGACTGCCAACAGGAAGGCATGTATCATCCTCGACAAAAACACTCTTCAGACTCGCATCGTCGCCACGAGAATGATATCGAAAAAAAAGGTACCATCTACGGCAGCCGATTGGGGTTTGCTTGACCCAGGCCGCTAGTACCTCTGACGCCCGTCGGTTTTATATAAATCTCTGGCTTCAGCATAGTAGAGAGACACGAACATCACAGACATCTATATAATGGTGGGAAAAGTCACACTCACTATAGACGCTGTTTGAATCACTCTTCTTCAGCAGCAATAATGGGTGGGGTCTCGCCTTCTTCGAACAAAGACAACGTCAACTTCATACCGAACAGCTACCTATATGATAGATCTGTTGTGGATGCCCAAGTATTGGAACCCAAAGACTATTGGGAAACTCGAAGATTCGCCATTTGACAGGGCTTTTGACACATTGCCTGGTTTTCTCCGGACCTAAGGAAGGCAAGAGTCTAGTCCTCAGAATAACTGCGATGAATTTGTCTTAATATGCAACAGATGGGTGATGAAGACGAAACGAGGCGTCTGCCTTTTTGAGGACTCACTTCCAGGTCTGAAATGCTCTTCTAGGCATCTTATCATCCACACTTGAGATAGACGCACTCAAGCCTCTGCAAAACTGCTAAAGCGCCGAAAAAGAGAAGAACAGGGAATTGTCCTTGCGAAATTCTTTTCATCGTGTGGTGCATACCCACCAAGACAAACATGCCTGGTCTGATACATCGGTGACAAAACAGCTGGCACGGGAATGGTGTGTACGATCAGGAAAAAAGTGAGGTGGTTGTCCATCTCAGGAACGAATAATCACACCCAACTGGTAGAACCTGCATAGGTCTGATGAACCTGGAAGAGAGCGGGAAAGGTCTTCGAGGATACAGCAGTCTGGAATCATGCGCTATACACATACGTCCTATAAGACTTGAGACTGGCTCAGACTAGCACTTAAAGGTTTAGAGTCATTTGGCACAGCTATCCCGGATGCGACCAGCCCTTGGCCCTTGGGGGTATGGAATATACAACCAGTCCATTGATGAAGCACCATGAGGAGACTTCTATTCCGTATGATGACGGCGCAGTTGGTCGATGCCTGCATTAACTGTTTCGTATGCCTCACGGAACATGGACACTATGCTATATATACTACATAATGCGCATCTGTTCACGTGAAAACTTTCGGCTTCGGTTTCCCCCAGTCTAGCAGACGTGTTTACTGCCCCAAGGATTCTGGAGAAGGTTAGTAGTATTCTAGCCTAGACTCAGTCTCTTGAAAACTAAACTAACGCATTATAATAATCCTAGGCAAGCACTGACTATGCATCCTATACCAACGCTCTTCTAATTCTTAATCGCAGGATCGAATTCACCCACAGCCGGTGACCATGCCACACACCATGTCTTATCGACACAATACCTATTTCTGGCTCCCAGGACGGGACCAAGCAGGTCCGCAAACGGAAAGACACTACGAGGCGACATAGATTTCTTCAATCAACATTCTCTGCAATCATTTGCGCTGGATAACGAATAAGAGAGAATTCAGAAGAAGAACAGAAGAGAAGACATCTTCGCGGCCTGCTCCCAAGAAGAAACCGGCTACTTATATAACACCTATGCTCTGGGATGAGCCTATATCCACAAGTGTCCAAATTTGCTGAAACCAAACCCGAAGTCAACCTTACTGGCTGGACCACGAACCTCCTAGGAAAGGAAGAAGTCGGAACTAATCCAAGAAACCAAAGTGCCAGTCCTGACCACGGCATAGTGCTGCAGAGCTCCGTGCAGATATCTATGCCAGCAACTTTGGACGGGTCAAACTTTTGCAGAGAGCAATGTATAGCTTCTCCCGTCCCGGTGTTCGCGAAGCAAGGCTCGAGTTCGCTCGACGCGCATTTGTAACTAACTACAGTATTTGGAAAAGAGGCCTTACAATATTAGATACTCGATTCCAAGCTGATCGTTTCACTTGGGATAAACTACAGTTGACCAAGAAGTTTGGGGCATTTACAACGGAAGAGTTAGACAACGATCTGATCCTTGAGTGGTGCCCAGTATTTCCAATGATGATGGTCAAAGAGTGACCAGCATTGTTGGTAAGAGGTTGTTCGATATTTCTGGACCAGCTAATCGGAGATATCATATTCAAGTGCTTTCTGGGATGACAGGAGACATACAAGTGAAGGAGCGACTCTCCCCCCATGGTGCATTATACTCGAGGGCAATGTTCTTGGTACTTGCTGTGCTCTGGGATTTCATTTCAAATACCATACTCGCGTCGAGTCTACTTCTATCAAACATGTAATGCTGTGGTCTGTTCTCTCTCGGAAGATCTGTCGCTGCATGGGTTGATACGGTGATGTGTTTTGGACAAGATTTGAAATCTGATAGTACCTGTGGGGTATATATACAAGCGAGCCTTTGGGGGCGATGTATAAAGATGGTGTGATCATATTCTTAGCTGACACTCATGTACTATGTATCTATTCTGATTAACATAGATACATCTATACTAGTATATTTTATACCAAGTTAATTGTATCCTTCAACCAGCTACAAATAAGTGTAAGATAATCTGCCTCGAAGTCATCAAATAAGACACACTTCACTTCTTACCAGTTTGACTTATCGTTTGGGAATCATGGAAGAAAATAATGCGAACAAACGCCGAGTCGAAACATCTGAGCCACCGTATGTAAATAGTCGATATTTTCTTTGAGAAAGAGAGAAAAGAAAAAGAGAAAGGAAAAAGGGCAGAAATAATCCTTTTATTCCAGTCAGTCCAGGATGCAGTTGGATACTGCTAGGAACATCTCAACCTAACTGGAATTATTATGTCAAGCCAAAGTAGCCATGTCTGCCACTTCTGTGAAAAAAGTCCATCGCACAGTAAAGCAACTAAGCAGATAGTGATTGACTTACAGGGACAATTGATTGGATGAATTTAACAAAAGGAGATATGAAAAGTTGAATAATAATAAAAAAAGTAAAATAAAATAATGAAGATAATAAATGAATAAATGAATAAGAGATTAGAACATATGAGTAAATAAGTAACAAATATAGAAAATATGTATATAATAAATCAAATCGCCTGTTTCAGCCAACCGCAGCAATGTATGCTGAATTCTATGCTTCACAAGGTCGAAATAACCCGAAGAAAATCCCAAGTCCCAATGTAACCACTACTGCATCCAATATCATAGAATAAGCTGGAATCCGGCAATGTGACGCTCTCAAAGCCAGTCAATTGATTACTTTGGTTATCGTACGAAGACGCCTATGCTAGGATGGGGTGTCCTTGTTTTGGAGGCAGGGATTAGTAGGGTTGGTAAGGGATATACGGCCAATTGATGATCGGCAACACGGCATCTGCGAAACTGATATAGCTCAATGAAATTACGAGCACATCATATCACTTCCAGTACTTTGTACACATGGGAATATGGAAGGCTGCCGGAAAGTGGACATCGGCGGCTTTGAGGCCGGCATGAGCGACAACTATCAACAACCGACCAAGCAATCAACCAACCCAACCCAACTGAATCCCTTGATGCAAGTTTTGATCAGGACACAGAGACACAATTCAACGGAGCTTTCAGGTCCAATAAATGACAGTCTGCTACATTTCATGTGTCGGATTGATTGGCTAGTATGCGTCGTTGGGTAAACGCTCGTAGGCACTTTGAGGCCCGGGCTCAATGGCCAACAATACTACCTTATGGTTCGGCACAGCCTCGATATTGTAGCTCCGACCAGATGTCGGCATTATGGCAAGACCGAGGAAAGGTCCGACGGTGGCGAAGGCTTTGACTCTCAGATGGAAGCGATGAGGCCCTGGGTGGTCGAGATACGCCATTTGGACAACGCCAAATTATTTTTTCACTGCAGTGAGCACACACATATAGCCCAGTCACGCCGCATGCGTGCTATTATACTTTGCCTTCCGCCCATCTTACGCTTGGTTACTCGGTCAATCGCACTCGATATACTTGCTAGCTAAACTCGTCGTTACTATTCCAGAAAGCGAAAATGGGCAGAATATACACACGACCCGAATTCCTCCTTCCGATCTTCCTGGCGGGCGCCGTGAAACTTGACGGAGTCAAGGTCATCCTTAACATTTTGTCTACTGCTGTTCTGTACATAATTGTTGGATGGATATTGATCAGAAACGTTCCGGTACATGCAGTTCGATGGCTGAAAGTGACAACCAGTTCCTTGTGCTCGGAGCTTGTCTCTCAGCGCTTGGACGCTTGGAGACATTTCCTGACTCTTCATGGGAAGCTGTACGAGTATGTGCGGTCGAAATTGCCGCTAAAGTCCGTCCAGTGGTGGTGGCTGTCTTGAAAGAGGTCCAGGAGGCCACCGTGGAGCTCTATGGTTTTGTGGTGGCTGCATTCAGAGCTATCAAGCAATGGTTTGCCTGCAAGGAACAGGCCAGCCACGAGCATGATGAACAGGCGCGAAGTATGTTTTTCTGATCCCAAATCGATGACACTGTTCTCATTCTCTCAGATGCTTGGTGCAAACGTGTCGTTCTCATCGTGACAGTAAAGTCGAGTAGGTCCTACAAGGCAATCAAGGACGCCATAGGAATTGATAACGACTCTCCCCCCTTTACTCGGGCCTGCAGCCAGACTGAGTCACTTCCACCACCACCCTCATTCATGCGCCATTTTGCCGTTTGATTAGTGCCACAGGCGATATGGGTGGATGAGACAATGAACCTGCTGCAGAAATTCGAACACGGATCGTTCTTCGGGCTCGTCGGCCCCGATATGACTGACAAGGAAGGTGGTGGTGTCTGCTGGGAAGAGGAAAAGGTCCGAAGCATAGATGGGATCGAAGAGGTCGGGTTGGTCACTTACGATAACGAAGCAATAATTGAGTCATGTGAGTCACACCCGCTGGCCTTCAAGATATCTACCAGAGCTAACCAGACCGGAACGATTAGTTTACAACCCCCTGCGAAAAGCATGGGGAAGATATGACACTATCTGGTGGAACTGTACTGATTTCACCATCCGACTAGCATGTATGATTCTGCCAGACCCTGACCACAAGCAGCTCCTGCGACGACTGCTGCTATTTGTCTGTGACTCTCGCCTGTGGGCTCTCAAGTACGCCTTAACAAATCGCACGGGAGAATGTTTACGACGGGCTGGGCTGGTGCCATGATATCAGGGTTGGGCGTTTTCGGATCTACTCTCTTGATAGGAGCAGCCCCTGTCGTGTTCCCAATTGCGTGCGTGGGATCCTGTACTTTTGGTTTGGGAAGCGGGATTCTGGACTCCTGGCGAAGCGGTCGCGTTGGTGCCAAAGAATATCCTGAATGGAGGAGACAATCAGAAAATTTGGAGCAGCAGTTTCCCCAGCTTCGGGAGTTGATTGGGGAGTAATTGGCTTACAGTCTTCCCACGTGGTAGCCGTCAAGAGATAGGAAGTATGGTGTTCACAGGGAGTTCGGGAAGAAAGAGAAGTATAGAATGCTAGCAGTTTGCAACACATCGTTAATACTCTCCTTCATGCAATGGAAACATCACGCAAGTGTATCAGCGAGCCAGTCTCCAAGACCAGGTTATGAGAAGCCGCTCTATGGATTGATAATGACCACAATGGGTCTGTGTCTTCCGCAGGAAGAGTAGAAAGATCAAGAAGAGGAAGCCAGAAACCCCAGCAGAAAGTAGTAGAAACGAGCCTCAATCACCTGACGCATACGAGTCATTCAGCAAAGAAACCACTCATTCAGAGAAAGATGCTACCGGCATACTTCCACAGAACCTAAGTTATAGAATGACAAATCCATAATTCGAACCCCAACTAATCTATCCGTAACAATTTCCCCCACGAAGTAAATGACGAACTACTATAGTAGAGGTGTACTAGGATCGGATGGATCCATCTATCCATCTAAATTGACCCCTAGATAGACTGAAGTAATAATCTAAGGCAAACCGTTGAAACGCCCCCCCACCGGCCGTACTTTATCCCCATTCGCTCAACGTACAGCTTACTCTAATCGGTATGGAGAACGTCCCTCACAAACGGTCGGTCCAAAGTGTAAAAGAAGGGCCTTGGATCCTTTCGTTTGTCTCAACTCGGATCCTTCCTGCAGGTATCTTTGTCGGGACTTTTCTTTTTCCTTGGAGCCAAGAAATAGCCGATTGTACGAATGAAATCAATTGCATGCGAGGACTCTGGGTCCAGCCAAGTTGTCAGAATAAGACAAGTCAGGTAAGAAGATAGTAAGCTGACAGCTGACGATCCGATCCGATCAGCTCACCCGGCACACGACCCCAACCACCTACAACAAGGAAGAATAATCACATTTGCGCACGCACACCAGACTAGTGGGTTTATAGTAATTTTTTTATTCTTCTCATTATCATCTGAATCGTCTATTCTAGGATATTATGGTATGTTTGGTAGTGTGTATGTGTGTGTGTGTGTGTGTGTTCCCACCCCTGTCTCAGACAAGAGTAAAACCCACTTGCTGCTAACTAGGCACGCACCGGCAAAACCCTTGCACAGCCTCGTCCGGTGCCAAGGGCAGTGCAACTCGACTCAAACTCATCACACCCTTACCGAAGCCAATACCCCCGTCGAATAGAAAGATACAGGGCCTGTTCCTCACGGACAGATGGCACCGGCTGGTTCGCCCTTCGACTGCCGATTAATGTGTGCACGCCCACCCGTTCGCGTCCGATATCTCCGATGGCTGGTCGCTCCATGCCTACTGGGGCATCGCACTCGTCCGCTGGCAGGGCGCCTGCTCCACCACGGGTGAGATTCATGCTCTGTAAGCCGGGCAGGCGTAGCGACGGGTCGAAATTGATCAGCACAATCGCCTGATGTCCGGTCCCTTCCAGGCCTTCCTGATCAACCGAGTACACGAGGGACCGTTCGTCGGCGGCTGCCTGAACGGGGCCACAGCGCTTCGATGGGCAGAGGAGCTGAGTCAATTCCCGCGGGGCGTTGTCGGGGGGCCACAGACGGACCCCGCGTGAGGCGTAGCGTTCTTCGCTGTGCTCAATCGGCTGGCCATCCGCATCGCTGAGTTCGGGGCGGAAGAGCAGGCCCGGTTCGCCTTCGTCCCCGTTCTCGTCAATGGGACATTTGCGTTTGCGTGATACCATGCGCACACGGAGTCGGTCATGGGGGATGAAGCTGCCGGGGGTGTCCGGAGAGGGGTCGTTGACCAGATCGATAAACGTCGAAGCGGAGAGGTTGTAGCTGCGGAATTTGGTTTTGGCAAGAATGTAGTCTTGTCGTTGGGCCGGTTCCGCGCCGTGTGCGTATTCCTGGTGGAAATGCCGGCGTAGACGCTTACGCGGGGGTTCGTAATTGGGTTTGCTGGTGGAGTCGAGGGTTCTGGTGAGAGGCTCGTCAGGGAGGGTGACAGGCGTTGCGTTGGGCGTGGAATGCAAGCCTTGCTGCTTATTCTGAGTGGCTTCGGCTGGGGACGGTAAAGGCTGCATGTAATATGTGCGTGCATTTTCACTCCTACCATCGCGCCATTCCCGGCGGCATTCGAGGATCATCAGTCGCTTGGTTGCCTCATCCTGGCGCAGCGTGAGATCCGACCAGGTGTCATTGATCGGGCCTTCACGATGCTGACGACGCCAAGTACGGTTGGGCGTGATGAATCGTTTGGCGGCGTTGGACTTGGGGGGAAGACAGAGCCACACGTAGTACGAGGTCCAATCGACCTCCTCCGCTTCAAAGTCAACGAGCGTTGACACTGCGTAGAGGTGGTCCTGATGAACTTCAAAACATACGGTCTGCCCAATCTCGCTGCCGGCGAAGTTTTCCAGCACGGTTGGCTTTTCAGTCATGTGCTGGCTTGTTTTGAGATCCACACAGTGGATTGCCCATTGTGAGTAGCCACGATCCCCCATGGCGGTGTGCGTTCCGTAGTACAGATAGGAGCCATTGTGTCGAACAAATAATCGTCGTGTGTGTTGAAGCCGAGTCAGGAGACGGAGTCGACCACATTTCTTGTTGGTCACTTTGCGTCGCATGTCCACTACCAGAAGCCAGGCTTCGGGTCTGTCTACAAACTCCACTGTAAATGCCAGAACCCAGTTACTGTAGTACATGAGGCAGACCTGGAACGTATCTGTCTGTGGATTGCACCCTTGGATAGCCCGGGATAGGACGTTGTGGATGTTCAGCACCTGCTCAACTTGGCTGGCACCGTGCACGTCTAGAACGCGGATTTCATCGTTGTAGATGTAGCTGAGACAGCCCTCACTGTAGATGAAGGAGCTCGCATAAGCCAGAATGGAAGCAGAGTACGGTTGTGCTGTTGCGAATGATTCCTTGATGTCGAACAGGCGCCCGAGAGCCCTGCGATATCCAGTCTTGGCCTGATGTGCCTGTTGTCCTTCCTTCGTATGCAGTAAATCATTCTAAAACAGTCAGTATAAGACCCAATTCACAAACAAAGAGGTGCTACTTGCTTGGATTGTCTTGCGCGCAATTGATTCATTTTGCACCAACTGATTTAATGTTCGGTTAACGCGGCTAAGATGAATGAGGTCTTGACAGTCGAGGGTAGAAGCCACTTGGTAGAATACATCATAAGGGATGCTATCCAAATTTCTGACCATTCCAGAAGTGACCATGGCGAATGGCAGGGCTGCAAACCATATATGGAGAACGGACGAGGAGGAGGAGGAGCAGAGAGGAGGGAAAGGATGCGCGCACTGCCACACCGCACTTATACCATCGACGAAACACAGTATGGGCGAAAATATGAGAATCGACAGAAATAAGGGCGCGGATGACCCCACGTATGGTTAAACACAACGTCACTCGATCAGTGAGATGTTAATGCCCAAACGTGAATGTTGGTTATCTTGGATTCACTGCTGATCGGAGGCGGCCAGGTAGTATACAGAGTGTTGGTAAGGATGATACTGATCCACATTGAAAAAATAAGGTTTAGTGGAACAGCACTTTAGACAACAAACAGCCATGCACTGGACACATGGACGCGTCTGGAGAGAGAGCTGTTGAACAGCTGCCATGGTTTAGTCTTAATGCCGCTGGGGACAATGCGGCTCTGTTGTTGTGCCTGGGTAAGCTTTGCATGGGAACGTTCAGAGGGGCGAAGGAATGAGAAAAAAGTGGGATATTAGGCCCGAGAAGCAACATCATTGGCTTGAGGGACGCGGGAAGCATACCATCTGGGAGACAGGAGGATGGATCATAAACCTAACTAGTAGATAGCCCAAGCGGCGGCACAGAGCGACAATGCGAAGAGAGACAGGCATCAGCAGCGATTTTCAGCTTAGCTTGACGAGGGAGGGGCGGTCAAGCGGTAAACCCAAAACGGGGGGTGATGAGAGACGGTCTCAATGGGGAGCCTCATAGTGGGAATGAAAGTTCCGTTCCCTGGAGAGCATTTGACGCGTTACCAGGGGACAACCTGGGCAAGGCTGCATTCGAGTGAGCCGTGCGACTGACTGCCACTGTTTAGGCAGTGGCATTGTTACTCATGTTTACTACTGACACTACCACTACCACTACCACCACTACCACCACCGCTACTACTATTACTACTACCAGCTGGTCCAACGCTAATTTTAGTAATGACCGACCGTAGAAAAGGCACACCTCTTTTTGCCCCCCTTTCGGAATTGGTAATCGGACCAGACTCTTGAGGGAGGCCAGACCAGAATAGGCAGTGACAAAAACAAAAGAAACCAAAATCATTTGGAGGCTCAACTGCCCAGCCGGATGGAGACGCGGCCGTGGCCAAGGGGCGTAGTAGTAATAATTAAAGGAGCAATGATGTTTGAAGGGGAAGGCGAAAGAAGTTACGCAAGGGAGGCGGCGGGCTGGGAGTGACTGAGGACTCCGGAATACTACTGTACTAACCCACTAGACTAACTGGTTTGGGCCATGGATTTCATCATCCATCGGACCTGCGCGGCTGCCATCATTTGCAGCCTCAAAGCCTCCATCTCAGTCACCTGCGGAGCCGCGTGCCTCCCATCTCCCGATCGCCCAACCCGGTCACGGAATTCCCCTCTTCGGTGGGTTTGAAATCTCAACACGAAACTTTGAGCTAATTTAGTATGCAAAAGAGGAGGCTGAAATGAAGGCTGAAATGAAACCTCCCCCTCTCTCCAAAAAAGAAAAACAATCAAATGGCGAGACCCAACGGTGGCAATTCGCAACGCTTTGCGGCTGAATCTATTGGTGCACTGATGCCTCAGGCCTGTAACCCCGTGAGGCTGCGATGATCTCTAATCAACTTCCTCGACTAGTGCGGCCCCCTTTCATTCCTCCGTCGGCAACCACCGGTGGGTATATCGCGCAAAGGGGCCACTGGTCATCTTGGTCGGGTGATAACCGTATTTCGGAGCTACGTCAGGGTCATCCTGCATTTCCGTACGAAGATCCTTCATTCATCAGCAAACTCCTGCTCCTGCGATCCCACTTTGCGTTGATCAGAGCGCCAATTGACTCTCCAATGGCCGTTGTCATACTAGGAGCAGGCTCCCGGCGGCATTCTGGTGATAAGGCCGGGGCATCCCGTGGCATGCATCAACCCCGCTTGCACTGCCTCGAATCTGCGTAACGGGCTCGGATAGCCTGAAACAGGTACCGAGCACTATCAAGGGAGAACGCACGGAGCCCTGAGCTGCACGTTTGGACCACATCAAAACGAGCAGGGAGTGAGTGTGTTCTGGACCCTTGATGGGTAAGCACTTGTGGTCGAGGTGATGCGGGATCACTTGCTTGCTTGCTAACAGCCTTGTCGATTGCCCCAAACGTGCAACAACGCGTGGTCCGTGGCATGTTCTGCTGCCAATAGGATATATGCCGGTAGAGATAAGCACTTGCCATGTTTATTATTTCTTCTCTGTGACTGCGGGGGTGATTGTGATCTATACATTGCTGCCGTCATCGTGGACGATCACTGCGGCTTATCCCGCAAAGCACAATCTCACGATGCTCGATGATCGCAAGACTTGCCTTGGGGGCCAAGGGTGCGCATATCGGCCGGCCAAGGAATGGCACAGAGCATGCGGACCTCGCGGATCCTGGATCCATGGAAGTCCGGGCGAATGAGGTGAGCATTGCTGCTGCTTGCTTCGCTTGATGACTGTTGTTGTTGCTGTGAAGGGCGCACGCCATGCTGATTGTGGTCAAGCGCCAAGATGCGGTCACGAGAGGCAAGGCTAGCCGACAATCAATGTGCGGAGCAAATGTCAGTTAGTTAGTCTGAGAGAGGGCCACAGTCAGCGTGTCGATAAGTCGTAGGCCGACCAGGTTACTTAAAAGGCTCCGTAGGGGAAGATTTCCTTGAGCCGATTGAATTGAGGCAGGGTCAAGACACCATTTACCTTGGCGATAGAACATATTTAAGCGGAGCACAACATTATGTTCACTGCTGGTTTCGAACACCTGTTTTCGGATTGTCTCTTCGAATGCATGCTGGTTGAATTACCTTGACACGGCTAATAGAACTCCTGGTTCAAGTTGCTGAGAAAGAAGCATATCCCAGGAGACAAGTCAAGCAGAAGAATAAAAAGCAATGCATGTGGGAAACTCAAAGGTACTCAAGGGTATGCGGTGCCAAGCTGACTGTACTCTACCTGTGGCGAGGATTGCGTAACCTGGAGATACCAGGAGGCCAGGGATATGCAGACTTGACGAGTGTCATGTCCGGATGACAGCATCCTCAGGTGTCAGGTGACACCGCCAGAGCAAGACTGTGGTGCGAAGATGTATAAAACCATGCTTGTCCAACCACCACGACTCACCGATTAGGATGGATCCTGCAGAACTAACTGAAAGACCGACCGAAAGAATCGGTAGTAGTGCAGCTAGAGCAGATGATGATGATGATGCAAAGATAGTTACTAACTACAACTACTTCACACTAATGCCCCGCGCCACTCCAGTGCCCCAATTTTTGATCTGGTGGATTGGTCACGTTTTCCCAGGTGACCCCAGATCTTCAACGCCCGGCCAAGTTTGCACAGCACAATTATTGATCGCCCTACCCGCCATGTTGCAAGTACTTCATTGCCTAGGGGGGCAGTGCAGACCTATCAGCAATGCATGTAGGGGGACACCGCCCAGCGTGACCAGCATTGGCGGGCAAACTTACAAAGTACTACGACTGGGCAACATCCAAGGGGATTGGCTGGTGCCTAAAAGAGGGCTGCAGCGAACATTCCGGAAAGTTGCCCCGAATGGACAAGCGGGGAGGAACTGGAGGCGGTGGTTCCATGGAAGACGATAAGAGGCCCAGTCTTTGGGTGAGATGAACTATGATTCCTCCTAGTAGTACTACTACTGCCTGCAGCCACATTAAAATTGAGATGGATCGGCAACGAAACCGGCCAGGTGGTTGGTCAGGTGAAACGACCTCAAAAAGGTGAAGAAGATTAGAAGAGTGGTGTATGTGCATCGAAACATCCAGAATAGGGGCTAAGTACCTTCTGTCATCTTTGAGAGCCTCCAAGGATAAGCAGCCGATAACGAGGGAAAGACACAAAGGGGGGAATGAGGAGATGCCGATAAAGCCGAACCCCTCCAATGCCACGACTTCCAAAGCCATTTCCATCCTTTCTTTCTGCCCTACGCTTCGTGCACGACCCACGCAGCCATCACCGAGCCAATAACAACTCAACTCGGGCAGTGGAGAACGGGCCATCAGCCAGCCCTGTGACGGGCCAGGGAATCCAATTCATCCTGCTTAAATCCCACCCGTTCACCGTTTTTCTTCCCTTCTCCCCCCTTCCCTTTTCTTTTCTTTTCTTTTCTTGCAATAAAGTCATTCGAGATCCTCGCGTGCTCTCTAGATCCCCCAGAATAGTCCAGGTTCCTTTCCCAAGTTCATCAGCGTACACCCGGTGGACCGGTTCTCGACAGACCCTCCCCACTGTCTCTGTATCTCCGCACAAACACACAGACCACCATTTCCCCTCGTCGCTTACTCTTATACCCTCGATCGTCTCTGAAGTCATATTAATTGCTTTGCGACTCCCCCGCTCACGGCACACTTCCCCTCACCCGTCTGATGTACTACCACCACTCCCACCAGGGTTGGTCTGGTGACTACCCTCGTCAACAATCGTGGGGACAACCCCCGCCATCATCCTATCCTTACCCGTAAGCCTCTTCGCCAGGAAGTCCATGCGCAAATGACCCCCTAACCAGCCTCTCCAGATACTCGTCCAACGCGCAATACCAACCTCCTCCTGGCCCACCCCCGACTTCGCATTACGCACCGCCGCCCGGCCCCCCGCCATCTCACTACTATCCTCCCCCGGGTAGTTACCCGTCCCCGGCACCTTCTCCTTACTACGGCCAGCACCATACCCGTACGCCGCCCCCTCAATCATCCTCGCCTCATCAACGGTCTTATCACAGTAAGAGAGTTCTTCCATATCAATATGTGACTCAAGCCATATTAACTTCATCTAGACCACTCGCCGTCATGGGGTCAGAACCTCCCGCCCCGCCCGCCTCAGGAGTCGCAGCACTTTGGCAGGGGCGCCCCATCCAATTACCGCTTCCAGTATTCCAACTGTACCGGTCGGCGTAAAGCCCTCCTAATTGGTATTAATTACATCGGACAGCCAAACCAGCTGCGCGGGTGTATCAACGATGTGACCAACATGTCAACCTTTCTGAACGAGAAGTATGGGTATCGGAGGGAGGACATGGTCATCCTCACGGATGATCAGAAAAACCCGATGAGTATACCCAACAAGGCCAATATCCTTAGGGCCATGCAATGGCTGGTGAAGGACGCGCAGCCCAACGACTCTCTCTTCATCCATTTTTCGGGACATGGTGGTCGTACACCCGACCTTGATGGTGACGAGGAAGACGGTAAGGCGCACCCGAGGAAATTAAGAAGATTGTTACTGACATCTCAGGCTACGATGATGTTATTTACCCGCTCGACTACCGCACCGCAGGACATATCGTGGATGATGATATGCACGCCATCATGTAAGCAACCCTTCGTGATTTCCCTCCTCGTCAATACTGACAGTCCAGGGTTCGTCCACTACGCCCCGGTGTCCGTCTAACCGCCATTTTTGACTCTTGCCACTCTGGAACCGCACTCGATCTCCCCTACGTCTATTCCACGCAAGGTATTCTGAAGGAACCCAACCTGGCTAAGGAAGCAGCGATGGACCTATTCAGCGCCATCAACTCCTACGGCAAAGGCGATCTCAGCAGTGTCGCGCAAACTGCTATTGGCTTTTTCAAGAAGGCCGCCAACGGCGACACGGCGCGCCAACGGACTGTCATGACAAAGACCTCGCCCGCCGACGTGGTCATGTTCTCCGGCTCCAAGGACACCCAAACCTCGTAAGTAGCCCTATCCACCGATTTCATCTCTCGTTCACCTACTTACTATCAACCTATAGTGCGGATACATTCCAAGACGGTGAAGCCCGCGGAGCCCTGAGCTGGGCTTTTATCAAAACCTTGCAGCAACGGCCAAACCAGAGCTACCTGCAATTGCTCAACTCGATCCGCAATGAACTGGAGGGGAAATATACGCAGAAGCCGCAGCTGAGCTGCAGTCATCCATTAGGTATGTGCAATACATCACTAGTTCCTCCGAGGACGGAGATTGACTAACTGATTGCCGGTTAGATACCAATTTGCTTTTTGTGATGTGAGACGATCACGCAACACGATGCATAGCGAGAGGTGATTTTTGGTCCATACTTTACATGTGCATATATAAACTCTCAAACTATGGAGTTTCGGAATTTTCATTTTTATCATGACAGTATTGAATGAATGAGGTATTACATATTTACTGTACACAATGAAACCACGGGGGTGGAAATACTCCGAACGCTATTGATGCTATAAACTTACTGTGCTCCCTTGTACCTGTCTGAACTTCAAACACTCCAGCTACGCCACCAACACTTCCCAAGCCACATTTATCAGACTCAGAAAATAGTTCCTTGGCGATTCTATATGGCCACCACTTTTAGGCAACACAACAACCACATACCATACAGCTCCATTGTATTACACTATGCATCTTCCAGATATACCAACTATTGAGTATCATAGCCATACACGTACCAAGTACTAGTATGTCACGTCATTTAATTACCTGGCGAATAATCCCCACTAAAACCCCCAGATCACATATACACAGGTAGATGGTAGATATATGGATGCCAATATTCTCCGTACCCCAACTAATTATTGAATAAATGTTAATATTATTACCTAACAGAATTAACAGATCTTGACTGAACTAGCGATCTATATTCCCCCTTTTTGGTGATTCGCACGCCTTGCTTGAGATCTGTCATGTCTGGGGTCAGATCATAAATATCTTGGGAGTCCGTGTGGGGTGAGTAAGCGGATACAAGTACTCCGTACTAGTTAATTAATTAGGGGTTAGATGTGATAGGTTATATTGGGGTTCCATGTCGGTATTACTTGGTTACTTGCTTACTTACTAGGAAGGGGGATTTTTGTTATAAGTAGTTGTTGAGGTTGGGTAGTGGGTCCAGGTAGTGGTATTATAACGAGTAGGGTGAAGTAAATACTATTCAGTGTAGATCTATTTATATAGTCTTTGTGATGGGTTGTGCTATGCTGAGTGGTAATAGTATCGTGTGTAGGTTTGATACTATATAGCAGTATACTCTGTTGCTCTATGTATAATATACAAGTAGTAAGTGAGTACTAAACTCGCGACTGTCGTAGTAATGTTGGTTAACTACCAAGCAACTAACATATACACAAGTAGTACTAATTACACGGTAGTAGTTATTCCTTCGACACTGAACTACTCACTACTACTAGTATTTCCAAGAGTCTAAAGTATCAGCCTATTGTGGCTGAGCAAGCACCTCCCATCATGATGTCTAAGACACCTGCTGTTTGATTCAGGTATATATAGCAATAACCACCACCAGTACTACTACTACTATAAATGGCCTCTTTGTATGCACATATATGCCGGGCAGTTTAATGTAGTATTGACGTACATACTGCTTCGGCTAACTGTTACAGTAGCAGTCGCAGAAGTTAATTAAATACACCCCCTCCCCTCCCGGAGATTTATGCATATCTGCCTACTTTCTTCCTAGTATTCAGCATCTAAGGGTATTGATAATATGCAGGCAAATTCTTCGAGTTACTGGGGGTATAAGCAGATAATATATGTACAGCCTTACATATGGATGAATGGATAGAAAAATGATCATTGATTTCAACTATGTATGTAGTATATCTTGGTTGCCCTGTGTATGATTAATTAATTTGAGAGTATTTCCCATACGAGGTAATTTCTCAGTATGAAGAATTACAAAAGTAAGATACAGACATAATGCCAGCAATCTCCGCTGCGGCCCCCTGTTTCAGTCTGTTTCTCTTGGCAAGGGTGTTTGTTCAGTGGGTTGCCGTCGGGCTGATGTTCGTCTTACTCAGTGGGAGGGTGGGGTCGGGTTTTCCGGGTCCTCATTTCGTATACCATGAACTAAGTATCTAGTCTAATTTACGGGATAGGGGATTGTGAAGATTTTGCACTCGAGTAACGAAATTGATTAGTAGTTTACTACAATAGGGGCTGAGGATATCGGGATTATCGGCACGTAGTAGTCTCTACTGCTAATCTATCAGATGCAAATTGAACTCCACTATATCTGACTCGATGTCGTCCGTGGCTGGGTCGGGTGGGGAACTCTGAGTAAGTAAGGCTGGTGCGTGATCTGCGCTGTTGTATAACGCTAGAAAATCTCAGATGAGATGAGATGAGATGAGATGAAATGGCTGGGCGTTGAGGGGTTTTGTTTGCTGTGTTGGTTGTTGGTTGTACCGAGGATGGGGCAGAGGTGACATCGATGGTAGATACTTGGTTAGGCGATGTAGTACAGAACCCACCAAGAATAGTATACTGAATCCCGGTTGCGGTGAGCTTCTTTGAACAAAATAGATCGTTCTTGTCAAGGGAGCTGTGCTTGCGCCGTTTGGTGGAGTACAGTGTGCCGGTAAATCTCTGCAATGGTTCCTGCACTTAGCTTGTGGATAAGGGTAATATAATCTCTTGGCTGGCGAGATAGTATATTCGTGTGGACTGGGTTGGGTTCGCAGGGTCCGAACTTCTCATCTCAGATTCGTTATGCCGTGTCTCGAACGACGGCTCGTACAATGGCTCATTTAATAATGCCATGCACTTTGGTCGCCAAACATGCCTAATTAGAGCTCTAGTCGCCTCGGCAGAGAGCTGAAAGTAGCTGGATGCTGCGGCAGATAATGTGCGTCTCGTTTGCATTCTCCCGGACAGAAAAGCGAAGGGTCAAGACAACTGATACCAGCCTTTGCTGCATCATTCGCTAGCCTCCATTGCGCAAGGTCTATTGCTGCATTTTTAGTGTCAATGAGCATATATGATCAGACATATTCCAGAGCATCATTCAACCGCAAGATCGAAGAACTGAGTTCACTAGTTAGCTCACAAGAACGATCTGAGCAGTCCAAAATCAACCGCAATCGATGCTTGGTACTGTGTAGGGTGCAATATCAGTGTGACCCATCTGATCCACTCAGGCGGGATCGTGGCTAGATCCGAGATTTGTAAACAACCCGTAGCGCTTGTTGCGACTCGCGAGGGTATGGAGCATGACGGGCCAGGCCAGATCCGAGGTCAGTCGCAACCCACAGGATCTGAAAGTAATCTCGCCACTTGATATACGGAACAATGTGCGATGCGAAACAAGTAACGCGTCATTCGCGCCTGCGCTTTGTCCAAGGCTCCATCGGAGGTCGGAAGATGCGCAGAAAAGCGTTGACTAAGGTGGAGATCCGGAGCGGTGGCTGTACGGCACATCGCATAGCCGTAAGACGGAACTAGCAGGCTAGCTGGCTGGCTGGAGGTAAAGTATTATACTTCTGCCTGGTGACAACAAACCAATGTCGTGTCAAAAAATCATTCCGTATTCTCGGGGAAAAGGACTCAACATGACCGCTCGGTTGATCTGCCCGAGTCCACTTGCTGAAAAACTCTGACCAGCGATCCTCACAAATGACAAAGCTTGGTATTGATGCAGGTGAGACATCGGAAAAGGCGTGATGGCTGAGGTGGTGCTTGCGCAGACTTCCATGACTCGGAAGGCGATGAAAGGCAGGCTGTGTGAGAAGCAGAGGAACAGAAATAGTATCCACCACCACTTCGTACTGCATGGGATCCAAGCTCAGTCGGAGCCGGAGTTGGTTTCCGAGTTGAGTAATGAATGACCAGCGCTCATGGCACTTACCGTCTCTAGACTGCATTCATTGAGACAGCAAAGGAAGCTGTAGCGACTCGCGCAACAGAGGCACTGAAAATTGGTAATCACACCATCCGAGTCTATGGGGACAACGTAATGCCAAAACAGTAACAAAGATAATTACTGATTTAACAATACTATGGTACTGCGGTTCCATTGAGCCGCAGATATCATGTCAATAAGGTGCCGTGATCGGCGAACCACGGCTGATCGGGGCTATTAAAGTTGAGTGAAAAAAAATGTCCAGCTGGCTGCCGTGGCAGCTTGGCCCGCTGCCATTGGCAAATGCGTCCAGACATGGCCCCAGTTGGCTTTTTCTAAATGGGACGCCAGCAGCCGCTCCTTCGGGTTCAGGACGGCGTCCACCCAGCAGATTTTAAACCAACCACAAAGCGCCTAAAACTATTTATTATTTATTTTTCAGGGCAAATGCAAGATTGCCAATTTCCCCGGAGCGATTCATGAACAGGGGGGCCACACCCTTGAAGCTCATTTCCTTAAAATTTCTTGGCCTTGAGATATTACTGCTTCGGGGATAGTAAGCACTATACGAGTAAGTTAGCGAGGGAGTGGGAGCTCGCTAGAAAACCTCAGACCTTCCCTCCTAGGCCAAAGTCAGTTACGAGCGGGACGGAGTCACGCCTACATCGCAGGCCAATCCCTGTGCAATGCTACGCACATGCCCGTGTCCGGACCCACCCGCAGCAGCCGTGAGGACCCGATGAGATCATGGCCCAGCCCCGATTTAGCGCTAGTGGCTGCATCTGATTCGTCGATGCTGATGGATGGAGCTGGATGGAGTGGAGGGTGTTTCACCTTGCAGGCAACGGGCAATGTGGCTGGCTCTGCACCTCCACGCTAAGCCCGTTAGTTCTGGCCCTTTCTGGGTCATAGTGCAGCCCGTGGGTTTTACACAGATTATTATTGTTTATTGCTGCTTTACGAGAGAGGCAAAGAGAAGAAAAAAACACAGAGTCAGTGCCTACTTAGGCCGTGGTGTTCTGACTCTCCTACTAGGGGGTCTCCGCCCCCCGTTATATGACCCCATTAACCCATTAGCCCATTAACTTATGTCACTATGCATGTATGCACCTCGTATGAATGTATCCTGCAAGTCTCCAATACGGAAGCTTTACCATCCATAAGTACTTCCCAGTATGCAAGTAGGGAGCAGTAGTTGTAGACGGCTCTCTCGACTAGTGGACAGAAATCTCGCCATTCCGACCGGACTGTCTCTGATTATTGATGCCTACAGAGTAACAATAACCGACACAGTTGCCTTTCCAAAACATACACACATACACAAAGAGAGAGCAGATCCAATCGTACCGCATTGGCTAATCCGCAGTGTCCGGTGGGATGATACTACTAGTAAAGTCGTTGTCGTGGAGCATGGGTCCATGGGCCGCAGTCGTGTGCATCATCCGCGTACGTATCGATCCATAACGGCATAACCCCCCATACGCAGGCGCTGCACAAGCGATGCTCCAATGCATGTTTCATCTTGATATCTATCCATAGAAACAGCTGAATGCCAGCCATCAACCTGTCAATCCTCTGCTGGATTTCGTTGGTGGACGCCTCAATCGCCGCGTCATCCCCCAGAAGTGACGGCGGTTGGTTCACTCCAATCGGCTGGGTTCCTAGGAACGGCAAACGGCGAGCCGAGCGGTTAGGAGGACAAGGATCTGATATGGATGGAAGGCAGTCGAAGGACAATTAGCAGGATCTCGATCAGGAGTAGTTGAAATGTTCCGTACCGTAGTTTTTCTAGTGAGGAGACCAGAGAAATTGGAGCTGGTCCACCATCCACGGAGTTCTCCAGCACTTTCGGAGCACCACCGGAGTGGGAGGGAGGGGAGAGGAGAGATGGAACCAAGCGATGCAAAAGTCTGGTTCAGTCAAACTAGACTGTACAGACACAAACACACGCTGTCTCCTCTTTCTGCGCCATCGCAACAAAGAATGGCAACAAAGGGCCAACATACGATCGGTACGGGTTACACGGGAATACGCCGCAGGAAAAAAAAAGTCCCCCCCAGGTAAGGTATCCATTGTGTCTGTAATAAGCCAGTGAATACTCCGCGAGTCCCCACTTTTTCTCTCCTAGTGCTTGGGAGCTATAATTATAGTCCTGTATTAAGTATTTTTTAACCCCCATCCCATCCCATCCCTACACCGAGATCAGACGAACCGTCTGACTTGTCTGGAGTTGGACTAACCACCACCCGATTCTCTCGTTTCTTTTCCACCCCCTGCCGCTCTATCATCAGTCTTTTCTTCCCTCGATCATCTTCAGCCTCCGCGGCATTGCCTTGAATATACTTGCATTCCCACTCCCCCCAACTACTACTCCTCCTATATCCTCTTACCCCGGAGTATCTATTTACTATCGTTTCCGCCTAGTCCTATCCCACCCTCAACCTGTTCCTAGTATACAACCCACCACATTCGAAAGAATATGTTGACCTCCTCGTCAACCGACTCCTCTCGCTCCTCCTTCTCCGGCAGCCCCGTCTCGCAACACCCTCCTCACCATCAAGTATGGTTTCCTCCTGCTCCCCGCCGCCGTCCGGAACACTACAAGATCCCCCGCTACTACTCGACCCCCGTGAGGGAAGATGTCCCGGACTCGACCCCTCTGCAAATGTACGGCTTGGAGGAGCGCGCGCCATCCATTGCTGAGAAGCCAAAGCTCCTGCGTCGCTTTTCCCACGCCCTCGACGACATCAAGGAAGACTTGACCCTCCAGCCCAGCAGCGAGAAGATTCGGAGCAAGCGTCGCCAGTCCATCTTCGGGATAGATGAAATCCCGGGATCGAGCGGTTCGATCTCCTCGCCTTCTATGGATGTGCCTGTTGCGGCCGAACCACGGCCCCCGAGGTCCCGTCCCCTCTCGATACTCGCCTCCGAGCCCTCCAGGAGGCTAAGTCGGCGGTTTTCCATTTTCGGATCGAAACGGTCAAAGAAGTTGACACCGGGTCAGGCCGGGAGTATCTCGCAGCCCAATTTGATCGGGGCATCGACTCAGATATAATCTCATCATCGACTCTCGAAATTGCATCATTGTCACCATCGCTATCGCCATTATCCTAATTGATCGACACGACGAGGGTTAATACACATAGACGCCGACAGCCGCCCCCCGCACATACATCACCACAAGTACCAACATAACCGACCCATCCCAACCCAAGCATGCAACCCACGAACCCAAACCGCATCTTTATAATCGGAGTTCAGCACGGCGCGGCGAGCATCATTCGATCCTTTGATCTATAATACCAGTCAAAAGTCCTTCCTTCCATCACTTCTTCAATTCTCTCATACAATCATCTCCATACCTTCCTTATTGGGTCCATTTCTTTTCAATATTGAATACATTTTTCAAATTCTCATTTTCAATTCCCATTTACAAGGTTGGGTTTCCGCATTAGCTCGGTGTTCGGTGTTAAGTTTATCTTGCTTTGAGTTTTTGTTTGATTTTACCTCGGTATGCAGGTTTCCGTTCTGCTTCACATTCTTCATTTGCTTCCCTTACAAGCAGAAGACGAATCGCAATTGCACTTCCGACCAAAACACGTATTTATATACATACCCTTCCTTACCTCACACCTCCCGGTGGTCGGGTATACTTCTGTATATAGATCATGTATATATACATTGATTGATGATCATACATTTCCACTGCATGGGCGGCATTGTATAGCCTTTCGTCCCCACCAAAACAAAAATTAAAGTTCTTTATACACACCTGCATCAATAAACAAAAGAGTTCCAAAGAACTACTACTCACTGCAGTAATAGTAGTAGTCAGTCACCTTGCTGTATAGCACACTAAGAATAGAAGTAGAACAGTTCATCGTATCCGCCCACACTCACGCCAGGCACAACCAATCAACCCCGTATTTAACCCATGTACCTGCATGCAACCAACTTATCACTATCACAGTTAGTTGCCTAGTTTTATCGTTATCATTATCATTTATCATTATCGTAAATTACCCCTCCGCGCTTAACCGTAAATTGCACCTCGTTATCGCTATCGCGACATACTAGTTAGTATCTTATCCTGTCGTATTGAAATAGGATCTGGTGGGGTGATAGTAAGTACATAGTAAGTTGCTAAATAGTATAGTAGTATTGCAGATGGAATATTGTTGCAGCTAAAATAACATCATAACGTGTTCATTAATCATGGAGTAACTCTCCTAGGTAAGTAAGTAACTAGTAGGTAACCTGTAAAGTAAGTAAGTAAGTAGTAAGTGGGGAAAGGAACAAGTGACAAGGGTCTCTGCCTTGTTTTTTTCCTTTTTCCCCTCACGGTTTAAATCCAAGCCAATACTTGGTTTAGTTGCCCTGCAATTCCGGGATTTCCGGGGAACGAAACGAAGGAAGTTTACCTTACCTTCCCAAATTTATTCTAGGCGAAAGAAAACAGAAGGGGAGGAGGGAGAAGAAGGTACCAGAACAATGCTGTGCCTAAGCGCCGGGAAGTGCAGGGGTGATGCTCTAGTGTTAGGGAGACAAGTTCGGTTGCACGAATGGATGAATGACTCGGCTATCCCCAGATCACTACTAGTTGGTTAACTAACTAACTGGTTGCTTCTGGAATACGTACATACCTGGAGACTCGATACTTGCCGGCATACTCTGTCTCCGAGTACCAGGGAAAGTAAAGTGGGACAGTGGTGTCGTACAGATGGGCGAAATTGGAAAAGGGGCGGTTAGTAGTACTTAGTCCTTCCCTGTTTAATTTCCGGTTTTGATCTTCTGGCTGTTAAATGGCTTAGTCTTGGTACATAGGGAGTTAAGTGGACTAGGCTAGTAACTGTCCGGGCGTTATTGGGAGGGGTCAAGCTTTTGGTTTGAAATGAATTATGACACCATAAATAAATAATCTATGGGAGTGAAAGGGATGAATGTCGAAATGAGGGGGTTAATCAAGTACTAAGTAGGTAAGTGCTACTCCACTGTAGGGAAGTGGCTGAATTGGTTTGGACTCCGCCGACCGTCAAGCCCGAAAGGAAGAATAGATTAATTTCGAATAGATAGATTAATAGACAGGAGTGGTGGTGGTAGTAGCCAATCGAAGTAAAAACAATCAGAACAAAATGGAGTAAGTACCTGTACCTACAGTAATAATAAATGATATAATATGTATGTGCTCGCCAATCAGAAAAATTGCAGTTCAACCAACGCAGAGAATCAGCCTGTCAAGAAGGGATGAGTAGATAGGATAAAAGAAAGTAAACCGAGGTGTAAAGCAGACTGAAGAGACAAATCCAAAAAGGGAAAATACAACACCCGACCCCGCCCAGAGATAAATGAACCGCAAATATACACCACGCACTCCTCTCTAATCAAAGAAGAAATAATTGTATGGAGATGATAGATATCCTCTATCTCATCAACGGTCCCATCCAATCTATCAGTCATATTGGTCCCGTGCTCCCACCCCGAGATGATCAATGATGTCAGATGCCCTTTTCCTAGCTGAGGCCATTTATAGCGTCACACTCTCCAGATCTCGCACCATCACGGACATTTGTGCCCGCTTGGCTGCCTCTGCGACGAGACTGAAGTCTCGCAAGAATGGTGCTGTCGCCGTTGGACCGCCCGACCCAGTGACTTGGTGGGGGTAGGTGTCCGCTGCAGGCTGAGCCATCGTTGTAGTAGCAGCAGCAGAGGTTTGTGAAATATCGGTGAGGTTTTGTTGCTCGCTGGCGTTTGCAGTTGGGTGTTGAGATTGAAGCTGCATCTGGGCGGTTTGGCTGTTGACTGCTGCTGCGGCGGCGGCGGCTGCGAGACCCAGGGTGTTCTGAGGTTGTGATGAATATCCCGGAGAGACTTGTACGGTGGATTGAGGTTGGTTGAAGGGAGTAAGAGTGCGAGACGAGCCGTCCATGGTGTGGTTTCTATATATCTATGGTGGAGGAGAGGCGGTGGTGATAAGGACGATATCGATTTGAGAGTCTATGAGGGCGGCAGCGATCACGATGGAAAGGGAGCGACAAGGGAGCAAAAGGCTAGGCTCAGCTGGCGGGATGAGATCGCAGTCCAGGCGTAGAGAAGGTATCGTTGAGTGGACTGATTCGGTGGAGTCGTTAGTCGCCTTAGCCTGATCGCTGGCGTATAGAAGATGGCGTGATGAGAGAGAAGAAAGAGGGAAAAGAGGCCGGCAGAAGAGAAAGAAGAAAAAGCGCCAGCCAGCAAAGGAAAAGTAGCAACACGTGGGGCTCGTCCCAGAAGGCCGCGGTATGACGTCCGGCAAGGCTAAAGGCTGATAAGTGGAATTTCCACGAACGGATGACGCTGAACCGGAAAGTGAGGGACGGTCGCGATAGTCACAGATAGTCGGGGCGCCGCGATCAATTGGTCGGAGTCGTACTTTTGGGACGCAAGGTCAATCAGGCGATAATATACTGGAAGTTAGCGAGGGAGGGGGAAAGGGCAATCATCGAGCTAGTCAAGCGGAGATCAATTCAGTTGACGATGATCGACAATCCCCGTCGCGAGGAGCTGAAACTATCAGACTATCAGAACTACTAATGATCTCTCTAGTTACTTTACTGTTGCATTTCTATTGAAAAGCAACCAAAGCAACCAGGCCGACCACAAAAATTTCGCGAAAAGGTAACGCCGATAATTACCCGGCCGGTATGCGAGGCGGTCTCTCCGCCCGACCCCACGCGGGGTTTGCCTCAGAGATGCAGGTACCGTGACCGTATTACGCGGCGATGCCTCGGCTGAATGTCACGTGAGGTCAGGTGACTACCCTCTTGCTCAGTCACCTGCGCTAGTCCCCTTGCGGTATTCCCCCACCACGAAAAAGACTCCACTTAGGATTCGCATTCGAGAATTCATTATTCGGTGCGCATCACCGCCCCATCGCCCATCATGCGACATTCTTATCCTCATCAGATCGATCTGTTCATCAGCTGGAGCTAGGCTCACATCTGATCACTATGGCGGAAGAGGACAATTTCGACACGGGGGCTATGTTCGAGGACCCCGAGGGCTTCTACGAACCCGAGCCCGAGCCCACCTTTGCAGAGCATCACATGCTCTCCGGCCAAAAAGTGCGCGTGCGCCTCGTTGGTAGCCATCCTCTTTACGTACGGCACTCTTGGTACCTCATGTTTCACCCGGCTTCACTCATTAACCGCTCATTCTAGGGAAACCTCCTCTGGAACGCCGGCCGAACCAGCTCCCACTACATCGAAGAACGCGCCAGCACACTAATCGAGGGGAAGGATGTCCTCGAAATCGGTGCCGCCGCCGGTGTCCCGAGTATTGTCAGTGCCATTCTGGGCGCCCGCACAAGCGTAATGACCGACTACCCAGACCTGGATCTCGTCGGAAACATGCGCTACAATGCCTCATTGGCTGCTCCTCAGATCGCGAACCCTGGCTCCCTCCACGTTGATGGATATAAATGGGGAAACCCGGTTGAGCCGCTGCTTGCGTACCTGCCCGCTGGTGCGACGGGCTTTGATGTGCTCATCATGGCAGATGTGGTGTACAGTCATCGGGAGCATCCGAATCTGATCAAGACGATGCGGGAGACCATGAAGCGGACCAAGGAGGCTGTGGCGTTGGTGATCTTTACGCCGTATGAGCCATGGCTGTTGCCCAAGACGGAGAAGTTTTTCCCGCTGGCGGAAGAGAGTGGCTTTAAAGTAACGAAGGTTTTTGAGAAGCTTATGGATGAGGTGTTGTTCGAGAATGACCCAGGTGTAAGTGTTGTTACTCCAAGTGGTGGATTGGTAATCTTGCTAATACACTCTAGGATGAACGTCTAAGAAGGACGGTCTTTGGATATGAGATCCGCTGGGCAGACGAGGAGTTGAATTAGCACACTGGTGTTGGAAAATGGATGAGCTTATGAGTCATGACTCGGTTTGAGACGTGTAGACAAATAGATGTGCCTACAATAAAAAGTCGATTATTTTAGCGATCAAATACAAACATAGACTTGACAATATCTGCTTCAGAGTGAGCATACCTGAAAGTAGACAATCTTGTGCTTGTTCCAACTGTATAGAGCAGTCAGTCACATGGACCCCACCGAGCCGCCCCGCGCAAAAATAACTTCCAACGATTCCATCTCCGCCGCAAATCCACAGCGCAACATCGCCAACCAACATTGACAGTTGATCGCGCCCCTTCCCTCTCATCATGCCGGTATGTTTGCTCGACCTCATGCAATAGACCCGCATTAACCAATCACAGCTCATAGTATTGACCGGCTACCCCTGCTCCGGCCTCACCTACCGCGCCCACCAACTCGCAACGCAGCTCGAAGAGACCCAAACCGAGCTCTTCAACACCGGCGCTCTCCCCTCCTCGAAACCCCGCTACAAGATCCACGTTGTGCCTACTCATGATCCCTCCCATCCGCGAACCGTTTACGACCATGCCCGCACAGAAAAGGAGACACGGGGCGTGGCATATGCGCGGGCGAAGCGCGCCCTCGGCAAGGACAGCTTCGTGATTCTCGACGGAATGAACTACATCAAAGGATACCGTTATCAGCTGTGGTGTGAGGCGAAGGCACTGGGAACAACATGTTGCGTGGTATGCTATGCTATGCTCTCCTCCACCAGCCCCTGAACAACCAGCAAGCAACACACGCACTAACACAATCACCAGGTCCACGTCGGCACACCCATCGACCAATGCGTCGCAAACAACGAGGCTCGACTCCGCCGTCAACAAGGCACAGACAATAGTAACGAGGACAACTCCAATCCTAACGCCGAAGCGACACCATCCACCACCGAACCCACCTCCGACCAAGAAGACCCCTACCCCCCGGAACTCCTCAACAACCTCATCTTCCGCTACGAAGAACCCAGCATCCACAGCCGCTGGGACAAGCCCCTCTTCACCGTCCCCTGGACCGACGCATCCCCCCCAATCGCCGAAATCTGGACAGCCCTAACCGGCATCCCGCACCCTTCGGCAACAACAACCCCCGAGCCCGCCTCCATCTCAAACCTCACCTCAGCCCTCAATACCACCTCTCTCTCCTCAGCAGCAAGCACCACGACCACAACAGCTAACCCCTCCACATTCCGCACCAACCGTCCCAAAATCAAACCCCACCAAGCAACCGCCCTCCCCGCCGCCACAGACTCCACAGCCCTCTACAACATGGAAAAGCGCACCTCAGCCATCGTCTCCGCCATCCGCACCTTCACGCTCTCCAACCCCTCCGCTGAAGCCGCCCTCGCGCAGAGCCAAGACGGCAGCAGCAGCAGCAGTGGACGGGGAATAACCATCCCCGTCCCGGAGGCGTCCACGCCCGTTTATGTTCCGGCGCATGTGGCGACGTCCGGCACGACGGATGAATTAGCCGGCGCGGGCGGCATCCTGGCGCTGCCGAGACTGCAGCGGTTGAGGAGGCAGTGGATTGCGTTGAATCGGGCGTATGTGCAGGGGGCGCATGCGTCGAGTAAGGGCGGGTTGAGTGCGGAGCAGGTTCCTGATGCGTTTGTGAGGTTTTTGAATGCGGAGTTTGGGGCGGAGAGTGACTAGATAACGCCCTATTTTCTTAGTTTTGAATTTTACTGGTGTGGTTTGTTTGTGATGAGGGGTTGGGTGTATACGCCCTCTTCTCTCGTCAAGGCGAGTCGTTGGTTAGGGAGGGGCTTATATTCAGTGGTGTGATAGAGACGGGCGGGAAAAGTTTTGATAGAAGCGTGTGTTTTGGAAGTATTTAGAGAGCGTTTTTTTCGTTATGGGTTACTTTAATGCCTGCTGCAAATAACGTCTAGCTACAGAGCCTACTACTAGGCTACTTTTGACATACGTACTGTATGAATGATGATCGGCGAGTGCCTCTGTATTGAAGAGAGCTTCTCGAATCTGGGTATTTATTGTATTTTTCAAATAGACAACCGAAACTTACAGCCTTAAAGTGTGGGAACGTTGATAGTAAGAAGAATGGCAAAACTTTTGTGTCCCTGCAATGGCAGGGAAGTAGAAAACTGAAGACAATGACCCTCGAAAACAGGAGCAGTCAAGCTATATCCAAAGCGGGGATTCAAGAATCCAGAATAAAAGTGCAGGAGAAACAGAAGATATTCACAGACAACATGCACGTATGAACTCCCAATACATAAATAATGGCAGGCCTCCTGTTCCACGACCTGCACCTATACATGAACGAAACCCGTCATCTATATCCATGTCCAAAACCCAAAACCCATATACAAAACCGTCGTCCCTGTATTTCCAATTCGCCCCGTTCCCATCCTTTTTTCTTCTCTCTGGTCGACCTCTTTGAAACACAGGCCCGAGATGAAGGTCGATGCTTAGCATCAACACCCATAAAGAAAACAGCAAGCAAAACCATGTCCATCAGCAAAAGATACATAGAAATTGAACAAAAAAGTTTTACAGAACCATGCGCAGCAAGCTGCGCGTACATGAAGTGTAAACTGTCGCAAGACAATGAGGAAGAAAGGAGGAGGCATCTCCTATCCGACCGCCCAGAGCTGTCGTCCCCAATCAATGCTTCCACCACACCAGCCTACACCGTAGTGAGTCCGGTAATGTCTGGAAGATGCTCCTCCAGATGATGGGATCAAGTCCGCATCACCGAGGGTGAAGCCGCGTAATGCGTCGTGGACGCATTGTGGCTGGAGCGGGGAGCTCTCCGGGCAGCCGCAGGAGGCCAGGGGATCCTTTGGAATGAAATAAGAAATCCAACCGGTGGTGAGAGAATAGTCTTTCACGGACGCTTTCCATGAAACTTCGATCCATCACGGCTCTTTCCCGTTACCATAAGATCCTTCCTATGAGAGCCATCAAGCACTCGGCGATCCCTGGGGAGATAAATTTTAAAAAAGGACTTCACATGATCGTCTCGGTGAAGCATTCAAGCAGGAAGGCCGTGAGCGATCTGGGCCGCAGCCTGGCTGGCTTCAATGTGGCGATAGTTAAGTCCAAGTGTAATGAGCTCCTGAAGGCTGGCATTGACCTTCTCATGCATGGAAGAATCCTGGGGCGTGATGTTGGTGAGTTCCTCGAGCAGCCGGGACCGGCAGTTGTAGTAGTTTCTCTCCGCATTCTGGAGTCTCTGGTTGTGATGAGCAGAAGTCTGCTGGGCAGCCTTGAGCGGGTTGGTCTGGGACTGGGTGGAACGAGTGCGCTTCATGGTGGGGGCTCCAGTGACACCAGCAACTCTGCGCTTGCGTCCGCCCGTCTCCTTCTTCTTGGCCGGTCCAGTAGTGGGGGAAGCATCCGGGGAGCTGTGCCTGTCAGAAGAGGCAAAGTCGTGCACACGTCGCATGTGGTCGAACAGATTCCATCTGCGGGGGAATCCGTAACCAGGGACCGACCTGTCACAACCCTCAAACAGGCACAGGTGGGGGTTGTCTCCGTGACCGTGGAATCCATGGGCTTCGCGCTCGTGGCGGAAAAGGCATGCGTTCGAAGAGAACTGCAGCTGAGCATCCATGCAGGCGGCCACCTTGCAGCGGTATGGCTTCAAGTGGGAGTCCAAGTATTTGCTGTTACACGATTAGTTTGAGTCCATCATAGGAATGTTGGGGTTTGACTCACTGATAGGCGCACTTCTGGGTAGTCGGAGGGTGGTTGCAGGGCTTCTCTCCGTTGGCGAAGGGGCAGTAGTACTTTCCATCATTGTGAGTAGGCAGGGAGTAGTAAGGGTGATCCCGGGGGTTCCGAAGATCAGAGCCCTCCTTGGCCTTTTGGCGGAGCGTTTCCTTGACCGGCAGGGGTGGGAAGAATTCAGGATCCTGCTTGACCTGGGTCTGGGACATGGAAGTCTGCAGGGCTGGCCTACGTGCATTCTTAGTAGCCCGAATGGTTCTAATCAAGTCAGATTCACTGTTCGAGGCTGCAGGTGCGACGGAGGAATACTAACCTGTTGGGGTCCTGTTCACTCAAGGGGGGAGTGAGGGGGAACAATGGGTCTCCTAGGTTGATTCCATGGCTTCCAACGGGAGTGGTTGTAACATCTTTGAGCATAGCATCTTCATGGCTCATGAAGGTGGGGTATCCAGAAGCAGAGCAAGAAGAAGTAACAGAAACATCATTACTGGCGTCAGACAAGGGAGGAGAAACAGGCACTGATTGGAACATGCCGGTGGTATACTGATCCATGGATGATCCGTGGTAGTTCATCGAGTTCCACGCCTCATTGCCGGCCAGGTGGCCGTCATCCGCATGAGAGCTGTGGCTGGAGAGAGTATCATCAGGAGTGCAAGAGGACTGGGTACCATTCTGGCCATAAACTTCATTATCAAAGGCAGAGAGGTCAACCAATGAGGAGTAGTGGTTGAAGTCATGTGCATGGGAGAAATCCAGGTCATTTTGTTCAGTCACATCCTGGATGCCTGAGAAATCGGATCCGGCGTGATGATACATTACATCACTGGGGCCAACGGTCGATGGCAGCAGTTGCTGGGAGAAAGAGAAAGAGAGCATCTGGACTTCCGGGGACTCTGGTTTGGACATCGCACCACTGTCAAGTGCATCCACGTCGCTCAGAGACCACCCCTTCAAGTCATTGGGGGTTCCGTGGTTGGGGTGTGTGCTTGAACACAAGGAGAAATTGTCCTGGCTCGAAAGTTCATCATCCTGGATTCCTCTGGAGGCCATGTTGGGGATCCCTGGGATCATTTGGTTTTGTCTCGGCTGAGACAAGTGGTCCATAGTGTGCAAAGATGACTGGGACAAAGACATGTTCTCTGGGTCGTTCTTGATCTTGGTGGACATTGTGTGTGGGGTGTGTGTTCTATGACCAGACAAGCTGGAAGACAAAAGGCAAGCACTAGAAAGGAACTAAAAGTCAGTACATCTACACCTAAATGCTATTGCAACAATGACAAGAAAGTGAACGATGGTCTGCATCTGGGATCCATGTCGAGCAAAGGGCCTATAATCAGTCAGATAAATCATTCATGCAAGCTTCAAGGTCGAGGCACACCAACCAATAAGGTGTCGTGTGTATATCACTCCAGGGAGGTTACCGCTCGGTCCAAGAGAAGGGGTGCGCGCTGTTGTTAATCCAGGAACAATTCTGAGGCAATGACCAGTAAAGCGATCGGCAAGAGCGGCAACATGTCCGTGGTGCTTGTTTCCAGTGTCAAAAGCTGCAGCTGCAGTCGATCGGGTCGTCTAGTTTTGGGTTAAGGTATCCATCCAGGGGTCCAGACTACAAAGGCTTCAAGTGAAAGATGCAACACATAAGTTGATCAATGGTTCAGTCCATTAGATGTCGAGGTCCAGCGATGATTTGATCGAAAAATCCAAGGTCGGAGTTCATTGTGTCATTGCTATTTCCAAAGACGGTTTCTAAATCCAGAACGGGAGTCCAAATCGGGGAACGGAGAAAACAGGCCAACAAAAAGGGGTCCAAGGCAAATGTCCAATCTCCCACTAGGCTTAGTGAGGAGAGATCCGGGTGGTTCCAGGCAGAAAGGATAGTCCAGGGGTAATCGAGAATTGAGTGTGCAACATTAAACAACACTCAAGAGTGTCCAGTCACACAGCGGCTGCTGTGGACGAGCAAATGAATTCCACGGTAACATGTTTTTCGTCAATCCGTCGCTTCGACGGAAGAATCCAGCGGAAGCAAAGAGATTCAAGAGTCCAGGGGTCCTCTATACTGCTGTTGTCGTTGAATGGTGTGGTCGAGAAGTAGGTTCCACGAGTTTCGAAATGCAAACAATCGCAGAAAGGGAAAAACGGAAAAAGCAGAAAAAATCAAAGCAAACAGACGAAAGGAGATTGATGAGGGGACTACCTGTTATTGTGTTGCCGTATACTCAGACTAAAGCCTGGGAGGAGCGAAAAACAAAACAAAGCAAGCAAATCCTATCCAGGATACGGACTGGGTTTCCAGAAGGGCAGTTCAAGGGTTAATCTAGCCAGGTGGGGAAGGCAAGTAGTTTCTTTTCTTTTCCAAGATCCACGGGTTGGACACTTGTAGGAACAGAGAAAGAACAAAAGAGTCAAGCAAGTAGTCAAGCCTTGAGAGCAAGTGGAAATGGGATAGTGGTAGGCAAGTAAGCTGATTTGACTGTGACAAATCTAGCACAAGTAGTATGGAGGGGTAATGTGTGTATTTTGGAAGTGTGAGTGTGTGAGAGAGTATGTGTGTGTGGAGTAAGAATAGAAGAGCAATGGAAGGTAAAAAGGGGGGGTATCTCGGGTCGTTGGGTATCAAGAGTGGGCAAAGTCGGATTTCTTCTTTGAGTCTGGTGTGATGATGATGAGGAGAATAGGAAAGGTCGAGAAGAATTCCATCTGGAGGGGAAAGGACGGCCTTTTAGAGGCGAGGAAACAGGCTGGAGCCGTCGTTCAGGAGGCCAGGCGTGGGGGGCCATCGGAGGAGACGGTGCGTCCAAGCGTGTGCCGGAGGCGCATGCTTGCTGCAGCCGGCTGCCTCACTGACCCTATCGAGCATGATGATTTGGCGCTGCGAGACATGGCGGTGATAGTGGTGCAGCGCCAGGTGGTGTTGTCCGGTCCCTCTCTGCCAATGATTCTCGGAAGTCACCCATCTTGACGGGGCTTGACGTGGCCGGTGGGTGGATGTAAATGGATGTATCTGATAGTCTCATTTGGCAACGGCACCACCCGGGCAATTGCTCAATCTAGCGGTGAGGCGGGCCTCACCCGTCCTCCACTTATCTCAGGGGTCTGATTGGTGGTCAGGGGGAAGATGGGCTGCAGTGTTGCATCACCGGCAGCAAAGCCCCTCAGCCGGCAGGATTGGCAATCCTAAATGATTGGCGCCGAGCCCTTCCTGGGAGTTCCCCGTGGTTTGTCGCGTGCAGGGCTATCCTTGTCCCTGCCAGCCAGTCATCGGCATTTCCTCGGCGGCCCCGCTTTCCCTCGTGAAAGTGTGCCAACTTCGGCTTCATCCTTTGGCTGGGATGCTCACCACGTCAATCCCCTCCCTCATCCCGCGGAACAGGGATCTCGCTTGTCGCAGCTACTGCACATAATTGACATTGCCCCTCCTTCCCCGGGACAGCGTGTTGCTTCATGCCACAGCGGCTCTCTTTGCCCAATCTCGCAGCTGCTCCAAAGAAAAGGAGGGGGAGGGGTTGAGCCATCCAGTTTGACTGCCATGTTTACTACGTTTCATGATGAGGAACCTCACATCCCTCTTTCGGATATTAGTTGACAGCTGCACTCCGGGCTTCATCCACCGGCGCAAGCAAGACTGACACCACGGGAAGTTGGGCAGCAATGTGATGGATTTAATTACGGGACTGCCGGGAAGTTTCTTTTTACGCTTGTCTCAGAATAAGCTGGAAATCATAATATCAGGGTTGGATTGGATTCATCACAATTTCAATAATCCCGCTCTCTCTCAAATTAAAATTCTAAAATATGGGTATCCCGTTCTACGCCCTATATTCCCGCACCAGTTCGAGGCATCCTAAAGCATGCAATGTCAGCGATTGGTTCTCAAGCGATGTTCCAATATGAGTAGCAAACAATGACGCAACAAATGGGTGTGTGTATCAGATAAAGGTGAAAGATGGTATACAGTTTTCGTTCAACAATCCGAAGATCTCAGGTGAACTATGCTTATTGGTATGGTGTTCATCATTGTGGGCAAATAGGCCCCAGTGACACCCATGGAGAAAAGGGGTAAAAGAAAAGAAAAAGTGCTGCGCTTACCTGTTGCCTGAAAGACCCAGAAAAGGGGGAGTCGTAAAAACAAAATGAAAAAAAAAAAAAAAAAAATAATAATAATAAACAGACAGCGCGCAGACCTCGCCAGGCACCCTGTGCGACGAGGCTGCCAGCTGGTCGCGTCGCTGACACGAAACAGTTTCAGAAACCCGCCTACATCAAAGCAAGGCCAATGAACTCCTCATGTCTGCTTCCGGGCAAGCAAATAAGATGATGCAGGCACCATCTTTGCCACCTCTGGCGTGTCTGCTGTCGTCGGCGTGGTGTCAAGAAAGAAGGAGATTTTGGCATGTGGGAAGATATTTTAAGAGCCGCCGAAGCGAACAATGCACGTGATGTGTTTGCACGGATTGCACCCCCACTCAAGCCGAGGTTCCGATGATCAAGATGAAGCTAAATTAGTGACGCCCAAGTTCTACGGTAGTGACCTGGGTCGTCTTCCGGGCCGAGCCGTTTCCAGATGTCTTGCTTAGACGAGAGTCCTAATGATGCTAGTCTATGAGACTTCACCATACCCCATGTGGTAAGCTGTCCAATTTGTCTTGCACACAAATAAGATCACATAATCTAATCATAAAGCTGTGCTCTGGGTCGCTATACACATCATGCTGCCTCACAAGAGCATGTGTTGTGATACCTTGATGACTTCCCAACTCCTATGCAATCCCTCACTTGAGGTCTCGATGGAACTGTTCTGCACACGGGTCTGCTCAGACATAATTAACAAATATAACAACTCTCTAGACCACAAGCATTATTCGTTATCTCCAAAAGTATATGACACTCGAGGTGGTTGGGTTTCAAGTTGTAGCTAATTCTTGTGTTGGCGACTTGGTCCCCCGTCTGCATGCGACACTTGTAGTGATATTACTTCCGTAACCTTGACAGGCGTCTTCCTACCTTACCTGTGTAGACATCATACATCACATGACGATGATTCCGCATGCCGTTACACTAATAGAGCATATCCTTCTCTCCTCGCCATGTCTCCGTTGACAATCCCCCCATCACTTAGAAGCACCATGAATTGGACAGGAGGTCGTCTTCGACGACACTCGAGCTATAAATCAGGAAACAAGAAGCAGAATCTCAAAAGGCCTAGAGTAGCAGAGTCAAAGGACCCCCGCATGACACCCTTGCTAAAGAATGTCTGCCTCCACGAAGGAAGTCGAGCTATAGATTCATGCGATCAGCCAAGCCAGCAGGTAGGTTGCCTGTGTAAACACATTTGCCCTTGCAGGCTAATTCAGATCAAGTCTGGCCATAGCTCCTCTCTCTCGTGCCCAGCAAAGAAACCACGTCTCGCATCACCTACGCAGGAGTCCTCACAAGCAGACCAGAATTTAGCAATGATTAAGCATAAGCTGCTAGAGAAGACTGACTGGGCATCGGTTGCAGCAGCACGACCACTTACGGTGCTGTTTCCTCCAGCAGAAGCTTTACGGAACTTCGGGAGGCGGAGAAAAATAACGAATGATGACTGTGAGAGGCTGGGGTCTTCTGTCCTGCGTCCAAAGCTTACCTACCGCCCTAAGCATCGCGGAGGTGCAGAGCCTGTTACGGAGAGTATACAGAACCTGGACATAAGGATAAATGGGCAACCCGTTGGAGCTTACTATCCGAGGTGCAATGGCCCGTCAACTGATACTACATCGCAGTCAATGCTTTTAGACCATGAGTTCGCTCCTACAATGCCGAAGCCCCCTGTTCATGAGTATGTTTGTGAGAATATCGGCGTGGGAAGCTCAGTCGTTGAGGAATCTAGGATACTGGGCTCTTCCAGCGTTTCACCTTTATATGTGTCGTCTTCCGATGGAGGATTGTCCCTCCGGAGTAATTTCATGGTCCAGGGCTCGGATCAGTCCATCCATGAGTCTAAGGGCAAGGAACAACTCGAGGTTAGAGGTTTGGAATTACTACAGTCAGCCGACGCCAGCCCAGAAGTTCAAGAAGCGTGGACTCCGATCAGGAGACGATTTACGCTCGACGACCAGATTCGCGCTGAAGAGGAGAGAAAGGCGAAGGCCGCTTACGACACATCCTTGGAGATAGACGATTGCTCGACTGCTCATCTGTTTCTCCGGGGCCCTTTTAACCCAAGACTCTCTTCATCAGCTGCAAGTAGCGGTTGGCAGCGAGGATCTATGCAGGATTCTATGAGCACATCATCGACATTGAACCACTCAAGTTATGGTTGGCTCCCAGAACCGCGCCAGAACATACAACGACTTATATCACAGAGACCAGATGAGGGAGACATTGATGTGCCTAGTGGATCTAGACAACGAAGCACCAGGCTCGCTCCGCCACGTACAGCAATAAAGCAGATCACCCCCTCCTTGGTAATATTTGGCCAGTCTGTTGATCTCGATAGCGGTCTATTCGCTAAGCACATTGAGCACGGGGATGAGCAGCAGCAGGCTCAACACGGTTTCACATGTTCTCCCACCACAATTTATGAAGCTAACTGTAATATATCAACGGATAACTATCCGTCCAAGATGACACATCTCCGTCGGCCAGATGACTTTGCATTCTCACCGAACATGGTCAAGTCTAGAAAGCCCACCGTAGCGCCAAAGACCGCAAGAATATACATCGATCAAGCATGCGCTTCTCCTCTCTTAAGAACAGCGGTACCGGGACGGGAGTTTTCTGGAATGAACCGGGAGGGTCAGCGTGCCCAGGAATTGACCAATCGATACAGTTTATACAACTAGGTCCAGACACATGAGACTGACTCGACAGGACATTGTCTCATGACCCACTTGTACTACACGGTGTGATAAAGCATGTCACTGCTCTGCATTAATGATACTTCGAAGTATGAAAGTGTATATAACTCTGTGAGGCACTCATGACAATAACCAGCCTCGAACAGTGAGTACCATTATGATCCGTAAAATCGTCAGTCACATGCTAATCTTACGTCAGGTCCCGGAAGCAAGCCCCGACAACGTGACCTCCACCTGTCTCCGCATCACCTCCGCAGGAACAACAACACCAACACTATACATCCATTTCAACCTTCATCCCCATCCTCCTCCCATCGACAAGCCGAACCTCAACCCATACAGTGACCACAAAATGCGTCCATTAACACCCCTCCTCACCTTCCTCACCATCCTACCCTTCACAACCGCCCAGCCAACCCACCAGTCCCAAACCCAACTCCAACCCTCAACAGCAAACAACACAACAGAACTCCGTGCCCTCCCCCTCGTTATCTGGCACGGCCTAGGCGACACATACCTCAACCCATCCCTGCAATACCTAATCCAAGCCGCTGAAGCCGCCAACCCCGGAACCTACACCTACCTAATCCACCTCTCCCCTAGTAGCACCGGTGACCGCCAAGCGACCTTCCTGGGCAACCTCACCACGCAAGTCGCCTACGTCTGCGACCAACTAGCCCGCGACCCAATCCTTTCCACAGCACCCGCCATCAACGCCCTCGGCTTCTCCCAAGGCGGACAATTCCTCCGCGCCTACATTGAACGCTGCAACAACCCCCCGGTCCGCACACTAATAACCCTCGGCAGCCAACACAACGGCATCTCGCAATTCCAGTCCTGCGCCTGGAACGACTTCGTCTGCCGGGGCGCCGAAGCACTTCTTCACTCGGGACGATGGTCATCCTTCGTGCAGGGACGGCTCGTCCCCGCGCAGTATTTCCGCGACCCTGAACCCACCGAAATGGAAAACTACCTCCAATACAGCAATTTCCTGGCGGATGTGAATAATGAGCGCGAGGTGAAGAACGAGACGTATAAGGAGAACTTGAGCAAGTTGGAGAAGTTTGTGATGTATATGTTTGAGGAGGATCGGATGGTGGTGCCGAAGGAGTCGAGTTGGTTTGGAGAGGTGGATGGGGAATCTGGGGATGTGGTGGGGATTAGGGAGAGGAGTATTTACAAGGAGGATTGGATTGGGTTGAAAGGGTTAGATGAGAAGGGGGGGTTGGTGTTTAGGACGTTGAAGGGGGGTCATATGCAGTTTGATGAGGAGGAGCTGGAGGATATTTTAAAGGAGTTTTTGGGGCCTGTGGAGGTGGAGGTTGGGGATGATGATGAGGTTAGTAGGTTAGTGAGTCAGGTTGAGTATTAACTTCTCGTTCTTCTTCTATCTCTTATGTGAGGGAGATGGAAGAGATAAGAGTTGCGGCGCTACTACTGAGTAATATTATATATTATACCCGGGTTTCAGATTGTGTTGGTTGCTTTTCTATACTACTACTACAAGTAGCACTAATATAACGGTATTAAATACATGCACACACACTATGCTGCATCCATTATGCTACATCGGGATATCATCAGAGCCAGAGCCACTGGAAAATGAAGCAAAGCTAATAAGAACAAGTAATAAATTGGCAGCAGCAGCAGCAGGTAATATCCAAAACAAAGTAAGAAAGATACAGGAAGCAACGACAACAAACGACAAAGATACCTCATGTAGTAAGTAAAGCAAGTAGTGTACGCAGTACAGCTCTATCAATCGATCAATCAGTCAGTCAGTCAGTCAGTCCATCGCAGACGCCATTATTAATGATCATGCAGCAGGAGATCCACCGTGACGCGCATGGCAATAGTGAGACAGACATATAGTGGTAAGTGACAAAGGAGAAAGTTTAGATGGATCATGTGCAAGGAATAGCACAGGGGATGTGGGATAGTAATGTATCAGAAAAAGGAAACCGGTGAAAAGCAATATGAAAGAAAGAAAGGATGGGATATATCATGGGCCTCGACGATCATGACTCGAACCTGGTGGAAGACCCGGATGGATGAAATAAGCGATGCAATAGACAGAGATAGGAAAGAAAAGTGAATGAATGAGAGTAGGTTCTCTGGAAGAAGGAGTTGATATGTCATCAGTAAGGCGGACGCCCGATTCCTCCAGTAATGCCCCGTCGAGAAGCACCACGGGGCCTGCCGGGGCGCGACTCTGCATGTGCCGGGGACAAGAACCCATTCAGAAGGTTCTGCACATCACGGCGCTGGGCACTGTCCGTTGGTTCGGACAGGTCCGGTACGCCGTCGTAGACATAGCTTCTTGAGTACTCACCATCAGCCGCTGCAGCTGCGAGACCCGTGCTGGACCGGCTCTTGTGCTTGTTGAGAGATTTGCCATGGTGAGGCACGGCAGGTGTGCCGGGCTTGCCATTCGCCGTGGGAAGCCGACGAGGCCCTGGTGCAGTGGATGGTCGCTCTGACGCCAGGGATCGCTGCGAGTCGTTCGACACGCCTCCGGTGACGGACAAGGATGGGGGAATCGGTGGCACAGGGGGAATGTCGTCTGCAGCCATAAAGTAGGCCTGTCCGTTCTCCGTATTACCTAAGGCGGAAGCTTTGGGGGTCACCATGCCGTCGCCGTCCGGAAGACCGTGTCCATCCCTAGTCGACTGGGGTCTGATTGAAGCACCGTCTCCGTCAATTTCAGACAAGGAATAACCGCTGACCATGCTTTCGCTGCTAGATGAGACGACGCTGCGGTTGGAAGCATCCAGCCGACCACGTAGCGGGCTCAACCGGCGCATCTTGTCCTGATCGTTGATGGAAAGAACACGCCGCAGGTCATTGATATGAACCGGGGACTCTCTGCTAGAGCTCTGAATGTGTGCCCGGGCAGACTCGGGGACGCTCATCCGACGCGAGTTGTGCAGTCCGGCTGCACTCTGCTGTGCGGATGGAGGTGAGGTGGTCGAGGGTGAACTGCCGTCCGCGCCATTCAGGTAAATATGACTGCGCATCGCCATTGTCCCGGCCTTGGAGCCACTGAGAGACAATGCTTCGGTTTTCTCCCGCTCCGCAGCTGCCAGGCATGATTCTCGGGACCATGCCGAGAGCATCTGTTCCCGAACGAGGGGAGGCAGAAGATCACCGCGCGGAGCAGAAACCGATCCATGTCCCAGAATAGGCATAGTGAAGCTGCGCGTGGGGGAGCCCGGGGGGCTGTGAGAAGAGACGAGCGCGGCATGGTTGTATGCATCTTCGATACCACGAACAAGGTGCTCAATGTCGTTAAAGAATGGGGTCATCTGGTCAACGTTCGTGGTGTTACCGGCCACGGCACGGTGATCACCGCCCTGTAGGATTTGGCTGAGGTCAGTTGCGGGCAAGCGAATAGGGTCAAGCCAAAGGCCGAGCTGTTGCCTCTTTAAGATCTCATTTTGAATAGCCTGGCCTACTTCTGTCGATCCCAGCTCGAATCGCTCAGACAAGGCCCACAGATATCCATACACCAAGCTTCCGATATTGACCTTGGCAGACCCAGATGCCAGGCTTGGAGCGCTGTTCAGATCATCTTGAAGCTTTAACACCATGGGCAGTCCAAACCGAGCGGCGTTGACCCCGAGTTTATCAACAAGGCTGGCCAAGATCAAATGAAGCAATCTGATCTCAGAAACACTAGTCGGGCTCTCAAGCGCAATGTCATAAATGGTCAGGTGCAGCATTCGGAGGAAGTTGAATTGAGCTGCTATGGCGGCCTTCTCTCTCTGCATTGCTGTAGACACTGATCGTTTTCCAGTCCTCTCGCCGACCTCCGTTAGTTCACGTTTGGGGCTTGAAGGTTTCGCGTGTTTATCCTTGACTGCCAAATCGCTCTGGTTCGTTTCGAGCTTCAACCAAGACAGTAACGCATCAGCATACGCGTAACGCGCATCACCTTGACGTTCCTGCAACAACCACTGGGTCCCTTCCCAGACGTGGATTCCAACATGGTTCCTGGACTCCACGCCAGATACAGCTGCGGGTTTTCGGGAATTCGCTACCATCAGAATGTTCTTGATAGCTCTAAGAGCAGCAACTCGTCCAGTAGTGGATGAAAACGCGATAGAACTGGCTTCCCCAGTTAGGCTGCCAGCCTGCGAAGCGGCTCCGGGAGAATCACCTGAGACTTGTGCAGGGTGTTCGTGGGTGGATGAAGGCTTGATCCGAGTCAGGACGACTCTAATCATATCGACAACTTGATCGCCATAGTAGATGTGCGTCGTAAGGTCTCCAATGCACCGCTGGAAGAGAGTGATCAAATCTGCTCTCTTTCCAGAGAGTTCGACTTGCTTCTCCGAACCCGCAGGCGACAGCAAGAACGACATATGCTGCAAGAGACCCAGAAGGATATCGATCACGCTAAGACCAATCATATTGACAGGCGACTTCAGCAGCCAGTCGATCATGTAAACGATGATGAAAGGTTCATCCAGGGTTTCTTCTCTAGGGTTGATATCGAACAGAAGCTCCATGGCGGCAACCAAGATGATGAACCGCACCTGCACCGGGCACCATTTCGCGACCAATTCCATCAACGACGTAGCCCAATTACCACTCGAGTCCAGGGACAATCCCAAGCTGGTGGCTCGGTTTCTGCGGAGCATGAAGTCCAATACAACTTTCGTGGTCACACGGATCTGACCGCGGCTGCTTCCCGTAACAACAATGCGCTCGAGGCAGCTGAGAGCAAGAAGCCTCACATCCATTTCCGCTTTCTTGTCTGCATCAGCCGCGGACTGAGAAGCCAATGCCGGATCGCCAGTCACGGTGTCGACGGTCTGCACGGTAGCGTTGCTAATTCGGCGCCGGTGCGCAAGATCCGCTTCACTGCTCTTCTCCGATTCCATAAGCTGTTGTTCCAGAGATGGGATGACATCCTCATCTCCGTGGCAGATGTTCTCCAAAATGACCGGCAATATGATCTTCAACGAATCTCCACCATCAGCAGCCAAGCCCGCCTCGGAACTGACCACGCCCTTGATCGCACGAAGTCCCGCATTCCGCCACCGTATCGCCAAGGGGCCGCTAGAGGCAGGATCCAGCTGGGGCGAATGCACCTCTGCGAAGCTCGCATACGTCCGCACGACCTCGCGATACTGTGTCGCAAAGTCCTGTTCGGCCGACAGCGCCGCCATGTCCTGATGGCGGCAGAACATCTCGAAGGTCGCGATCGAGTCTTCAACGATTGTTATATCGCGGGAGCGCAAGACAGTTTCAATTACCGTCAGCACGGAGCGGGCGTAGATGGGGAGGTCGCGGGGCACTTTCTCGATAAGCGCGGTGAGAATCTGAAGTGTCACCTGTACATTGCTTTACCAGAACAAGTCAGCCCCCGATTGAAGATAATTCCCCTCGTAGATTCAGTTCCTCAAAACATACCCTATCTTGCGGCGCCAGACATCCCTCGCGGCTCGTTTCTCCAGGAAAGCGCCGACCTTGGTCAGCTTGCTGCGACGAGTGCTTGCATAGTAGAGCAGATAAGAAAGTTCACTCGGATTCGGCTTGACTTCAGGAATCCCCTTCTGGTATTGTGGATAGCATTTCAGAACTAAGACCTGATGCTTTGGCCGACATGACTGGCGTACGCCCTCCATTGGGCAATGTGATTTGCAGGGCGATTACCCGATGACTGTATACTGCAGATTTTCAACGGTTTTAATACAACAGGGTGCAGATCCGATGACCGAAACGGTCACCTGAGGACAAGTATATTTAGGGACTGATTAAGGATCTGTAACAAGAAAAGACCATGAGGAAGTAGGTATGTCACGTCGCTGAGGCCTTTTGGGGGGGTGTTGCGGCAACGGCCAACGTGGTTTAAGGAGAAAGGAGAGGAGAGGACAAGACTTCCAGGTCGAGTTGCAATCACCACGGGTGGGGTCGATCCATCGGAGATGCTAGTAAATAGTACCCAGCCTGGACAAGGAGGTGGGGGATTGATTGAAGAAACAGGAACACTGTCAACCGCGGAGGCTGGCAAGCGAGGCAGAAGCGAAAAGTGTCGCCCTCCGGTTCTTTGGCGGATGGCGATAAGTTTAGTGTTGGGTTGCCGCGGCGAGATGAACCAACGGCCTGCTCGGGAAATTCAGCCTGGCGCGCCGCTCCGGCCGCGTCACGGTTAGGCGGTCGCAAACTTGCCCATATGGCAGATTTATCGTTAAAGACATGGACAATTTGTTTTATATTTCCTATGTAGGCTTTTTCTATATGATATATTGTTTCTTGACTCAAATTGGTCTATCGGTATGATGGCTCAAATGCTCGATCTACAGCAGAGCAGGTACCCAGGAGAGTTTTTCCCCTGCAACCTAATACAACCCCACGGCAACGTCATAGGCAGATTATCAGGGACAGATGCTGCTGCTCCTATGGCTTGGAAGCGAAAAATCTGAGCACCCAGTGTGTCGATGAGAACGGACAGATGGGATTTTTCTGTCGTGTCGTACACTCCACTACTTTCTTGTGTGCGCATATACCCTCCGTCTCTTACATCGGTGGCAGGCCCGCTCAGGACTCTATCGAGCAATCTCAACCGGAATAGCTCGGGAATTCCAGCTGAATAGAGAGGAGTATGTCGTTGATCCTGAGGAGTGCTTGTCGAGGTGCATGTCTGGTAGCTCCAATGAAGAGCCGGTTCCATGGCCGATCAGGGGGTACCTCGGTCACACATGACTCCGGGGAGATCATGAACCATCTGGGGTTGCATTAGGACTGCAGCATAAACCGCGGTGCATCAAGGTGTCCCAATGTCGACCAAAGCGCCCATGCCCCGCGCGGATCTTTTGATGTTGTGTCTCCATATACCCCCCTCTCCGCAGCCTAGTGGTAAAAGAAGACGGTGGCTCAAGCAGGACATCATCCCGGACAGACCACCGAGCCAATTCACACCGAGGTCAATATACAGCGCGTCTGTTTCCTGCTGTATCTAGTGTAACCGCATGCCTTCCTAGCTTGCTTTGGCTTGCTCGCCCTCCTGGTCTCCAGACTCCGCAGCTGGGTCGACGGGTTCGGCGGCAATATCGGTCCCTGCTAGCCTTTCAATGACATCGGGACGAATAATGTCGCGACGGAAGGTCTCCTCCTGCAGTAGTCGTAGCGCCCGCAAAGTGGCACCAGGATGGGTCAGAAACTGGGCGTATTCGGGGGTCTTCCAGTAGGAATAGAGGTAGGCCAGGTACGCTGCAAATGCCTGCGCGTCGGGGTCTGTGGAATCATTGTTCACGTCGCTGTCATCACCAGACTTGTTTATGCCCAGCAGATTCGGATATGTCACGGCGAGGTGGGACAGATAGTAGGGATTGGCGAGAGAAGACACAAACTCTAGCTCGAGGGTGAAGCGAGGATTTGTGAGTGTCGGAGGCGGAGGCTGTTGTGGTTGATCGGCGGGGGGTGGCTGTTCCATGATGCGACGGAGATGCTCTTGAGCAAACCAGAGAACCGAAAAGGTCGGTGACTGAGCCTTGAGAGTAAAGAAAGACGTTGGTGGTGTGTAGGTTGCAATGAGTCGGAGCTATTCAGATAGACCGCGCGACCAGTTGGAGGTTGCCAAGACAAGCTCACCCCGGCGCGGCAAGCTCCATTCACTGGTTGTCGCGGTTGATATTCGATGACTTCTATAGCCACTAGTGTTTCCCCACTAGAAGTGTTGACCAGTATTTAAATTAAAAGAAGTGTAATTGATTGAGTGAGGCTACTGTCATTTTACTTATATTTACTCTACCGCGTTGCTGGGCGTCAATTCGGCTATTACTCCTGGAATTAGTACACTAAGAGCTACTATCGGATTCATGGTTGGGGCCATGAACTACTGCTTCGGTTGGATTGACAGTAACTACAACCCACATTGAAAATTGTTGCAGAAATTGATAAAAGAAAGCTGATTATGTGTCTACAGTACCTAGGGAAATAGCAGTGGGCAATAGTCAAAACTTGCCATTGTTCTTCTTCTTATCCACCCCCCCATGCAGTCCAGAGCTGCTAGAAAACAATAGACTGGCCTAGAAACCCCATGGCCTATGCATAAGGCCAATGGTTTACAATGGTAACTGTTGGATGAATGCATTTGAATTCAGGTACAGCTTCTACTTTGTAGATAGTCAAATAGTTAGTCGCCGTACAAAGCATTAGTCAATTGAAACCGGAATTTAGATGACGCTGACCCAGCCATTCAATGTCAAACGACCGTTACGATAAACTAGCGCCATCGGGCGATTTATATGAGACTGGCGCCGAAATAAGATCGCCAAATCATGGTTCACCGGGGTGATGATAGAGGGCCCCCCCCTTGGATCAGAATGGCTTCAGACAGTCTCCATCTAAATTCAAACGAGCCACAGTGCGGCATGAAACACGTCGGAGATAAGCTCTGAGGGGACGGTGGTCCTCGCCCACCTTGACTGTTCGGGAATCCGATGACATCTTAAGCATTCTTTGGCTTGGCCAGAGCGAGACCTTTGCCCGGTTATCGATGCATGCTGCCGTACTTTGTCACACTGAACAGCATGGATGACGTTGTTCGTCGATCCAACGATAAGCCTAGATCGGACAGGCCGATAAGTAGGATGAGATCCAGTTAGGCAGTCATACCAGGACCGGATGCAGAGAGAGCCGAAAGACATTACGAACCAGCCCAACACACTCTGGTCGAGACCTCATTGTTGCTTGAAATCAAGTTTTGTCCCATTAGATGAATGTACGGGAAATACTTTGTCTGCGTTTTTGGAACTATGGGTCACAGCTGTGCCACATACGCATCCAGTCACAATGTTGTGGTTTACTTGATACTAAGCAATCGACTAGTAGTAGTTCCAGCAGCAGCCGTCAATCCGATACACAAACCGGAGCCAGGCGGCGCGGGACGATCGGAGCCAGGGCTGAGAAAAGCAATATGGAAGTATCCTGCAGGTCGGACGCCTGGTCGAAGACTATTAGGAAAATCGGATCGTTGTGCCGTCGGAGTCCGGATATATTCCAGCTCTTTTCTGTGGTGGATTTTTATTTCTCAGATGCAAAAAATGAATGGTGGTACTACGTATGCTGGCGGTGCTGGTGGGCGGGCCAACAGGCTGCACAGTAACAGAGAGGCGCCACGAGCGAGAGCGACTCCATCGGTACCGTGGCGACATCCACCTGTCGTATTCCGGTCGGGTTTGATCGAGGCAAAAACTCACTGGCTGGATGGCTGCATCATCTTGCTCCGCCCCAGGAAGGCAAGACAGCACATTCCGGACGCGATCGGACCGGAAAACGAGGGAAGGGGAGAGAAGTGCGCGATTCCGGGATCGATAACCTATATACGCAAGCCACCCTCACTTTACCAAGTGGATGGCGGAAGTAAGGAACCAAATGGGTGGCCAAGGCAGGTCACGCAGCACAACCAAGATGCGAATGGAATTAGTAAGAAGCCGGTGGGATGGGATGGGATGTTGGTTCGCTAGTTAGACGGTCGGTAATTATTGTCCCAGCTTAGTTCAATTAAGTAGTTAGTTAACTGGGTAACTGGTTGGTTATCTGGTTAACCGGCAGATGGATGAGCATGACCATGACCATGACCAAGACCAGGGGGGGAGGATCATCCTCATCGTGGGAGGCCCGCCGGTGTCGATCGGAGGGACAACAATGGATGGATGATGCAGCAGGTGGGCTTGCATTCTTGGGGGAGGAGCTGACGCAAGAGCACGAGTTTGTTGAGACTTTTCCGGTACCATTTCGGGAAACAAAACCAGGGCTCAATCGTCTAAGCCATGCGAGAGAGAATGATGACAGCAGCAATAATGAGTCTCGATGAACGTGGTGGAAGACAGAAGGGGTTGTGTGTGGTTTGTTGGGTCTGTCGTGTCCTGCAGAGCCAATGTTTGTTACTATTCTCGGGTCGGGGGGGGGAGGTCAGTGAAGAGTGGCACGAGAGGGAACCTATGGAGATGAGAACGTTTGGTTCCCTCCTATCTAGTCTAGTGCCGTCTCTCTCAACCTCACAGGCAGCAGGAGACTATTACTAGTCGAAGCTCGTTTGTTCGGTTGGTTGGCCGATTGCTGACTGGAAAGCAATGAATGGAGCTGCAAAGTGTTTTTCCTGCGCCCGCATCCCTACTAGTCGCATGAACCCCAGCTTTTCTTTTGTATCTAGTGTGTGCCTAGGTACATTGCAATTCTGCATATGATCGGAGGATAGTCTACGTAGTACGGAGTAAAAAATAGATCGACAGTAGAAGCAGGAGCAGGAGCAGGAAATAAAAATGTGAGGATCTAGGAGATGAGATGATGATGATTATGGAGTAGCAACCAAGCAAATCAATCCACAATTCAGGCACAGGAACGGACCAACCCCTGAGAAAAGTTGGGGTCGCCTGTCAAAATTGACTCAATTAGTTGCGCGGGCAAAGAGGAAAAGGTGGTGGCTGATTGATTGATTCCTGGGCAACCAGAGATGATAATGAGATGAGTTTGCCCTTTTTTTATTTCATGATTTTATGATTAATATCCCTCCCCTCCATCGATCGAGGGAGGTGATTCATTTATAATATCCGTATAATATAACTGCTAGCATCTTCTTTTCCATTCCAGTGATCGAATAACAAAATATAATAGAATAAATACAAAAATAAAATGAAATAGACAAACTTTACAATCCATTTTGGGTAGGATTTCCCCAGGCCCTCTCCTTCTCCCTCTCTCTCTCTCTCTGTGTCCTCTTCTCTCTTCCTTTTCCTTTCCTCCTTTTGCCGCGTCGACGATCGCCTCTTCGGCCCTTCTTTTGCCTCTTTTCAGCAATTCGAGTGGTTCCGTCCATCCATTTCCCCAAGGGGCTCTGGATCCTCATTGGCACCCGTCATTCCCTCGCTCTTCTCATCTTCCTCTTTTCGTACCCTCTTTTTTCCCGTGCGTTGCTCCTAAACTTAACTCTACTGACTGACTGCTTAACTACTTTGTACTAAGTTACTTACTACTAAGTTACTAAAGTTACTCCTCCCGTACGGTACCAAACCCACCCTCGGCTTTCCCTCTTGTCTCCCTCTTTCCCTCCGCTCCATCGTCTCTCCCTCTCCCTCTCCCTCTCCCTCACTCAACTGATTTACTCTCTCTTCTTCTTCTTCTCTCCTTGTTATTTCACTCCCCTCTTTCTCTCTTTTTACAAATCATCATCTTCCTTCCCCACCCCACCCTCTCCCTCGTTCACATACATTCTAATCTCACCCGGAGAAAATTTCAAGCCTTTCCTTCTTCTTTTCTTCCCCCCCAAGTGGAATTAAGCAATCTTAAATTGAAAGACCCGTCCCGGTCCAACTTGCCGCTACCGAATAAACTAAACGTTTCCCCCCTCTCCCTCCAATTATTTCTCCTTGCCCCTGACCGACATCCGCGGCATCGCCGTTTCAGCATACGCCTAAGCTCTCTCTAGTCTGGCGTCTGCACTCACAGTCTCGGCCTCCTGATCATCCACTTACTCCTGTCTTTTTATGCTGTCTCTCTCTGTTCCCCAATCATCTCTTCTGACCTGCTCCCATCTCGACATCGCATTGCGTGGACTCGCAACATGTATGCCTCTCAACAGCCTGCTACCTACGCCTACCCACCTGGCGTGACGCTGGGCCCCTCAGGTGCGTCATCTTGCTGATTCTTGTTTTGTCCCCTGGTCCTGTCCTCCTTCCAGGATTCTTCGTTATCTCCCAGCCGTTTCACCTCTAGCGGGGCTTCCCCTTGGTCAGAGTGTTATCTGTCCTGTGCCGCCTGCTTTTCTATTTCAGAACCGTGCTTCCCCAAAGTAAAAGTACCAAAAAAGCTAACTTTGATCTGTCTGCTGCTCAACTACAGGCTCACCTGTCCAACAAGCTTTCGGTCCAGCCCCCGTCAATCTGGGCTCCAACAATCCCTTTCGGAATCGTGCTCTGTCGCCTTCCGCCAGCTCTTTCGCATCTGCCAGTGGCCAATCTGAACGCCGAGTCTCTACGAATCCTTTTGACGACGACACGCTTTCGCCGCAGTCGGCTCCCGTGATAGGGTCAACCATGGTCTCCCCAGTCGAGAGACAAGACATGACGTCCAACACTCGTGAACTCTTTGTATGCTCATTTCGCATCCCTGACTACTGTCGCTCATCGGAACTGACCAAAAACTACGTGAAATAGGAGAACCTTTCCGTAAACCCTGCTCCCCAGAACACTGGTTACAGACAAGCTCCCCCGCGCCCGGACAAGCCCGCGCCCAACGGATACCCGACGAACCGTGGACCTCCGCCGAGGGAACGCCCAGACCGTCGCGACAAAGACCCCTTAGACATCTTTGCCGATCCCCCGAAGACGAGCAGTGGCGGAAGATCGGGGTACAGAGAGCGGAGGCCTCGCCGGAACTCAGAGTCATCCATCATGGAACGAACCCCCAAGCTTGTGGATACTGAGGACGAGAGACGGCGTCGCGAGCGACGACGCCGGGAGCGGGAGGCTCGCCATAAAGATGGAAAGGACAGCAAGGAGTCAAAGGATGGAAAGCCTCGTTCGTCTAAAAAGTCCAACTACCACATGGACATTATCGATAAACTGGACGTGACCAGTATTTATGGCACTGGAAGTGAGTTGGAGCCCATTGCTATCTGGCAGAAGCACTTGCTAACGGGAGTTGTCTGGTATAGTGTTCCATCACGATGGGCCGTTCGATGCCTGCAATCCTAACCGTAACCGCAAGGGCTTGCGTACGGCACCCATGCAGGCGTTCCCCAAGGACTCTGCCAACATGGCCCTTGGAGGCGCAGGGCCAGTCAATGCCAACATTGATCTGAACCTGTTCCACGGGACCATGGACGAAGGCTACAATGACTATTCTACCAGCGCCGCGGTGGACCCGCGTAACAACAAGAGCGAGACCGCGAACTTTGATCCAACCACTCGCATCGAACCTGTCCATGGAGCGGAGAGCATGGGTCTGGGAACTAGCACGTTCCTGGATGGTGCCCCGGCTAGCCGGGCAGACATTCAGCGCCGTGGAAGTGGGAACGAGAACGGTGGAGCTGGTCCCAGCGGGGGAGGCTTGCAGCGCAAGAAGAGTTTGGCTCAAAGACTCCGGGGAATGAACAAGCCCTCAAATCCCCGAGTGGTCTCTCCCGAGTCCTCATACACCCCGGGTGTGTCTACCGGCTCTAGTCACATCGGAACCATCCGCGCCAATGAGAAGAATCCCTTCTTCCAGGATTATGATGATGCTTGGGACAAGAAGGGGGCCCAGATCAACATGTCTGAGGAATCACGTGGTACCGTAGGTACACGAGCCCGTTCCTCCAGCAGCCCCAAGCAGAATACCGGGTTGGAGCGGAGGTTCACCAACGAACGGACCAACACTGGACTCGATGAGGGCAAGCCCAGCGGCGGCGGGTTTATCAACCGCATGAAGAGTTTGAGAAAGCCCCGCCCTGAGCGGCGCATCAGCAACGACTGAGCGACTTGAGTGATTTTGATCAACGGTCATTTCCAACTCCGTTGCTTGTGTTTGACGCAGATGACGAGGGAAGTGTGGAGAGGTGGAGAACGCTCTGGAAGCATCCATCTTGCACTCCCTTTAGTGTCTATTTCGTATAGAAGATAGGCAGAATGAGGCATATGATGAGATAAAGCATCGTGAATCGCAGGCTAGCGTAAAACGACATATGATAAAAATATCGTCTGCAGCGTTACCTTGGGATTTCCGACGCATTACTCAACGCTCACCCAGAGCGACTGTTTTAGCGCGCTCTAAAGCGACGTACTCGACTCCAATACAAATGGTTTGGCGAGGCGGTGATGGGAGTGGTTGGTGTTTCTTTGACTGGTAAACCACACGGTGTACGGGACGCGAAAGGACAAGGCGTTGATGTGAGCATTACTCTTTGTGTGCATGGGAATCGGACCTGTGTTGGGACCGACTGGGCTTTGCTGTTTCGTGCTTCTCTTGTTTGATGGGGCTGTTTGAAGGCGATGTGTCTTTCAGCTGAATACATACCGTGCTTGTACTGGCCCTCTTGCATCTATATTATTACTCTAGCCATAACCGTAAGGCGTAGATGTAGACCAGCCTACTCATTTAGCTTTCCCAGAAGATCCTTTACTCATCTTCACACAGCATGTCTTAGTATCACTAAGTGCCTGCAATGGCGTAATGATAGACCGTCACCATAAAGGCCCTGTTTGTCCAAGAAAGAGGGCTCCCGACCTCTTCCTGGCATTCTAGGAACTATGGGTATGAATCCTATTCCGGGCACCTATTCTACCCAGAGCCACCCAACAAAGAAAGTTCTAAGAGATATTGAATTTCTTCTGGAATCCGAACATTGGACCGGACCCAACATAAAGTATATCCATGGTATAGAAGAGGGGGAACATAGTCCTTAGATGATTGTGTTTAAACACGTCTATAGATAGTTAGATCTAGAGCTAGCTTTATTTAGGATTACTCCCTATATAGAAATCATAGACAGTAATTACATGAAAGGTAACAGGAAAACAAAATAGAGGTCTGGGTCCTGGAGGCGTCCAGCCTAAGGTATGTATGTATGTGTATGAATCATGTCGTAAGTCTTGCGTGTATGGAGATTTTCTGGGTTCTGTATAAGGATCTGTTCAGATTTGACTGGATTATATTGCAAAATTAGAGAACTTAATATGCTAGGCAGGGAGTATCATCTACATACTAGCTGCTATATGTATTTAGGCGGCTGCGCCAGATTAAAGAATAAAAATTGAATAAACTGTATTAGTGTTGTCAGATGTACACAGGTCAAAAGATAGAATCACTGTCAATCCGAATCTGCAACCACGTATTACTAGTACTACTACTTGACAGGTACACCAACGCAGAACAAAAGCTTACTCAATAAATACTTCGTTCAGTTAGGTATATCCGAGCTAGCTAACACTCTAGCAAGTAAGTAAACAATCCACATTCAACAACAACAGGGAATTTGAAGACACCCATTCCCGCGCACACACATGATCACATTGATTAACATCATGATGAAAATAAAGATATAAACCCCCATTGAACCCGCAACTCCCATAACGTGACATGTGATGTGTATGATCATATCACGACCAATCACTCATATTCATTATGCAATAAACAACCATCCCGTATGGTGGAATATTAACCCGCAAACCCTAATGACCGAAAAAAGGAAGAAAGTGGGAAAAGAAACAAGAGGCGGGTAAAGTTTTACCGCGCCCTAGTAGAAGACTGCATGCGCGGCTTGAACGGATCAGGGGCGGGAATGCCTGCTCTCCGCTTGGATTGGGGCTTGGGGCGGGAGAGTGTGTATCTATTAGATGCTTTGTTAGTACACTTCAACCTTTTAACGGCATGGATGGTTATGGTAGGTACGTACTTGGCAAACGCCCTAGACAGAGCCTTCTTGCAGCTGATTTTCTGGCTACCGATGAAGGAGTCGACGGTGACGGCGATGGCACGGTCGATGTCCTGTGCGGAGCAGTATTCTGAGAGTCGCATCTTGCAGAAAGATTCGGCGATACGCATGATGGCTTCGAGGTGACGAACCTAGATGGACTATTAGTCTTTTCTTGTCTCCTGATATGTGGTAAAAAGTAATGGGAAGGGAAGCATACGGTGATGGGGTAAGCGCCGGTGGCCAGAGATTCGCGTCTCATATCGGCAAATAGACGGGCGATCTTGTCTTGGTCGATCTGGTAGAGCTTGGGGTGGCAGCGTTCACGGGCGTAGAGGATGTATTTGCGGAGAAGTTCTTGAGGGATTTCGCCGTCTTTCTCGTCTTCGCGTCGTTGCTTCTCGGCATCCCGGGTAGCGAGTTCCTCGTCGGTCAGGGGCAGGCGTTGCTTGGTCTTCTTGTCAATACGGTAGCCATCTTCGTCGATGGGGTGTCCGTCTGCGTTGATCAGGTTGCCGTCTTGGTCACGAAGGGGACGGGCCGGGTTGGCGCGGTGGTGGGATTCGATGACGAAGTTGGCGAGGCGTTCATCCTCGCTTGGGTCAACCAGATCGCGGACGACGCAGAGGATGTCGAAACGGGACAGGATGGGTTCGGTGAGTTGGACGTTCTCGGAGAAGGGTGCGCTGCTGTTGTAGCGGCCGCCGATGGGGTTGGCGGCGGCAACGACAGCACAGCGGGCCTGCAGGGTGGTCACGATACCGGCCTTGGAGATGGAGATGGTCTGTTGTTCCATGGCTTCGTGGATGGAAGTACGGTCCTGGTCGTTCATCTTGTCGAACTCATCGATCAAGCAGGTGCCGCGGTCTGCAAGAACGAGGGCTCCTCCTTCGAGGGTCCATTCGCTGGTGAGGGGATCGCGACGGACGCTGGCTGTCAGACCGACGGCACTGGCACCCTGACCGGTGGCGAAGACGGCTCTGTGGGCAGTCTTCTCGGTGTATTTGAGGAACTGGGACTTGGCGGTACCGGGGTCACCCAGAAGGAGGACATTGATATCTCCACGAATGGACATCTTGCCTTGGGCTTCTTTGCTGACACCACCGAAGAGAGAGAGGGCGATGGCAGTCTTGACGTCCAGGTGGCCGTAGATACTAGGGGCAACGGAGCGAACAATCTTATCGACAATCTCAGGGTCCCTGGACAGGGCCCGAATCTCGCGCTCATCCTCTTCGGTCAAGTGGAAACCAGCCAGCTGGTCGTGGGACTTGACGACATGGTTGGCCTCGATAATCGTGGCGAACACAGGGAAGCCGTTCTTGTTGTTGAGCTGCGCATCGTAGCTGTTCCGGTAGATACCCGTCACCTCGATTTCATCACCTGGCTTGGCTGAATCAATGAGATCAGCGAGAAGAACGACCTCGCGCTGGCGGGGGAGTCGACCGGCAGGGACCGAGCCCGGAGATTCTTGGAGGGTCAGTTTCTGGTAGTTCCGGTAAACGGTCTTTTCGGAGTGCACAGAGAAGGGTCCCTTGGACTGGCAGTTCTGGCAGTACGAGATCTTCACTTCCGCACTGGCTTCCTGCTGGAAGGGACCAAGAGTGATGTTACACTTTCCGCAAACGAACATGACATATTTCAGTTGCGGGAAGACACCGGTACGGCGAGTAACGACACCGCTGACGCGGATAAGGCAGTTGAGATGGGACTGGCGGAGTTGACGGAGGGTATAGGAGACAGGGAGATCGGTAATGCGCACATGAATTTCGTTGTGGATATCGTGGTATTGAGGGTAGTGGAAGAGAGTGACATCAAGAGCGACTTGGTCGAAAACTTTCAGCACTTCAGTGGGCTCGTTGGCCAGGAAGTATGCAAGAGCCGCTTTGGTTTCCAGTAGATGGGCGTAAGAAACTTCAAGGGATGCCGAGTTCACCTCACCAAGGGTCTTGATCTTGTTTCCGTAGACCGAAGCACCGGCAGGGTCGGTGTACTCTGTCAAGAAGGACTTGAATTCTCGGTAGATGGAGCGAAGGACTTGGGGCTGCAGGACCCAATCCGTAAGGTTAGAAGCCTTGACATCAGTCAACTCCTCCAGGGAGAGCTCTTCCATGGCATCATCACCCATCTCGACGTCGTCCCGATCTTCATCGTAGTGGTGTCTCCGGCGACGGGGTTGACGAGTGAGATCTAAGTCACCATCTTCGTCATCCTGCAAGAAAGCCGCAGGCATGCGACGGCGACGTTCGAGTTCACGATCTCTCTTGTTCATGCGGGCTTCGAGTTGACGACGAGTTGCGATATCGAGTTCCTCATGGTCGCCGTCATCGTCGATGTATTCTCCTCTGTACTGGTCGTCTGCTGTGCTTCGATAATCTTTCTCGAAGTTGTCTCCAAACAGATCGATTCCGTCCTCGTCTTCAGCCATCTCATCGATATCATCAATGTCACCCAGGAGCTCTGCTTCCTCATCGCGCTCGTTGTCATCGTCGTCGAAAGGAAGCATGGGAGGGGAAGAAGGGGGGGCTATCGCCAGCGTTAGTATCAGGAACCTGCCATTCACCACAGCATGACTTACGACTTGAGGGGGGAACAACCGATGAGGTCTCATCATCGGGCTCTCTGGATCTCTTACGGCGACCCAGGTTCCCTAGGCCGCGGTTTGCAGCAGAATTGCTGGGGCGGAGTGGTGAACTGAGAAGACATTATTAGTATTCCGAGTGTTTTGAGGGGCAACCAAACGAGGTAGTTCCAAGCAACATTGACAATGACTGGTGAGGACATTACATACCTCATTTTGTGTGGTGTTCAGTCTGACAGGCGGGGAGTTGGAAGGGGCAGACTGAGGGAAGGGAAAGAGACAGCCGTGCGGAGGGTCTTTTTTTCTTTTCCGTTGGGCGACGCAGGAGACGAAGGGCGTCCAAGCTGAGAAGATCCTGGACTTGGCGCCGAACGCGTCTTGAGACGCGCCGCAGACGCGTCCGTTTTCAATTAAACCCCGATTCGGAAATGCGACCCGCTCTGAGCCCAGCGAAAAGTGGAATATGCATCGTGGATACGCTCAACTTCTGGGCAGTGAAAAATGGAGCTCTTGGTACGTCATATAAAATAGTTCATTTTGGAGTTACTTCTTACAGTCTAGATTGATTTTCACCGCGGCATGTACAGTGGGGTGGTTCTGCAGAAGCTGCCTGTACTGTAGAGGGATTCCAACTGCGCTTACACTTAGCCACCAGGAGCATTCTAAATTAGCACCAAAAACCTGTAACAAAGATAACAAACAGAACCCTATCATCTTAGGCATTTATACCCTTGGAAAAAATTATCTTCAGACTATCAATTAGAAGTCCCATCATGGTGGACTTATAAAAGAATACCAACCACGTCGGTGCAAACACGGCAAACACTTTACGGTTGCGCGACGGCGCGTTACCACCAGCGCCGCTCAGCCTTCTCCGTATGCGCAACCATCACCTATCGTCCATTCTTCAAAACCCCTATCAAGTTCTTTAGATAATATTCACATCTCCTGTTGGTTCTATATCGCGTGACGGATATCCAACAGACATGGCCAACACCGAGTCGGGCGACTCAATCCTCAATGCCGGACAGGCACTGAGCGGACAGACTACCGCAGGGCGCCGCGAGAGCTTCAGCTCTCAAAACTCGCAGACGGCGAAGGAGTGAGTGTTCATTCATCTGGAACTCGCATGCACTGGTATTCCATTGCAAGTTTTGTTGCACAGGCAACTGACACCTCCATAGATTCATCGAATCCCAGATTCGACTTGAAGCCGATGCGCGTGAAGTCCTTCCATATGTAAGCTTACCTTTCTACTTATCGAAGAGAGAAAAGTGAAGAATCAGAAACACTAACACCTATGCAAGTCATTCGACACTTGTACACAAGACTTAGGTCCCCTTCGCCAATCTCTTTTTGCCTGCCTCACCTGCAACCCCTCCACCTCCGAAGAGTCATATACCCCCGCTGCCGTGTGCTACTCCTGCTCTATCTCCTGCCATGGTGAACACGATCTCGTTGAACTATTCAACAAGCGGAACTTCGTCTGCGACTGTGGAACAACCCGCATGCCCGCCACCTCCCCATGCACCCTTCGGAATGATCCCAAGACCGGCGCGAAAGGCGTGCACTCAGAACAGCCTCACCAAGGCAACAAATACAACCACAACTTCCAGAACAAGTTTTGCGGATGCGGCGAGGACTATGACCCGCATAAGGAACGCGGTACGATGTTTCAATGTTTGGGTCTGGGCACAGTAGAGACAGGTGGTTGTGGCGAAGACTGGTGGCATCCGGAATGCCTGATCGGATTGCCGCGCGACTGGTACAAGGGTGCAAAGAAAGATGGAGCTGCCGATGGAGAGGCAGCCGACGAGGACGAGGACGAAGAGACTCCTCTCCCCCCCGGATTCCCCGCGGAAGAGGACTTTGCGATCTTCCTCTGCTACAAGTGCGTTGACTCGAATCCCTGGGTAAAGCGCTACGCAGGAACACCGGGCTTCCTGCCTCCAGTATACAAAGAAGGCGGACTCGCCGAACCCTCAGAGGAGGACACCAAACCTACCACTACAGAACAAACAACCCAGTCCACAGAACCAGAGCAGCCCAGCAACCCCAAGAAACGCAAAGCCGACGACAGCGCCGACGAAGAAGGCGATCCGGCTGCGAAACGACCAAAGGAGGAGCCTAAAGAGGAGCCCAAACCCGATACGGACGACACTACTACTACCACCATCACCACCACCACTTCCGAATCTAAACCCACCACCACTCAAGATACCGACAAGCCCATCACCACCGAACCCTCCTTTACCTCCTCCAACCCATCCGCACCCAAACACACCCACCTCCCCACAACACCCCCAAGCCGCACCTTCTCCCTCTTCCTGAAAGACGACTTCCGCGACCACTTCTGCCGCTGCCGCGACTGCTACCCACACCTAGCATCGCATCCACAACTCCGCGAAGAAGAAGAGACCTATGAACCGCCCATGTCCGAAGACGGCGACGGCGACGGCCCCAACGGCGGAGGCAGCACCGGCACGGGCAGTCTTCTCGATCGGGGCGAAGCAGCGCTGAGCAACATCGACCGAGTGCGCGCCATCGAGGGCGCAATGGTGTACAACCATCTGCGCGATAAGGTGAAGGAGTTTCTGAAGCCGTTTGCAGAGACCGGGAAGGCGGTTAGTGCGGAGGATATCAAGTCTTATTTTGAGAAGTTGAGGGGTGATGAGCAGTCGATTCGGGATGCGGCGTCTTCTGCTGCTGGTGGGGGTGGGGGTGACGATGGTGATGGTGGGGATGGAGGTAATCGGAGAGAACAGAGTGGTATGTAGATATTACTTTTTCCCCCTTCTGGGTTTGACTTGTTGGGGGGGGGGGGGGGGGGGGGGGGGGGGGGGGGATGATGGTTTGGTTGCTTTGGATGTGGATTTGCTAACTGGGGTGATCATTTTCAGGATATTGATTTTGTTATGTTATATATGGGTTTAGTTGATGTTACGGGTACAGGATGGGATTAGGGTGCTTCCTATGGGTTGGGGAGGGCGTCACGATGGGTCTCTTGCATTTAGTCTCAGGATAATCGGCATATTCAGAGGATATCAAGATTGAAACATAAGATACCGTGTCACACATTTGGAGTTAGCTCATATCATTGAATGCATGCTTACTAGTTTAAAGTATTCCTGATCTCTAGCTTTGTGCATAACATAAGAAGCATCGCAATATAACAGAAAACGCCAGTTTCAAATGCATATCTCGAGATCCGCACAAAATGCCACCCAGGTCCTCAACGCCTTGTAGTCAAAATCCTTCAAAAACAAAAGAATAATCATCACTCTTTCAAGCGCTTAGTTGCCCTTCCCAACAGACTATCATCAGGCAATCCGCTGCGCTTCGTGCCAGGTAGGCTACCAGAGCGAATATCGTTGTCATCCTGTGTCACCCGGCGATGAGGATACTTGCCCTCAAATCCCTCAAAACAATTGGCGGATATAGGCCCCCCGTTCTTAAAGTAGGGATGCTCGAGAGCTTCTTGCGCGGTGATCCTCTTGGTCGGGTCGTATTCCAGTAGGCGTGACAGCAGATCGAAACCATCTGCCCCGGGCGTGCCAGCACTCGAGTTGGCGGAGTACCCGTTGTTCTTCAGGCAACTCTGATACCAGCCTTCCAAATTAGATGATCTGTTGAAATGCCCAGGTGCACGTGACATTGCCAATGACTGCAGCTGCGAATATTCCGGCATGGACACGATGCCAGGCCAGATCTCCTTGGTTGGAAGCCCCATAATCTCGATGATCTTCATCATCTGATTGCGCTGGAATGGCACCGTCTTTTTACTGTCCATCTTGGCTTCCTCACCCTTAAAGATGGGGCGGAGCGATAGCAGCTCCGCAAAAATGCACCCGACGGCCCACAAGTCAACAGCTGGTGTGTAGTGACGACTACCCATCAAGAGCTCAGGGGCACGGTACCAGATGGTGACGACAACCTTGTCTCCAGAAAATAGAGAGTTGAGTGGCTTGTAGAAGAGACGGGCAAGTCCCAAGTCTCCGATGCGAATGGCACCACTTGAGGTCACCAAGATATTTGCTGGTTTAAGGTCCCGATGCAGTACCCAGTTGGTGTGGAGATACAGTAGGCCATTGAGCAACTGAAAGAGGATCGACCTCACCATCAAGGCCGGAATGGCGTGCCTTTGCGGTTGGGTGTGATGATGAATAATCTGGAGCAGATCATGCTCTGTGTACTCAAAGACCATGAAGATACACTTGTCCTCCAGGATGATTTCTGCCAATTGCACTACATTGGGATGGTCCAATTCTGAGCACAAGGCCATTTCTCGGATGGCCGACTGGGAAAGACCGGTATACTGAATTATTTCGCCTTCTTTGTCCGGCTTGAACCTACAGCGGGTGAGTCATGTGACGATGTAAGTATGCCAGGATGGGATGCTAACTTTTTGATCGCGAATTCCCCCTTCTGGCCATTTTTGCCAATGGCCTTGTAGACACGGCCATAAGTACCACTGCTGATAAATCCCACGATGTGGTATCTATCGCGCACACGTACTTTGCTGGTGTAACCAGAGCCGGGAGGCTTTCTCGCATCTAGACTCTCTTTATAGAGGAAGGGTGTCAGCAGGGAGACTATGCACTTGTCCACAATCAACGTAAGAATTTAACAGCCAATCAAATTCCACGAGCAAGGATCAAGGGGGAGTGAATTAAAAAGTCCGAAAGACCAAAAGGAATAGGGGTCCAGATAAGAGCCAGGGGGGAAAAGGAGGATGGGAAGGATGAGGCGAGATTGTGCAGCCTCTATAACCGGCCGAAAAGCGGCGGGTTTTAGTCTGGAGAGGGAAAGCCATTACCACGTGGATAAAACCCGCCGAGAGAATTATAGAACGGGAAGCTCCTTCCAAACATCATGGAAAAAGACAGACAGAACAGCCGTTAACAGGCGTGGAGACAGGGACTGTTCAAGGGCATTTAACGATTATATAAGGAAAGAGAAATAGATCTGACAGCAGCGCAAGGTTCAACCAAAGTACATGGTGACGGAGCGGGTTCAGACAGCGAGATCAATAGAAGAATAGAAGAAAAGTGGCAACACGGGCGAAAAGAGGGCGCTCGGAAGGGAAAGACAGAAAAGGTGTCAAGTCAAGTTAAGCAGAGGCAGAGTAACAGTAACCGGTATTACCATCAACAGCAGCCTGCAGGCTCTTCTTCAGAGACAGACTTTGGCTGACGGTGGCCGCAGCGGGCCTGGAAGTCGTACTTAACGGGCCGGACGAGGAAGGCGGGTTTGTCAGACTCATGGACGAGGTGGAGGCGACCGGAAAAGAGTCAGAGTCACAGACAGCGCGAGAGAGATGATGATTAGTTCGTTAGGGGAAATGGTCAGGTAAGAGAGGGTACTTTTAGGCTATCCGTGGAAACTGCAACGCTGCGATGGAGTCCGGGAACCATGCGCGGAGACACTGATCTCCACCACTATGGGGAAAGCATACAGCGGACAAGAAAATGTTCCAACAGCAGCCTGCAGGAGGAGATGGTCAGTGAGTTGAGACGGACCAACACGCGCCGATGGAGGAAGTGGAAAACAAGAAAGGGAATCAAAGCCAAAAAGGCAAAAAAGAAAGGGAAGCACCGCAAAGCCAAAAGCCAAAAGCCAGAGAGCCCGAGCCAGAGCCAAAGAGTGAGTGAGTGAGTGAGGCTGCATCGGAGGGAAATTGGCTGACTCATCACACTTGGACCCTCCCCTCCTCATCCAAGCAATTCCAATCCATCCATCATTCCATCGACAATTACACGACAGTAGAATAGAAGTACTCTTTGTAGGATGTCTGGAAGCTGTCTGGCTTGTGTTTACAATTGACCTCCTTCTTAATCTGTAATTGTTGTTCTCCGTACTTTATTTATTTGCCTTAAACATATCATCTGCAAGCCATCCACTGCACTCACTCCTTTCGATAAGACTCCTCCCCCTGGATTCCCCCCGATAACGCGGAGTTTCCTTGTCCCGAATATAGACGCCCATCCGCAACGTCATCAACACGCTGCTCTCCGGCTGACTGCCATTCTTCCATTCAACCAGGTGCAATGACTGGGTAACAGCAGATCTGTCCCCCATTTACTGACCGAGAGCCCTGTGGATTATTGAGTCCCCTTCGTACTCAACAACATCTCAATCACAATCATGGTCTCACCAGAGCCGATCCGATCTCGGGTCACGCCATACTTGGTTTACCTCGTGTTTATCACAACATTAGGACCACTCCAATTCGGTTATCATCTGGTGAGTATTACCTTCCCACATCTAAAACCTCAAATCCCGCTCATACTAACGCTTATTACCCGACAGGCCGAACTTAATGCCCCTCAGGCGGTGATCACCTGCGAGCGGAAGAGTATCCATATCTCCACCAATGCCGTCTCTCTACCACAATGTATCCCAATGAACGCTTCGCAATTCGGCCTGGTGTCATCAATCTACACCCTTGGCGGACTCTTGGGAGCCCTGCTGGCAGGGCCAGTCGCCACCAAACATGGTCGTCTCTTTGCTCTGCGAGCAACCACTCTCTTCTTCATCCTGGGGCCTGTGGCTGAAACATGCGCATCCAACATCCCCCTTCTAAGCCTGGGCCGGCTGCTGTCCGGCATTGGAGCAGGAGCTGCGATTGTCGTCGGCCCCATCTACATTTCAGAAATCGCCCCACCCAGCGCCAGAGGTTTCTTTGGTGCCTTCACGCAGGTCATGACCAACGTCGGCATCCTGTTGACCCAGTCCCTCGGATACTTCCTAAGCGAGGGCAGCAAATGGCGAGTGATTCTCGCCATTGCCGGCTTCATCGGAGCCCTCCAGCTCCTCGGTCTCACCCTAGTTCCAGAAAGCCCCACCTGGCTCGCCGAGCACCAAAAGAGCAGTCTAGCCAGACAAGTCCTCCAACGGCTTCGCGGAAAGGACGCAGACATCGAAGAGGAAATCGAAGGATGGCCATCCTCAACAGGACGACCAACAGATGGCTCCGGCGAAGAGCAATCGCTACTCACGCCACCATCCGGCAACATGCCACCCAAACAGCCCCCCGTCACAATCTTCCACGCCATCACTAACCCATCCTACCGACCAGCCATCATCGCCGTCGTCGGCGTAATGGTCGCTCAACAATTCACCGGCATCAACAGCATCATCATGTACAGTGTCTCCCTATTACAAAATATCCTCCCCACCACCGCCGCCCTCCTAACCGTAATCATCTCCGCCATCAACCTCATCATCACCCTCGCCTGCTCCCCGCTCCCCGACAAAATCGGCCGTAGATCCTGCCTTCTCCTCAGCATCAGCGGCATGGGATTCAATTCCATGCTCCTAGCCCTAGGCATCTACTTCAACCAGAAGGTTCTCTCCGCCATCGCCGTCCTTCTCTTCGTCTCTTGCTTCGCCGTCGGCCTAGGCCCCGTTCCGTTCATCCTTGCCTCGGAGCTCGTCGGTCCCGAAGCCGTCGGCGCCACGCAAAGCTGCGCTCTAGCTGCCAACTGGATCGCCACTTTCGTGGTGGCGCAATTCTTCCCCATGTTGAATGATGCTCTTGGCGGCCGTGGCAAGATTTACTGGGTTTTCACCGGCATGGCTTGTCTCCTTGGTGGGTTTATCTATTGGCGTGTTCCGGAGACGAAGGGGAAGACTAGTGCAGATGAGGTCTGGGGGAGAGATGATCGTCGACGACGGGATTGAATTGGTTAGCTGTTGGAGTATGTTATGGTTTCGCGCGCGTGATATTCGTGTATGGCTCATACACATCAGAGTGCCTACAGTATGAGATATATAGCCTTCAATTTATCGAATTAAGTAAGGGTTTGTAAAGACTGCTTGGGACAGTATGCTGACCAAAGCTTGCTTTATCTCTCGTCTCGTAATTGTTACTGGAACAGTTTAGATAGTAACATGCTTGTGATTTGTGTGTATGTGTGTATATATGTGTGTGTGTGTGTGTGTGTGTGTGTGTAAAGCTTTTAAGGTTTTGCTGCAAACTATCTGTGTGGAAGATAGACGGCCTAGGCATTCTCAGTAATAATATGAACCAAACGCTTTGAAGTATGAATGCTAAAACGACAAGGGCAGTAGTATGTTCTTAGTTAAATATCAAACATGAAACTAGCTAGACGATGCAACAAAGTAGAAGATATCCCAATCTAAGCCGCTATGCTTTATACCTGCTTTTCATAAGCGAGAGAAGCGCTCTAGTAACAAATTCGCAAAGGCTGACAAACATATCCATCATAACGTCAATAATTCATATCCAACATTCCATAGAACATCGTGATAACCACGACATTTTCACAGAAATACCTGTGGTCAGTATTACTTGCTAGCTGACATTTGTGGCGGGGCACGTTGCTGTCCCTCCATTGGCGTAGCAGACTCAGCAGTAGACTTAGTCTGCGACATCAACCTATCTCTGGCCGTTTCAGGGTCCCATTCTGTCTCCGGGTGGTCGCATTTGTGTTTAGCCTCCTTTAACCATTCATCCCAGGCATGTGTCGACGGAGCCAGGCCTCCGTTTCGGACCCAACCAGTTTCCCCGGTCTTCTGAATAGCCTCCCACAAGGCTCTAGTGTAATTGCCCGTCTTTTTCGGTTTGGCCTGCTCAATTTCATACCGGCTCAAATCCCATGTGTCGCCCGGCTCGATCAGCAGAGCCAGAGCAAAGTACAAGATATTGAGAATGATGTATGCGACACCGACGGCGATCTGCATTGTCCATCCACAGTTGCTGAAGAGGATGATAGCCGCCATGAGAAGGACCGTACTGCAGGCCAGAAGTGCTTGATGGCCTCGGGTCTTGAACACGTAGCGACAGCTTTCTGCTCCACCGTACAACTCTCTCGTGATCTCTTCGGGGCATTGGACCACTATGAAAGCGCCGTTACGCGTCTTCATGACAATATCGCCTTTAATTACCTGGGTTTTCGTGGTACGGGTGGATAGCCTTGGATACCACTGCGCAGATAAACAGGCAGCACTGGTGGACAACGACATGGCGGCGAGACCGACGAGAGCCACGCCGTCGTGGATCATACCCGCCCAGATGAAGAGTCCGATGGTCATCAGGATCGAGATTAATGTCACCAAGTTTAACGGACAAAGCGGCTTCAACGGGACAATAACCTCTCTGTTTTGATTGTCCGATTGTTCATCTTGCTTGACACCGTTCGGCTTTGGTCCCCTCTCGACATCGTCCGCCTTTGCTGCGCTTTCGACGGCGTCTTTTGGTTTCCTATATCCAATTTTGTAGGATTGAAACTCGTACTCCTCCAGATCCTCGAGTTTGTGGATGACATTGGCGAAGAAATTGAGTTCGGTGAAGTGCGTACCAGAATAGACGCCAATGATGGTCACTTCTTTGACAGAGGGGAGCCGGTTGGGCCGATCTGTATCCAGCAGCGATTCCGGTGCGGGTAGGATACGTGGGAACCCGGCAAAAGGGGATGCTGTGATGGCCTGCTTATGCTTTTCGATGGAAGATCCTCCGATGACGGCTAGAAGAGAGACAATATCAAACCGCCAGCTCTGTGCTTCGGAATCGAGCGTTGTCGGGAACCAGCCCATGTCGTCGTGATACTAAGTTATGGCAGGAACGTTTCTGCAGAAATAGGACCGAAGAATGCGTTTTCTGCCGACTCACTGCCCATACATGGATATGGAGTGATCTTTCTCAGCAAGATGGTGGGGTATTTGAGGGGCCATGTAAATGTAGGTCATGGAGAGTTGGCAGAGGCAAGGAGTCTTATAAGCATCAGTGGAGGAACCCAAAGGAAGCACTGCAATTTCTGGCGAGCTGAAGGTCAGCCTTGGCCAATCGATCGACCGCAGCAAAAGCTGCCAGCCACCTGTACTCCATTTGATAGGTGGTGCTCAGGTGTTCGGCTGAGGTTGATTTGCATCCCGAACCGCTACTGCATTAGCGGCCAGCCTAGTCATGGACCCGACTCGGTCGCCCACAGCTTAACTGCATCAAAGCCTCAGTCAGCTGGGGGCGGTAAGTGCATCAAGAGAGGATGGGAGGCGAATCTATCTTCTTTGACGGACCAGTAATCACTGAAAAGGCCTGCAGTCGTTGAGTATCAGTTCTGTGTGAAGTGCTGGAGGAAAGGTGACCAGGAGCGTTGGCAGGGAACTCCAGTGGCTGGTTGCCGAGAGAGATCTGGGGAGTTCGTAGCCTCGATAGAGACTCTTAGCACGTAGCAATCCTTTGGCCTATCATAGGGATGTTATGCTGCAGCTCATCCTAATTTAGGTCGAAGGCAAACAACTAACCATGTCAGAGGTCCCTGTTTGCTGATCAGCCTTGAAGTGATGGCTCGACATGTGTACATTTGACCCATTCAGCTGAGCGACGGTCGCTCCTGCCCTCCCCTTCTCCAAGACACCAGCTTGGGTAGCTATGAGCTGTCGGTCGGCCAGTATATTGGTTTGGAACAGATACGGTGGGTAAATGCCAGGTGGGAGGTGAAGAGGTACTCTTAGTACTACCATATCGTGGTAGCACTTGAGTATGGCCAAGAGTGGCCCTTATCTAAGAGTAATAATAACCCCGCCAATGCACAGCACAGCAGCTGAGCCGTGCTGGATGGTCAATGGACATTCCACCTTAAATCAATGGAGATGGATCTAGTATTTCTCGAATATCGATCGCGACGTCGGCGTTAACCCGCAAATAGCAGTTTGATCCGCAGCAAGGGACTCCGCGAAAACGTGTCGCTTCGGGAGGCCCCAAATTCACCGGAACTGTTGGTTGTCGTACAGATAGAGAATTGATTCCTATTTGGGCCAGATGCTGGAGATGTATCTTGTAGTGTTAAATTACAAAGCGCAACAAGCCCCAAGAACGTTTCATCAACTGACCAGTCGATTTCATCATTCTTCGAGACATAGATAGATAGCTAGAGCTCCGTTCCCACAAGCAACCATGGTAAATAATCCTTCGGTGAAAACTTCACTGGTAGTGAAGTCAGCCTAAGCACAAACTAGATATCTACCACACATAGCTAATCATCGCCTGTCAAGACCCCTAAAGCTGCAAAGCATTCGACCGATGTGCCGAACCATGGTTCACGCATGAGCAAGTGGAGAGGAAAATGGCCTAACGCCTTTGTTTTTTGAAAGTTCCAAACCAGAATTTCGAGCGATTTCATTTTCACCGCCTTCAGGCAACCACCTTTGATCGGCTTGCATCTGACAGTCCCAATCCTTCGTTAACAGATTAGTATTTATGAAATCATACCCATAGATATTATTCCCTTCCATCCGATCTCTTCGGTTATTCATAGATATGTTGACTTACTCCGGAGGTGGGGGTTACAGGGCTGAAGCAGGGACAGCGAGGCAGTGATCAAAGCCCCTCGTCTTTACCCGAGTGAATCTCTCATGTCGACACATCCATTGGATGATCTACCGGATGGATTCGCTCTCATTGGATCTGAGCCTTGGATGAAACCATGAGGGGTTCTCAGATGACGTTCAGGCAGCAAGAAATGTGCTCGGCACAGCATTGATTGGATTCCGGTGTTCCGTACATAGCCAGTGGATGAACTCTCCAGATGTAGAGAGCATACAAGAGAGAGTTCAAACAGTAGTCGTTGAGTGGTCCAGATGGGAGAGGCTGCTCTCGGAATAGCCACATCCCCATAGCCACATCCCCATCCACTCTCCGGAGTCAATAGTACTAGGCTGCCAGGTTCTATGCCTCTCCATTTCACAAGGCTCATGATCACTCGTCCGGTGGGCCTGAACGTCTATCTACGGACCAGCTTTCCACTTCTTCCATGACCTTCTAGCCCTATGGCATTCGGCGAATTACCAGGGTTCGATATAATAGGAGGATTCTAAAATATCCAGGGCGTAACCGGCGGCTTCCGCAACTCCTCACTTGCTCTTGTTGTTGGGAACTTAGGATTCGTCGCAGCCATTAACCTTGTAGCTTCCAAAACAACAGAATAAATTGAAGTCTCGGGACCCCCGAGGACCAAGAAAGAACAAATCGAGCAGGACTCAAAAAGGGACTGACTGACTGCCTCCACGCCTGCCTGCCTGCCACACTGATTCTAACAGTACGACATTCCCTTTCCTCCCAGACCCCACTCACAATACGAGTGCTGCTGCAGTTGCTGTTGTTTTCCCTTCTCCTTTTCTCAGACCCAGTCCCGGTCTCCATCGTCGATTATTCTTAGTACTCCTTAGCTTTGATTATTACTATTACTATTGTATTCCTGCCGGCCTGGTTTGTTGTTGTTGGGGTGGTTCCTCCCCCTTCAATTCGTATTATTATTATTATTCACCCCGTCCAAGTCCGTGCATTAAGCTTTCCCTTTCCACCCCATTCTCGTCGTCACCTTTTTGTGGGCGCGATGCTCCTGGCTTTGCATCTCTAAAAAGGTGCCAATTGCAGGGTGGGTGAAGTTCTCCTGTTGATTCCCGTACTGTCCGATCGTGGCTCCGTCTCCTGGTTTCACTGGGCGGACCCAGAGAGAGAGAGAGAGAGCACCACTTAGTAGTACTTTAGATCAGCCGGCAGTTCGTCTTGACAGGCAACCACACCGTGACATCTCTCCGTCACGGTGGCCGGGGAGCTCTGGCCGCTTTTCGATGTACTATATTTCCCCAATAGTCCCCATGGCAATTTATTGATGCGATAGTCCTTCTCTAATACCCCTTTCATTGTCCAGTTTCCCGTGTTGACGCGACGTGTCCTCCGCCTTCGTCCGAACCTGTTCCCCCGCACTTCCGGCCGGTCACCATGGTGCGGTTACCATTGCCACAACGTCTCAGCAGCCATCTGAGTACGAAAAGCAATAACCCTACTCCCGGTCAAAGTAGGAGCACAAGTCCGATGCGGATGCCAGAACAAAAGCCGTTGATCCTCAAGGTCTCCGTCATTCGGGTGAGTGAGAACGTCGCATCCACGAGCGCGCGGAGCTCTACGGAAGCTCTGACCACAGTTCCATTGATCCGCTAACCTAGGTCGCATGTACCTGTAGGGACGAGATCTTGCAGCTAAGGACCGAGGAGGGACCAGCGATCCGGTAGGTTCCCATTTCTCGAAATATAGTGATGCTAATCTGGACCGTTGTCGCTGACGAAAACTTTCTCTTCTGCAGTACTTGGTAGTCACGCTCGGAGACGCACGACAATCAACACCCACAATCCCCAAGACTTTGAATCCAGAATGGAATGTGACATTCGAGATGCCAGTGGTTGGCGTACCGCTGTTGGAGTGCATTTGTTGGGACCATGACAGATTCGGCAAAGATTACCTTGGCGAGTTCGACATACCACTGGAAGACATCTTCCAGAATGGTGACGTTCATCAGCAGGTAGGCGCCCACTTCGTGTGGCTTGAATCATACTGAGCTGACATGTTCCCTGAAGCCGAAATGGTATACACTCAAGTCAAAGCGAAAACCGACGAAGAAGAAGGACAGTATGGTCTCTGGGGAGATTCTTCTACAATTTTCACTCCTCGACTCATCAAATCCGACCGCTTCGCCAACCGACACCTACCACAAGTTTAGAACGTTGGTGTCTTCTGGAGATGAGGAGGATGACTTCCCGCAGATCCCATCTATCACCCTGGACGATGCCGACAGAGAGGAAGAAACCTCGGATGAGACAGACGACCCTACGAAGCCTGAGGTCGTCGAGAAGAGAAGACGCAGACTACGTCTCAAGCGTTTGAAGCGCAAATCTCTTGCCGCTAGAGCATATCAGTTCTCTGGTGCTGGCAACGGAGTACAGGGTATTGTTTTCATGGAAATTGTCAAAGTGACAGACCTTCCGCCGGAACGGAATGGTGAGATGCGCCAGTTCCTATGGATTATCTTCTTTTGCTGACCCGCCACAGTGACACGCACTTCTTTTGATATGGATCCATTCGTGGTCACATCTCTCGGCAGAAAGACACTGCGAACGCCGGTCGTGCGTCACAATCTCAACCCAATTTACAACGAGAAGATGGTCTTTCAGGTTATGAAGCACGAACAATCTTATACTATCGGTTTCACCGTCATGGACAGAGACAAGTTCTCCGGGAATGACTTTGTCGCTTCCGCTTCGTTTCCGGTCCAGACGCTCATCAAGTCCGCTCCCGAGGCCGACCCCGAAACGGGTCTATACAAATTCGTCGACCCGACTCTGGATCCCGCAGGGGCTGAGCAAGGTCATTCCAGCCGACCCTCAGAGATAAGAATTGCCATCAGCAGATCGCCTTCGGCCAATAGCTTGTCGACTTCACCCAAATTTGGAACAACACCCAGAGGTTCTTCTACCTCCTTATCAAGCCAGACACTGCTGGAACAGTCTTCGACCTTGCTACCTCCGCGGAGTATCCCTGAAGTCCCTGAGAGCAGCCAGCCCTCCACCCCAACAGCGGCCGGTTTCGAAGGCGATCCGATCGGTCCGCTCGAGTCGAATGGCCTTCAAGTCTATCGGATACAATTGGCCCTGAAGAACAAAGAAAGATGGGAGGATAAACACTTTCCTGAACTATTTGTCAAGGCCAAATACATGCCGTACCGTGCACTGCGGCAGCAGTTCTGGAGACTCATGCTTAGACAGTATGATGCCGATGAGAGCGGCCGGATCGACAAAGTTGAGCTCACGACGATGCTCGACACACTTGGGTCAACCCTGAAGGAGTCTACGATCGACAGCTTCTTCGAACGGTTCAGCTTGGAGAATGAGCCCAGTGAGACTATGGATCTGACATTTGACCAGGCCGTGATATGCCTGGAAGATACGCTACAGGCTTTGCAGAAAGACCCCAGCTCACCTCCCAAGAAACTCTCCCCCACGCCGTCGACAGCTAGCCGTGAGAGTGATGAACAATCTAGTGGTGATGAACTCACCATGGAACCTGGCTCACACAACGCCAACCCCCAGACTACATCCGTACCAACGTTGCCAACTGATGAGCAGCCGAGTTCCACGGAGGAAGACCTCCTCCCAGATGACCTGGGAGATGAACGAGGTGTGGAGCACGTTATCGAACTCAGGGAATGCCCTCTCTGCCATCAACCGCGCCTTTCGTCACGCTCCGATGCCGACATTATCACACACATTGCTACCTGTGCCAGCCGGGACTGGAGACAGGTAGACAATCTCGTCATGGGTGGATTCGTAACGTCGAGCCAGGCGCAGCGCAAGTGGTACACCAAAGTGATCACCAAGATCTCTTATGGCGGGTATAAGCTGGGTGCCAACTCGGCCAACATCCTCGTTCAGGATCGAATCACTGGCCAGATCAATGAAGAGCGTATGAGTGTCTATGTCCGGCTGGGCATCCGGCTTCTATATAAGGGCCTCAAGAGCCGGGAAATGGAAAAGAAGAGAAGTAAGATTACCCACTTGCTGGTTTCAGCCTGATTCGCACATAACTGACCAAATATCACAGTCCGCAAGATTCTGAAGTCGCTCAGTATCAAACAGGGCAGGAAGTACGATGATCCGGCATCGGCCAGTCAGATTCGGGACTTCATCAACTTCCATCAACTCGATATGTCAGAGGTCTTGCTCCCAGTGGAGAAGTTCAAGACTTTTAACGAATTCTTCTACCGTGCCCTCAAGCCCGGTGCTCGTCCCTGCTCGGCCCCTGATGAGCCCGGAATCGTAGTATCTCCAGCCGATTGCCGAGCTGTTGTGTTTGACCGCATGGAGGAAGCGACCGGCATCTGGGTTAAGGGTAGAGAGTTTTCCGTTGCTCGACTTCTGGGCGACGCATATCCCGAGGATGTGCAGCGCTTCAAGAATGGGGCTCTGGGAATCTTCCGTCTCGCGCCGCAGGACTACCACCGCTTTCATATCCCTGTGGACGGTGTTTTGGGCGAGCCCAAGACTATTGAAGGTGAATATTACACGGTCAACCCAATGGCGATCCGTTCTGCGCTGGACGTCTATGGCGAAAATGTGCGGGTTCTGGTACCCATTGATTCGGTTGCTCACGGCCGTGTCATGGTGGTTTGCGTGGGAGCCATGATGGTGGGAAGTACGGTCATTACACGGCAGGCGGGAGAAAAGGTCTCCCGGGCTGAAGAGCTTGGATATTTCAAGTTTGGAGGAAGCACTCTATTGCTCCTCTTCGAAGAGGGTGCTGTGAACTTCGACAGCGACCTAGTGGACAATTCGAAGGGTCCTTTGGAAACATTGGTAAGCAACCTTCCGTTCTGATCTTCATGCGTAGTCAGTGCTAACATGCACTGTCCGTTGCAGATTCGAGTCGGCATGTCTGTGGGCCACAGCCCTGGCGTCGCTCAGTTTGAGCCCGACATGCCGAAGAAGTCAGAGGATGTCTCTCTGGAGGAGATGCAAGCCGCCAAGCGCCGAATTGAAGGCAGTCTGGCACCACCGACTGATGCGGCGGCCTTCGAGTAGGAGAGGTCCAGCGCTTACCATGCATGTAGCCTTTCCGCTCTTCTCTTGAGACGACTCAATTGGGGGATGATTCATTTCGGGCGTTTACCGGTACATGATCACGGCCAGGAGCCGTCATAGCGATTTGCAGCACACTTGTAAAGAATACCTACCTACCATGACGAAGCCGGACGACTCTTGGAAGGAAGCAATCATGCGGGGCTGTACACATTGATTAGATACTAGAACATACATAATGAACATAGTTGCCAATGTTAACCTATCATGTATTACATGTCCGATATAGTAGGAAATACTGGAGCACTAGACTACACAGTAGAGAAAGTGACTTTGACCGCATTTCGCGGGCCAGCGGTGTCACCCGAAACGGGCCTAGCGCCGTCCCCACGCGCCACGACCAAAACAAGCGCGTGCTGCGGCAACTCGCAAGAGCCAAATCCCCCCGTCATCCCGACGCCAGAGCTTGGCCCTTCTGCGCAAGGAGCCCTGTGGGAATTTCTGCCATCATATCGTCAATCTCAATCCGCCTGTCTATCGGTCGCCCGCTGTCGCCACGTCTTCTGAACGGGTGGTTGTACCGCGCAACCCGGCTATCGACAACACGTCCCTCGGACCGCCCACACCCCCCCGTTTTGCGTTCCGTCGAAAGCTACCCGTCGACTACCTGCGACCGCGCGATTCCGCATCCCCCCAATCCAGATCCAAAGATCAGAAAACACAACCGGAGGAGTCTGTCAAAAGCCCGATTGTCAATCCCAGCTACTTGTCGTTTGTGAATTGTTCCGGAAGTGGAGGGATTTGGCGGTGACGGAGAGGTCCTATCAACAACAGAAGCGGGAGGAATTCTTCGCGGCCAGCTTCAGCTTCAAGCTACCATTCGCGCTTGATTTCTTCCCGGTAGGAAACGAAGATACTGCGCGGGGTGGACCTGTATTCAGCCCCTTTGCAGATTGATATTTACGCTCTTTACTCTTTTTCATTTGTCGCCCGCCCTTACGACCCCGCCTTTTGAGTCCCGGTCCTGACATGACCGTCACTGTTTTGGCTACCTCTACCACCAAGACGAAACGTCGCGAACCGTTACTGGCCCTTGATATGGCAACGTCCCAGGCGCAGGCGCGTCCTGCCGCGCCTGGAAGAAGTTCGGGGAGGAGAACCAGCGCGCGACTGAGTTTGAATAAGCAGGATCGGAGTGAGGAGAAGTTGAGTGCTGCGGAGAAGAAACGGAAAGCTGGTGAGTGACTCTGTGCGATTGGAAGGAAGGGCGATCGCAGTGGTGTTGATTATATGATGCGCTGAGAGTAATGGATGAATTGCTAATGCCTGGGCTTGGGTTTATAGTACCGTTTGAAGAAGATATCGAGGGGTTCCAGTTCTCGCGCATCACGACCAAGAAGGCTAGGCCATCAGAGCCTAATAAGGTACCGTCACCTGTCCCAGAAGAGCCAGCACATCCGTCACCGAGACGAGGTCGACCGCCGAAGAAGCGAGTAGAGGAGAAGAAGACGGAGGTTGCGGAGGAACCGAAGAAACAGGCCGAAGGGACTGGAAAGAGGAGAACGAGAGGCGCTGCGAAAAACTCAGTAGATCCGGTCGAACCTGCGCCTGAGCCGGAACCGCAAGCACAACCACAACCACAGCAACAACGTGCTACACGCTCAACACGAAAACATGACCAAGTCGAGACGGTGCCGTTAGAGAAGAAGCGGAGGAAAGGCAGGCCGAGTAACTCGAAGACCGATGCACTTCAGCAGCAGCAGCAGCAGCAGTCTCAACCGCAACCGCAGCCACGCAATGGCTTTGTGTCTCCAGAGCCGCAACAGTCCGGAACTGCTACTACAATTGCGCTGCCGTTGGCGGATACGCCAGTCATCCAGCGCAACAAGGAGATGCGGGGAAAGAAATCTGTGAAAGGAGGGAATCGACGGAGCAGTCTTGGGATGAGAGGACGGAGAGCCAGCTCACTGATTGACTCGGGGGCGTCTAATGGTGCGCAAACCGTGCCATGTGTGTCTGATGGAATGCTAACAACGTTGCAGCATTACCACATAAGAAGGTTGATACCGCAGATTTCTACAAGCACATCGCGGCTGATCTGCCGGAGCCTCGAAGGATGCGTCAGCTTCTAATATGGTGTGGCACGCGGGCAATGGGTGATAAGCCATCCGGGTCGCGCTCAGAGGATGAGAGCGCCCGTCTTGCCGGTACGTTCAGTAGTACGGGAGTGGATGCATAAGCTAACAAGTCCCAGCGCGCGTCATCCAGGAAGAGCTACTGAAGGAGTTCTCCAGCAACTCGGAGCTTTCCAACTGGTTTGGAAGAGAAGATGCTACCCCTCCTACTCTGGTGGTCAAGAAGGAGAACCCAAAGAACATCCAAAACGCGGAGAAGATCCAGGAACTGGAAGAACAAATACAAAGGTACGCAGAGTCGAATGTGCTGCAGCAGCTGAGAGCTAACAGTTACGTGTCAAGGCTCCAAAAAGAGCGACATGCTCTCAATGCACTCCTACGGCCAGCAGACATCCCTCGAATCAAGCCTGCACCACCCGAACAACCCGAATCCGACTCCGTCCCATCATCACAGCCATCACCGCCCGAACAAATCGACCTCTCTCTATTAGAACCATCGCAACGAAAAATCTTTGCACAAATTAACCCCGAAGCCGCCAAACAACAACCAGACGCCCAGCCCATGGAAACCGAACCAGCAGCGCCCGAACCAAACCTCTTACCCCAAATGTCTCCCTCTACCGTCTCCACCCGACTCTCTCGCATCACCAAGTCACTCGCACCGACCCTCGACTCTCTCGCGGCTGGCATCCACGACATCGACCTCTATCGCACAATGTCCGACACAGTCTCGACCCGCATCCTCCGCATCTGCGCCGAGCGCCTCGACGAGCGCGATGCACGTCGTCGACTCGCGACAGCCGAATCCAACGCCGACGAAAACAACAACCGTCAAGGCCTCAGCCTCCGACCACGACCCCGAGAAGACCTCGGCTTGATTCTGGGGGCGTTGAGCCGGGTAGAGCGTCGCTCGACGTAGCCCCGCTAACCCACGGGAGAATACAATCACATAGGATGACGGCTTGTTACTATACATATCCACGAAAGGGAAGGGGTGATCGGTTCATTACAATCTGTTATGTCATGTATTTGCGGACTGGGCTGTGCAGGGCAGGGCAGGGACTAGCCTTGGCGTTTGATAAATTCTAATTTCCCTTTGGTTGGGCGTTTCTTTTCTTTCTTCAGCAATGGAGTTGGGGTGTGTGTATGAATGGATGGATGGGGGAAGGGACACAATATGATAGGATAGGACAGGGCCAGTAAGGATAAATAGTATACTACTCTCACCGTACATTATCCACATTCATTTCATCCTCCAGGTTTATACATTCACTTATCCATCCAGAAAATACTAGTTAGTAAGAAAAGTACTGAATGATTCAAACACACAATAGCAAGGACCACCCACAACTATAGCCGAACCTGCAAGGCAGGTACGTAGTAACTATACATAGTAAATAAAGTGCTGACTAGCATGCAGCACACGCACCTAATTTAGTCTAGTCCAAGCCTAGCCTAGACTAACAGCTACTAAATCTCGAAAATGCAAACCGGTTTCTGTTTCTTTCTATGCTTAGTTGCTACGTTAGTTTGGTGTTTATATTTTTGTAAGATGTGCAGGATGATGATAGGCGTGATGATCTGCAGTGGCTAGGCTTACGCGTCATCAGGGATGGGGATGGGGGGATGGTGAACTTGCAGTTTAGTATGCAGTTTGGTGAATGAATGAGAAACTTGCTGGATTAGAATAATGCAAGTATTCATGGATGATTAGTACTTACCAAGGATGATGGTGATCTATTTTTAGATACTTGGTAGTATGGATCAGGTTTGATGTGGTATGTTGTAGCCTGGATTCTTCTCTTTTTCGTTGGATACGATGATGTTGTAGTGAAGGGTATAGCAGGGTGTAGTAGGAGTTGGTTGATGTAGTATGTAGTATGGTATGTGCCATTTTCTGGTATTAGCATGTGAGTGATACTTGAAGGTACTTTCTGGATGTATTTCGTATATTGGATGGTTAGTCGTTGGGTTCAATTGGGTTGTGTGGGTTGGAATGTGGGATTGTTGGTTCGATGCTGGACGGTGAACGTTCATTCTACTATGACCTTCGGTGCTCTGAACCAGCTCTTCTATTTGATTGATTGTTAGATCTACCATTGTCTCTGCCATTTGATATAGAATATAGTTATATACTATCGGTTATGATTAGTAGTTCTATCAACAGGTCCAGTTAAGTTGACTTGATCATGATGATCACTACATGAAGACGACACTAAGTATATATTCTAATCCTGTCCACTCATAATCCACGAGCCTGATATAATCTTTTTTGACAAACCAAGCGAACATACTAGAACACTAGTACTCCCTTACACTATGTTATTCTTACATCAACATTATATATATCTTAGTGGACAATAAATATCTCCAGTGTCAATAAACCTTATCTCCTTCAGTGATAACACTAGGAGGTACATTCATACTCCATATACTAAATTAGTAATCAAGGATTGACTATCAACCACTCACTCAGCCGAGCATTCTAGTCTAATAGATAAGCCTACCATTTGCCTTCAGGAATGTCCAATGATTTCCCAAACAGTGATACCTATTTAGTAACGATCAATGACTGACGATCAACCCACCTAGTATCTTCTAGAACTGCCTACCCACTGATCAACATAGGTAATCATGAACATCCCCGTTGGGCAACAATCATTTCTGCCCCCTTTCCCCTTTAAATTCCCGAAAGGTTGTTTGGGTCGTTATCAGAGAAAGGAAAAAAAAAGACGCGAGGCAGAGTGGGGGAGGAAGATGATCGACTAGCGGCTATGACGAGATTCCGATAGTTTCGGCTAGGTACAGTGGTTGCTGGTCTAGTAGCGTGGCTTAGTTGCTTAGGTTTCAGATTCTGCCGGTTAGATAGGGGATGAGTATCATATACAGTGTAGAATCAGTAGTCCCAAGGTGGAGTATTGTTTCTTGTGGAGAGAATGGATATGGTCATGTGGTTGTATCTGGTACACATACTTTGTATGGTTTAGCTGGAAGCTAGACATCGTTAGGTGACTGGGCGCGTGCATGATGCGATGTGGTGATCTTGAAAGTAGTTGCTGAAATTAGTAGTTGTCACTATGTCTCATTCTTAGCTTATTTGTTGCGTGATAATAAGCAAATATTGGAAGTTCTTGTGTGATGAAGAGTCTGACGCACGGATGTCAAAGCTTGGAGATGCAAACTTTGTGTAATTCTGATGATCTGTGTGTATGCATGTGTGTCTCTAGATGCAGTTATCTCTAGCGACTCATAATGAATTGCTTCATGCTCAGGTAGCACTTGCTGCTGGCTCTGTTTTGCACTGGACAAAGATCGAGTTGTACACGCTGCGTATTATGCGGCGTTTTGATCATCATCTGCTGAACGATACTATTAGTCAGTCGGCACATTTTTTTTTAAAGAACTCAAAAGAGCCCGGTTAAAGCACTTGGAGATTGAATCCATGTGATGTGAAAGGTCTAGATCTGGAATAGCTATCTTCAACGACAGCTTGATTTCCCCGGAAGACTGTGAACAAGAACCTCGTGTCTGATATCAAGAATGGCCAGCTGACAGAACCATGACCGACCCGGATCTAGACGGTCACTGGACTAAGCATCGAAGGTTCAGGTATCTTGTTGAGCCAGCCAGCCAGCATGATGGTAGCTCGACGCTGGCCTGGACTGCTGAGGGTTCCAGAAATTAGCCTTTCCGGTGCTCCAGGCATCCTTGCCAAGTAGCTAGCTGTGGCGAAGCAGCACCAATGAGATTTGATATGTGAGTCATTGAGTCATTGTTCATTGCGAATGAGGTATTTTGTTCTTGTCTGAGGCAGTTCGACTGCTGCTGTTGTGCCACGCTGATTGATTAGGTGGCTTGTTGCTGCAGCCCGCTGATGGCTAGATTCGCGCCCAGGAGAAAGACTCCGGCGAGCATTCCAGGCGATTGAGGAACATCGATCGCCCAGACAAGAATGGAAGAAGTTGTCTGACAATCAAGTAAAAGTACGTCGGACCAGGCGGTTCAACTGTCAAATAAGCTCTGCCCCACCCCTGACAAGTCCCGGAAAGAGCTGAACCAAGGAACCTTCTTGCCCGAGCCACTGGTGGCTGATCTACGGGCGCCGCCGTCGATGCTCGTGGATGATACCGGGCGTCTATTCATTGTGCTACTCTGCCCTGAAGAATGTGAATGTCATTATTGCACAGATGCTCAAGCGATGGACCAGCAGCATACGTGTGCATCCGCCGGCTCGGCAGCCTTCCCTCCCCGGTGCCACACTGGGTAGGATGGACGGCCATGGTGCAATGTTGTCGCACTCCCAATTGCAGAATTAAGTATTGGTCCCTGCGTCCGTGCAGGAGTCACAGACATCCTCGGCAGCTCTTGTCGCAGTGGCACAGTTGGGAGCTGAATTGTCTGGCGTTTGGGGAACAATTTGCGTTACCGTGAAAGCTGAGGAGTTGTCCAGGATAGAGCGGGGTTCACGAGGCGTCTGCTGGAGTTACGTCAATTTCCTGTGGGCGGCTATACCTTGACTAGGCGACCACATGAAGAATTCCTATCCTGCATCATGATGAAAGGGGGTGGTGATCTAATCACCCTGGAGTACAGAAGAACTGAGCTGAGCTCAAAGAGCCCATCGTGTAACCCCATCATTGTTCACTCCACTTTCCCGGAAGACTCCTTGACTTCATCTAAAGGGGAGTGATACAACCAAGCAGTGTCGGGAGTGGAATCGAGGACAGGATTGAATGCTTCAGGTACTTTGGACGATGTCGGCTTGTGCAAGGCGGGGCGACGGGATTCATATTCAGTTCATCCTCAGTTTCGATAATTTAGGAATCGAATTGTCCTTACTACGCAGGGTAAAAGGTCTACCAAAGTGAATTTCTAATTATACCTTCTTCCAACTTTACTCTGCCTCGCTGCTTGATGCAGGCCAGGCAGACAAATATGGCAGTGGGGCAGTCGCATTAGCTGTGCGCATCACCGTGAAGATCATGGAGCCGGCGGATCTGTTGTGACGACGACGCAGCGAGTGAGCGATTCAGGGAATGTGGATCGGCGACATTACCACCGCCATGCCGTCTGAAAGAAAACGCCATCAGTCCAAGTAAGGAGCTGAAACGACCTTCTTTCAACGTCTCAAGTATCGCTGTTCTCATCGTCATTCGTTTGTCCTGCGTGATTCCAATTATGCCACGGAGTTTCTTTGCTACCTGGAAGGTTTACTATGCTCCTCGAAATCCTCATAGATAGCACCGTCAAGTAGTGTAGTACGCTACTGAGAGTCCACCGAGACTAGAGGAGATAAACAAAAGTTTTCAGCTACAGGCGACAGCTATCGGACCAGATGGAGATAACAGTAGAATGAATCCTCACCGGGTTTGCCACCTGTGCATCGGCAAGGCCTAATTGGGCGATCCGAATAGAGAACAGTAGAATGAATCCTCACCGGGTTTGCCACCTGTGCATCGGCAAGGCCTAATTGGGCGATCCGAATAGAGGAGGGAGGAACGGAAGAAAAAGTGCACGGAGCAACAACAGCCTGAGGGGGGCGACAGAACTCCCAATAAACGGGCTTAGTTCGGTGAAGATCATAACTGTCATCCCCTGTGTTGATCAGCAGGGACGGTCTTGGAAACTAGGAGGACTTGACCAAGGCAACCGTCCGTACTATCCGGTAGCACGGAGTAGTTTGCAGTAGTGCGCAGAGAGAAAGAGAGAGAGAGAGAGAGAAAAGAAAAGAGAGGGATGGAAAGACAGGAAGACAGATGAAGATGAAGAAAGAAGACTAAACAATGAAGCGAAAAGGAAAACTGATGGGTGGGCCAGAGTGTACCGTACAGTGTATAGTACAGACAGGTAGGCAGTCAGTGACTAGTTTAGTGATGCATCCATCCATCCATCCATCCATCTCCCACACCCACTTTGACTTCCCTCTCCCCACCCAATCCCAACCTCACCTTCTCCTTTCCTCCCCCCCCCCCTCCCTTTCTCCATTCTTTTCCATCCATCTCTCCCCTCTGACACCATCCACCCACCCATGTGATGGATTCCAAAGACCCTCCGAAGCTTCGTAATCCAGCGACTCGGCTGCACTGCCGACCCACCCACGCTTCTAAAGAAACGTCCAAGACTTGCTGTTCGCTGTGAGTCGAGAACGAAATTGATCTATCGCTATCGCCATGAACCAACGTCATTCCCGATCGACAGGCAGTTCATGCGCACAAATCAGAGTACAAAGTACACCTCCCTGCAAGTGTCTTCATCCACACCATGTTTGGCGGACCTCAAACTATCGGTCTTCAGAGTGCAACGACCGGGTAGCCGACATAAATCCTGATACGAGTTGGCAAATTGGCTCATGGCTTATGGCTTGCTCCCGGAGTAGCCGCCACGGGCTCAGCAGCCATAGATAGTCAGTCCAGCCTTTCTAGAGGGCCGGACTTTCGGTTTGGGGTCCGCGATCCGGTTCGGGCGCTAAAGTGGGTGATAAACCTGGGTTCCTTCTTCCGGACCCAGCCACGGTCCCACTCGGGCCTTTGAGAGAACCTGAAAAAAAAAAATCAAGGGAATGAGCTTGACCTGACGCGAGCAATGCATTCATCAAGCTTTTCCTGTCAATGCCGCCCGCGGTAACCCATGGATCTTCCCCTTCCCTCAATGGTTCCAGAAGGCCCAGCCCAGACCTTCCAGGCACTTCAGTTTTCCAGTCGGGCGGTGGAGTCTCCCCCGAATTGACAGGCCTCCACTCTCAAGAGACAGAAAAACAAATACCAGGAGATTTATGTATTCGGTACACAGGAAACACAAATAAAATCAACATTGACATCCATCACCACATAGACACCTTATGTGGATCATGCCGAGTAAGCAAGCATGAAATCAAGAATTGCAACAAAAAACAACGAAATCAATAGAAAGAGGCACTATCACCAACTTCTGTCCGGCAACAAGCCCAACACCACAGAACTACCACCACCACCAATAAGCCCTCGGAAGAAAGGAAACAACAACCAGAATTTCAAGCACTCTGACGGACTGCTACGGGTTCTGTGTTTCCAGTGGCTTCCTGCTGCGATCCCTTTATCCGGCCCCCGTCTAGGTCAAGGTGACTTCCCCCTTAGGCCAAGTGGTACCGCATCGTGGAGCCCGTGGGACCGGTTCCGTCGATAATGCTGCCCGCATCTTAGATAGTAGGAGTAAGAAAAAAAAAAAAGGAAAAAAATCTCACTGCTCGCTGACCGATGTCTGAGCGCCACTTCATTATACTGGTGGTTAGGTGTCCACTATTCTCCTCCTGCCCTCCTGGTCGTGCTCATGAAGCAGCTTGGGTTGAAAGCCATGTGTCTCCATGGGCTCAGCTGGTGAGCACTAGTAGCTCTTCAGACACATACAACCCAGTGTATCTTATTCGAAACCTGCTGAAAGATGAGTGGGCATTTGACTTTGGATTATTTATAAGTTAAGACCTCGTCCGTGTCTAGCCCTCTGGGGGTGTCTGTGATCCATCCACTCAGATTCGTCACGGTTTCAACTCTTCCGGCCAAGGCAGTGATTCGACTACTCCCAGGTGGCAACCACGCCTTGGGCACCCGAAGCAGCGTCTGATACAAAACTTCCCCTTCCCCCTACTCTCTTTGAGATCACCATCCCCTGCCCTGCCACCCCCGATGTCAGGCACAGACGCCCCGATCTTTTAAACCCGAATTGTCAATTCCTTTTTCATATTATTCCGCGAACTCTCGTCTGCTACACAAAGCCAAGGATAGATCGCGCACATCCACTCTTTTCATATGACCATCGTGGCGCATGGAGCTCCGTGATTGGTCCTGTCTGTCTCTAACCCGTGTTCACATTTCCCAGATTCGGCTGCTTTCGTCCAGCGGAGCACTTCTCTTGAGCTCGTTCTCTTATCTCTCTCTCTCCATCATCACCTGCCGGCTCCCTTCATCCTCGTCCCTCAGATAGGAGACCGAGTATAAGCTCCCCTCCTTCTCGCAACCTCCCTCCCTCCGTGTCCCTCCCCGCTCCTCTTCCCTCCTATCCGACAGAGGAATTCTTTCTTTTTCAAGTTGTATCAACATCGGGTTATGTATCAGTGACGTACTTTCATTCCTTGTGGCGGGCCCTTTATCCCTTTCAACCTACCTCTGTGACTCCTCTGTCTTCCGAGTTCACGTCTGTGAAAAGAAAAAGAAAATATCACCATTCTTATCTGTGTCTGTCATTCCTTGACCTTGGCTTAAAAATTTGCGAGGTGCGTTTTGTGACTGGCCACATCTCATGATACTGATGCAGGTTACATATTGACGCGGTTGCTAGGCTGCTGGAACAAGTTTCGCACATCAAGACCCCTTGAACAACGTTAGGCTCAAAACTCGAGTGTCCTCCCTCTTCTTACCGTGTTGAGTTTGTTCAGGGATTTCTAAGAAGTTTGGAAGGGAGAAAAGAAAGAATAAAAAAACAGCTATCATATCTGGGCGAGAACATACGCAGAGGTAACACAAAACGGACTGCAGATTCCGTGAGTTGAGACCAAGCTTCCGCCAGTCACGTAAAGCAATCAAGAATGGCTGGCGGCTATTTTGATCTGCCCATCTCCTCCTCCTCCAGGCGTTCGAGCCTTACTGATGTATCTGGAGGAGCAAGCAGATCATCCCCAGGGCCGCGTGTCCTGACCCCCCTACCGACCCCCAATGAGAGCCTACAGGAGAGGTTGCCGGACCCAGGCGGAGCTCAGGGCAGGTTGAGGAATGCAGCAATCCCCAGGAGCGCGAATCGGGTCAAGTTCACGGTCAGCGAGGCTGGTCTTGGCACCAGTCCCTCTGGGTCGACGTCAGTGGCCCGGTTTGCTGGAAGGGGCTCGTCACTACCGCAAAGACCATTGCCCACTGCCAGCATTCCATCAGCAGTTAAGGCTTCCCCTGACCCCCAATCAGTGCCTTTGGTCGATATCAGCCCCAGTTCACCAGTAGGTGTCACGGGCCTAACGGTCCACTCAGCATCCAGTTCCACGGGTGCCACTGGCGATGATGATGAAGTCAGTAATGAGAAGGGGAGGGCGATTTATTCAGCACAAGAGAGAGCCCAGCGGCTGGCATCCGTGCTGCACCAATCCTCTAAAACTCCGAAGACCAGTCCTTGGCCTAGTCGACCGTCCTCCATCGCATCTACTCCTTCAGAGGCGGCGCTACCCTTTGAGGATGGAGATGAGATTCCCATGATAAGTCTTTCCGAAAAGCAATTTGGCGATTTTTCAGACGACGATGACCTGGGCCCATTGAACGGCCGACAATCGATCCGAACTTCTCAAGCCCACCAACTAGTCAGACAAATGACTCGAAACGATTTTGATTTTTTGAGCCGGCTCCAAGCCCCCTCGGTAGGGCTGGAGTCCGGACAAGTCACTCCCATTGAAGAAAGGGACTCTGACGCCTATGTCGAACGACCGACGCACTACCGCGGCGGCATCCTCTCCTCTTTACTCAAACTTTACGATCAACCCGGTGGCCACTATTCGCGGGGCCGGAATGCCAGCTTGCGCCGGAGCAGCACGGGAGAGTTCAGTGGTCGAGGGTTATCCCCGGACCCTACCTGGAAGTCTCAACGGCCCAGGAAGTGGTATGAAGAATCCCCCAACCAGTCGAGCACTTCGCTGGCTGGCTCAACGGCCAAGAATTCTACGACCTCTCCAATTGCGATGCTTAAGCGCTCGCGTAGCAGTGGAGCCATTCCAAACGTACCAAAGCGGATGGGCAAGCCGCAGCTCGAGGATGAAATTCGTATCACAGTCCAGATAGCCGAGCTTCTCTCCCGACAGGGATATCTCATCCGGCTTTGCCGGGCTTTGATGAAGTACGGTGCTCCTACCCACCGACTAGAGGAATATATGAAGATGACTGCCCGCGTCTTGGAAGTTGATGGCCAATTTCTGTATATACCTGGCTGCATGATCATCTCCTTTGACGATGCTTCTACCCACACCACCGAGGTCAGATTAGTCCGAAGCCCCCAAGGGGTTGATCTGGGCCGACTCTGCGATGTGCATCTCATTTACAAGGAGGTGATTCACGGCGTGATTGGGGTCGAAGAGGCCATTCAACGGCTGGACGAGATCCTGAAGCAGAAGAACAAGTACCCGGTACCAGTTGTTATTCTTATCTATGGATGTGCCAGCGCCTGCGTCGGTCCTTTCGCATTTAACGCACGACCCATCGATATGCCGATTGCCTTCTTGCTCGGATGTCTTCTGGGGACCCTTCAACTCGTACTTTCGCCGCGTTCCAATCTTTACGCCAATGTCTTTGAGATCTCCGCAGCAGTCCTAACCTCGTTCTTGGCCCGGGCTTTTGGCAGCATCCGCTATGGTGATGGGCGGCTTTTCTGCTTTTCTGCTTTGGCTCAATCCTCGATTGCACTGATCCTGCCTGGATACATGGTGTTGTGCGCCAGTCTGGAGTTGCAGTCGCGCAGTATCGTTGCCGGATCTGTCCGCATGGTCTACGCTATCATCTATTCCCTCTTCCTCGGGTTCGGGATTACGATCGGAACCGCAGTGTACGGTCTATTAGATGGTGATGCCTCCTCGGACTATACATGCCCGCCAAGTCCCATCACCAATGAATATCTCCAGCATTTTCCCTTTGCGATCCTCTTCACCTTCTGCCTCGCAGTCATCAACCAAGCGAAGTGGAAGCAGATTCCTATGATGTTGATTATCTCATTTGCGGGATACGTGACGAATTACTTTGGCACCAAGCGGTTTTATTCGAGCACTCAGATATCCAATGCCTTGGGCGCGTTCGTCATCGGGGTCATGGGGAACCTTTACAGTCGGCTGCGACACGGCTTCGCGGCCGCTGCGATGTTGCCCGCCATCTTTGTTCTGGTTCCCTCTGGTCTTGCTGCTAGTGGGTCACTCATTTCGGGCATTGCGGCAGCGGAACAAATCACTACGTCGACGTCTCCTTTCGCAGTTGTCTCTAACGGGACACAAGGCTTCGTGGATGCGGCAAAGAACCTATCGAGCCCGGACTTTGACCGCGAGTTCCACGGCGTGGTTCTCGACATCGGTTATGGAATGATCCAGGTAGCAGTCGGCTTCACGGTGGGCCTGTTCCTGGCTGCCTTGGTTGTTTATCCGCTCGGAAAGAAGCGAAGTGGACTCTTCAGCTTCTAGATAACTTGCCTCGATTGTCTCTTCTTTTCTTACACTTGCAATTTGACTGTCTTCTGTGTTATTTCTGACGAAGCGAATTGTCGTGTTATTCAGCGTGATTTATCTTCATCCTTTCACTTGATCTGTGTTTCTTTTTGGTGTCAATGTCCCCCTCCTCTCGGGTTTTCCTTTCTTGTCGGGCTCGCTCTTGCTATTTATGCATATATATCCGTCATCTCTTATCCGGTTACTCTCCTTGTCTGTTCGGGTCTGATTCGTTTGATGCGATTGCAAGCGCTCCCAGGGTATCTTTGCTGTTTTTTGTCATCCACACAGGCGTGTGTTGATTCTTTTCTCCTGTTTTGTACCATTTCATTCCTTTTCTTTCTCTTCGTCCTTTTTCTGCGTCTACAAAAGCAAAGCAACGGCGGTTCGGGTCATATGTTACAACGTCTTTGGTGGGATTCTAATTCCTTGTGCTGATCTGCTCCTGATACATGGAAGTTGAGTTGATCGTTATATTATACTGCGTTATTACTTACATCTACTGCCACCACCAAGCTAGCCCTACGACGGCTTATCACTAGATAGAAGATACGATACCACGAATAATGATCAACTACGAACAATACCTCGCATAGAAACCACACTCATCGGTACAACTCTTAGATCTATCCCTTCCATTTATAAGCCTCTACTCAGCGACGAGGACCAAACTCGTCTCTAGTTTTATACCACTGAGTATAGCACACCCGCGGAGAAAGAGAGGCTAATATATAGAAACATTACGTAACTTGCCAGCCCTCTTATCCAACCCAAAGCACCATCACATCAGAATAGACGACTATCAAGCCTGAAACAAATCCGAGACGCCCGTATTCATACCGCATCTGGGAATCTATTCAACAAGCTCTCAAAATATCTCTCTCATGATCTCATCATCATCATCATCATCATCATCATCATCATCATCTTTCCATGCCCTTGCAGCCTCAGCCTCATCCCCGCGCTCATCAAACAGTCTCATTATGAAATCCAGTTTCCTCCTGTCCCTCTTTATCCCCCTCTGCCGTCCTTTATATCAGCACCATGAGCCATAGCTACAGTACCCTCTCCAGAACCTTCCTCCCCTTCTCCACCGTCCATTCATCCATCTCCCTCTTCCTCCCAGCAACCACAACCACCACAATCTCATTGACAAAGCACCACTAATCGCCGAGCCCACAATCCCCCTCCCTTCATACATTACCATTTCCTTCATCAACATCTCAAGGATAGTTTTATAACCCCCCACCCCCCTTTGTCATTATATACTACCAACCAGGAACTATGTCAAGTTGGAACTCATGAGCCTCGCACTAAACCGAATCTTCTACGCTAATTAACTAACCATGGAGGGAAAGTGATCAGGGGTATTTGGCATGATGGGTGATTAGTTATCGGTTGTATTCAGAGGGTACTTGGTATTTCTATAGGATTAGTGTCTTGTTTCGTTTCACAATATTCCAGACGTGATTGTTGCATTGGCGTGTGGTAGATAGGGAAGAGGATGAGGGGAGGTGTAGCTGGAAGTTAGCTGAGTAGGAGACATAGTTATAGATAAGGGAGGAGTAACCTCGAATGAGAGGAAAGGTCAAAGGGGTTTGTTGACGCTGAGCTGGGTTGTTTAGTACGCATTTAGCGAATTTCGCATGTTCTATTGGTCTATTTGGTTATGCTGTTTCGATCTATAACTGAAACATACTGCTTCTTTATATTGTTGAAGCTGGTGCATTGAGCGAGTATTTAGAAATCCGGTCTCATGTAGCATTGATCGGTGCAGCTAGTATGCATCAATACGTCGATATATTCATGGATGGAAGATTACCGATAATACTAAGTAGGTAGATTGCATTGAGAGCAGAATAAAGCCAAGGCCCACTTAAGCATTTAGGTAGCAGTAGCCCTCTAGCATTCAGTATCCAGAAGTTTCCAAACTCTGGTCAAAAAGAAAGAGCATACATAGCCAGATGTATGTACGTACAAGTAAAAGTATCCCGTCCCAAGATGGACCAGTGCAAGGAAAGGAAAGAATAAGGAGGTAGCGCAGAGATAAACAGGATCCATTACCAGTTCCAGCAGACTCTTGCGATTTCCCGCTTGGAAGAATCATAAGACACCAGCTCAAGTGGGAAGGAAAAACAAAGAGATAAAGAAAATCTTGATTTAATGATTCTGGTCTCGTGGTTCATCAATCTGTTCAGGTCGAAGGAAAGGATAAGAAGGGGAAGAGAAAAGAGGGTGCAAATAATAACAGGTAGAAAAAAAAAATTCACATTTCATCCGAGGCTTGCTTCGTCAGACAGAAGGATTGGGTCATCGACGGGGCAGAGTCCTGGCCATGTGTCCATGCACAGTGTCAAAAAGAAGAGAGAAACTTAGGCCGAGGCTGAGGATCTCTCTCAAAATCCTGCCATGACATCAAGATTAACCGTCTAGTTTATTCCGGGTAGAAATAGAACTGCGGTGCCTGCAGGAGCTCAAATCCAACAAGAAAAAGTACAAAACAAAAATAAAAGAAAACAAATCATCCAAGCTTTGCACGTCCGTTACGTCTCAAAGTCACATTATGTACGACGTTGGCATTACATGATCGGGGTCTTACGCTTTTCAGCGCTGGAGAGCACAAGCATGGGAGTCTTGCGTCTTTCCTGACCCTGAGCTACCGTCTTCTGGCCAGCGACGACAGCAGCCACTGAGGGTGATCCGGTTCGAGGAGAGGCCTGATCCGCTCGAACCTCGGCAAACTTTCCGCCAAAGAAACCGCCATCTTCGCTGATGGGAGTGGTGTTGTACGGGCTATCCTGGGATCGGCGTTCTCGGGAAGACCTCTCCTTCCTCTCAGAACCAATGGCTCCGTTCGCAGCGGCGCGCAGACTACCCAGGCTGGGTTTGCTGGACAGGCTACCACTGCGAACCGTAGCGTCATCCCCATCGGAGAACGTGAATTCCTTCTCGCTCGCAGGGGTATTGGTGCCACCACTGCTATGGCAGCCAAAGCTCCGAGTTTCGCCACGTCGTTCAATGCCCGCACGAACCAAGTTGTGCACCGCACGTCGACGCTGACGGGTTGCAAAGTTCTTGCTTCCCTCGTGCTTCGATGTTGGCTTGGCTGTAAGCTCCTCAAGGGAAGGTGGTCCACGGGGTTGGCGGATCGGGTGCTCGCCCGCACGAGCCTGTCCGGGCCCAAAGGTTCCAGTAGCTGGGGTCTGAGGCAACGCCGCAGTCTTGGGAGCTGCGGGAGTGATGGCAGTATTGGCCTTGGCCGTGTCAAGTGGCATCTTGAGCGCAGGGTTGAAGGATGAGCTCTTCTTGTGTCCCCTGCGGAAAGCATTCGCCGAGGGAGGAGGCAGAGGAGCAGTTTCTTGCGGGGAGGAACGGCCGCTGGGAGGAGACACAGGCTGAGAAACATTCACAGGAGATTGGCGGTTTTCAGGCGGCGGTGACACCTCAGCTCTGAAGGTAGGTACCTGAACTGAGGGGGACTGGGTCTCCTCTTCCTGGTACTGTGGCGTACTGTCCTGTTGGAAGGTATTGTCATAAATATAGTTTTGCTGCCCAGTCAAGGGGTTGTAAACCGAGTAGAGGCCCGGCTGGCCAGGAACAGGCTGCACCACAGGCTGCACGCCTTGCTGAAGCTGCTGCTGGTAAAATCCCATACCGGGGAGGGACAGAGAAGGGTAATCCTGTTGCTGCTGCTGGACCATAGGGGTTCCCAGATTAAGACCCTGAAACTGCTGAGCGGCCGCGGTGACGCTGATCAGCTGCTGTTGTAAGCGCTGTTGCTGGGCAGCCAAGAAGAGGTTGGTCGACATCAGCTCCGCGTACAGGCTCTCGTCGATCTGCGTATCGCCAGCGATGTCAAGAGCCGGAGGTGCGAGCACCTGCTCCGGCAGAGTGTACATGGGGCGCCCCGTGTTCATGTCCAGACCCTGATTGACGGCTAATGAATGACGAGGGAATCCGGTTCCCATGGCGGTTTGAGGAATGCGATCTGCAGTTCGGTTCGAGAGATTGCCATATCTATCACCCTCCAAGCCAAGGTGCTGCTGGCGCTGAGAAGCCGAGGGCATTGTGGCTGACTTGGGAGCCGTCCTTAAACCAGCAAGCAGGTGCGAACGGCTGGTGCGCGGAGTCGGGATCGGTGCAGATGGCTGAGACTCATCGATGGTCGAGATGTGCGGTGGAGGCACGCTCAAACGCTTGATATGGGAGCCTTTCCTGCGAGAACCAAAGCTGGCTCCAGGCACCCCGAGGGCACTGCCATTATTGAAAGAGGAGTTGTAGGTCATTTGAGCAAGACCGCCAGTGTCCATACTCGTAGCTATAAAGGAGTATAAAACAGTATGTGCAATTGACGAAACGAAACGGTGCTAACGATTTAGCGATTGGAGACGCGATGTGGTCGACCACAAAGGATCCTTCGGCGTATTTAAATATTACAAGGTCGAGGATAGGATGGAGGACCGAAGTGAATAACCGACACCGGGAAACGGAGGGGTTAATAGGTAGGCAACGAACGGGGCGAAAGTCCGGACTCCCTGCAGAAAGCGGTGTTAGCTTGGCTTTTGGAGGCAGTGTCCACGGTGAAACCCAGTACCTGCAGAATACAAGAAGGCACACGCAGAGATGTGCCTTGATAGAATAGGCGACAAAAAGCCAAGGAGTGATTAATAACCAGGTGTACAAGCGATTATAGGGCCAGGCGTCAGAAGCCGATGAAAGGATTCAACTGGCTCACGAGACGGAAGATGGGGACGCGACCGGTGAGAAAGGAAGACCTGAGCGAGTCTCGGATGACGAGAGGACGGAGGTTCTCTGTATTAAAAGACAGAAGATAATAAACGGACCGGAGATGCTCTGCAACTCCCTTGTAACCGTAGAAAATGATGCTCGAGACACAAGATGCAGTAGACGAGAAGGTTCGGTCTACCGTTCAGACCGTCGAGATGGAAGAAGCACGCGGTCGCGGTAGGGAGGGTAAATCAAAACTTTTCGCTTTTCTGACGGAGTGTTCCTTAATTCTTTTTTTATCCACTTTTCTTCACTTCTTTTTACTATTCCTCCTTTTGTGCCTCTCCGTTTGTGACTGCTATTTTCCGCACGTCGAACCTGACGAAAAGAAAGAAGTGGAGGAAGAAACGAGAGGCGACGCCGGGTGCTTCGTTTCGGGAGTTCGGCGCGTGTTTGGCCGCTATTTTTCTTTTTTTTCTTTTTTTCCGTGCCTTTTTCCTTTTCCCAGTTCGAGTTCCGCGCTTAGAAGAGGACCGTCCAGTTAACCGGGAGCCCCAGGCAGACCACCCAAGGAACTTCAAGTTCTTTAGAATGTTAAGCCAACAACAACGACCGCTCGTCGGAAATATGGAGAGTCAAGGAGTAGAAAAGGAAGGTAAAGTAGAGGTAGCGAGATGAATAGACACTATTGGAGAAGGAATGAAGGAAAAAGGGGGGAATAATGAAGAACTGAAGACGGGGTGGGTAGGGGAAGGGTGGTGAGTGGTAAGAGGCTGAGGGGGAAGCAGTGAAAGAGGGCGACTGAGAGAAGAGAGAGAGAGAGGGAGGGAGAGAGGAGGGAGGGAAAGAGAGGAACCAGCGGGGAAGGGAGATAGAGGCGTTGGTAGTGAATAGAAATAGCAACAGGACGACCAGGGAATGAAAGGAGATGAAGAAGGAGAAGCAGCAACAAGAGCAGGAGCAGAGAAAGGGACAGCAAGCAGACCCGGAGAGAAGGGAACTGGAACTATTGATTGGGATCGATCATGCGAATCACTCTACTTAGTGACGGTGATTACTGGCAGTGACTGACTCTCCTGGATGGCCTTGCGAGTCTGCCTGAGACGCTCGCTCGTCGCTCAGGCGCTCTTCTGCTTCCTGATTGGCTCGCTTCCAATCCCCTTAGACAGATTAGGCCTAGTGGAAGGAGGGGGCGACTGGCCAATTGTCCAACAGGGTCTCCTGATTGGTGCCAGCACCCAATTCCCCCGGTGGGTGCCTGAGGTGCCACGGCCGCACTGAGTTGGTGCATCCTTTCCTCCCCCAACTTATCGTGCGAGACGAGGATCTTCAGGAAATGAGCCGACCCTCTTTTGATCAGTAGCACAACACTGAATTAATATCAATCACTATTCCAGGGGCGATCATCTGACCATCCTTATCTGATTCACCCCATGGCCATCCTGGCCTTCTCAATTTGCATGGCCCCAACCCCCATCTTTATCTCTAACCAAGCCCCTCTTAGGGCCCCTCTACGGAGTGCACCGGAAGGTGGTGACTAATTGCACGGAGCTTTCCCTGCTCAAATTGCTGCAGATGCCCAGTCGGGGTGCTCAGGCCAGGCATGTAAAACCAGTATACCACAGTACGCTTTCACCCCCTGACCGATGCTTGGCTCTCTGCAGCCTGATATTGCTGCTAATAGTAGGACTATACCTCCCGGGACCCCAGCTCATTGGCCAGAGTATCTCATCCATGCTCACGTAATGCCATCTGGCCTCTGCCAGGCTGAAACGCCCCATGCCAGTGTTGCCTTCCCAACTGCCTAGCACGGGCACGTAATATCCTGTAGGTGTTCGTAGCAGCCATGCTCCCATATTGCATCATATAGCAGCGCTTTTTTGAGATGACACAGAAGGAAGATGATCCACTGAACACACATTGATTGTCAATCATTATAATTAGAGTAAGTTAACAGAAGATAGCAAGTTCGTGTCACTGATCATCGCCATTATGTCTGCACTTTCCAAACGAGATCAGGACTTCATATGTTAAGGGTTGAACATAGAATTTATGCTCCTGCGTGCCACCGATATCATCCTTCGATAACCAGGGTATCATCAATTGTATGAAAATTAGCTTGCTACCGTGGCCAGATCTTGAATCTCAAAACGCCAACAAGCAGTCCTTGGGGCCTTTTATGTTAATATCACATACCCTTATTGCTGTAGACACTGTAAGTCATCGCTTAGTAGATAGATGGCAGCCGGCGTACCTAGTCAAGAAGCTTTGGCGTCCCCTGTACAAAGCCTTTCCGACAAATGCGGAGGCTATACAGCTTGAGCCTCGTTGTCCTTACTTGAGCCGGAGTGCGGCACACTATCAGGCCGTTTCTCGAGGTCACGTTCGAGGCGGGCTTTCTCCTCGTCCGTTGCGTCAGTTAGATGGACCGCAACTTCCTCGCCAAAGTTCTTCGCAATTTCCTCCAATGTCAATCGAGCAGTCTCCGGGAAGAAGAAGTAGATCACTAGAAGCCACCTATCAATACCATATACCGAACTTGCAAGGCCGTAGCTAGCTTACCTGGAATGAAAAATGCGGACCAGCAAATGATAACCAGATAATACTTCCAGCCAACGTTGTCGAAACCCATTGGCGCGGTTTGAAGTAGGATAAGAGTCGCTGTCATTTGTTATTAGCTACAACGGCTTTACATTGCGAAGGTTTCTTACCGGCGAACTGTCCAAACAAGGAAAAGCCCATGCCAATTGGGCGAATCTCAGTAGGGAAAATCTCAGACACGTAGAGATACATCGTCGTATCACAGAATGTTCTGTTGAAAGATAAGTAGTCGGAAATCACAATCTGAGGTTATCGCTTACCCTTGGAATGCAAGGTAAAGGTACATGAACAGAATGCCAAATCCGTTACCAACCCGGTTCGTGGTGCCCGCGTATTGTGCGGTCATGGCAGCCAAGCAAGAAGTGGTAACAATAATTCCGACAAAGCCTGTGATGTACATTTTGCGACGCGAGTTGACCTTATCGTGAAGCCAGGCACCAAGAGGGTTGTAAATGACACCTGAAAGCACGCCGGTTAGTCTTTCGCGCTTACAGTCAGGGCAGCTTCCATCTTACCAGCAGTTGTCAGCCAGACCGCACTCAGGAGCAGTGGCATGCCGCCCGTCTCCCCTAGGTTGGTGTATAGAAGAACGGCATAGTTGTTCTGTGCGATGTAAGCTATCAGAAATCACGTAGATCTCAGTAGAGAGGAACTCACAATGATCAGAGGTCCGCCAAATTCAGCTCCCCATTGGGTCAGAAAGCCGATAGCCATGCGCTTCCTGTACGACTTCTTCTTCAGTACTGCGTTCCACACATTGCCGTAGGCAGACAATCGCTCCCCCTCAAGACGAATTTGCTCGGCAGTTTGGAAATATTCTTCTTTAGCAACCAGATTGTTAGGGTCGTCTGGGGACTTGCGAAGTCGCTCAAGAACCAATCTAGCTTCCTCATGCTTGCCCTTACTGATCAGCCAGCGTGGAGAGCGAGGAAGCCAAGGCGAACCTAGCAGCAGGATAAGAGGTGGCAAGCACTGTAGACAAAGTGGGAACCGCCAGCCAAATGTGCCAATCTTATTTTCAGCAAAGTAGCAGGCATAGCCTACCCAGCCGGCAAGCATGTAGCCGAAGACCAAAAAGATAGCATGATGGCCAACAAGCCAACCGCGACGAAAGGCACTAGACATCTCGGAAAGATACATTGGACAAACAGTCACGAGGATACCAATTCCGAGGCCGCAGACAAAGCGCCCAGCTTGAAACATTCTAGCTAGTGTTAGCAAGGACTTGTGCTGTAGACGCCGGGGTGGGGGGTAGATGAAGACGCACTTGAGTGAGTTAGAACCTCCTTGAAGTGCTCCTCCAAACATTGAGAAGAAAGCCCCCAACTGGATATTAAATTTCCGACCAAAATAATCACACGACCACATTATGAAGAGCGTCCCAACCGCACCTCCAGCACTGAAGACGCCGTTCGCGGTAGATATAGCAGGAGTTGTTATCGAGGCATATCCCGGCTCGCCCTCCTGAGGCAGATTGAAGTATGTGAACCATCCCGGCTGACCGATAGTGCTTGAGATAATGGAGGAGCAGTAACCGTACGTCTATTGAAAATAGAAATCAGAATAGGAGCAATTGCAGAAGAGGAGATTCTGAGTACTCACCATCGAACCAACTGCAACAAATATAGTGACCAGCCTATTATAGGTACTGGTTTGAGACCCGAACGTCCCCATGGCGAGCTAGGCCTCTGCAACGAATGTAGATCGAAGCCAAAGTGGGAAGAGAAAAAGAAATATAACCAGAAAGAAGAGCAAACAGGTCAACCCGCACGTTGCATCAGATGAAACAATATTGGTCAAGCCACGCGGCTCAAATTTCGATCATGTACCACCCGAAAGTAGCAGGTCTGGGACCGGGGGGTGAGGGAAAAGAGGCGGAAGGAATGCCGGGCAGAAATGAAAATGTAAACAACACTGTGTATGACAGTCAAGGTGCCGGCACATCAGCCTGGGATATATCTCTCGGCGCAGGGTAAGCGGGCAGAGAAAAGGCACCTCTGGGTCTCCCACACATCCTGCACTAACTTGCTTAGCTCGTGGGAGCTTTCTAGCTTTTCCCTTGAGTATACTTCGTTTGCGTTAGAGCACCCACTGGCCGGGGTGGAGTCGACGACGATGTGAGTGGATCCACCAACCACCGACCAGCGACATGACGGCTGCTCAATCACCTGGATGAAGAAGCATGACCGTCCTTTGCCATTCGACAATTCGTTTGCTCTAGACCAGGGGAGGGAAGAAAGACGATGCATTAGTTGTCGTTGCCTCGCTAGCCTGACAAAAAACGGTCTTCTGCCAGGAAGGGGACCGACGCTAAGCTCTTTTTGGGAAGTCTTGTGCTGTTCACTGCATGTATGTACGTTACCGTTATATGCCTGTAAGTATGTTCTGCCGCTTACTCTGGATAGTAAACTCACTACCTCAGAATAGGCAACTGAAAGGACTTAAAGTTCTCTCCATCTCCACCTTGACAGCTAAGTTTTCCGTTTGGGTTTATTGTGGCTGCCCTCGATCAGTTGCCAGTCTTACTCGTGTGGTTCATGGCTCTCAACCGATAAGATGACCCACAAGATATCAGCTAAGATCCACTTGTGGTGAGCATGGTTCAGGTCGCGATTGCTTTGTAACATGGTGCGTATGCACGCTCAGGCATACTAGACAGACAGTTTGGCCGTATTAGTAACCCCGAGCCCTCTTCCAACCTCGGGTTTTGTGGACTCGGCGGGACTATGTCAAACTGGTGCAATCCTCAGCATTACGTTTTGCGTATAGCGTGTAATCCAAACAGGGGAGGGGGGGGGGGTCAAAGTTGGGCGCGGAGGGAGTAAGTTTGTAACTTAAGAAATGCGGGCCTGGTAGCCCGTCGCTGCGATCCGTCTATTGATTTTCTGGATCCAGTGCATCCGCTATGACAACGGCGCCGAACCGGCCTTTCTTCTCTCCCCACCCTGTTAATTTGGGATTAGTAACTATTGGAAGCGATAGAACCACCCTCCAAAGGCTACACAGGTAGGTACCATCGTGCAGTGAAATATTAAAACCTAGTATGCGTACACGGGCTTAGCTAGCTGTTCATCTATCCCTGATTTTCCATCACCCAACGTGCTGTGGCGTGTCTTTATCTTCTATCGGCCTTGCTATCTTTCTCAGAAATATGTCGGGTACTAATACTAGTCGGTCGCCTTTTGATGTACCGTTTGACGAGCTGCCAAACCCAAAGCAAGTATGGATTGGCAAGCCAGGAAGTCGCGAAGAAGGATTAGGGAAGCTTGCCATCTTGACGCCAGAGGTGGTAGCCAATGCTGCTGCCACTGAAATCAAGACCGGCCGACGGGTGACGATGGGCTGGGAACTGACCAAGTTGGATTATCCTAATCTGAACCGTCAACCATGCCACCATCAGATCATTCCGCTTTTGGGCGGTGTGGCTTTCGACGATGTCTATACAATGAATCCTCGTAGGTTATGCACTATTCTTCCTTTCGCCCGCGGTACCCCACCCCCCCTGGGCTGACTCAATCATAGAACAAAGTAGCCAGTGGGATGGTCTGCGGCATTTTTCACAGACGGTTGAGGGCCAAACTGAGCGTGTGTTCTATGGCGGCGCAACAGTCGAGGAAATCAATGACCGAACGAACGATCGGATCGGCTTGCAGCATTGGGCAAAAGAGGGGATTGCTGGTAGGAACTGACCTATTTATTGATTGATTTTTCTGGGTAAGCGACTAATTGCGGTGTCGCATGCTGTTCGACAGGTCGCGGGGTATTGATCGATTATGCCACATGGGCAGAAAAGAGGGGAATAAGATACAGCACATTCTCGACACATCAAATCCGGCTTTCGGATATCAAGGAAATTGCCAAGGAATATGGCATTACTTTCCAAAAGGGCGACATACTTTTCATTCGCACTGGGGTGACGAAGGAATGGGATACAGCCATGACAGATGACCAGAAGCGACAATACTCTGACAACCCGAGCCCGGAGCATGCAGGTGTCGAGGCAACTACAGATGTGCTGCGATGGCTTTGGGATACCGGATTCGCCGCAATTGCTGGTGATGCAATCAGTTGGGAGGTATGCTATCCACTGATATTTTACATTCTATTCAAAGCATCACTATCCAAGTATTTGTCACTGACATGTAGCAGGTCTATCCACCCCAGTCGCCTGATGTGTTCCTGCATGAGTATGTGCTTGCGGGCTGGGGTATGCCAATCGGTACGTTGAAATCAATTGCATGGGAATATGAAGCGGGCTCCAATAGCATACTGACCGGATCTACCTTTTGACAGGAGAGCTATTTGATCTAGAAGCGCTGTCTCAAATTTGCCAAGACCTCCAGCGCTGGACGTTCTTTGTTGCATCTATCCCCCTGAACATGCCCGGAGGGGTATCTTCACCCCCAAACATCATGGCTATATTTTAAAGCGGATCTACCAACAGTGCTTACGAATTGCAGCCGAGCCATTCACTAACGACAGCCACGGACGCCAAGAGCGGAATACCTTTTCCGACTACCCTTCTCCCATATCTGCGACGAAACTGGAGAGGTGGAGATCTTCAATGGCTACACATAACCGAGATGGAAAAGAAGGAGGGACAAAAGGAAGTGGGGAAGAAGTGTAGTAAGTGCGTCTAAGTAAGCGACGAGAGAAAATGAGAAAGCACATACGTACCTCTGCGAACATCGGGTGTAGTAGAGCTATAGTCGAAATCTGCCCACTTTCCAGGTGCCATTGCGACCAGCGATGCCACTAGTACAGTGCGCGGAAACTAGACCAGTCCTGTAACCAGTCGGATTTCAAAGAAGAAACCACAGCATACAGACGTAGATGCCTGCTCGTGGAGTGGTTGATCCAAGTCAGTTCGATGAGATATTTGAATCCAAGAAGCCAGCCCATGTGAGTACTTTTTGCGAAAACTCAATGGCAATTAATACCCTCAGATAAGGTTCGAACGGCGATAATTCGGGGTCATCACCAGGGTCGCATGGAAAACAGAATGTCCGGGAGATTCTGCCACGCGTGAAAGGGGACACAAAAGCAACGCAGGACTCCACTTCGAGTCTATAGTGCGTTTGCCTTTCATAGCTCGGAGAAACGTTTGCTAACCGGGGAGCAACTGTGTGACCAGCCAGACAACGCATTGCTTGACTGCGTAGTGGGTTCATCTGAAAAATTTGCTCAGGACCCTCAGCTCTCACCAACTCCTGCATCGTACTTCTGGTCTCCCTTCTTTTTTATTCCTTTTTTGTCTAGTCATCAGAACAGCCAGTCGATTAGTTTCACAATAATCTAAGACGAGGCCTGGCTATGCCGGGTAAGGCAAGATTGACGTTCCCGAGATCCACCATTGGTAACAGCGTTGCATCCGCACGGGCTTTAAGTTCTCTTAGGCGGCTGGCGGACCCCACTTGCCGCCCGGCGCGCCGCTGCCCCCCCGGCCCCGACTCAGCCCTGACTTACCCATACGGTATGAGACGGTAAGCGACACCTGATCCCAGTGATGTGCACCTCATACCCGCGAGGGATGGATCAGAACCTGGCGTGGCTTTCGATCGACGTCTCTCTTTCACCCACACACCCACCCCCTCCTGTTGTTCTTATCCATCTGCTTCAATAATTGTGTTGGCTTCATTACATTCTAACGCCAGACCAACGCCATTGAAAGGGCGGAGCCTGATCATCTGTTGATCACAATTCAATCCCCCAGCCCTTGGCCGATTGCACGCATGGGTTCCCGCTTCATCGCAACGCATGTGCAACATGTGAACCTGGGGAGGGGACAGTGAGCTTTGACACTGACCTTGCAGATTCGTGCATAGTTACACCCTCTTGTCCCAGCGTTACGATTTAGTCATCGCCAGTCTGGAGTGGAACGGGTCCCAGGCACTAAAATTCGAGCAATCAATTTTCTGCGCCGAACAGCGGCGGATGTCGGAGATGAAAGACAAAAAGACTCTTTTCACTGCTAGTTAGCAATTAGGCAATATTCTCGAGCACTTGGCGAGATCGCCCACGTACTACCGAGCATTAGCCCACACTTGGCCCTTTATTCGGAAAAAGTAAAGCCCATGACTAGTCGTACTTCCTTCATTGCACCCCTGTCTTTGACTAACCCGGTACCCTGTCGCAGGATGCTCTGCAAAGGAGTAAATTCCTTAGGCCCTGCGCTATCGCCTTCAGGGGCGACGGCGTCCTTCTAAATAAATAAAAAAAAAGGCTTGGTGCTTGTGACAAGGGACGAATCGGAGAGCTTTATTGCCCGTGATGTATCGTCCTTGATTGATGTGTCATGAGCCCCGACTTCCCAAATTTGGTTGTGATATAGTCTTAAAGGGGACTTAAACCCAGACTGCTGGGACGTTAAATAAATTCCAGCACCTTGGAAGCGCTTCCGTCAAGCCCTACCCGTTCGTCACGATGCTCGCAGAGCTGCTTGGACGTGATGACACCGGCACAACAGATGGGCATGTTGACAGGTCGGTCCAGAAATGGAATCTGGCGACACAGATATTATGCATCACTACAATGACCATTTTCTTTGCTCTGCGATGTTTTACTCGCCTTGTCATTATGGACGGCTTTAGGAGAGAGGATTGTAAGGGCCTAATGATCAGCTCCAGATGGCCAGTGCTAACCGACTCACAGGGACATGTCTAGGTGCCTGGGTAAGGATATTGATGCCAACCTACTGGAAAAAGATGCTCATCTATTTTACTGGCAGTTTCTTGGTGTGTGTTATTCGGTCATTGCTTTGATCAGTAAGTATAAACACAAGCCTTTTTCGGAGATTTGCTGAGTATTAATCCAGTGGGACACTTTGGGGGCGGGGTGCACTACGCGGATGTGCCTGTATCCCATCGCATACCCTTCGAAAAGGTATGTTGAATATGTCTCTTACAGTCCCCAATTTGCTGTGTTAACTCGCTCAGACGGTGTATGTGACAATGGTCATGTACGGCCCGACCGCATATTTGACAAAGTTGTCCCTACTTTGGATCATTGCCCGAGTCTTCAGCCCTTATCGCAAAACCGTTATATTCATCTACGTATTCTTGGGTGTTATGCTAGCCTACTATATTCCAGCGGTCATCGTCAAGATCCGGATCTGCGACCCAATAGCGAAGTTCTGGGCCCCCGACACATCGGGGTCATGTCTGGACCAGACATCAATCATTCTTGCCGATGCGGTTGTCAGTGTCGTTAGCGATATGACTATCCTCATTCTTCCCCTACCTTTGACGGTAGGGTTGCAATTGCCGCTGAAGAAGAAATTGCGAGTCATGGTCGTATTGGGAGCTGGAGGACTAGCATGTGCATCGAGTATTGTCCGTCTGATCCTCATTATTTTGACGGGGCAATCGAAGGACGGGACACTGGCTTTCATGCGCATTAACATGTTTGGGTATGGCTGCGCTCTAAGCTTGATATTACTGTATCACCTAGCTGACGTTTCTTTCGTCTACAGGAACGCCGAGATAACGATTGGGGTCATTTGTGCCTGCTTGCCCGCCCTTTCAGCCCTGGTCTCCCGTACCCACCGCGAGTATACGAGCAACAAATACTCGAGTCATAAGAACACCCAGACATCACAGTATGAGTTGAACAAGGTCAAGAATAGTCGTCCCAGTCGCGCGGATAGGAGCAAAAACCAGATGACCCTGACGGAGGTTGGATCGGACCAGGACATTCTCATCCCCAACGCTCAGGAAGCGCCAAGGATCGAGACCACGGTCCGTGGCGATTCAGAGCGGCAAGGCACAGAAACCATGGGGATCATGAGAACTGTCGACGTATCAACTACTGTGACCTCGCGGTACAATGAAAACGAATGACAGGTAAAAGTCTTTTGGCGGTATGGCGGCGTTCCGGGGTTTATCATTATGCTGTGCCTTAACCGGCTCACATCTCGACGAATCGACATGGTTTTCTTAACGTATCTATAATAATATAGTGTATCATATGCTTTCCTGACCTCATAACGGCCTTAATGTCGATTTATGTCTGTGTATATTTTGACGCCAGGAAGCAATATGATGGCTGTTGACTTGCTCGCGCATTGTGACAAACATCACAATGTAGTGATACTAAGGTTCTGATGGACCCACATAATTGACAGAAGCTTATATGTTGCATTTCATCTGCTAATGAATCCTGGGTCATGAGGAACGAAGAAGACTCACGGGTACCTGGGACGATGAATTATGACGTCATGTCCAAATGGAGTCAGTAGGGCACATTCCCGGGGTTGGCTCGTCACGAGATGTGGCTGCCGCGAGTTGCCGCCATTGCAAAACAAGGAATCTTTGGCTTCGCTGGTGATGCTCGCCATTCTGCGGAGATCCAGTAGGCTATTTGTCCTGCGAGACTTTCTTGCATTTCTTGGACGGCCATCGAACCGGTCTATGTATCTTTGTCGTGACGGCTACTCCATGTCTACCCCCTTGGAATGAACTATCAAGCCATATGTCTTATCTAAAACATCTATCACAAATACTTTTCAGATTATAGCATAGGCGATCCCTTCGGCTTGGGTAGCGGCGCGTCGCCTCAATCGAGATATGAACGATGATAAAGATCGACCTCCGAGCACGGAAAAAAGGTCGCTTTGCAGGAAGTTCCGAAATCAATTTAATCCGAGGCCTGCAGAAGATGATGGGCCACAAGACTGGTGGATCGCATCTACTGCTATTCCACTGGTAGCAGCTACCACTGCTCCTCTCGCAAACCTCATGTCTATTGTTGCCCTTGTGATGCCGTGGAAAAGCAAGCTACTTGGGCACACCGCATCATCAGGCGCACCAGCGCAGGAACTCATCAGTGATCCTCGATGGTGAGCGCAGATTGCAGGGATTTTCGCAAATAATGCTAACCCTACCAGGTGCATAGCTCTTAATGCCACATCACTCGCATGCGGAATCGCAGGAAACGTGTTTCTTCTGGTCAACTTTACGCGCACTATGCGATACATCATAGCCTTGCCCGCATCTATCATCCTCTGGTGCCTGGCCACATCGATTCTGATCGGTATAACTGTTGCTACGAACATATATGACGGTCCCGTACCACCTGAACAGACCTATTCTCAGGCTTACTGGAGTGCGGTCATCGCAGCAGCTCTGTATTTCTTCCTCACCGTTATCCTAATGATCAACATGCTGGGATATGTTCTGGGGCACTATCCTCAGTATTTTGCTCTTACTGACGGCCAGAGAACATTGATATTGCAAACTACTGCATTCGTGGTGTGGCTACTAATAGGTGCTGCTATTTTTAATGCTGTCATTGATGACATATCGTTTGGCGATGCACTATATTTCTCAGACGTCACGATCCTGACATTGGGGTACGGCGATATCACTCCTCCGACTTCGGTCGGCAAAGGCCTTGTATTTCCCTATGCGGTGATGGGCATCATCATCCTGGGTCTCGTGGTGGGAAGCATCCACGACTTTGCCCGGGAACTGCAATACGACAATGTTGTGCGAAAGCACGTCGAAAGAAAACGGCAAGCTACTATCGAGCACTCTATTTCACTAGAACCAGGGGCAGCGGATCCGCATATCAATGACAAATCCAGGCATCGACCCAAACGTGGCGGACGCAGTGCTATCGACGCACTTTCATTGGTAGGCCGACCAAAGCTCCTCATCATGAGGGAAGAAAAAGACCGCTTCAACGCCATGCGAGCAATTCAATACGAGACCGTTCTCTTCCGGCGGTGGTACAATCTAATATTGAGCGTCATCATGTTCGGTATAGTCTGGACGTGCGGTGCCGTGGTCTTCTGGCGCCTAGAACAAATCACATACTTCCAAGCTCTATACTTCGGCTTTTGCTCCCTCCTCACGATCGGATATGGAGACATCACACCCACCACCAACGCAGCGCGGCCCTTCTTCATTGTCTGGTCCCTTCTCTCCGTCCCAACAATGACAGTTCTGATTTCAGAAATGAGCGACACAATCGTCGTTGCATTCAAGCACGCCACTAGCGTTTTCGCAGACTGGACCGTTCTCCCACAGTCCGGAAAATACCGAGAGTTCCTCCGTAAATTCCCAATCCTCTATACTACTCTCCAGCATCGCGAAGAAAACAGACGGGTAACCGAAGGCTTCCACGTCGGGTTGGATAACGAAGAAAGAGGCACAGGAGCAGAGCACCAGCACGACTCCGAACATCCACCCGCAAGATCGCTCAAAGAACTCGCCAGCGAGCCAGACACAACTTCAGGCACGGGAACAGGATCAACATTCCACTTTGCACAGCAACTCGCATACGCGATCCAGCGAACTACCCGAGATGTTGTAGAAGGGGAGCGGAAACGATATACCTACGAGGAATGGGTGGAATTCACACGACTGATTCGCTTCACAGACCCCAGCCCAGACGGCGTGGAAGTTCAAGAAGATGAATACGGAATCCTGAATTGGGATTGGATCGGTAAGACGAGCCCAATGTTAGCCACGCAGACCGAACCAGAATGGGTTCTGAATCGTCTCTGCGAGAGCCTGATTCGGTATGTCGATATCCAAGCGAAGCAGGCAGCCGGCACGACGAGAGAGGAAGACGAACCGACCTTGAGGAAGCAAAGGGAGATTAAGTTCGAGGATCAGTAAATAATTTATCTACTTCAATTTTTGTATATACATATATTTTTCTTGATCTTTTCAGACCATTTCTCTCAATTGGAATATTATAACAGACTCTGAGATCGAATAGAACATGTGGCCCTCACACAGAGCAGCACCCTCCCTTACATCAAAACCAACCAACTATACTTTCTTTCCCATATGCAACAACAAAAAGTGACACAAATCTCCCATTTCCCTAATATCCTGTATATACACCGAAATGAACGAATCCCCTGTCCCGTGTAGATCCATAGGGTAGATGATCTGCCTCGGGCCATCCGGACTTCATTCCGTCCCAAAGTAACTTAACAACGTAGTACCATCTAAACTCCCAATCTCCGCACGACTCCAACCGACCAACCAACCACATGCAATCTGGAATGCAACCCCTCCCTGGATCAACGTCGTAAGAAAGAAAGGGGAAAGCCCCATTTTTCTTTCCCACTCTTATCGCCAGAACAAAAAGCGGGGTAAGCTGCATCGTGTCATACTCTCTCTCATAACTGTGGCACATTATCCGTATATAAGAAAAGACAGGAATCGTCCCGTCGAGCAAAGCTAACCAACTTACTCGAGGAGTATTCCGCGCCTACATTTGCACCTACTAATTACCAACTCAGCCCTATATACCAACATGACGAAACAACTCGCTCCTGGCGCCCGACTGGAGGGCAAGGTTGCTATTGTTACTGGTTAGAGTCCCTTTCTCACTTCTTTTGTGCCCCTCCTTTTACTATCCCAAGGCCAACTCGTACGACTGTTCGTTCGTCTATTTATCTATCTATATATTTATTTACTGTTTCCGACAAGATATGCCTCGATCTATACACAATACTAACACAGTCTTTCCCATCACTAACTGCTAACGAGTAACAACAGGAGCCGGATCCGGTTTCGGCGCCGCCATCGCGCAGCGCTTCGCCTCTGAAGGCGCCAAGGTCATCGTTGCGGATATCAGTTCCGAGGGGGGCCAGAAGACAGCTGCCGCGGATCCGGAAAATATCGTGTTCGAGCAGATGGACGTGACCAAGGCAGCAGATTGGAAACGCATTGTGGAGAAGGCGGTGTCGTTGTTCGGAAAATTGGATGTGTTGGTGAATAATGCGGGCACGACGTATCGGAATAAGGTATTTCATTTTATTGATTTCCCTCCTTTCATGTTCATTGCGTGCATTAGTGAAGTGAGGCTCATGTATGGTTGATCAGCCGACGTTGGAGGTCACCGAGGACGAGTGGGAGCGGGTGTTCAATGTGAATGTCAAGGGAGTTTATCTGGGCAGTCAGGCATTCGTGGCTCGGGTGATTGAGCAGGGCCAGGGCGGTTCGATAATTAATATCTCGTCGACGGGGGCGTCGAGACCTCGGCCCGGGTTGGTGTGGTATAATGCGTCCAAGGGGGCGGTTTCTAATGTGAGTAAAATGCGTATGCTTTCCCCTTTGGTGTGGGGTTCATTGGATACTGATAATATGCAACAATCAGGCTACCAAGGGTCTGGCGGCTGAGTATGGGCCGCATAATATCCGCGTCAACTCGGTTGCTCCTCTTCTATCGGCTACGCCGTTGTTCTCTGTGTTCACGGGCATGGAGAATACGCCGGAGAACTGGGAGAAGTTCATCGGAAATGTGCCGTTGGGTCGTCTCACGGAGGGGGATGATGTCGCAAACATTTGCCTGTATCTGGCCAGTGATGAGGGGCGTTTTATCAATGGAACGGAGATGGTCATTGATGGTGGGAAGTGTATCTGAGTCGTGAGACCGATCATTATCGACGATGGGTCCGCAAGAATCACATTGTGGCAGCGTCCTGTATCTCGACCTAGTGAATGCTGTCAGCAAATCAAAGCAGCACGAAAATCTGCTTTTGGTCCTGTAGTAGTAGGGTAATTGGGAACTTGTATCTGTACTTACCACAATTATGTCCAAGAAGAAGGATCGAACAGAGAAATATCTTCCTCTAGCAGGCCCATCATGTGCTGGTTTCCCGAGAACCAGTTCCCCAGTTGGCTGGTCTGAGGTATTGGACCAGAGTATTGGCCTTCCATGGTGCCCCGTGCATCTCCAGGCGCTGACCCAGCAGGAACAGGTGCGGATGCCCACGCCCCATAATTATCGTCAGCCGACATAGGTGCCAGCCCAAGCGCACTGAGGTATACATCAAACTCCTGACCGACGGAAGCCAGGTCTTGATCCTCCTTGACTTGCACTTGTTCTTTTGCCTCAATGTACAGTCTGGCCACATTGCTGAGAACTTGACATAGCTGATACAGTTTCGAGATGGCCTCAGAAAGAAAGCAATTGGGCTGCAGGGAAGCCACAAAATCTTCTAGTCGAGCGAGATCGTCCCACGATGATACAGCGATGGCGTGGCAGAAGATCACTATGAATGGAACAAATGGTGCGTATAGAATGGTCCTGGAGGGTAAATTAGAGATATGGCGGTGTGCCAAGCATCTGCAACTTACCAGTGGAAGTACGCGGCCTTGATATGCTCTGTCATCTCCTTCACTTCCGCCATACAGCCCTGATGCACCTCCAGGGCTGATCTGGCCGTTTCTATGCATTCATGGATGAACGTGCCCTGTGTCCCTGGTGGAGGAATAGCGCGGTATATCAACGTTAAGACTGACAAGCGGGCGACCTTGTCTGACCTGAAGAACACTTCATCGACCGGGGATCGTTGTTTGTCGAATTGAATACCCTAGGCTATGTTAGAGTAACACTGGCTATATTACCAACAGTGCATACCTCGAATGGCTCCATAATCTCTTGCTGCACCTCAGAGGCCAGCTGGCGAGCATGAGCAGCTCGCTCACTTTCCGGTCGCGCCAAAGCTGCAGGACTGTAAAGTAATTCGTACACTTTCCCCTGTATTGTTGCAAATCGGACCCACAACACGTATATTTTGCCATATGGCTCATCTAATCCGGCCATATCGATGTTTAGTAGAGAAGTGACATCATAATCCTGGATGGTTGACGCGCGTCCCAGACGCAGGGAAATCGCTTTGTCCAAGACGTAGACTGTCCAGAATAGTATATTCCCAAGGGAGGGCTTGCTGCCGCTTTCTGAAGGGCTTGATCGATGGTATCCGAGTGTTTGGCATAAGCGGAAGGCCGCTGAAGTTAACGTCATCGCGAACGACGGCTTCGACATCTCGATTGCATAGACGGCCTGGACTTCTGTCAGCAGTTTGGAAATTCTTGTCTGCGACTACAACGCTTACCCCTAGTGCGAGTGCTTCGATGTTTTCATCGTTCGCAGGCATCAGAAGGCTCAAACTCCCCAGAGCAGTTTCAAGGTTGACCAGACAGAGGTTAAGATATTTATCATACTCCTCTCTCGTCTGTGAATCCTTTGTGATAGCAACCACATCGCTAATTAGGTAGAGAAGAGCGCCGTTAACCACAATAAAAGTAGCATCAGAGTAGTCTTCCGTGGAGAAGTAGACCTGGCGGCATTTTTCGACTAGCCGTGGGGTAGACAGGAAAGGCAAGTATGCTTGCAGGATACTCGGGTGCTCTGACAGTACGTTAGGGAAGCTACAACAAGAACAAATTACATCTCAAGAATTACCTTGGCATTTGCGCAGGAGTGCTAGAACAACCTGCGCCGGAGGCATGGTAAGCTCCCGCAATCCTGAGCCTGGAATAACCCTCTGATTCGGGAACCGCACTTGGCGGGAGGGAGATTGTGCCTGGTGGTCTTGCATATTGACGATCTGCTTCAAGGATGCAAGCGCGGTGCTTATTTTGGGGGTCGACATCTGAAGGGCACTGCGAGAGACGGCTGTCTCTAGGAATTCTCTGGCGTAGGCGGAGTGGGCAGCAAGAGAGGAATTTCCCTCAAAGGCAGGAGTAGACTCGTGCTGATCCAGCGCTGCAGCAGCACTAGTGTAATTGGTCGTAGTGGATGGACTCAGCTGGCTTGACAGTGGAGTAGAGTGATGACATTGTTCCGAAGGGCCCTTAGCGTGCGCTCTGAGTTCCAAAAGGGTACGCTCAATGTTTCCCAGGCGCTCTTCGATGAGGTCAATCTTCCTCTCACTACACCATATCAGCCGAACTCAATAAGCAGGTTACTTGCTGTCACGTACTACTGGCTCGAGATAAGCACACGCTTCTTTGGCTCTGGGGGCTTCTGACCAGCGCCAGTTGAGCGGCAGATGATTTGGGAACTGCGGCAATTGGAGCAGGGAGACCGCTTGTCACAGCGTATCTAATAGTCGCATACAAGAATCCATCAATGTCCGTCCTGAAAGGGGAAACCCACATCAATTATTGATAGACTGCAGTAGTTACATACCTTTCGGAGGCGGCATTGATCGCACTGGCATGCGTCAGCATTGTGGACTGGAGACAGTCCATGAGTAGTATGAGTATGCGGTGCAACTCGAACTTACCGCACGCCTGACAACTGGCTCCTTCTCACTCTCGGGTCCCTCGGGCTCCATATAGTCAAGCTTTCCAAGATAACCGGTTCCCGATAGCGCGGCTTATTACTTTTCCCAGCAGAGCAGAGATTGTGAGTGTTGGGGACGGTGAGGGCGTGTTGGTTGCAGGAAGTGTGAGACTGGCGGATCCCGCGGAGACCGAGAGTGTGGACCGAACTTTGATTGCTTGCCTAATCGTCACACTCTCAGCGACTCTTTGGCATCACGGAACATCTACAGACTACTCCATCTATTAATTTTCTTTTTGTGTGATAATCTATTTGAGGCAACTAATATGTATTGTGGCTACGCATGTTGGACCAATACAGACGTCATGCAGCAGTAGCCCTTGCATATGTACAGCTGATTCTACTTGCGTTCCATGTTCCACCCTCCACTCTAGAGATGATAAATTGCTAGAGATATTCTATTCGTCTATACATTTTGCTCGTGGTCGCATCACAGCTAGGCGTAAAACCCAGCCACGTCTATGGTAGGTCTATTTCTTTTGCATCTGATGGCCGATGGGCCTATCCTTTCTTTTCGGCTCCTCCGGGCATCTCCTAGTAGGACCCGTATCGGGTCGGCGTTTATCGCTCGGACAACTCCAACAAACGACCAGGAAACCCCCAGCCTAGACAGCCACGGCTAGTTTATAGCCAGGGAGAGTTAGGAGGTTCCGGAAGTGTGGGCAACCAATTGGCCATATCCCAGAACCATACGCGTTCCTCGGTTCACTTCTTGATTCCAATAACAGCCAAGTTTCTCGGACTCTCCTTGTACTCAAACACCGGCTCAACCCAGCACTCCTTCACTGAGTCGTGTTCACGCAGGAATTGCCATCTGTCAACGACAATGATGGCCTCAACCAGAGCAGCACTGAAAGCCATCAAGCTCCAGACCACGCTCAGGTTCTTTTTCGCATACCAGTAATCCTTCACGTAGCGATCAAAATCTTCCTCAGTCAAATCCGCCATTCCTGCCTTGACCCTCTCACCGAAGTTCGGGTCGCGACCCAGCTTCGTCACCGCAGCATTGGCATACGCGGCAAAGGAAACAAAAGCCGATTTCCGTAGAGAGCCTACAATCAGAGGGTTTCCGGCATCTTCAGGTTCGGTGGATTCCTCATACAGGTTGTCCGGGTTCTTGGGCTTCGCAACTACCTTGCGATCCACAAGCATGCGCTGGAGCAGACTCCGATAGAAGTGGCGGGTGAAGAAGTCTTCGCTGTCTTTCCGGCTCCAGTTGTACGGGGCCTGCAAGGACATCGAGCGAGCGGTGATGTTGAGCTTCATGCCCGTTCCACTTTCATGTTCGTAAACCTCAAACCGTTTCGACATCGGAAAGCCATGGGGGTCGTATGCAACGGCATCCTTTGTCAGACGGGGGTGCATCGACCGGAGAATGGGAAGCTTGTAAGTAGCAGGACCCAGTCTCTCAGTGACCAGGTTGTAACAACATCCGATCATAGCAATGGCTTTAACGGAGGGATTCAGGGTCAGAGACCGTACTCCGTGATGGAGAAGGTTACCACAAGAATGTAGAGAGATGACCATGACGTTAGCATCCTTTGATTCGCCTTGAGCTTCGGTTTCCCCTTCGACAGGCGCAGCCTCAATGACGTCTTTGATGATGGGTTCGAGGTAACCGTCCTTGATCTCGTGCTCAATGTAATCCATTTTACCTCTAGGTTTCTCCGGATCTACTTCCTCCTCGGTGGCAGTTTTCGGGACATTGCGGTAAGGAGCGAACCCGATCTCGCCAGGTGCGAGACTGATATCACGGAAGACGTTGATCATGGCCATATCCTCTTCACCACCACCTGCCGCATCGCTTGGGCCCTTGGTAGCATCACCCTTCACATTAGCGGATTCTTGACCATCGGTACCTGTCTCTGCAGGCGCATCCGGTTCTGCACAGGTCTTGCAGTTTGCCAGTTTCTTGTTGTACATGTTGACGCGTTTCTTTTCCTGCAGCTTCGCATGAATATCCATTCCCTTCGCGCCACTGATGAACTGATGCTTCCGCTCGATGGCAACAATGTGTCTATTGTAAGGGGGACACGCAAGCGTCCGTCCGAGGTAGCTCTGGCCCGAACCGAAATCGACAATGTGTGTGATAGGATCGCCCCGTTGTTCGTCCACCGTGGTACAGAGGGCATCGACGTATTTCGAAAAGTGCGCGACCTCGTGGTACTTCTTGACGTTCATTCCGACGGCGATCTTCCTCGGGATCGACGGTGTTCCGGGCTCTGAGGGAGTGAAATCCCGCCCCAGGCTCAGTCGACGGATCTGATGGATATACTCCAATAGGTCCAGAGGAGGCAGAGGCGCCCCGCGCCACTGTGCGCTTGACTCGCCACCACGCGCAGCATCCTCCCGACTTTGGTCTAAAAGAGGTCGGATGTCATCCCGCAGAAGTAGGTCCAAAATGTCCTGAATATCATGCTGGTCGAAAAAAGTCCTCCAGTGTTCCGGCAGCAGAGAGGTATACAGGTCAGGTTCGCGGGTCAGGAAATCGAGGATGTGTACACCGCCGCAAAGATGCCTGAAGATGGCGGAAGAATTCGCGAAAGACAAGAGGGCCTCGACGTAGGCATCCGGATCCGTCCACTCTTCGGCGAGTGGGAGGGGTTGCGACGGAATCATGCGTCAGGTGTGATTGCAGCGAAAACGGGCTAGACTGGGATGGATATGCAGGATGACATCCGAACCGGATTCAGGGATTCTGAAGATGTCTGACGGGAGAGTCCAATGGGCGGAAAGGACAATGCGGGGGGTGAAGTTGAAGCGACCGTCACAGAACAAACAAGGAAAGGGGAATGAAGAAGAGAAAGAGTGGTGGTGGGGTGATTTGCTATCGATATACACGACCCCGAAATTTTTCGAGGGGCGATCGATAGAGACAGGCGGATTTGGTTTAGCCGTGGTTGGACCCACTGATTAAAGCATCGTTACTGTGTGGTTCTGTGGTTGGTTAAGGTGACGGAGTCTCCGGGTCGGGAATTGCGGAGATGGAAGATGGGGGGAGAACGAGCGGATATGGACCCAAACTCGACTCATCAATCATCACAACTCTTTTTTCCCCCTATCTATTGGTCCCTAAGTCTGACAGCGACATCTCCTTAGCGTGTCATACTTCAATTGACTCCCTTCTTTCTCGCCCCCTCCTCCCGGTTGAACCCCTGGCGGCCACCCAAAAAGGGCACTATTGAAACTATATGGGCTAGTCCGTCCTGGAAAGCCGCTGATCGCATGCTTCACCACCCATCGTCCCCTCCATGTGTCTCCTGCGACACTCAGCGGAAGCACTAGTTCGTCTCTGTTCATGGTGCTACGTGTGACTTTGAACCGCTTTGAGAAACCAGAAATTGTGTCCAGGCAAACAAACAGCAAAGTCGGGCTGGTGTTGGCAACCCATCTTCCCTGTCCCTATCTCTATTTCTATCTCTCCCTCCTGGTCTCCTCCAATCCCCTCCATCCCGTAGTCCCTAAATAGCCTGATACCCTGAAACGTGGTCAAGACTTGTCATCATCGTTGAAGCCCAGTCCACCCCAGAAATGGTACCACGTATTATATAAGGGAGGTGACCAGTCAGCTTACTGTCATTCGGTTGCTGCATTCTGCATCCTGCGTACTCAGCCCTCCGGTATGCACCACTGCAGCCAAGCGCCCAACTGATAATCTGCCAACGCGTCACACCGTCTACGCTTGATATCAGCCAAACGGCAATATTTCCCCTTACTGCCAAGAAAAAGAAACAGCGAATCCCTCGGACCCGGTTATTAAAGAAGGCGATGTCACGCCTGGCCGTCTAGATCCTGTACCACTCAAAAGGGTACATTTGAAGTGCCGCTACAACGGTAAGTCGGGATGATCTTCCGGAACAAGACGATACACAGCCAAGCTCCTCCTCCGCAAATGCGCAAAAGACGTCCTATACTGATCCGCCTCCTCAAGCAGATGTTGACCTCATCTCCGAGGCGGGAAGCCCTTCCCTTCGGCTTCGTCGCCGATGTGCTCTTCCAGATCATCATCAATGGCGAGGTGAACACCATCTTGACGCTTTGCCGGTTGAACCGCGCCACATACGAGACCATCAAGGTGTTGGAGCCACATATCTGTGGCTGGTTCATGCGCTTCCATGCGATTGAATTTGACCCCATTCTTACTCTTAACCCGTGGACGGGAGAGCAGAGCACACTGACAGTGCACTCCCTCGTAAGGTTCTTCCAGCGCCACAATATCGCAAAGGATCTATCGCGACATATTGTACCATCAGTCTGGGGACCTTTTTGCGATGACGGGAATCCAGAGATGGACTTTGAAGCGGAGTTACGCCTTGCCAAGCGGTTGGAAAGAGGGTTACACGTTCTCTTTCACATGGCCGACATTGCGCGCGACACCGAAAGGCTGAAGCCCAGCAGGAAGCCACTGGCTCCTGTTGTCAGTGGACGTCTCTTCGTGCTCGGCAAGATGTTAGACGAGTACGATGAACTTCCCCAGCACAGGAAACAGTTGATGTCATTTGAAGAGTACACCAACCACGTTTATACGGTTCTAAAGTGGGGATATGTGGAGGCCGATATTGGCCGCAGGCGGCTAGAATTCCGAGGATGGCTTGACGAGCAGACTGAGATCGACTTTCACGCGTCTCTGCGAATGCTGCGCGAGCTGATGGAGCGCATGCTTCTCCGCCACGGCCCCAAGGACTGGCACCGCGACGCCAAGAACGAATATAGCGTCATATCCTGGTTTCTCCTGAAACAACCGCCGCGCTCACTGGCGAAGCTGTTCTTGAGTCCTCAGAACGACTGCTGCGATATTGATGTGAAAGCTACTGATTGCGGTGTTAGGAAATGCCATTTCTCAGACCCGCTAGACAACTACTGGAAAGCCTGGAAAAATGTGCCCGACCTAGGCTGCCAGGACTGTGACTGCAAGCGACGAGTCAGAAGTTGGAGCGTCAAGCCTGCACTTATTGATGCCCGAGGAAGAGAGTTTAATCGTGCTGCAGAGCGATACCTGAGGGAGATGTGGAGTCAGCGACACGTCGGTCTCCATCGGGCTTTTACCATGGGCGTTTTTACCACAGTTATTGGATGAGCTGGGATCATTCTGTCATATTATTTTTTTTATCTGAACGAACTTGAAACCGAACAAGAATGTCATCATTATTTATCCGCATCTACGCAGTAAGACAAGAGTTCCATCCATCTTGACCTTTCTAGATAAAACAAAGATAGATCGATATGGCCCGACGCCGCCTTCTTCACCGCCCGCAACCCCGAGCATCCGTAGTAATCGGCTCCGGATCCTCTCAACCCAACCCGATCAACATCACTATCGCCGTCCGTCCTCAGTCCACAAGCATCTCTGGAAGCGTTTCTTTACCCATTGTAACTATCTCATGATCTTCCTATAGCATATACCCAACTACTCAACAATCATGGACCACACAGACCCCTTCCTCCAAGTCCAAGCGTAAGTTTCTCTCCCCCTTATTCATCCACTCTACAAACCACCATCAAGCCAGCTAGCTGACGTAGCACCAATCCAATGCCAACAGCGACGTCCTTTCAACCCTCCAATCCACACGTCCTCTATTCTCCTCCTATCTCCGCATCCGCTCCCTCGCCAAATCTCCCAATAACCCGGAGCTCCAACAAGCGCGCTCCGAGCTTGAGACGACCCTCACCGATCTAACCGCGGACTTAGACGATCTAGTCGAGAGTGTGCGTGCAATCGAGCAAGATCCATATCGATTCGGCCTAGAACTAGAAGAGGTTCAGCGCCGGCGAAGTCTTGTCAACGATGTCGGGGCCGAGATCGAGAAGATGAGGGAGGAGTTGCAGAGGACGGTTACAGCTTCGAGTGGTGGTGGGAAGGGCACGGGTGCGCTGCCAAACCCGGCTGATTTCGATAATGTCTTATCGCCGTCGGCGGAGGATCAGGGAGATGATTACTATGCTGCGATGGAGCAGCAGCGGCAGATGGAGCTGATGCACGAGCAAGATGAGCAGTTGGATGGGGTGTTTCGGACTGTGGGGAACCTGCGACAGCAGGCTGATGATATGGGGAGGGAGTTGGAGGAACAGGGGGTGATGATAGATGAGGTGGATACATTGGCCGACCGAGTGGGCGGCAAGCTGCAGAATGGCATGTCGAGGCTAAAATACATTATCCGGAAAAATGAGGGTAAGTGCTTACGCTACGACTTCTTTACATTGTCCTTTCTCGAAAAAAAAAACGTTGGCTGATTATCAATTAGATACAATGTCATCCTTTTGCATTGCCGTCCTCATATTCGTTTTGGTCCTCCTCCTCATCCTGCTCATTGTTCTTTAAGACATGAAGACATATGGTTACAACTGCATTATTCAAGACAAGACACGGTGATATCTTTAGACCTTGGTCTTCTTGCGGGGACGGTCGTTCTCGTCCTCTTCCTCGTCTCCCGAGATATCAAGCTCACTGTCGTCAAAGTCGACCTCCTCGATCGCCTGATCCGTGACTGGAAGGAAGGTTAGCTCGGAATTCATCCAAATTACGAAAACCACTCACCATAGTACTTCAAGGCGTTGGGCCAGAGGTCCTCAGCGATCGCAATAGCGAGCTCCTCACCACCAGGGAAGACCTCAATGTCATCGAACTCATCCTCAATGTCGTCATCCTCGTCATCCTCGTCCTCCTCATCCTCACCCTCAACAGGCTCGCCCTTGAGGAGCTTCTCAAACCTCTCGTTATCCTCCTTGGTCGCGGCCTCGGACTGCTCAGCAGTGACATCGCTGCCACGGTAGCCGAAGAAAGCGAAGAAGCTCATGCCGCCAGGGCCATCCTCAGGGAGCTCATCCTCATCATCACCCATCTCCTGGTCCTCAGCAGCCTCAATCTCATCCTTCTTCTCAAGGACCTTGGCGAACTCAGGCAGCTTCTTACGGTCTCCGCCCTTCTTCTCCGCCTCAGCAAGGTCGCAAGCAGCGTCCAGCAGACCCTTGGTAGGATCCTGGTCCTTCTTCCAGTTGATGCGGACGGGCTCGGAGACCAGACCATCCCAGGTGCGCTTGTGACCCTTGGGGGTAGTGATGACCTGCTTGCGCCAGTAGAAGGTCTTGACGAGCTTCTCGTTCTCAAAGTAAGGGTTCTCGTCGCCGGTGCGGAACACGAAGGTCAAGCGGAAGCTGCGGGGCTCGCCCTGACCCTTCTCATCGATCTCGAATCGCTCAACGGTCAGGTTCTTAAGAGTCGAAGCGAGAATCGTGGCATCGGTCATGGTGATGTATTCCTCCACCTCGGCGGGCGCATTGAGCATGACGCGAGTCCAGAAAGTGTCGCGCACATCAGGCTCGGCGATAACCTGGTTGCGCTTTTCGAAAAGGGGACGAAGCAGGAGAGTAGACTGGCGCACTATTATACCCTTTAGTTTAGACAGAACCAAATCATAACAATCTCAACCCCAATCCCAAACCCCCATCCCCAAATAAATCAACAAAACCAAAGACAGACAGAAAGATAAATAGAAAGAAAAGAACATACACTGCTCCACCTCCGCCCTAGCAAACTGCTCCTCCACCAAAGAAATCTTCTTCGCCGTCTCCTTGCTCACCTCGGGGCGCTGAATGCGCTCCAACAGCGACGTGTTAGCTTCAGCAGACATAATGATGGAACTGTTTCTGAAATTTCCAATTGAATAAATAATAAAAAAGAAAGGGGGTATAAGGGTATATGATTTGAAAGTAGATTGGATATTATCCCAAAAGTAAATCGGGGCAGTGGGTATATAAATACAGAATTGGTAAGAAGGGAAAGAAAGAAAAAAAAAATTTCTGATCGTTTCAAAAAAGTTTACTGGTTGGTTACTGCGCGTAGTACTACTATGGTCAGTCAGCGCGCGCGGGCGCGGGCGCGGGTGACGGGCGGAAGTTGCCTACGTAGTAAGTAGTAAGTAATGTTACTAACCTACGAAGAGGAGTTTAATTAGCTAGTTAGCCTTTCCTCCGTGGTTTAGCTGGTTAAGGGGAAGGGGTCACTGTGCTGTGCTGTGCTGTGCTGTGCTGTGCTGTGCTTAGTAAGTAGTAATGATGGCTGGCTAGGCTGGTTTGGGTAGGTTGCACGGGAAGGTAGCTGTTAATTTAACTGGATGGGGTTAGTCACTTTGGAGCATTTAGTGGGTTAGTAAGCGGTGGTGATGATGGGTTCGAAATAATTAACCAAGTGGTTGCAAGAACAGGATTATTGGTAGTAAATAGGATAGAAGGATGGGATGTTCCGTGTAGTGTAGTGTAGTGTATTGTAGGCAGCATGTCAATTGACTCGAGTAATAGATAAGTAGGTAGGACGGACGGAGGACTCCGAACGGCTACCCGTGATTTACCACTTATGAAGCAGCGCAGCAGTACTGCTCCCCGCCAACGATAATAACTCAAGGACAGAGAGACTCAACAGTTAACCATCAGATCAACAGTAGCAGACATTGTGAAACATCATACTACTAGGGTATGCATGATGGTCATGACGATGCTCACACTGCACGACTTACTCTCCAACCAGTGGCAAGTTGATTTGCGATAGCTGCAGCAAACACCTACATTTATCTTTTACACCATACATTGATTGATCTACCCACTGTTATAAGTCAGCCATACTTACCTCCACCGGAAGAGAATGTTCCAGCCCACCTCCTGGAAGATATGACTTGCACTAACCCACGCCACGACAGGGATCCAGCCCAGCTCCGCTTCGGGCGGATTTTCCCAGCAACTTAGAGCCAGAGGCGCTCATTGCTTTTTCCGGGAGATCTGCTTATCAGTGGCGAAAAAGAAAAAGGCTGGGGGCGGATTAGCTTCGTTCGGGGTTATTAGTTTAGTAGTCTAATTCATGACGGGTCTGGAGTAAGTGGGGGAGATAATGCTGGTTGGTGCATCTTATACTCCGTGGAGATTTCGAAATCGTAGTCAAGTTTGTAGTCGATAATGTGACCAGGTAGATAAGGGATTTCATGTTCTGCTGACAACTGGCAAGTTCAATTGCATCAGTCAAAAGTAAGGGGTTAGTTAGTGACCGGAATGAAAACGACAAGTAGCATGTCTGGCGGACTGAGAATGATCTTAGTCCATTCCAATATTAGCTTTGCTATCTACCCAAGTCACCATGGGTCTTGAGTATCAATCCAGCCAGTCAACCATTCAATCAATCAAATCCCTTTATCAGGGTACTCAAACAAACAAACAAACAAACAGCCGCCGGTGCGATCATCACACCCGAGGGGAATAATCGGCAAACACACGAATGCATATCACTTGAAATGCACAGTGAAGAATGGAAAAGAAGAAGAAGAAAGAAAGAAAGAAACAAAGAGAAACAGAAGCGTGGTAACAAATAGTCAAAATAAACTTTTGGCGGATTGGCCTCCAATCCGACATGTCCATCATCATGCCTGCAAAATTCGTAACGTGCGTTTCAACCAGCAACCCATTAATATAGAAACTTTTTCCGCGGTGAGATGAGATGAGATGGAAATGGCCCCCCATCATGACGACCACTCCTGCGTCTTCGTCTTTCCCATTATGGTATAATTTTTCCGTCTCCCAAAGATAAGACCCAGGCCAGTTCGCCAGTAATGCATGAAATGAAAAGAAAAACTCAAGAATAGAAAAGGAAACGGAAGGAAAGCCAGCATTGAACGCAGCGGTAGGAGTGAGGGGACAGGACAACCGGCCGGTTTCGGCTCGCGCTCAGACAGTTGATGTAACCTCTTTATCGAGCCAATCGCGCCCATCGCTAAGACGACCTTGCGGCTGCCCTCTCCCCATCGCTCACCGACCGTAGTGCAACGCAGCACGTCAGATCGCGCCATCACAACATCCAATCCAGCCCGTTCGCTTCCTCTTCCACGGGAAAGACTTCGCGCGCGTATTCCTCCATGTCTCGCCAGCCCTGCCATAGGTGTCGGGCCTCATCCGTAACACGCAGTGATATAACCCCTCCGGGACCCTGCATCATTCCCGCACCCGCACCTTTGCCATTGGCTGGGCCCAAGCCCTTCGGCGACCCGGCCGCAGGGCGGGAGAATTCGGGCTGCGGGAAGTAGGGTGCATCGCATTGTCCAAACACCACCTCAATTGCTTCCAGTTGTTCCCGATATCCGGGAGGGATGTTGACCTTGACTTCGACCTTGGGCACGCGGACGTAGCGGCATGGGCGACCGAGAGCGCGCGAAAATGCCGCACAGACCTGATTGGGGGAGAGCGTCTCGAAGGTGAGGGCGATCCTGCAAAACATCAGCTATCAGCTCCATGTCATCACCCGATAAATGACCGAGGTAAACCTACCGATGGCCGTTCCACTTCTTGGGTCCGTCCTTGAAAATCTGCAGCAGCGCCGGTCCCACGTCATGCTCAGCATCCAGCCAGGGGAGTGGAATATCGGGGTCGAAAGGCGCGTGCCACTCAAAGCTTCCGTCCTGCATCAGCTCCATCTGGAAGAGGGGGTATGGTAGACTCGTAAAGTTGTTGTTGTAGATTCCAGCGTAGACGAACGTCGAGGGCAGACCGAGTTGACGAACGTAATTCTCCACGGTGAACTTGGGAGCCCAAAGGGGCACCGGAGGCCATGGTCCATGCACAGAGTGGTCGGGCATACTGCTATAGATGTAGTGTTGAATGGTTCCTGCTCGCTTGGCGGCATCGGCCAAGGCGCGTCCGATCGCGACTTCATCGCCAGACTGGGAGGTGGTGTTGATGAAAGCAAGATTGGCCCCTTGGAACAGGGAGTCCATCAGCTCTGTGTTGCCCAGGAGGGGACCCTGGAAGAGAGTGACATTGGGTAGGCTTTGTAGTTCCTCCGCGATGAGGCCCTTGAGTGAATGGATCTGAGCGCGAACATGGTGGCCCACTGCCGAAGCGACACGGATCAGAGACGCCGCCTGGCGACCCGTAGCGTTCACCACGGCAATGGTCTTTCTTTGTTGTGTCATGAGTTATAGCGGGAGAGGAATGGTGAGAATGCGGGTACAAGAAATAATTCTCCGCGATAGGAGGAGAATATAGAGAGGAGGGGGGACTTTAAAAAGTAAAAGAAGAAGGAAAAAAAAAGTATGCGGGGTAAAATTAAAGCAGGGAGGGAAAAGTGACCAGCGGACGAACACGAAGGAAGTAAGTCGGGCAGTCGAGCAGATCTGGAGTCGGGTCAGGTGGCCTCCCAGAATAGGAAAACAAGTCAATGCGAGGCCGATTTATTGCCAGCTAGTGATGTTGTGGAGGTTGGTGAGGCAGCAGGTGTGGTCGTGTGTCGCAGTTGTCGAGAGAATTTCCTGAGTCGTAGTACAGATTTCCAGGTGCTGTCTGGGTGGTACTTCGACGAATGGAACAGTGGGGTAGTAGACGGAGCAGTTGGCGGAGAGTTTAGTTATATAGCTCAGTGGGATATGATTGCCTGGGGACAGTTGATTTGACAATGCCGCAATCGAAGAATTCAATGGTGCAAGATGATGACGGGTCAGGCAGCTGCTGTTGTTGCTGTTGCTATTGCTGTTGCTGCTGCTGTGGTTCAGAAAGAAAGCCCCGGGAAACTACTGAAGTACGAAAAAAAGAATCCCACCACAGAAAAAAAGGTCGATGATGTTGGAGACAGCGGCGGATGATGAGATATTAGGTGCTCCAACTCCAGACCGACACAGCCGGGCTGCTCGCCAAAAGCCAGGTTTTTGTTAGTTAATGCAAAGCAGCGCCTCCTCCGTTGCAGGCACGGATCTCCCTCGTCGAGAGGATAATATGAATAATAAGAATCACCGAGTGCTCCAACGAGGCCGAACAAGTGGACACCCCCCCCAGAGCCGGTCTGGCGCACCAGGCAAGGAAAATGACCTCACACAACTGAGATTTTTCAAGCGATTTGCACCCCAAAAAAAAAGAAAATAATGAAAATAAAAATAAAACAGCAAGAGAAAAAAGATAATAGTAATAATCGGTTTAAATTGATTCAGATGCAGTATAATTGAGAAATCGCGAAAATGGCGGGAAAAAAAGAATAAAAATTCAACAAGGAAGAGCCGTGGATCAGGTCTAGTGCTTGGTTCCGAGATTCGCACCCACAATGACCCTAATCAGCCCTGTTGGTCAGGGGAGACTGCACAAGCTTTATCAGATTGGATTGGAGGAGGGAATGACGATGGAATACAATTGACGAAGGTTTCTAAAGGAAGACGCTGTGACTACGTAGGAGGTAGGTCTTATAAAAGGGACAACCTGGTCTATGAACCGAAATAGAAACCTTTTCCCCCTTTCCAGGACAAGTCGGTGTGCTCGCCGCCCACGTATCTAGGGGCCCCTAGAAGCGACGTCGTAGAGGAGAAAGAAAAGGAAGTAACTGCGGTCTGTGTGCTGCGGCAACGGGGACCCGATGAGCCCACGACGACTATCGGCTGGTCTGGATTGGGATCGTCTGGGGTTTGCATCTAATATGGGAGGTGGTACCCATGAGTGAATTTCTTAACTCCTCCCACAAATCCCCGTTCGCTGGGAAAATCCTGGCCAGGCAAAGAAAAAGCAGCCCCGGTCCCATGATGTGATGGGGAGTGTTCCGATGTGCTATCCGAGGGGTTTATATCGAGTAATGCGAAACAGTCATAGAATGGAAGGCCATTTGATTGAACGGTGTCAGGCGGGATTGCAAACTTCGGATGGCTGACACCATTCCAAGGTACTCGGCTCTCTGTTCCTGAGGGTACTCGTCTCTAGGTTTCTCTCCCATCTTCCATTGCGTTGTAGGTCTCGCTCCATTGAGTTCGAAAGCCGGGGGTGACAGGCCAGCTCGGCAGATGAGGCAACTAGAGCAGCAGCCCTGACATGAAGACGGGACCTTGTTGGATGTTGCTAGAAGTGCCCACGATGTCCACGATGATGAGGTGACCATTGACATTCTTTCCTTTACGTAACTCGGATGCAGTTCAGGGGTGGCTGGACAGGGAGCTGAAAGAACTAGCAATATCCACCACCACCATCATCATTATCATCATCGTGGATAGAAGAACTATGGCATCATGAGGATGTAGTAGTATGATTCAGTCTGAGAATAGTGCCTATTGTAGGGCGCAATCTCAACCCGTGGGATATCCTCTATATCCGAAGGTAGTATAGGGATGCGATGCACCTTCCAACAATAACGGTTCCAGCTAAACTAGAGATTCTTCATTATTGCTGAATTTGGGTAGCAAAAAAAACCAAAAAAGCAAAGTGCATATTCTATCAAAGAATGTCCGATCCCGGCAAGTGCCAGCCAATGGCAGCCAATAAACAGTGTGGGCGGGGGAGTACTAGCGGGCCTCCCACTGATCGACTTTTGGGGACAGCCACCGATTCTGAGGCAGTCATCTATCTAGTCAAGACGTTATAGTTACTTCTGTCTTCTCTTTCCATAGAACTACCTGCGGTGTTTGTTCTTTGATTCTTTGAATGTATCTATCTGTATCTCACTCTTTTCACTTTTCTCTTCCTCTTCTTCTTCCGCCCCTCCTTGAACCAGTCCTACGTTATGGAGAATAGCAAGTGATTAATCCACCACATTGACTAACTAGCGAAGAAACCGCCGTCACAGCCGACTGACAAAGCCCGGCTAGCCCACGTTGCTCTCCAGACCCATCGGTCCAAATCCTTCTTACCGGCCAATCCGTGCGCCGCAGCTTCTCACGCGTCTGCCAAGACCCGGGAGCGGTGTTTCTTCTGGGGCTCCTTTTGCGACGAAAGTGGTTCTCTACGGCCGGTGGATGATGTTTAGTCCTGAGTAATAGTACCACTTGAGCTCTTTTTATTTTTTTCTCTCAGGTTTGTTTTCCCACAAGGTCAGTAAGGGGAAGGAAGACCTTTCATACCAACCAAGCAGACGGTACGACAACCCTGCGACAACACATCCGGGCCATGTCTGCAAGGGAGCAACCTTCATCTGATCAATACCTTATCTACCCTGGAACTACTACTAATTAGGAGAGAGCAGCAACCGCGTGGTGAGAGCACGGTCTTTCCATCTAAGAAATATCGAGTTAGCGGGATATATTGTTATATAAGATTAGGAGCAACTCATCGTCATCATCGTCAAGCCACCACCGCCTTTGATCATGTGCTAACCCGGTCAGCTGCTCCGTCATAGTTTTTTTTCTAGCGGAGTACTAGCACTACTAGTAGTGTATACTGCTGTTGCTGCTGTCAAAACGCCAGTAAATGCAGATGTTTTATCCCAATTAGGAAGGTCCTCGGAGCAACTCACTAACCTCATACACACTAGACTAGTAGTAGTATACTAGTAGACTAGTAATATACGCATCTCAGCTGGGAAATCATCTCAGCAATGGCGCAATTCAAAGCGGGGTTCGCCGTCGTCCATCGGATTCCCCTCCATCCATCCGACATGCATGACCCCGGCCTGCATGCCCAGGGATCCTGCATGTTGGTCAGGTATCTCCGCGGAAAGGACTTCCCTTCTCGCTGTCTACATAGTAGCAGGTAGTCTAATAGTAGTGAGATCGCCTTGTGGAAGTTGTATTGGTGGTCATCATAAGGTGGCATACCCCTCATTCCGTCATGTATACTGTGAGATACCCTAGTGGTGTGAGCCACACATAGTATGAAAGCTCTAGAACAACAACGCTTTTCCGTCTAAAACAGGCAATCGAAAAAAGAAAGGAAAATAAAAAAAAAAAAAAAAATACGACCACAAACCATCAAACCTCCTTTCCCTAGAACCAAACGATCGCCATCGTCAAGGTGCCGATCCCGCCATCACTCGCTGCGCCATACGTCCTATAGAATCACTCGAGTCCTCCAGTTCCTCCATCTCGCGCTCACTCACCTCGCGCGGCCCAATCCCCGCCAACCCCCAGACGCCAGGTCGGCGCCGGGCCAACAACTGCGCCGCCGTGCGTTCGTCAGAGTGCAGATGCGCTCCAGACTTGCGTAGCAGCAGCACGTGCTCCGACAATCCTGCGTTGGCCGCCAGGAACAGCGGCGTCCGACCATTGCGGTTTCGCAAGTGCACGGAGCCACCCTGGAGCAACAGGTATCGGAGAATCTCAATTGAGGGAGATGTCGCTGCGAGGTGCTGTGAGGTGACGTGGGTGTCAGTTTGCTTTCTTTTTTCCTTTTTCTCAAATACAGCTCAAGGGGTTGCCTTACGATAGGTGTGTTGCCCGAATAGTCGGCGTCATTCAATAACCATTGGTGTTCTCGGGCCACAATCTCCTCCACGCGCTCGAGATCACCCTGCGCGATGGCGTATCCGAGCACCGTGAGGGACTGAACGCGCTCTGGGAGCGCCCCGTCCGGATGGCGGAAGACTGGCTGCGATACCTCGGTCAATTCGCCGCGAAGAGATACTGACATTTTCTTGGCTACCCATTCTGGGGTGGAATCGGGAAGAGCGAGAAGATACGACATCTTGGTCAGTGCAGCTTCGGTGGTCAGGTCGAGTCCTGCGACGACTCCGGCGCGAGAGAGACTCATGCCTGGGGCATAGACTGGGCTGACACTTCCCGTCAGACCTGGTTGGTTGGTTGCGTCAGACTGAATTCTGGTTTGAGGGATTATTGGCAAGGGTTTCATTACTCACATTGCGTGACATTCACGATCACGATTCCTCTCTTGATAGCGGCGGCCAACACATTGGTCATGGCATTGTCTTGACCACTCGGTGCGTTACCGGCGCCAAACGTCTCCAACACTAAACCACGGAGTCCTTCCAGCTTCAGCACGGCGTCGACCATCTCCGGCTTGATACCAGGGAAGATACGAAGACATGCCACGTGGGTGGTGTCGAGGTTGGTCTGGATACGGAAATGTTCGAGGCTCTTCGGTCGGTTGACCAGCTCCCAGTTCACGTTGGTCCGCATGGAGGTTGTCACCGCCAGCGGGGGACAATTCGGAGAGTCGAAGGCAGCGAAATCACTGGCCGCGACCTTGATCGACCGGTTGCCACGGAACAGTCGGTTGTTGAAGTACAGGCACACTTCGGGGATCATGAAATGGCTAGCCACAACCAGTGATCCGAGAAGGTTATCGGTGGCATCATTCTGCAATTCCAGCATGGGCGCCTGTGCTCCAGTGAGAATCACGGGCTTTCCGAGATTCTGCAGCATGAAGCTAAGCGCTGAGCATGTGTATGCGAGACTGTCTGTTCCGTGGAGGACGACGAAGCCATCGAAAAGTGTGTAGTTTCGTTCAACGGTGTGGGCGATCTGAGCCCAACCTTTCGCATCGATAGAACTGCTATCGAGGAGCTCTTCGAACTCGAAGACAGTGTACCGCACCCGTCGCCCATAGGCTGTCTGTGGTGTGCGGAGAGCGGGATGTCCTTTGATCTCTCCGTCTGAGTTGATCACAACATCCATCATGCTCGGGTGCGAACCATCGTTGAATGTCGGCACCCGGGCCAGACATTGCTCCTGGAAACCTCTGGCAGGAATGAAGCCTGACGGGGACTGTCGCATACAAATCGTACCACCAGTCATGATAATGAGGACCCGGGACTCGGGGATGAGATCGTCCGGCTGCTGCTCAGACAGCTCGGGCAAGGGACCATTGACATCGAGAGCTGCCATGATGGGGGGCTGTGACGATGATCTCTAATTCTATGGCGTAGACAAGGCGCAAGAGAAATCAAAAGAGAGCAACGTTGAAGTTGGCTGTGAAAGCAAAGAATGCGGGGCCTCAGATTTCAGGCCGCTCCAGATGCGAAACAGCCACAAACAAGGCTAAAAAGTATCTATCCAAGAAACGGCCTCCACAAAAATCTTTTTTTGGGGTCGTGGAGTTCGCAACTCTGGGAATAAGCTCTCCTTTCTGCGGTAGAAATAAACTGAGTAGGTCTTCAACTCCAGGGCAGAACGGGGTCGAGAGTTGGGCACACAAAGATAAGGTTAGCCGTTACCTAGCAAAAGGACTATGGACCAGCTTCAAGAACCAGGAGAAAACAGTGGACGTCCCATGATCCTCGCCCCTCATATGAACAACATTAAGAACTAGACTAGACCTGTAAAAATAGGCTACTTGATTGAGAGTTGGAGACACCACCCACATTGTCTCCGATTCACGGCCGCCGCATTACGTACAGAGCCTGCATTGGTGGTGCCAAGAAGCCGCCCCAGCGCAGGATTTTCTTCGCCGGCCGCCCTCTCTTTTCGGGTGCGGTGGATTCCTCCGTCAACTTTAACCACCACCGCCTCCACTTGATGTTGGAGTAACTGCCTGGACCTTATGTCTGGAAAATGCTGTTGATCAGCCTCTCTGGGGTAAACGGGAGAAAGATGTGATCTATGGCGAGCACTGTATGTATGTGAATATCATTGCGGTCGCAGAGAAGAATTACACGTAGGCAAGTAGCATTACTTTATGTGCTGGTCTTGCTAGGAAGGTTCTTATTTACCATAGGTTTGGAGCATAAGCTTGACCTTACAAAAAGGCTCTATATGATTTAGCTCCTAGTAACCACGCCATCATGTTCCGTGTCCTTCAGGCACAACCACTGCCTCCAAACAGTACCATCACGTAATTCGAGATAGAACAGTAGAACCCTTTATCGCATACCCCCAGCTAAACAGCGTTAAAGACACTGCGCAGACTCACTTCCATACATCGTCCACACTCAACCAGGACAACACCACCACAATCAATCAACGAAGCCACTTACCATCAGAGGACAGCGTATGTCGCATTAAGAATTGTAATCGCAGATTCCACAGAAAGAAGCATCGAATCGAAAATCCTACAACATCTTCAAATAGAAAATACTAGCCACCCGGGCCGTAACTTCATTTCCTCGCTTCTTGATAAGTTTTTCTTCGACGGCCCAAACGGGCATCATATGTGCCTAGTCAGCGAGGTTCTGGCTGCAGTATTGCTGAATATAAGGAGAATAGTCCCATTATCATGTTCCCTTGGCATATAGCTAAAGCAATTGTCGCTCAGGTTACCATGGGATTGGATTATATGCATTCGCAAGAAGTAAGGACATGGAGGGAAGTACATCAATACCTAGAACACATCATGTCTTACTGACTATCCGACCTCAAGATCTCCACACTCGCAATATACTCTCCAGCCCATCGACTTCAATAGCCTAAGTATAAGCGACATTCACAACCGCTTCGGCGAACCCTTCCAAATCCCCATCTCTCGAACTGACAACAACCCCATCCAACCACCACATGCGCCTACCCACGCCATCATCCCCATGAACTTGATCAACCCAAACAGCCAGCTCACAAACTGCACTATCAGAATAACAGACTTCGGCTCGTCTTCCTTCTTCAACGAAGACCCCCCACAAACACTACACACTCCAACCATCCTCCTCCCACCCGAAGCCATCTTCCAGGACCTCATCATCCCCCCCAGCCGCCGATATATGGACCCTTGGGTGTACGCTCTACGATATCCTCGGCGAACGACTCCTCTTCGAAACCTGGTCAGATAGTCCAGATGATATTGTTTGGGAGATGGTCAGTATGCTAGGTAAATTGCCGGAGAGATGGTGGCAGAGATCAGACTTTGCTATTTTCTCGAAATCAGCAGAGCCCTGGAGCTTGAGCTTGGAGTTTGGATCTCTGGATCAATGACTGTGGCAGATGGGAAGAGGGGAGACGCCTCGGACTTGCGAACTTCAGGAGATGGAGATGGATATTTGGAGGAGGCTGTTGGAGGGGATGCTTGCTTATGAGCCGTCGGAGAGGGTGTCGGTGCGTGAGGTTATGGAGTTAGAGTTTATGGTGGAGTGGGTGTGGCCTGCGTGGTTGAGGGTGGGGAGGTGAGTGAGTGTCTTTGACTGGCAATTTATATTTTGTTTGGGTATGTGTGTACTAGGAAGCACTGTTGGGTTGCTTTCAGAGTAGATAAGCTAGTGTACTGATTTACAGCTCGCATGCTTTGGCTTTACAGCTGGCAAATGCTTGGCTATTAGGGCCTTTACTTTAGAGATGATTTTGTTCCTTCGAAACAAGAGGAAATTTATTATCACTGTCTATATGAGTCTATCCATGACACATTGTGAAACCACTTATGGTACACAGTCATTATTGTAATGTTGAAAAAGTACATGATGCAAATCATATGAAGATAAATCCCAAAACACCCTTACACCCAGCAAAAAGAATTGAAACAACCATCGGGCACAACTAATCACTGTCCAAAACCACAACCTCGGCCTCAGCATCTCCAACACTCTCCACACTCAGCACATCACCTGCATTCACCCCTGTGATAAACGCTCCGTCGCCCTCACTGAAAACTGCTTCGTCCCGATGATCCAATCGGATCTTGGCCTGGCCGTTCTTCGTCATGGGCAAATGCACATAGACGTTCCTCTTCTTCTTGCGGCTAACCACGTCTTCGCCAGCACCAACAGTCCACTGGAACTTCTGCCCGGGTTCAATGATTCCCGCGCCCATCACAAAGTCTGCGTGAATTGGGATCGTGTCTGGGATCTTAGGAATGGCGGCTTCCTCATCAGCCGGGGTTGCTTCGGGCCCAGCAGCCAGCGGGGAGAGGATAGGGACGAATGCTTTGCGTTTAGCGGCTTCGTCGAACGTGCGGGTGTGGTATTGGGGCTTGAGGCCATGTCTCCAGGGAAGAGCCCAGATCTGGAGGAAGTGGACGGGCTTGTTGGATTCGTTTTGTTCGGAGTGTGCGATTCCTGGAGTGAATTGGTTGGTTAGTTTGGTCATCGTCGATTTGACGTTGATGGAGTCCAATGCTAGCCAACGTACCTGTTCCACCAGTGGTGAACTGAACGTCACCACGCTTCATACGGTAGAATTGCTTGCCCTGTGCGCCTTCCGCACCCTTTTTGATCATGCTATCACGGTGCGTGAGTTCTCCGTTGAGAATGTAGCTGAAGATTTCGGCATCACGGTGAGGGTGGGTCGGGAATCCATTACGGGCGGCTACACGGTCTTCGTTGAGAACGCGCAGACTGCCAAAGTTGTTGAAGCGGTGATCATAGTAATTGGCAAAACTGAAGGTGTGAAAGCTTTTGAGCCAGCCGCCGTGTTCGGCGTACCCGCGCTCACTGGAGCGACGGGCGACAATGGAAGCGTGTGCAAGAGGCTTTGACATAACGGAGTTGGTGGGAAGAATTGACTTGATGAGGAGCAGTATTAGAGGAACAAAGAATAGGAAGAGATAGGATGGTGTTGCAATTTGCATTCTGGAGAAAGTATTTCGTCGTTTGTCTAGATCGCAGATCGACTTTATACTCCTGGCTGGCGATCCGGGATTGGCTCGGGCGGGGCGCGGATGGGTAAGTAAGCATGGGGTAAGACTGACTAAGGGGCCCATCCAGCAAATTCCCACTCCATCCATCCCGGTTGCAAATCACTGACTGAGCATTTACAAAGTAGTGAGCTTCCGTTTTTGCTGATAGTGGCGGAGTTTCACATTCCAAACCTTCCACCATGCGCACTCGGTGCTGAGCACGCGTCGGTCGATCATTATTACACTTTCTTTATTGATGATCGGTAAGATTTTATCACACTGACTGTGATTGGCTGAAATGATGGTGTGTCATGATGTCATAATCGCTCTGGACGTTCAGCTTCAGAAGAAAAGGGACAGCTTTCAGAGTTTAAGATTGCTTATGGATCCTCCGTCTGGAATTTTCTCTCATCAACCTTCCAGCTTCTACCGTCTTCGCGCTGCCAGAAAGTCACGGTAGCCTCTCCTGTGTTTTCATCGGGCAATTCGACATGAACATCTGAGATTCGGCGCAGAAAAGGCAGGACTGTAAGTGAATCACCCGCCTCTGGCAAGCTGAGGAGATCTAAGCTCTTTGCCAGAGTAAGGCTTGCATCAATATTCCACTCTTCATAAGCAACTACCTCCTCCGCAATCCTAGCAGTAAGAATGCCATTCCATATGCCTTCACGGTGCGGTGCCAATCGAAGCAATTCGATCGCATGTCGTCGGATCTGTGGAATCCGGCACTTAATTGCGGTATAATATAATGGCTGGATGAAGCCAATGTCCATCGTAAAAGCCATTCCCAACGGGCAATTGAGAGATCCACTCGTGGGGAAATCTGGGTATGCGATTCTGAGGGCTTGACAGATGCCGATTGCCTCACGAATAATCGACATGAACCTGTCGGTTTGTAGGTCAAATGCCGTTTCGTCGTCCCATGGGATGCAGGTTGTGACCATGATCAAGGCCATAGCATGGTACATCCCGAGTAACCTTCTAGCCAAGTTATTCTGAATCAAATCTTGAGCTGAGAATTTACCAAGTGACGATCGATAAACATCAAGCCATACTTCCAAGTCCTTTTCCAGGTGCCATTGAGACTCGAGAAACTGCTGGTAGCCCTGAGTCGCAACAAACATGTCCGTCTCGATGTGACGGCCCATTTCTACCAGACCCTGTGCTCTCGCCAGCAGAACATCCAGATATTGTCTTGCTTGTTCAATTGATGGAAATTTGTACGGTAAGTGACGAGGTTGAACGTCATAGTCAAAGCTCGAGTACTTCGTCCCATGTCCAAGTAAAGCATAGTGCACTTCCAGTCTGCTAAAGACCTCGATAACATCATCCTCATTTGTTTGTGACGAAGTCCTTATCCGAATCATTCCTGTCTTGGAGGCTCCGGAGAGCCTCTGAATCTCCTTCACCAGCTTCAGCCCGTGCTGTAGATGAGTATGACTTATTCGGTATTGGCCTCGCATCGTTTCGAGAGTCACGAAAACCATGCAAGTAATGAGGGCAACTATTATACTTTGCGTTCGTTTATTGTTGCGTCTTATTTCAGCTTGGAGACAGCCAATCGCTTTGTTGTAGTGCTGGAGAGTGAATTTTTCATGCTCGCTTAGATGACCTGCCGTTGCAGTACCTCTAACACTCCTCTGAGTCTTATATTTATGCGTAGAGGCCAATGCCAAAACAGCATGCCGCACTGCTAGCTCTTGAGAAAGTGCTTGAACAACGGTTCTGCCCCAGAATTGGGAAGAAAACACTCCTCCAATTTTGAAAATGGTACACTGGATGAACCATTCCACATATTTCCGCTCAGCACATGCGGCATGAGAAATTGGGACCGGTGCATTGTAACTAGACAGCAGACTCCGGAAGGCTCTTGGTGCGCCAGTATTGCCGCCGATGATGGGCTTTTTCGCTTCACTCCAAACCCCATAGCCATCGCAGACTCGGCCAGTTGATACGCATCTCTTGCAAGCCGGTCGACCCTCGTCGCATTTGACTCGACGAATCCTGTGTATAGAATAAGCACCACACCAACTTGTGTAACAAGGCAGCCGCCCAACTCACTTGCATGTCCGACAGCCTGTTTTGACTTTAGGTTTGCTCGCACGGCGCTTCTTCTCGGATTCCATTTCAGCGCTCAGCCACTGGCTCGGCTGTTCGCGGGGTTGCCTTAGTACTTAACGAAAAACTTGTCGCCATACATGTTATTCATAGACTTAAGCGAGAGAAAGTCATAGCGGCAGAAGAAAGCAGAGAGTAATCAGTGAAGAGAAGGGACATGAAGGAGTTGCTTACAGGCTGCCTCGCTGCCTTGAGGCCAACCCGCTAACCCTTATTCTCATTGGCCCGCTCGTAAACTTTCCATTCGGATTGGTCGCTCAGGACCCACTTGTACAAGAAGTGCTCACTTGCTCTCCCTTATCTTAGTCGCTTCGTCTTCGTCTTCCTCCTTCGATTCAACAAGGCGATGGCCAATTATTCCGGTAGCCCACAGCTGCTATTACTAAAATTTCTTTGTACGCAATTAATGCAGGTGAAGCAGCAGCTGATCGTATCAGTCAGCTCAGTTCTGAATATGCCCAGGGGCCATTGCGGTGACCGACATCCAATCAATTTATCGATGCATAGCTGTTCCACAGTATAATGGAAGTTGGAGTGATTACAAATTCCATAATATTATGCCATCAACATTAGCGTCTTCCGTTACTTTCTATGTATTTGAGATTATCTCACGATCAAAGCGGCTATGCTGATGCCCAAGATCCCACGCTCGCCATGCATACAATCTGACTTTACAGAGCTGATGCTCTCCGGAGTCTCTCCTAGGCTGAATCTTCTACCATAACCTGTGATCCCATATGTCATTATATGCTAAATTATCTTTGGGGGTGGCAGTAATCGATAATAGGGACTATTCTTTATACTGCAGAGGGACTGAACGGGCCCCTGGGAAATCGAACCAGTGTCTGCTCATAGCAGCCAATTACTCTGGTATGCAAGTGCGCTAGAGTAAGCTTATTGACCAAGCTTTAGTGGGCTTGAACCTGGTCAACTATGCTGAAAGCCGAAGCTATTCCATGCCTACGTTATACGCCTCTTTGCGTCTGCGCTGTTCTTTGGATACAAAACTGTCTCGTGTATCGACATCCATGTTTGTCTTGTATTATTTTGGGCTTTCGATCTGACAACGTGTCCAATTCAGCAATTTTAGTCACAAAGAATGGTCAGATACATCATGTATAAAACGATCTATAGGCCGAGGTTCGCCGTGTACGGAGCTCACATGTCGGTCAGTTGCAAGGACCGGCCTACCGTGTGGATGTCATCACGCTCGAGCAATCATTGGGCTGCATCAATCTTATGGCGTGACGCACTGGATTTACTAGGTAATCCTGTCGGGACATTTAGCGTACACCGCCGGCAATGTTCCTGGTCATAGTGGCTGGCTTAGCCACGGTTAGCCATCCCAAAGTACTGGGACCGGAGCTGGAAACGAATCGGTTAATGGAATAAAGGATCCGAAGTAAATGCCAATAAGAATGCCGGTTGTCTTTCTTAAGGTACTTAAATTTCCCCAATAGATTGCCTTTTCCGCGTCATCCGTTTGCCTAGTGGCTTAGGAAACTTAATACTCCTGTTCTATAGGGTCGGCTGGATGCGACACTTTCAGTTAGCTTACTACGTGGTAGATAAAGCCCCGTGGAAGCGAGCGCAACCTGGCGTGCATTGAGCAGTCTTATCTTTTATCTTTTGTGGCCCTTATTAAAACCCTTGCCGCATGCATTTGTCCTAAGTTTCTCCTTTCATTGTACGAAAAGAAGTGGACTGCGTCCTCAAGATGGCCCACTGGGAAGGTCTGATCGCTGACAAACTCAATGACCGTGCATCCAAAATCCCTCCTGAATGGGTTCTTCCCAAGACAATTTTAAGCCAAATCACCCAGGATGCGAATATAAGTGCTTTCGACATCCTGAAACATCATTGTTTGCTGTCAAGGGAAGAGGTGACTATCACAGAGTCCTATGACGCCCAAAGCCTTCACCAGGAGATCATCAAAGGCCGGTTGACCTCGCTTCAGGTCTGCAAGGCCTTCTGTAAGAGAGCTGCTATTGCACAACAGTTGGTATTTATGTATATTGCAATCAGTTCGTGATCGGTCCAGCTAACGCAACTAACCAGACAAACTGCGCGACTGAAATCCTTTTTGCTGAGGCATTCAAGCGAGCAGAATTTCTCGATGACTATCTGGCCAAGTATGGAAAGCCTTATGGACCATTTCACGGCCTTCCTATCAGTGTGAAGGTAAGCCTTCGGTTCTAGTCGCAAATCATCGCACGTAAATCGGCAATCACTAGAGCCGATGCCTCTCCTAGCGTCATGGCCGCGAATCTCACCATGTAACAGGACAGCTTCAACATCAAAGGACAGGCCACAACAATTGGCTTTGTGTCTTTTCTACGGAAGCCAGTCGCAGCTAAAAATTCACCCCTGGTTGATATCCTCCTTGCTAACGGCGCCATCTTGTATATCAAGACGAATATCCCACAGACACTGTTGGTACGAAGTTGCCAATTCTTTTGTCTTGCGATTCTCTGCTGATATCTGATCTACATGAAGACCATGGATAGCGTCAACAATATTTTTGGAAGAACTTTGAACCCTCACAAGCTTGGCCTCAGTGCGGGTGGAAGTAGTGGGGGTGAAGGTGCTCTGGTGGCCTTCCGAGGTTCCATACTAGGAGTAGGCACAGATGTCGGAGGATCCATTCGTGCACCATCTCTCTGCAACGGCGCATATGGCTTCAAGCCCACGGCAGACCGCATTCCTCACGGGAGAGTTGAGTTAGGGGACAGGCCAGGGACACCAGGGGTTGTCTCGGCAGTCGGACCACTCGCCAACAGTGCATCGGACCTGACTTTCTTTTGTAAGACAGTCCTTTCGTCGGAACCATGGCGGTATGATTCCACCGCTCTTGGGACCGCATGGCGGGATGTGCCCCTCAAGAAGAAGCTGAGTATTGGGGTTTATATGGGGGACGAGCACTTTCCCCTATTTCCTCCTGTCAAACGGGCACTTTCCTCCGCGCAGGCTGCCCTTGAAAATGCTGGTCACAGTGTCCATCTTGTGACCAATGCTCCTTCATTTCACGAGGGTTTAAAGCTAGCGGCACGATACTTCTTGTTCGATAACAAACAGACTCTTCTGCGGCACGTTTTAGATGGGGATGAGCAACCAATAAAAGCATTAGAATATGCCTCCCCGGCTGCGCTAGCTGGGATACAAGATCCTATACTGACGTTAGACGATGTCTGGGACGCCAATGCTTCTCTTATGGAGTACCGGGAGAAGATGGCTGAAGTATGGAAACAACATAATCTGGATGTCCTCATTTGTCCGGGTCACTGGTCAACTGCAGGCCCACATGATACTTATGGGCCGCCGGTATATACCGTTATTTGGAATCTGTTGAATGTAAGAGCAAGCAAACCTAAATTGGCTCTATAATCTGTGCTGATGCAGAACACTTTAGTTTCCTGCAAGCATTATTCCATACTTGAAGGCTAATAAGTCACTGGATTCGGAATCATGCAGTGGTTGTAAGTCTCTCTGACCTAGCCATGAGTATCAGCAACTTATTATAGCCATAGATGATCCTGACGCGGTAGATGGGGCGCCTACGGCTATCCAGGTTGTTGGGTGGAGGTTTCAAGATGAAGAAGTCCTAATGGCCACTGAGGTCATTGACAAGGCTCTTCAATCCGACCTACGATATCGTACAAGGCTATAGCTTGACGAAGTTTTCTAGGTTCGCTACCTTCCGTTGAATACGGGAGACAGCTCTGTTTCAGTTCACGCGACTGTGCTCGCTACGAGCACCTATCCTGCATGAAAAGGAACACAGCCTATGTATATAAGTGATAATGCCCTGTTCAGGAATGACTGTAGGCAGGCCCATCACCTGGGAACTTTGCTTTCGTGGCGTTTTCTTTCTCATCTTATTTTCTTCCTAGTAGCTAAAGGCATACTGTGCATACTGATGAGGGCATAAACATGATCGCTCCCTTACCTATATTTGACGTACCCAGTGCAGATAAACCACACCTGAATCAGGTCCGGGATCACTGCCTGTATGGCAGGCAATGCGTGTAGACAGATGTAGGAGCAGAACCTTGACCAAGGCCAACCACGGGCCCATTAGCGCTATGGGGAAGCCTGTGAAAGATGATGAAAGCAGGGGCAGATGGGTCCGGTTGTTGGGCAACGCCATAATATCATCCACTTCGATAGGAACGGTGAATGACAGCACGGCTTAGAATGATCCGTTCCGAGATGGAGTGTTATTTTCATAAGCTGCCTATTATCTATACAGAACTTTCCTCTCTGTTGTTCTTGAGAGCGCGTGAGTCCCGGTGTTGCAGTCAACGTCGTGTAGTGAGGTTGTGGTTGGCGTGCTTGCACAAGAACTGAGTTGGTGCACCGGCTTAGTATCTTCATTGCTCTTTGGCGTGTGAAACTGTTCAATATTGGCAGTTATCTGCCTTACTACTATCGCTCGAGCACATATTTACTCTCAAAGGTGCTTCTTATCACACCTGTTACCTCACAGGTGCTAACGCGTTTCTTAGTGAAAAAGGCAATCAAGAAGCATCATGGCGGGAAATAACAAGCGAGGCCTGGATATGCCAGATGACAACTTTACCGAAAGGTGAGCTACTACATGACGTTTCACAATATACTTTGTTGATTCATTCATTTATTGGCTAACGGAACCAATACTAGCTTGCTCCCTTTGCACAATGGGCCTTATGTCACTCTTCAGGTTGGCAGCGAAGGGCGCAAGTACAAGGTCTCGCGGCCTCTCCTCTGCAAACATTCGCCTTACTTCAGAGCGATGTTCGAAAGCGGCTACAAAGAGAGCCATGAGCAAGCGGTAACCATGCACGAGATCGAAGGCGTCGTTACAGAGCGCAGCCTCGAAATGCTGCTCCAGTGGCTGTACCTTGGTCGCCTGCATTTTCAATCTTCGAGTCCAGAAGAGTGCATCACTGTGTACATTGAACTTGCTCGTCTTGCCGATATGTGTAACATCACAGGGATGGAACAAATTCTGGCTAACAAAATCAAGACCATCATTACCAGCTCTATTCCCCAAAATTCCCCATCGTCTGTCGGAGGCGAAGACTCGAAGATCCTCTATTTGACACCTGACCATATTGAATGGGCTTCGATGCTACTGAAGGGTCATCCCGTACGCTCCCTCATTGCTGAGGCTTCGGCCGGTGCCTTCATTCTCACGGAGAATTTCAAGTTCGCCGACGAGCTTCGTGAAATACCCAATTATACTGGTGATCTGCTTGATGAACTTAAGAGCTTGATCAGAGGCCAGATTCACGATAATAACGTCATCAATCACTACAAACTTACGTATTGGAAAGATGGTGATTCTTGAGAGTCACGAGGGTGTTTTATCGAATATGGCCCGATCACACTGGCGTGGCTCAGCGCGGTCAGCAGTATTAAGGGTATCTGCCTGTGCTATGTGGAAGCCTCCTCGTGTTTTTCCCTTTCCCCCTCATTTGAATTTTCATGCAAGCAGAAACTAATCCGCTGGGGTTCTACTTACTCTTGGGACTCTTGTCCTGGTGGAGTCGCTCTTTTGTGTATGCAGCTAAAGAAGTGCCGCTCTTTCTTAACTCAGGATAGCGACATGATGATATTTAGGTAGTCATAGTCACATTAGCGGGCTCAGTTAGACCAATGGAATCTGAATTGAACCCTCTGAAATGCTATAAGTGTAATGGACAAAGGGATACTATGAATTTCTTAAATACTTCTACGATACCATGTACCAAACGAGCTCGACTCCCCGGAAAGTTCAATAAGAACCCGGTTTGTTTTGAGCCCGCTATGTAAGATGCCAGACAAGCAGGTGCTTCACTGTCTGACCCAAGAATAAGGCCCTCAACGGTGTCTAATCTTCTTAAACTCGTGGAGAATGGAACAACGCATGCTGCAGGCGTAAGGAACGTCGTCGCCGTATCTAAACACAGAGAAACTTAATTCAACCAGGGAAATGCTGGCAGGAAGGCATAGGAGTGCGAGAGAGTCATGCCGCAGAGGCATTTTACCCCACTACCTCCATCACCAAACGAACCATGGATATGATAGTATAGCTTCGCTATTCTAGGCATCTGCCAGAAACAATCTCAATTAATACGAAAGTTTGCTTGGTGACCACCAATGGAGGGCTTTACAGGCTGTTCAGAACTGAAATGCAAGGTTATAACATGTCACACAAAAGATTCAGTTGACTAAATTTTTCGTTATCTTTCAAGCCACAAACACGCAATAGTGCGCTTGGGCTTTGTCATGGCTTTTGAGGCATATAGGGCAAAAGAGCGGGCTAGAATGTTCTGAGGAGACGATGTTGTAGCCAGAAACGGTCTAGCTATGTTTGCGGAGGTCACATGGGAGAAGAGGTTTTGCTCCTCCTATTTTGTACTTCGGATTCTACTTTCCCCTCCATTGTGGATTTACAGGGTTCTGTCTTCTTTATCCGTGGGAATACACTCCATTAGGCTTCGTCTCATCATTGAAACTACCACCTGGAAAGCCTCAGCTATATTTTAAACTTTTTTGAATTGATCTATACCGACTCCATATCACCGGGGTATCGTCTATATACAGATGCTTTTCTTTTTCAGTCATGATGAAGATCCCAGACTCGCTAGGTGTCTTCGTGTGGTTTCGTAGCCCATGAATGTGCCTTTGTTTTGCGAGGCACTCACGACATGAGAATAAGGGGAGGTGAAGAGTATTTGATGATCCAGCGTCGCTTTACTCGGCACTTTCTCCTTCCACGCAACTCTGGCTGCCTCGGAATGAACGTCTTCCTCGTGCAAACCAGTCACACAGAACAATGAAGACAACGACGCCATAAACGGCCGAAACATAGTTCATATCTGCAGTCCTGTTAGTCACTTCATTCATCGTATATGATGGGTTGACCTGAATACTTACTTCCTGTTGTGACTGGCATAGTCGCAGGGAACGAGTACATAACGAGACAGAAAAGAGTCCATGCCAGGGTGACAATGTTCGCAGCAAGACCCCACTTGCCCAGCCAGAATGGACCGTGCTTGATGTTGTCGCGACCAACATACAAAAGGCAGATAACGGGGATAGAGTACGAGATGTACAGAAGCGAGATGCACGCTGTGACCATGCTGTTGAAAGCGGTAGAGGATCCCAAGTAGAGCAGGCCGAGAACAGCAACAATGAATGCGCTGGCGTTGTGGGCATGTAAGGGGACATCCAAGGTCATGTTGACCTTGGAGAGCAGTTGATGTCCAGGCATACCGCGATCACGAGCGAAGGCCCAGGCAAGACGTGACTGCCAAGTGTGGCAGGCAATCAAGCAACCCATACCCGTCACTACTAGGAGGGTTTCCAGAACAATTGCACCTGCCCTGTTCTTCAGAGCCTGGTAGTAAAGTTCCAGGATGGGCACTCCTGTGGCGGTGTTCAAAAGTGCATCAAGGTCTTGGAGACTGAAAAACATCGCAATACAGTAGGTCCATGAGGTAACGAAACCAATGCCGACGGTGGCCATGATCGCAACAGGAATGTTCTTCTCGGGCTGCGGCACCTCTTCGGCAAGATGAGTGGCCGAATCCAAGCAGGCAAAGATCCAGTTCGGGTTGATCAAACCGACAATGAAAGCGATTCCATCTGATTTCCAGCCAGTGGAGTTGACGAAATGCCCGAAAACATAGGATCCACTGGCATGCGGGTTGGCGCAAGCCGGGACAACAATAAGGATGACCAGGAAAGAAAGCAACGAGATGTACAGCGTTGCTTTTGCCACAGCAGGCAGGGTTTTGCCCCAACAGTTGAAGAGGTAGCAGAAGAAGTTGATGAGCTGGTATGCTACTACAGTATGCCAGGCTTTGGGAACACTGTGATTGGAGTCAGCACTACGGACCTAGAGCGGAAGACATTTCCTCTCAGGGAACAGATCTGGGATTTTGGAAGCATACAATGACGGATGGCCAAGTTGCCACATTCCCACAACACCAGATCCAAGACTGAGAGCAACACTGGCACTCGCGAAAATGGCACCAGCGTATCCGAACCAGCCGGTAAGATAGGAGAAGAACCGGGCATATTTCTTCGGAGCAAGCTCGTTCGCCCAGAAGTATTGCCCACCGGCATTGGGCATGGAGCTAGCCAGTTCCGAGAGGGAGGCAGCGACACAAGTCGAGATAAAGGTGATCCAGAGCAAGCCGTAAACAATGAGGACGGTACCTCCAGAGCTGATACCGGTGATCAAGGATGCTGAGATACCGAACCAAGAGTTTGACATACAAAACGCAATGCCGACCAGGGACAGCAGGGAGAAATTGCGCTGCAGGTCCTGCGTGTAACCCATCTCAGCCAGCTTAAGCGCATCTGCATCTTCAGATCCAGACGCATTCTCGCCGGTTGAGGCCTGGTTAACGCTCAACTTCTTTTCTAGATCGAGACCACTCATTGTTCCAGACAATTGTGGCAAGAGTCAGCGTTCAATGACAAACGTTATTGCGGGCAGGTTTGGCGCAAAGGGCAATCGGAAGTCGCTGGGCTAGGTTGCCGTGTCTGCAGGATAATCGCGTAGGAGGTCCTCGGGTCTAATCGTTTAGATTAGGGCCTGTTGCATAAGGGCTTAATATTTTCTCGAAAACGCTCGGCAAGAGGATGTTGCTGCTGGACAGTTTGACTGCGGTTGGCACACGGTTCGTGGGATTCGGAAGTCGCAAATGGGTGTCGAAAACCGTTTGAGTCGCGAGGAGGGTAGGTCAACTTGTCGCAGGAGGGCTGAGAGGCTGTACCCGACGATACGGCGATACAAGGATACAAAACGCCCGAAGCAATCGGATTTACAGAAGTCAATCTGTGTTTCGCTGCGTGTGCTTTCAGCTATCAACAAAAGCGGATTGGTGTGGAACAGGAGACAGCCAATGCGGAGGATAATGAAGCACTAGACCTTCACCGCGAAGCTCGCAGAGAAGGACAGTGGCAAGAGGTGAGGGAGAAGAAAGGGTAAGGTAAGAGATGGAGGAAGAGAGTGTCTGAAGTTATTATGAGGGTTGGGCCAAATTGGGATGCGTGAGAGTATTTAAGATCTAAGAAGATCTTTTTTTTTCTCTTTTTCGCTCTTTTCCCCTCCTTCATCTTCGAATCAAGCCTCCTTCTGCGTACCCACCAGTCTTACGACGGAAGGGTTCCCCATATCCTGTTTGCTTCAGTTCGATGACGCTCCCCCATCTTCTGCCACTCCAGTAGTGATACTAACCATAACGGACATAGTTATGCAGACGCAGCCAAATCTCGTGGTTCCGATTCGTGTTTCGACCGCCTCATATCGTCATTAGAGGGTCTGTCCGGCCGGGAAATTAAGGTAGAGCGCTCAACAACCAACACATTAAGACCTCTAGTCATTTAGTGGCTCTCTTCTTACCAAAGGGCTCCTGTGGTGCTGGTGCTGCCGTTGGTGGAACTGCACTTTGAGGTTCGGTGCCGCAGACCATCGCGGGCTGTCGTTGGCTACTCGCTGCTGCAGGGAGTGGCGGGCCCCCCACTTGGTGCAGTTAGTGGGCTTGGGTCCCGACGGCAGAATTTTACCAGACTGACTTCCTCTGGACACAGGACACTTCTACGAGTCGGTGGAATTGTGGAATGGCAGCTCCGCTTACGGAGCTTCATATCCTTTCATTTTCATTCTCCTAGTATGAGTTACATTCGTCATACCGCCCGCAGAGGTGAACGTGTGCAGAAACCACGCACCAGTTAGGCCAGTCGGAGTTATTACCCCTTGGGCCCTTAGCAGTCTGGCAGGACCGGGCCGAGCTTAAGAAAAGTTTCTCGATAGCCAACACCAACCCCTCTGGAGACAAACCCCCCTTTTTGGCAATCACATCCTGAACTTTCTTTATCGTGACATCAAACTCCATTTTGCCAAGTAGCAAAGGTCAAGAAAAACCTGGGGTTTATTGAGCATAGTTCTGCATCACCATACACTTGAGGCAAATAATGAATCGGACCGGAACCCTCCGGTCTTCTTGTTGGGACTGTATCCGAACTTTCTCCAGCGGACCAGCTTCGACGGTCTTTCGCTACTAATACTGTCTGGGTTAGCTCGATTGGCTCGCAACCGGAGCCACAGAGTGGATCTCTATTCCAATCTGATCATCTTATTCGCAAGCAGTGGTCGTCTAAGACCACGAGAGGAGAAACATTTGACTAAGAGAATTCACCGGCCGACCTTTGTGTATCGAGGCATTTTCTTGGTACTCTACTCGGTCGAATAGAAACGGCAGGTTGGCCGCTACTTAGTGTACCTAAAGTGCCCGAATGAAGAACGCTAGATTAGCATCAAACCCGGGCGACCCGGCAAGTCTTATGGGCGTAATGGAGTAATCAGTGTTCCCTCCTTCAGAGTCCTGTGCAGTTGGTTACACTGCATTGAATATTCTGCTAGGAATAAGGATTTCTAGCTGGCGACCGATGTGATGACTTAACATGGGAGCAGGTGCATGCACAACATCAGGGACCTCAGCCACGGAATCCTCCCGCAGCTAAAACCGCCTGGGACTTCTATCGTTAAGTTTCCTTCTTAGGGCCAGCAATCGTTGCCTCTCCGAGTGGACTAGGCCATTAAGTTTCCGGTGCCCGTTTTACCCTGCCTGACCCGACGATCGTTACCCTGCATCCTAGGCATCTCCGATTTCACAAATCACGATGAACAGCCACTCACTTGAAACGTTAACTAAGCGGCATGTTAGAAAAAATCCATATGCACCATTCCGATCTTCCGAGATGTCCCTTCACCACATCATGCCTGTGTACACCGCAGAATACGTCTTGTCGAAGACTGTCATAAACTACTATAGTCGTAAGAGTTATTGAAGCCAATCGACTTCGCCGGTCATCAGCCGGTGCCTCTTTTGTATCCGCCACGAAGCTGGGGCCGTAGGATTCCTTTCCCGTCTGGGGGATAGCGCCTAGATAAGATTGTTTTCGACGCACGACTCTTTACCGCATTGAGTAAGTCTTTATTCTCTCTCCATCGATCTTACTTTATAGCTGCGTCTATTTTCGAAACGGCTTCACCACCGAATTTATGGATACTTTTTCTGTTTTAGGGGAAGGTTTGCCGGTTCCTCGAGTATGGTAGTGCGCAGCGGCAGGTGATTGATAGAGATCGCTGATATAGGTGTCTACTGGTTAGACTACTTCCCTCTGGACTGTCAGGGTAGCCGGCCCACTCGCTCTCGACGGTGACATTCTTGGACGCTTTTACGGATACTGTCTGTTGAGCTAGGGACGTTGATCCGTTAACATGCCCACAATACTCACGTATCAAATAGAAATGAATACGCGTCGTCTCAGCCGTTGCGAGCACTTAATATTTAGGTGTCTACACAGTAAATTGAGTCGAACCGTGGGAATAGTGAACGATAGAAGCAGACCGCTCACTTATTCTCTACGGAGTACCCAGATCTCCATTCCTGTAAAAGTCCTTTCGCTCGGTCGCTTTAGTACCGGAGTACTATGTTGTGTCGGCGATTTGAACCTCGAAGCTATTACTCCATAGACGATGGTGTGGTTATTGTGTATGGGGGCTCATTTCAACGGTCAAGCTTAGGTCGTACTAACTCCACAGAGGTAGACAGTCATTGATAGCGCGCTGATATATTGCAGGCTTACGTACCGATAGTTCATGTCATTATCAATATAATTATCTGTTGCAATGCGTCGCACAAGACCTAGTTGAGGGAGAATTCATCTTGAAGTTGTACAACAATGATATGACGGTCGGCCGCAAAGATTCACCAGGCACTTTGAAGCCAGATTTGAAGGGACAACATTGAGCAGGGTCAGCGGAGTCTTGGATATTGTGTACCAGGTTATCGGTTCAATATGTTTTGTGGTATTTTTCAGGTTATGTTCTTGAACAGATAATAAGTTATATTTTTACTAGTGATAAATTTCTTTTTTCCTTTCGGACAGTCGTTCAACGAATGTTTCTCGGTTTAGTTCATCATCGTTGTAATACCACTAGTACTATTGTAGAGGACGGCAAGATATATGTTGCCCGCCTCGGTCGGGATTGTCCCTGGAGGTTCGCTCAATTCTCCGATTAATTTACCTCGATCGGATGGGAGTATGACCGTATCTTGAAACTCGTTTGCTTCAGGTATTGTTATTATGCTTTTTATATCTACTAACGGTATACCCTCGATGATGAATATCTCTGGCCTCCATCCTTTCGTCTATACGATGTGATTGTTCGCCATGCATCAGCCATGATTGCTGTCAAACAGAGAAAGCTGTTTCATCGTCAGGATGTTATTCGTATACATAGAACCACTCCAGCGATAAACCCGGCCCAGCTGAACTACAAAAAAAATAAACACTTTGGACTAGCTCATCTACAATCCGTACTTGCTTCCGCGATAAGCTTGAAGTAAAGATGCGTCCGGATCTCCCATCTGCATAATGCAAGCTGCAGCCTGCGACCGGCGGGAACAGCAGCACGCTAAGGCCCCAGCCAACCTCCCTAGTGGCTTGTTAGCCAGGAACACCCGGCGGTTTGGTCCCTTGTTTCCCCTGGCTTTCCCTGTTCCAGGTTGCTGACCGGGCGCTCTTCCTCCACAGTCTAACCAAACAATTGTTTCAAGCTCCTTCACACCAACTTGTTGGATCGCCGATCTGCATCTTTTATAGGACAAGCCGACTAATTATGGCACTCCTGAATATGCCCCAACCACATCCGACGAACTGCTCCCACAACTCGGACCAGCGAACCAGAAGGAGTAGTGAGTGCAGGGCTGCTCAGTCATCGAGGCGCACTGCCTCCCTTGGCTCCTCCTGGGGGAAATGATCTCGTTCGCTTAGATTTAGCAGCACTAGCTTGCTAGGCGGGGTGCTCGAGCAATCTATCCCATCGGGATATGGATAACCCTTCGCTTCCCCGCGAATGTTCCTCTATTGATGAACATAAGAAGAAAATAGAAACTACACTAATATATGCGACATGAGTTCATCTTGCAGGTCCTGCATCCGATCGGCGCTATGATGCATGACTAGCGACAGCAGATAGGATTGTGCGACACCCCTCGAGAGCTTGGTACACAGGTAGGAGTACTACTGAGCTGGGTGGGCCCTTCAATATCCCTAATTATACAGAGTTCAGGCCTGTCGACTCACTAGATCTCCCAACAACCAACCACAAGACATTGACAGTGATCCCTCCTAAATTCTTTCCCTGAGAGCCCTATTATCTGCTGGAATCTATGTTTAGCTGGCGAAGAGTGTAACACTCCGTGCGAAAAATGGGCCCATGGCCATTGTCTGACCCTGGTTTGTGACTGCGCTATGCTTACATTGCTAGTAGCTTACTGGGATGGCCAACTTTCCAGATCGGCGCACCGTTCCTTTATAATGTATCTATTACCCCTCCTGCTCTTGAGGAGTCCTTGGCTGCCCTGTTCTTTATTTTTGTCACTTTCCTTTATCACGATCTTACTTGTCTTTGTGCCTTATGGACGACATTTGACGTCCTTCCACTCTTTAACATCTGGTCTACGCTCCCGTATTCTGCGACATTTTGCCATTCTTTTGTTTAACTTCTAGTCAATTCGCTCGTTTTCGCTATCCAAGGGAAAGAGTTCTGGTTGATTCCAGCTAATAATTCGTGGCAAAAAACATGAGTAATGCAACTGAGTACTGAGCAGAGACCCTAGATTCCTGGTATCAGTCCCATTCCAAGGAATCAACAAGACAAGTATTGATCGGCGGACGTCACCCTTGTTTATCCTAGGGAAGAGAATGTAAGTTGCTACTGTTTCTTCTATTCTCTCCCTATCACGAGCTTGTTTTGTGGATTTGTTCCTCCATCAGCCTTCGCCCTAAGCTGCATCCACGCGAAGGGCTGGTGGCGAGTGAGGAGCGCAGCCACTGGACTTTGGTATGCAAGGGATCCCCTTGCCTTCAATCTGCCATCTACCTGAGCCCCGATCTTACAGATTGGACGGCCGAGCGCGCTATAACAGTTTGGTGCCCGTTCCAGAGTCAGTCGGAACTATTCCAGATTGCTTTGTCATTGTTGTTGTTATTCCCTTTCTTATACTATGGCTGCCACCCACGTCGGCACTCGCTTTCCCTATACCAACTAGTTTTGACGGTTCCATCGCAGTGACTTTTCTTCCTTTCGGCTCCTTTCATTCTTTGCTGGTCACTCCTTACTACATTTGATGGCTTGAAGCCTTGACTTATACTTTCGGCGACGCGTGTAGTCGCTAAATTCACTCATTAAACTGCACTCACTACCGCCCGTTCATCTCCATCGCTTATTTGAAGACCTATTATCGACCATGCGACAATCCGTCGCTTTTCTGGCCTGTTTGGCCGCGCTTTCTAGCGTTTCCCAAGCCTTTTGGCGTCTCCCTTGTCGTGGACGAAGTGGTGTGGCTCGAATTGACCCCATAATGGCCCCTGGGAAACCATCAGACCATGTCCATGTGGTTCACGGATCAGGAGGTTCGTCTGGCTCCAGCGTGTCTGCATGATCATGCCTCCGCTAAACCTGGCTTCATAGGTTTCTCTATGTCATCGGGCGAGACGGCCCTGAAAAATGCGGATTGTACCTCATGCGGGGTGACTCAAGACAAGTCGGCTTACTGGGCCCCCGCGCTATACTTCATGCATGAGAATGGCGATGCTGAGCTTGTCAACGAAGTGGGCGGGATGCTTGCGTGAGTGGCGAGCCAATACCTAGTGCAGTCATACGCTAACCGACTCTCGCCAGTTACTACTTCCTGAATGGACAGAATGTGACAGCATTCCCTGAGAACTTCCGTATGATTGCCGGCGACCCATTCCTACGCAACTTCCCTTGGCCAGTTCCCGACCCTCCAAAGTCCGAATGGTCTGGCAATCAATCCTCACAGGACGCTCTTCGCCAGAAAGCCCTTGGTTTCAACTGCTTAAACTACAACAAGTCTCCTGAGCCGTCGCTGGGCCGCCACTTCCTGCCAAACAAGACCTTCCTTGATGAGCATTGTACTGATGGCGTGCGATTTGAATTGATGTTCCCTTCATGTTGGAACGGCAAAGATGTTGACTCGGAGGATCACAGGTCGCACATGGCCTACCCATCCCTAGTCATGGACGGAGTTTGTCCGGAAGGCTTCGAGACCCGCCTTGTTTCGCTCTTCTATGAAACTATCTGGGACACCTATGCGTTCAAAAACAAGCAGGGAACTTTTGTCCTTGCAAACGGTGACCCAACTGGATACGGCTACCACGGAGACTTCATCTACGGCTGGCAATATGGGTTTCTCCAACAGGCAGTAGATGAATGCACCAACCTGTCTGGTCGGGTGGAAGATTGTCCCATATTTGATCTTCAGACAGATACCGAGCAGGCTCAGTGTAACTTCACCATGCCAGAGGAGCTGAAAAGCGAGAACGTATACCTTCACAAGGGTGGCCTGCCGAATAACATCGCCATTCAGTATGGACCTGCGTATGCCAGCCCAGTCCGGTATACCAACGCTGGCCATCATACCTCGGCGATATTGCCTGAGCCAAGCATTGCTATCGGTGCTTCTCTTAACGGTGCTACTCTTGATCTCGGAAATATTCACATTGGAGTAACGCTGGGTGCGGGTGCCCCTTCTACTACTACTACGACTTCAAGTACTCTCTCGACTTCAACTCTCCCATCTTCGACACAAACTTCAACCTTGACCACTTCAGCAGCTTCAGCTTAGTTTTTCCAAACCAGCACGTCAACTACACCAACCAGCACCTGGACACCTACTCCTACCACATCTTATGTTGAAGGTGTTGTCACTCAAAAGATCGTGTACGTTGAGCAGGAGATCCTCATCCTCACGGATGAAAACGGAGCACCTGTCACAACAGAGACGGGTGGAATCGAGACAGTCTCCACTTCTACATCTACTGTGAACAAGATTGTATCAACAGTCGTGACCACGCCAACCGAGGCCCCTGCTAAGCGTGATGGTCATAGCCATGGGCATTTCCAGCATGTCCATAGGCGTCATCGTCACGGACATGCTCATCGAAGGTGATTCCATCGTTCATCCTTTTACCGAAAGCGACTGGCGCGTACGTTGACAATGCCTATGGCATAAGCACATAAGCAAGACCTGGGCCCTTTTGGTCCGGTCTAGCCTGGATTGGGGGATCTCGAGCTGGTTCCCTTGACTTCGTTTCTCTGGATGCAGTTTCATTGTTTCGGTTCTCCGTGTATGTCTATAACTTGTACATAATTACTGTTTGTTCCCCCTTGTCTGGAACAGGTGAAACTCGGGCTATTGTCTTGGCCTTCTCTTGATGAGAGCTGAGATATGTCTTGTCAGATATGGTGTCAAATATTATGTGGATGAATACTTTAATGTCAATCTCATTATGCTTGTTTAGTACACCAAAGTGATTCTAGAGCATAAATCGTGGCATTGCGCTCACATTACAGTAGTAATTGAGTGGGGGTGGGTGCAGCTTGGTCGCTTGTTAGTCTCTCAGTGAATTCGCTTTTGGCCTACACCTTACCCAACACTTCTGATCTGATAGCTAACAATTCACTATGCTTGACTTCTGGCTATCTCTGTTCCCTTTTATCTCCATCTACAGGCTACCCTTTGAAGCTCGAATACCTACAGGGAAGATGACTTAGCTCGTGATTCATACCTATTTCTCTCCGGTCCACCAGTACTCCATCTTTCTTTGCATAAAGCCCACCTCACATATATCTCATAACCTCTACGTCAATACAAAATCCACACTTCACCAAAATGCCACTTAGGATCACACCCAGTCACAAAGCCGTCTACGAACCATCATCCGACGCAGATCCCGACTTTTCCGACCTCTCCGAGCTATCTGAAGATGACACCCTCTTGGATCGTAATGGCTACGAGATCGGTCCCGCAATAGCGACCACACAGCAAAGCATACACCATTACAATGTGAAGGAGTGGGATACTCGAGACGCGTATCGAGAACTTCATAAATTCTGGTAGGTAAGTGCTACCCTCCAAACCCCAGTCACCTTTCAACTTCAACTTCAACACTAGTACTAACCTCCCATTCCTCCCTTTCTATGATATGCCAGGAAGCAAACAATCGTTAAGTCCTTCGCTGTAGAGGACACTTTCCACCACGAACACGAAGAAACCCGCAACTGGATTACAGTGAAGGCCTTAATCCCGACCTGGCCCGGATACATGGGTTTCATCCGCTACAGCAAAACAACAGGAACAATTACGTTCATCAACGCCGATGCCCTCCTCCTACAGTCCACAGATAACAATCACACCCCTGAAACCGAAGACTTCACAAACGATAATACATTCTTCTTCCGTTTCCAAAACGAACGACTCAAAGCCGTAGCCTACGTCCTGCTCCGCTCAGGATTCAACATCCAAATCACCTCCCAAAAATACATCTGGACATTCAACATACCCTCCATCGCAGAATCTTCCCCAAAAATTCCAAACCTACTTTCCTGCACCGTGAACACCTTAAACCTGACCCATAAGGCCACCACTCCCACTACTACGCCCTACCAACCCCGACCAGCCCACGACCTCACCATAACCATCACCTCCTCCCACCCGCAAATCCCACTCCTACCACCACACACCTTCCGCACCTGGCTCCGCGTATCCCTCCACCTCACCCCCAAACTCCCATCAGCAAACATAATTCCTACCCCGCACGGAGACATCCTCCTCGACCCCGAATTCTCCGGTACTCTTTACCTCCGGGGCATTCTCCTCCCCGAGCTCAGTTTCGACAGGTGTCGGTACAAGTACGGGTATAATTTCCACTACGGGATACCTACGACGAGCGGACGACGGCTGGCGAGTCCGCTGCATGAAGTCGATCTTATTTGCAGTGTTTGGGGCGCTGCGATTTGCTCGGCGCCGGTCTATGTGCTGCCTAGATTTGTGGATATGGTTTCTGGGGGAGTGCCGTGGCCGGTTGAGGTGATGTGGGCTGATGGTGGTGGTATGGCTACTGAGGCGGTTGAGGCGGTTTGGTGGTCGTTGTTGGTGAGGGGTGGGGAGGGGGTGTTTTATTATTGTGGGGCGAGGGGAGAGGAGGAGGTATGTTGATTCCGAGAATTGTTCTTGTGTTTTAGGTGTAGGTTGCTGATATTAGTTTCAGGCTGGTGAGATCAGGCGGTTGCTGGGCAAGAAACCGGTTGCGATTCCGTCGGGTTTATGGGATGCGCTTCGCAGATTGAGGTTGATACGGACTGCTTGGGAGGAGAGGGATGGGAGGGCTAGGAAGTGAATCTTGTGTGGTGGGAAATAAGTCATCTATCTCTGGAAGGTCTGTTCTACATGTGTAAGTGAGTAAGAGGTTTATTGTATCGATTATAGTCCTCGTCAAGAGTATTTATTCAATTCAGTACTCCCCAATATTGCAGTAATATGTACATCCACCTATGAGAAGGTAGTATTAAATTATCCCCAACTCAAGCAACCCATCAGCTTATTTACTGGCAAGTTCCAGTGCTGGCGTTCTCCTCTTGCTATAACACGCAATCATCCCGTTAGCTCTATCCAAATGCCCGAGGGACGAAAGTATTGAGAAGAGAAGGGATACTCACAATGCAAAGTCCACTGGCACAGTTGCCCATGCTTCCGTCCTTGTTGCAGGTTGCGCCGGAGGGAAGCTTTAGGATTCTCTCGTTAGCACCTCAGTCACAGCGAGTATAGGTATCAGGCAGATATCAAGTCAAAGAACACAGGTAATAACATACAGTAGTAGTAGCGGTGTTAGCGGCGGGAGAGGCAAGAGCAATGCCGAGGAAGGCGAGAGTAGCGAAGATGGAGAACTTCATTGTGGCGGTTTGTGGTTTGTGAGTTGGTTTGTTTAGAGAATTGTTGATAAGTAGAGTAGTTGGGACTTCTGGTAGAGATGAGTGTGATGAATGGGACAAGAAGGTAGGTTGGTAGGGGGCATTTATATGCTTCTCTGATGCGCAATTCACGTGAAGCGGATAAGAATTATAGTCATATCCTGGTCCAGACCAAACCAGGATATCCGGAGTAGGTAGGAGGAGGAGGAGGAAGCATGGCAAGATAGTTACGCGCGTGCTGGGGGTGGGGAAGGGTAAATGGTTCTGGAACTATTGGGGAGTGATCTGCGGAGGATCAAGTGGAGATCATCAGTCAGGGGTGGCTTTCTGTCAGAAGTTAGAATTGTGTCCAATGATGTTCAATGGTTATTCCTTGAGCATGCAGTGGGTGATATGGCATTTTGTGTTGGGAGAGGGCGCGTCGTGGTGTGCGTGAAGGTATGTACATGGACATCATCTTCAGAGGTGGTCAAATGACGGGTTGCGGGAATTGTTGGTATACTCTTTCGGCGTGACGTTCTGTCCAAATCGATTATCCCACTTACTAAGTTTCTATTCAAGGATACACTTAGTTACTGACTATGAACCAGTTGATGTTTCCCAGCACGATCTTCCCTCCTATCCGGCAATGATCTCCCTTGGCATACATAATCTCTCACGTTGGCTCCACAACCCACTATCCCTAGCGGTCGGATGGGTCAATAAACCAATGTCCATCGTCAAATATTTATCCGGTCATTAATTGGCGTGTACATTCAATCATAGGCTCGTCGGCTAGGGATAACAGTATAACGCGGTGGAGAAATGTTTGATCGATCGCTCCTGTGACTGCGTGGCTGGAATATTCCATGGATAGCCACTAATATAGTGCATGTATCCGCCTTGCTCCGATAGGCATAATTGCTAAAATAAGTCATAGACTATGCATCAAGCTTGTGCGACATATGCTAGGCATATGGGTTTGTCTGTAGAGCTGCGTGGCAAGACGACCTCTAGTAAAAGTCTCGTCTTGCTGGGCTCTCCCTGTTCGATGTAGTGTGTCCGCTTCTCGAAAGTCCAGTATGCTCGGCACGTCTCGGCGGCTATGCTCCTGTGCCCTTGCCTTCGATGTCTAATCTCAAGAGTGAGGCGGACGTCAGGGAGTAAATGATCGACATCTATTTTCACTGCCAGTTCGTCAGTTTACTGGTTCGAGCTGTCACTTCCTGGTCGCTCTCAATAGCCTGAGATCCCTGTGATCCTGTAAGCTTCCGTTTCTTGATAGCAAACATGTAGGATAGCCTTACCCTTGCTGTTCCTGCAGGTAAAGCTGTTCAGGAAAGCCACTGGTTTGTGATTGCACCCAACTGTAGCCATTAACCATTGATTTGCAGAGAGAGCAGATGGATTCGGAACTGGACTGACCCTAGTAAATGAAATATTACCTTACATATTAACATTCAGATTAGAGCCATTGAATATCAGCCATTAGGGTATCAACTAGTTTGTACACGAAGCATTTGCGCCAGTGAGTGTGAACCTTGATTACTTGCTTTCCGGTTGTTTATTTAATCGGTAGCCAGAGATTGACTATATGTAGCAACTACCAAGGCTTCCGCTTCGTTCAATTTGTAATGAACCTGTCGCAGACGATGCAAGGTCAATCTCATCAAATACTATTACTGGTTGGAAAATCAAGGTCTGCCTGTATGTAATGCCAGGATGCCAGATGGCATTCTGTCTGCCTTGGTCTATATCAGCATGGGTCAACTGGGGATGGAGCACTCACAAAACAAAAGGATACTCAGTTAAAGTTAAACCAGCGTTGATTGATTGATTCGGAAACTGTTGTAGTGTGATAATGAAGCGTTCAAGGATCGAAGTCCAACGGGGGTGAAATGAGTGTGCTACGTTGAAGCTAAAGCGGGCATGTCGGGTACCTGCCTTTCCGAACGCCGATGCTGAAGGGCTGCACCTTCCGCATTCTCTCACAATAACAGCAACAACATCCATCCGTTTCACCGCCATTACTTTTCCATCCATCCAATCTGTCATCATGTCCTCCGCTCTGGATCGCTCCAGTCGACCACCCATTGGGAGTATACGTCGAAGGACGAAAAAGGCGTGTGAAACCTGCAAGCTGCGTAAGCGGAAATGTGACGGTCATGAGCCATGCTCATTCTGCCTCAAATACGAATATGACTGCGCATACGAGGCTCAACCCCGAAAGAAGCCATCAAGGCCAAGCATTGCAAGGCCTTCGACCAAGCCCCTTGAAAGGGCATCCTCTCCAGCACTTGCGGCAAGGGCTGATGTCAATCAACAGCAGATGGAGGCGAACTCAGGCACGGCATTCCCTCACTTTTTGGGAAAGAGCTTGAACCCGCAGAACCCTCCAAAGGTGCACGGCTTCAGCTGGAACCTAGGGCTTCGACATGAGCCCATACAACAATTCGCTAACATCTCGAGCCTAGTCTCTAAAGATGAGATGAGTGCTCTTGTTGGCCATTATCTAGAACGTATACACCCCATATATGCTGTTCTCGATCTTGATATGCTAGAGAAAAAGGTCGGACTGCGCTGGGATAATTCTATCACTTTTGACAGCTATGATCCAGTTCTTTGCGGTGTTGCGGCCTTAGGATCGCTTTACTCGGGCGAGAATGGACACAGGACCGAAGAAGCGCTGGTCCAGTGTGCAAAGGAAATCTTGGAAGCAACCTGTACTATGAATAAACCACTCATACACCATGCTACTGGATGGGTCTTACGTACCCTCTACCTGCGAAGCACCGGCTGTCCTCATACCTCATGGATGGCCAGCTGCTCTGCAATGCACATCATCGAAGCAGCAGGGGCACATCAAGATCCAGGGATGATTTCTCTGGTGTATTCTGACACGGCGGATGTTGGTGTCGATGAAGAAAGTCAGCGCAGGCTATTTTGGGTTGCGACGGTTCTAAATACGTGGATCTCTTATGAATATGGCAGGTCTCGCGTCATCTTACGAGGCATTTCCTGCAAGCCACCTGTGCCACGAGCGGGAGATTTGACTGCGGAACTGGTCTCATTGTTCCAGATTTCTCAGCGGCTGGATCCCGATCAGAACAATAGACCTTCAGACCTTGAAGATGTATTATATCACGTCCAAAGTCTAACTCTTAGCCACGATGCCTTAGTTCTGTCCCAAGCTAATCTAGCACTTACGATATACCGTCGTCTCCGTGTGGCTGCTTCCAGTATTTCAAACGATGTCATAAACTGCGTCATTCGAATGGGCAGTGACGGTACTGCTGCCGCGGTCCGTATGTCTGAAAATCGCAGTCCTTGGTGGCATGTTGCCAATGTTCCCTTTCAGTTTCTCTGCATCTTGCTCGCAATAGATTCTAAGGAGTCATTGTCACACGTGGGCCACGCCATGCGCTCATTCAAGACTATTGGGATCCACTTTAATACGCCTACTGTCCACATCGCTATAGAGACCGTCGATTCCTTAATCAAGCTGTTACAAAGGAAGAAAGAGCGGGAAATTAATCTTCTAAGGGATAGCATCCAGGATCAGGACTCAGGACCGTTTGAACGAAACTTATCATCTACGCAAGAGTACGGTTCGCCATTGCAAGGAGGCTTATTCGATGGAAACAATCTAGAAATGATAGACTGGGATTGGAACGCCTTTTTCGATGCCGAAATACCACTCTTTGACGACAGGGGGCATGGCGGGCAGATGAGGTATGGATAACGGTCGTTGTGACCGTCATGCTAGGGAGATAACCACAATACTCCCGCTTACAAGGTCCAACAATTACTAGCAGGACATTATTACCCATGCGTTGATCTGGCTACCCACATGCAAACACTTCACTATGCTTTCGGATGAAGATTATCGCTACGTTGCAAAGCGGGAGTGGAAAAGGCGGGTGGTGCGGAAGAGCGGACAAAGCGGATACTGCTATACGCATGGTATATCTGCAATATGATCAACTCTAGCTGCCCAGTTCAACATGCATGCTCTGGACTGACCTTTCAATTCCTCTTGCCTTCAATATGCAGTCCTTCCTTCAGTATCGACGTCTGCGCAGACACCTACACGAAAGTATCAAGATACACGGCCCCGCTGCCGCTGGAGATCCTAATTCACAACCATCTGGTGACATCCTTGAAGACTATGAAGACGCTCGGCTCGACAGGCAACATTTAACGAACCGTCCAAGCGCTGCTGTCCCTTCCTCTTCTCGTAACTCCATCTCATCGCAAGGAATGCCTGGGGTGGTGCTGCAGAACGGGCGAAGAGTGACTGTGCCAGGCGTTAGCGTTCATTCTGCAACCGATGTTGAACTCACCAACGGGGAGGCTATCTTCATAGTGGGATTCGATGGCCCAGGCGACCCATTCAACCCGAAGAACTGGCCTGTGAGACAGAAATGGACGACGTTAGGTATTGTTGGCACAACGGGCTTTCTTGTGGGGTGGGCTTCCTCGATCGATTCTGGAGTCATCAAACAGGGAGAAGAGGCGTTCGGGGTCAGTGAAGTGACTGAGTCTCTTGCCACTGCGCTTTATCTAATTGCATTCGGATTTGGATCTCTTGTGGCAGCACCTTTCTCGGAAACTGTGGGACGCAACCCCGTCTACCTAATGACCTTGTCACTTCTTATGATTTTCATCATGGCCTCCGGTCTATCTCCAAATCTAGGCGCCCAGTTGGCATTCCGTTTTATTGCTGGACTATTCGGATGCACGCCGCTGACTACATTCGGTGGGAGTATGTCGGACATCTTCGACCTTCTAGATCGTACATATGCCTTTCCGGTGTGCTGTGCGTTGTCTTTCTTGGGGCCTTTTCTCGCCCCAATGGTCGGTGCGTTCATTGGCCAAAGCTCTGTCATATCCTGGCGTTGGTCAGAGTGGACATCTCTGATACTTGCTGGGCTTATTACGGCCTCTATCTTCTTCTTTGTACCCGAGACCTACGGGCCAGTACTTCTGCAGTGGAAGGCTCGCCAACTACGCACCATCACCGGCGACCCTCGTTTCATGGCCGAGATCGAATTGCGCCAAACCACCCTACCCATCCGATTAATGCATAGCTGCTCGCGCCCCTTCAAGCTATTCTTCCAGGATATTATGGTAGCTCTTTTTACGATGTACTTGGTGGTCGTATACATCGTGCTTTTCGGCTTTCTAACGGGTTACGAGTTCATATACGGTCGCACATATGGTTTTTCACAGGGCTCAGTGGGACTGACATATATTGGAATGAATGTGGGATTTTTGATTGCACTCGCCATTGTTCCGCATGTCTACCTGTCTTATAAGAGACGACTTCAGACAGCCATCGCTAGCGGCAAACCCAGTCTACCACCCGAAGAGCGACTCTGGTTCGCCATGTATGGCGCACCGTGGCTTCCGATATCTCTTTTCTGGATGGGGTGGACTAGTTATCCGTCCGTCTCGTACTGGTCACCTCTGGTCGCGTCTGTGGCGTTCGGGTTCTCGGTGCAGGGCATTTTCATAAGCAGCTATCAGTATTTGATCGATACGTATGAAATATTTGCTGCTAGTGCTCTTGTGAGTGCGACATTCATGCGATATATCGCCGCAGGAGCTATGGTTATTGTGTCCATTCCAATGTACACTAACCTGGGTGTTCATTGGTCGCTTACTCTGCTGGGATGTATCTCCCTACTGATGACGCCGGTCCCATACATCTTCTATAGATTCGGACATGCTATTCGCCGAAGGAGCAAGTCTGCCGCAGCATAGCAGACTTCAGGCCATTGCTCTATGCGGTGAGCATTAAAGATTCAGCATCAATGAACTAGCACGAGCATGCTCAATACCTACAGAGCATTAGGAATATGGGATATCAGACGGTTATGTAAGATGCGGTAGATAGTATAGATGTTAGAACTAAGTGACCCTTTATAGTGCGCGCCCATGCACATTGTCTGTTCATACTATGTCTAGTGTAACCGAAAGGCGCAGTACAGAGACAGTCGTTGGCCGATCGCAAAAGCAAGAGCCGACCGACGGCCAATAAGTAGCCGGAGTACCACAAGTCCATACCAAATAGGACACAAGAGACTTGGAATTGGGTTTGATATGCATATCCAAAATCAAATTGCATAGTAATATTTCTTTTAATTACTCTAATGCCATCCAATTCACAAGTGCTATCAATCATAGTCGATTTCTCCAAGTTGAACGGTTGCGAAAATAGGTTCCTGCCGTTGCTTTTGTTTGGCTTGGCTCTTTGTGCTTCTTTTGCCGATGTCCAATAACGTGACATACAAACAGTTACTGTAAAGTGTTTGAAGATCCAGCTGTCACCTGAAGTATGTGGCTTTCTGTATATCAATGTTGGTTTTTGCTGTCGCGCCCCCACACACCACACAAGACTCGAGGCAAAAGCGGTATGGCAAGAAGTTCTGGAAACGGAAGCCGTTTTCTGACGGGGACCAAAAGTGGGACGCACTACTCCCTATTCTATTATCGATTAGCTTTTCCACTGACGGGCATCTCTTTCGGCTGACAGTTACAGACTCGCTCATCACTTGTGCATGAGAAAGTGTATTACTTGGTGTACCCATTGTGATAGCTGTTTTAGAGTTCAGCGATGAACCTGTCCATGGAGCCAGCAACAGGAAAAGCACGAAATGGACAGCACTGGGCTTGATAGCCAGCCGTGCCCGAGCAACTCTGGCACGCGCTGGGTCTTCGGATTCGTCGGATAAGGATCCAGGAGCCAGACTGTGCAGCCGCTAATTCCTCCCCGGAAGGAGGAATCGTGATCCCCCGTTCCATGACAGCCACTAGCCATCGCGTCTGTTGTGCTATAGCCTATCGCGGCCGCATGTCCAATCGCCGGTTCACCAGGTGGAGTAAACCATCCCCCAACCCGAGCTGGTTCTGCTTATCAAGCACCAAGATAACCACCCAGCTTGCTTATATCGGGGTCGCCGCCAGTTCATCATCCTCTTCGCGACGATTCATGCAACGCCTCCCACATTAATTCCCACGGCAAACCGAGTATCACCCGGAGAGCTGTCTTGGGTGAACTGCTATCGCCTAGCCACCATAATCATGGTTTACTCAACGCTGTCTCCTCCCCTGGACCTGTCACATCACTTCTCCTCGGTCACGAAGAGACGGGAGGCGAGCGAAACAAAGAGCCTGTATAAGTACTTTTTCATCCCAGGCATTGCGAACTTGGCTGGTGGTGCGTTTCCTCTCCTGCTTGCTAACTTCCTGGCTCTTGCTTCGGGCATTTCCCGGCGGTTGCACTTGTGCCACTTTGTTAACCTCTTGCGACATCAGGCCTACCAAATGCGTCATACTTCCCCTATGATACCCTCGAAGCTACCGTTGCCCATCCTCAGCGTTTCCCCGCCACCTCCGACAATGACCAGATCAAGCCCCCCAGTGGCTCCCCTTCAACGGAGCGCAGAATCGTCCCGAAAGAAAGCCCGACTACCAATCTCCTGAAGAAAATTGATCTTACCACAGCCCTCCAGTATGGAACAGCTGAAGGCCTCCCCGTTATGGCCGATTTCGTCCGGCAGTTCACTCGCAATCACCTCCACCCGAATGTCCCCTATGCCGGCGGCCCTGGCACCCTTCTCACGTGCGGTGCCACCGACGGGTTTTCCAAGGCCATTGAAACCTTTACTAACCCGTGGGACCCTCGTCGGGATTGGATCAGTCAACGTGAGGGCATACTATGCGAGGAATTTGTGTACATGAACGCAATCCAAACCGTGAAGCCGCGGGGCCTTAACATCGTTCCGGTAGCCATAGATGCGCAGGGCATGCTTGCGCATGGTAAAGGAGGATTGGCCGACGTGCTTGAGAACTGGGATTTCAAGAAGGGCCGTCTCCCGCATCTGATGTACACAATCACGTAAGTTCAAACCTCTGTAGCAACACTTTGCTGGCATGTTGGCTAATGTTGCCTTATCTGGTTGCAGTATCGGCCAAAACCCGACGGGCGGGACCTTGTCGGTCGAGCGCAGGAGGGAGATCTACGCTCTCTGTCGACAATTCGACATCATCATCATAGAAGACGATCCGTACTGGAACTTACAGTATCCTTCTGCAACTGCTATGGAGGCCGGATTTCGAGGATCAGATGCCGTAGATGTAATTCCACGCAACTACAACGCCCACGGCAGGTCCTCCGGGTACGATTTTCTGGATTCCTTGGTGCCATCGTATCTCTCCGTTGATACAGACGGGCGTGTCGTGCGTCTTGACACCTTCTCAAAGACCATAGCTCCTGGTTGTCGCTTAGGATGGATTACCGCTCAGCCAGCTATAATCGAACGCCTGACTCGTCTCACCGAGACATCAACTCAGCAGCCATCAGGGTTTGTACAGGCCATGGTGGCCGAACTGATTGTGGGTCAGCAATCCGAGGATGGCCAGAATGCCACAGGTGCAAGTAGGAATAAATCTAAAAAGAGCGAACAAGCCTGGCAGATGGACGGCTGGGTTCGCTGGTTGGAAGGCCTTCGTGCGGGATACGAACAACGCATGACGACAATGTGTACAATTCTCGAAGAGGGCAAGTACCTCATTGACTCCGGTAGCGCATGGGACGATGTACAACCCATGGCAGAGGATGAGACTGCCTGGGAAGTCCTGGATAAGATGCAGATGTACGAGTTCTCCTGGCCCACCGGCGGTATGTTTGTGTGGGTCAAGGTCTGCATCGAGACGCACCCCTTGCTGGAGAAGTATGGCCCGGAGAAGCTGATCCAAGCTTTGTGGCTGCATTTGATGCAAAAGCCGTATTTGTGCCTTTCGGGTCCCGGAACCATGTTTGCTCCTACAACGGAGCTTCTGGACCGGGCGCAGACATATTACAGGTTGTGCTTTGCGGCGATGCCTGCGGAGGATGTGTTGGGCATTACTCGGAGGTTGGTAGATGGATTTCGCGCGTTTTGGCAACGGAAGAATCTCGATGGCTTGGATGATGAGGAGGTTGCTCTTAGTAGGCTGCAGGCAAAGGGTTCAGGCAACTTGTTGGGTTTGGGCTGCTAGACTGGGTTGCTTGAATATACCATGCAATCTACATTCGTTATCTTGGACAGCGATTATATACTATTTTGGTTGGCGCATAACTTTCATAAATTGATTCACCTACGCACAACGGAAGTCGCCCTAGAGTCTATGAAAAGAAACACAATCGTTATCTAGCATCAAAAGAGTATATATGTCATTTGATTTTATTTAATTTTTATATGCAGTGGTCAATCACTGCTCCAAAAGAATCCAAAAAGTGGCGCCGGCAAGGAATGCAGGGCGGGTTACCCAAAAAAACAAAAAGCGACCCCACTGGGACTCGAACCCAGAATCTTCAGTACCGAAAACTGACGCCCTACCATTGAGCTATAGAGCCAATTCTACGATAACTTTGGTACAACTCAGATTGACATCAGATCAAAATATCGGAATAAATCCGCTCCATCGCATGATAACCGTCATGACCCAGCGCAATGCGCGATAATAATCTTGAAACCCCGCGGCATCAAGTCAACCATCGTCCCCGCTGCCACCCAGGGCTGCCCAGCCTTACCCTATTCCGCAAAAATGGATTCGGCCCTCGAATCCCTGCAGAATACCGATCTAGCGGAGGAAATTGAAGCCATCAATGCCATCTACGAACCGGACACCCTTACCATCACTAACACCTCTGCCTCGACCGGCCCCTCAACTCTCGACCTCGGCGGCTCCGGCTCTTCAGACTCTTCTCCTCCCTCAACAACAATAAAGCTCCAACTCCCAGAACACCCTCACTTGTCCTTCCTCCTCGGATTCAACTCAACATATCCCGACACCCCGCCCAAAATCCTAGGAACAGCATCCACAGCCTCACGAGGAGAGGGCAAGCTCGCCGTCGATGTACTAGAGGACATTCTCAGCCGCACATACCAACCGGGCGCGGTATGTCTATTTGACCTGATCAATGAAGCCGTCCAGGCATTCACGGAGCTCAATATCGGCGGCAGCGCTACAACAACCACCACTAACAACAATGACACGACTTCCCACACCCAACCTGCATCCGAAGAACTCAACACCGAAAACGACAGCCATCAACCGCTAACCACAAGATCCACAACCCCCGACCATCACACATTCAACCTCACTAGCCCACCGCCATGGATCCTTTCCGAAGTCATCACGGAAAAGAAATCCGTCTTCGTCGGGCGCGCAGCCCACGTCACGAGTCTGGACCAGGCAAAGGCGTTCCTGGATCATCTGCTCGCGACGGAGAAAAAGGTCGCGTCCGCGACGCATAATATCAGTGCATGGAGGATTCGCGAGGTGAAATCATCTACTTCTACTGCTGGCGGTAGTAAGAATGGAGAAGCTACAGAGATGATTGTGCAGGATTGTGATGATGATGGGGAGACGGCTGCTGGAGGTCGACTACTGCATTTGATGCAGTTGATGGATGTTTGGGATGTGGTGGTTGTGGTGACGAGATGGTATGGCGGTGTGTTGCTGGGGCCGGATCGGTTTCGCATTATCAATGCGGCGGGGAGGGATGCGCTGGTCAAGGGGGGTTTTGTTAAAGAGAAGACGTCTGGGGAGAAGGGGAAGAAGAAGGGAAAGAAATGATTGGAAGCATGGTGGGTGGAGGTGCTATGGCTTGTGAATTGGGTAGGCCCGTTGTGGTGCACTCTACTTACGAGAAGCAAGATGGTCCGCGGAGGTTTGGGGAATCGATGACTCCTTGAACGGGCCGGTATGCGTGCGGTTAGTGATGTGCGCTGTCGATAAGTCCTATGGCTGATTCGATAGATGCCCTTGGATAAAGGTGGCCTGCGTACTCGTACATATAGGCTTGAGACTCGCAGTTGCGAGGTTGGCGTCTTCGCAAATGGGATGGCTGGATATACTACCCAAGTATGCGAAGGGCGAGCTATTCAGAAGCTCGGAGGACTACTGATAGAGGAGAATCCACCTGAGAGGAAGTCAAGATGAAAGACCTCCCAGGTGGAGAAGCTGGGAGAATTAGCTACTGTCTTCGGAAAGAAGCTATTTGTATTAGAGAGAACCATAGAATATCCTGATGACAGCTTTGCAACGTCACGCCGCGGAGGGATAGAGAACCGTCTTCGTTGCTGCTCTACTGTGTGTACACGCCACCTTCCCGTTTCGGTCTGCACTGGTGGCATATTTCGATTTCTGGACTCGACGTGTGCTCCCATCGCCACAACTACTATATTCAGCCATAATCCTTCTGTCCACCCTCTTCTTTCTTTCTTTTCTGGCCTTTTCTTATCTTCTCCCTGCTTTGTATCCTCCTTCCATCAAGAATGCGTCCCCTGCTACAATAGTGATATCTCTTGTCTCATACATGATCATCGCGCGCAAGAAGAATATTACGTTCTTATATCAATACTAGTATGTTTTTACTAACCGTATCACATATGAAACATCTTTGCTCAGGAATGTTCCCGCTGAGATTATGCCCACTATCCAGACTATCTTCCCATCATTCAAGAGGTAATCAGACTATCAGAGAAGACGCCCCTAGCTTTGATCAAAGCATTCCGCGCTCGTTCAATGCGGCCCGGAGAATCTTATGCAATGCAAAGACATTCTCTTCTGCCATCATCGTATGATGGGAGCCAGGAACGTCGTGGAACCTAACCGACTTGGAATGCTCTTTCCACCTCATGAGGTGCTGTTTGAGCCAGACATCCTTGTCTCGACCAACAGAAAGCAGCGGGATGGCGTAGAAAACATCCATCGCCTGCACAGTTCCAGAAGGATCATATGTATGGGCTAGCTCCTGGAGCTTGGACGACAACATCGCCCAGTCTCGGATCTTTCCTTCGTCCATGGCCAGCTCCTGGACGCGCTCTTTATCCGAGACTTTCATGATGGCTGGAAGGACCTCGCTTTGGGGGAGCTAGAAGTGATGATTAACAAGAGTCTTACTCGAACAACATATTACCTCTTATAAAAATGACTCACCTTGTGCATATCAGGAGACATACGATGGGCATCCTCTTCGGTAATGAACCCGAGGAAGTATACGAGATGAAGCAGCGACTCGGCATAATCCATCTCTCGGATATGTTTCTTGATATGTGGCGGAAGGTTGAGACTACCGAGGAAGCCGACTCTATCGCCAGAAGCCTCGACCTTTTTGGCGGTTTCGAAAGCAATCATGGCACCGTACGAATATCCGATGAAAATGTACGGTCCTTCCGGCTGAAGCTCTCGGATGGACTTGAGGTAGACACTAGTACGTTCATCAGCTATGAGGCTTCTATGACGGGGCGGTTTCCAAGGGTCCTACTCTGTCATCTCGTCGATAGTGGTAAACATCTTTTCACCTGGATTAAAACCTGGGGCTCGAAAAGCGTACACTTTTCGGTCAGCAAAGTACTTGCTGAAGTTGAGGAACACAAGGACTTCGCCCATTCCGGGATGGAAGAAGAAGATCGGAGGAGCCTTTGATGGGCCGTCCTGCAGCTGCACAATCGGGTTATATGGCTTGGGACCTTTCCGAAGATCCTGAAGCATAACTGCCAATGCTTCAATAGTCGGGTTTTGCAGGATCGTGATCATTGGAATTTCTTCGTTTAGGCCGAGACGAGTCTCCACGATCCTCTTGTATCGAATCAACCGGACGCTATTCACTCCCATGTCATAAAGACTGTCGTCCACACCAACTTCGGACATATCAAGGCCGAATTCGTCTGCAAAAATCCCAGCAAGCGTCTCTTCCATGTCGTTCTGCGGGGCACGCTTGGATCGCGCACGATACGAAGAAGCTCTTTGTGCGGCAAGATCTCTGTATGTGCTGAAACGACCTTCTTCATACTGCTGCTTGAGCTTTGTGCGAGGGAGCTTTCCCAGAGAATTTTTGGGAAGCAGCTCTACTGGGAGTGGTATGATATCCACTGGCTGCTTGGAGCAGTAGAGAGCAGTTATTCTGGATATCGAATTAAGAGTTTCGAGGAAGGTTCTGTCGTCTTCAGTGCCTTTCTGGCTCGAAAGGTATAGGACAATGATATCTTCACTGTCTGCATTTTCAAGCCAGGATGAGACCACCACCGTATACGATGGGACAAGCCCTTCCAGCCCGGCTGAGTCTATGGCATTCTCCAGTTCATGAGAATAAAAGTTGATCCCATTGATGATGATACTGTCCTTGGACCGTCCGGAGAGCACAAGATTATCCCTGTTATCGATGTATCCAGTGTCACCAGTCTTAAACCAGCCGTCCTCGGTAAAGGCAGCCTTGGTGTTCTTGTCGTCGTTGTAATAGCCCTTGAAGACCATCGGCCCATACAACTCCAGGTTTCCATTCTCGCCACTTCTCACCGTTTCCCCATTTTCATCGGTGATTCGCATCTGCAGAGTGGGCGTTGTCTGCCCCACAGAGCAGAATTGCAGCTTAGCCTTCTGCTCAAGTTCGGGGAAGCTGTAGTGATAGTGGATGCCTGCACAAGTCTACCAAAGCTCAACAGTATTAGTGGGCCAGGTCCGCCACTTGCATATCTTATACGGCGCCGCTTACCTCTGTCATACCGAAGGACGGATGGAGGACATTCTTGGCGGCTCCCATCTCGACCAACTTACGGTTGAATATGATGCTCGTCGATGTGAGATTGGCTTCACCACCTGAGAGCACTATGCGCAAGTGACTCAAGTCCAGATCAAGTGCACGAGGATCCCGCTCCTGTTGGGCCTCGATGGCCTTTCCTACCAGGGCCACAAGGAAATTGGGGGCGAAAGCGTTCGTGACAGAATATTCTGCTATCTTCTCCAGATAAAGAAGGGGGTTCTCCAGAACCGTCACGGCTGGGAGATGAATCTGATGGCAGCCCCTGGATAACGCGTGCATGTGCATCTCCATGAAGCAGGCAACATGATCAAACCCTACGACGATATGTTAGCCGCGCCTCATAGGGTTGGAGAGTCACAATTGAGAGGCATTTTTACCAATCCAGTTCAAAAAGACGTTGTCCGGAGTGCTTGAAAGTGCCTTCCACTTGGCTTCAATCGCGGCGAATATTTGAGAGTGGTGCAGCATCACCGCTTTGGCATTACCCGTACTGCCGGAGGTGAGCAGTAGCAGCGCAAGGTCTGACGAAGGGCTCGCAGGTTGATAATCTGCAGATTGATCTGCATTCGAGGCCAGATCCTCGATGAAAAACTTTTGAGAGTCATCAATGATACTCAGGTCATCTGTATGCTTCACACTGGTGAGGACATTGGGTCTCTCTAGGAGCCTCTGAAGGTGGGTTAGATGCCGTTCTCGTGCCACTGGGTCTACAGCTAGGGGAGTAGACACAGCTGGAACGCATCCGGCTGCAATGACAGACCAAAACCATATGATGTTCTCTTTGTGAGTGTCAAAATGGACCAGGAGAACCCGGTCAGGCACCGCGACTTTCTTTTCAACTAAAGTTTGAGCATTACGCTGAGAATTATGCGGTCAGCAAAGCAAACATGAAACCACCTGCTGGGACTCATGGTACTGATGCGGGTGGATGTTACCTTGACGAGGCGCCAAAAATCGGGGTAAAGGATTGTCTCCGGTTGGTCCTTACCAACACTATAGAAGACGAAGCCTTTAGACGGCGAATACTCGGCCGCCTGCTCCAGATATGTCAGGATTCCAGGCGCCATTTGGAACGATGAAGAACAATGCCAATGATTCTGTGATTCTATTGGACCCTAACTAATATGATGACAGCGTAAGAGCCCACATGTTGAGATTGAGCAGGATGGCCCTGGAATTTATAAACTGACGGATAATGCTCGTATCCCGGACAGCTGAGCTCTACAGTCATGACAATTTCCAGATGGAGTAATACTCGGCCCTATCGCTCGAGGTATGAGTCGTGACGACATGAAGATTCATGATATCCCGCTGTGGAGCCATCGATACGAACCCCTGTCTGGCTGGGTATGTAGTACAAGATCTGGAGACAAAGTTCAAAGATATCTCCGTGGCGCTCACATTACTATTGTTCCTTGGCAGCTTTGTGTGGTGCTAATATGTGATGATCAACAGGCTCAGTTTCCCTGATAGTCACTCAGGTTGTATCACCGTGAGGTAAAATGCAATAAGGTTAGGTGAGATCTCCAAGGCCCACACGGCATTGCCTAAATGTGATTGCCTACGCCCGGAAACGGAAAGGGCACAAACAAAGCGGATAACCGGCAACCGCTTCTAGGCTTTTCAGCTCGCCTAGTATGCTCACCGCGCTCTAGCCGATGGTCTAGAACAGACAGCCTTTGCCTGCAAAGTCCATGACAGCCATGCTTTTTCAGATTCCCGATAGCTACTGCTTGACACATGTCAATCGCCCGTGGTCTCGTCTCATTGCCAAGCCGTCTGTCGTGACAAGCATTGAGGGTTGAGACAACCTTCCGCGAAATCCCAACCGCCAAGGAATTCAAAGTAGGACCTACTGTACCCTCTAGTCAGCGAGATAGTAAAAGTCTATGGGGTTTCTAGAGTTGCCTCAACAGCAGCTGTTAACATCCTTGGCACGACCAAGCAGAAGCTTTCTCGGATGCAACATCGGAGGATCAAACAATGAGTCAACAGATCTGGCCTTTCTAAAACCATCGTTGCTGGAATTCTAGTTTCACACAGAGGTAAGCACTCCCCGGCCTTCCCCCCGGTGCGGGGATGCACTACCTTTTAACGGAATAGCTCTTGATCTGGAGGGAAACATGGGCTGCTCTCCTGTATGTGTGATATCTATTGATATTGAAGCCTCTAGTCTACCCTACCGATTAAAGGCACTCTGCAGAATGCTAGTGATATACGCAATTCCCTCCGCTCTATAGGTATCTGGTTCAACATAAGCCAGTCCAGTCACATTGACATCAAAGACCATATTTTGCGGGGTTTCTGTTGTGTAGACAGGCCAGTGGATATCCGTCACTAGCAGAGCAGCGTGTCAGCATCCTTCCTTACCCTCAAGCTCCTAAAGCAGTGTCCAGAGGTAGGTGGGGCAAATCACTCACTATTACTATAATTCGGATCCAAATGATTAATAAAGCTCACCCACATCCGTGACATCATAGTCGATAGTTGTGGCCAGGTCACGCTGTCGTTTCCCCGTTCATCGCCCAAACCATCATAATTATGGAAACTGAAGGGGACTTCATAGCCATGCGCGGCTCCATCTAATGGCCCTAGTGTCATCACGTTCCAGTGATACACGTAGGCAGGTACATTCCAGTGTGCCAGCCACTGGGTTGTCACGCGGCGAGGCGCGTGCATGAGCAGATCGCCGAGGAAGGCAGCCACGCGCTTCCACTGGTAACCGTATGACGGTGGGGGACGACCTTGAAGGGTCCCCGGAATACCAACGGCTGGGTCATCTGGGTACAGGGATGCAATGGTGAGAGCGCTGGTATAATTGGTTCCGTTGGCTTGGACGAGGGAGAGAAATTGGTCGGTGGTATTATAGCCATGAGGGGCATACTTGGTCCCTTCGTCGAAGTTGGTGCCGATAAGAAGCGGGGTTTTGGCGAATTGGCCAGTCTGGAGATTTACTATCCCCGAGGCTCTGAGGAAATCGCCGTCAATGACGGGATGATATCCTGCCCCAGCGACGAGGGAGCTGTTGAAGATGGAGCTGAGGACGTCGGTGGGAACGTCACGGAGACAAGTAAGGGTGTTGGAAGAGCCGGTGCAGTTGGTTGCGTTGACGACGGCATCATAGTATGGTTGTGCATCTTCGGCGCTCATGTATGCTGCGAGGGAGGGTACGGAGCCGCTCTCGGCGATCCCGGCACGGAAGATGCCATCATTCTGGCCGTCGTATGCCACTAAATGGAGACCGACGCTGTTGGCACCGGCACTTTGGCCCCAGATGGTGAGCCGCGACGGGTCGCCGCCGAAGGAAGCGATATTCTCTTGGAGCCAGTACAGAGCGTGCCGTTGGTCGCGGAGTCCTAAGTTGGCGGAGCCTTCGTCGGCGACTTCCTGGCTATAGAGGAATCCCCATCCCGAAAGGCGGTAGTTGACAGTCACGCCAATGATGGGAGATTGCATCTCCTGGGATTGTTGGACGATGTAGGAGAGGTTGTAACGGGAGTCGCGAGTGCCTCCTTCTGCGAATTCTCCACCATGCATCCAGAAGACGACGGGCAGCTTCGCGCTTGAGTCGATACCGTGAGGTCGAATCACACTGAGAGCGAGACAATCTTCGGAGACTACGTCGGTCCAATACCAGTCGTCGCTACCATAACCGATACATTCATTGTAATAGGCTGTTGCATTTCGAGTGCCAGTCCACGTCGTGTTGAGCGGTTGTGGTGGACGGAATCGTAGCTCACCAACCGGAGGCTGCGCATACGGTATGCCGAGGAACAAGTCCTGATTGTACGTGGGATTATAGAGACCCTCGTATGTGCCATTGCGGATTTGCACAGTAGGAGCGGATGTCGGTGTATCGGCATTCTGTGTAGAAGCGAGAGTGGGCAGTAATGAGGCCGCAAGTAGCGGCAAGAAGACAGAGGAAGCCATAAATATCGACGGACTATCTCTGAAACCTACAGTTGTCAAACTCCTCGGAGGGGAAGAGGTGGGCCTAAGATATTATACAAATTGATCGGTTCCCACGCCATGCCATACAGTGTTTCCGACATTCTTTTGAGATATGGGGATATGACAGTCCATTGTCGGCGAAGCTGAAGCTGAAAACAGACAATGGCCCCGTGGGGGTGTTGTAACTATGGTGCCTGTGCTCAGGGGTAGGAGCAAGTGATAGACAGCAGAGGTAACGGTGGTAAACCACATTATTCACAGAAATACTACTCTCTGTCCGATGAGCTTGGAATTCTACGGAAAGGGCAAGAATGTGTAAAGGTTCGGGCAAGCATAGCAACTGTCGCGTGGAATCTGGTCCTCCGCAGAAGCAACTTTAACACCATGCGGAATGCTATCTTTCAGTCGCGATGTAGCTAGTGGTCGCTGATTGATTGCGACTTTGGTGAGGTGATGAGGCGAGGCCTCCTTTTTTTTTTTTTTTTTTTTTTTTTTTTTTTTTTTTTTTTTTTTTTTTTTTTTTTTTTTTTTCTCTTTTCTTTTGTTGGCTTTCCAAATGCATCTTCTTTTGCTGTGCGTATTAGGCGACTGTCTGGGTTGTAGAGTTACACTGATTCTATGGGATTGGATCAACTTGTCAAATTCACTGGTCGCTAAGAATAGACTCGGTGCGCCCGGATTTGGCCACCTCCGGGGAGGAAGAGAAACAGAGGAGTAAACCATGTATCGAAATAGAAGGTTTTCCCAGTGAAAAGGGTTGGATTAAGAGCCCTATCGGTCGATGTAACCTTCCCCATGGATGTTTTGGGAATTTGGATCTGATCTACATCGCCCCCACAACGGCCGGAAACGATGGTTGTCTGCATTTAAAGTTGGCAACGCGCCGGTTGAGCCGACTTTTGAGGCCGACCGGGTCAAGTTAATCCACGGTTTTTCTTCGAGGGAAGAAAGAGAAAAGGACAAAATAGACTTCTGCCGGCGTTATATTTGACTAATAGCTAGTTGCATTATGTACTTGATCCCTCTGATAGGCGAGTCTGTTTGGAACCGAGATAATCAAGATCCCCAAACTCAAAACGTTATCTGCTATGCGTAGTAGTAGCAGAACGGTCCAGACAGAGGGTTCATCAGATCGGCAAATTTCAGCGGCTGAGAGATAAACCCAAAATTAAGCAAATCGTCCAACGTCATGTTTGCAGAAGGTGGGTCATCGCCTCGGGTTGAAGTGCCCCAGATCGCGTTTCTTCTTTTCGCAGGATCCAGCCCTTGCCAGATGGTCCAAACACGGTCAATCTGGGCATGGTGAAGCCAGAACATCGGCTCGGCCGGACTGGTATCGATGTCTGCCAAGACACTTCCAACAGTGAGATGTCCTCCACCATGGACCCCATAACTGAAAGGAGCAGTGGGATCAGTGAAACGTTGATCTGCCTGCATGACACCCTGAAACCAATCAATCGTATCGTACGAGAGAATCAATTTCGTAGTGTTGCGAAAGGAGTTAGACATCCGAGAGACGGAGGGATTCACATCTCGCGATAAGCAGCGTGGATTATACTCCAAGTTGTATTGGACCGGTTGCTCTCCAGGAGCATCAATAGGGCCCATGTGCACAGTGTAATTGGAGAAAGGGCCCCCATATACGCACCCACCCCCAGTCCCGGCTGGAATGGTTATATTTTGAGATGCCCAGTAAATGCTTGTCCGATTCAGATCTACCCCATTAGTCCCCATGCTGTAAAGATCACCATTGAAAAGGACAGAGTCTTGGGGGTTCTCCGCATCAAGTCCCCATTCCCAGTAGGGAAGAGTGCCGGTATAGTTGCACTCCACCCTCAGGGCGTTCTCAAACGCGTGAATAAAGAACCGATGCCACGCGAGAAAATCAGCCTACATCATAGCACTTCAGCTCATGGTTCGATATCATTTGCGTACTGATCGATACTTACCGTCACATGGATGTGTTCCGTTAGATTGATGTGGGTTGCTACGAACTCATCATACCGAGTTTTTACTCCCTGAAAGGTCTCCTTTTCCTCTGCTGAAATATTTGTTGGACGGCTCTGCATGCACGTGATAGCGTCAGTGAATTCCTTTCTTGCATTCGGAGACAAGCTGCGCCTACCACAGATGTCAGATGTTTGATTTGAACCGAGTTCCAAAGTTTAAAGCGCGCAGAATGAACCTACCATTCTCTGCGGATCTGAGCATCCTCCAAACGACAACCATTGGTTGTCAGAGACTCTTGCTCCATGTTATTCAGGGCATTGTCGGCAATCTGCTGTAATGCGACACCATTGTCGAGGTCCTGTTCAGGGAAGCCAGTGGACTGGTTGTACAGAGCCCTGGCCGATGGCCAGGAGGACAAACACACCAGTGTGAGCCACTTGAGCTGCATGAGTGGCTGTATGAGTGATCTGCCTAATGGTAGGCCTAGTACTGCTTGATATAGGCGCGCTGAAATTGCCAGAGGGATCCGCAGATAGCATACGTCCAACTTTGACCAGTTGCGGTCATCTGAATCATTGATTCGCACCCCACTATTTTCATCATCTTGACTATCATTGCTATGGATTTAATATCGACTGGACCCACTAATGCATAGAGACAGAAAGTCTGTGGCAAGTGGCAGCGTACCGAAGCAAGGGATGGTGGGAAATAGTGGCGAATGAATGAATGAGGAAGGAATGAGGAATGAACGAGGGATGAAGTCGTCTAAAAATTGAAGGATGGTGGGCTGTAGCAGGTGATTGTCTTCCCCCTCCTGGACTAGTCATGGCCTTGTGCTGCTTTCTTAACTACCCTGTGCTTTTTCGATTACCTTTTTCTGCCTCTTCTCCTTGGAATTGGTTTATGCTTTCTGCTGCTCCGACCCTTTCCAGCCTGATAGTCTCGGAGCCCAGTTTGATGCTTCAGGGCCTCCGGTATCTCATCTTAGACACAGTCGTCATACCCCACTCCACATTCCCATGGCCGTAAAGTATGCCAAAGACCAGCCTCCAGGCTTCTCCAATCGCATTGAACGGGTGGCTATTGTTGGCGTAAGTCAGAACATAGATCTTGGCAATCATCACATCTTTAGTACTGACTCGGATGCTTCATAGGCTGGTGGGACCATCGGTCATTATATCGCTACAGAGCTTGTCAGGACAGGCAAGCACACAGTTACTGGTTTAACCCGGCCATGCAGCAAGAACAAGCTGCCGGAAGGCGTGAAGCCTTTCTACATCGACTACGATGATGAATCAACCCTTGTCAAGGCCCTGCAAGGCCAACAGTTTCTCGTAATAACCATGTCTGTCATGGCACCACCGGATACTCACGCCAAATTAATTCGAGCAGCAGCCAAAGCCGGTCTCCCATATGTAATGCCCAATGCCTATGGCTCCGACTTCACCAACGACGCTTTGGCCAAGGAGACTCGCAGAGGAGACGTGATTCGCAAGTCTCTCCAGGAAATCGAGGCCACAAATGTCTGCTCGTGGATCGCGCTCGTCTGTGGCTTCTGGTATGAGTTTAGTATGGCTCGGGGAGCGGAGTGTTTCGGGTTTGATGTGCAGAGAAAGCATCTCACCCTTATTGATAACGGGAACACTAAAATTAACATTAGTACTTGGGATCAATGTGGCCGTGCAGTTGCCGCTCTTTTGAATCTAAAGGAGCTGCCGGATGGTCCAGGCGATACGAGCCCAACAGTGAGCACATGGAAGAATAGACCTCTGTACATTGCTAGCTTTACGATAAGCCAGAGGGACATATTCGAGAGTTGGAAAAGGGTCACCGGCGATAAGGACGAGGAATGGGCCCTTGAATACGCGCCAAGCCACGAACGGTACGCTCAAGGCCAGGAACGGTTGGAGAAGGGTGACAAACTGGGATATGTTCAAATGTTATACACGCGGCAATTCTACCCCAATGGGGACGGTAACTTTGGAGAGAAGCATGGCCTGGCTAATGATGCCCTGGGATTGCCCCGAGAAAATCTCGATGAATGTACCAAGCGTGCCAAGGAGATGATTGAAGACGGCTTCGCTTATCACTGATACATACATCATAGTTGTAAACCAAGAATAGTACCAAGAATTACGAAAAAAATATAAAGCGAAAATGTCCTCATTACCGAGAGACAAGATGACAAATGAACGGAAGATGAATCCGCCCATTTAAGCTTTGGCAATGGTAGCATACATCATTGAATCGTTGAAAATATTTAGTCCCGATGAAACCTTGCTTGCAGATCCATGGATCGGGACTGTTAACAATATCCGTTTTCGTGCTCCGAAGAGATATTGAATGTAACGATTCAAGAGATAACCATATCACAATTGTTTACGGCGCTGTCAACTACCCCATCTACCGAGCCAGAATTTCTAAATAGGAACAGAAGTAAGCCTTGCATTTTCTTCTATGAGCAGCAAATCCATGCAAGCGCTATCCCCGTAGACTTTGTGCACGACATTATTCTTGTATATCGCATCATGAAGTCTCTCCTTTTAGGCTCAGTTTTCTTGCTGGCATCTTTCATCCACGGTCCGTGACTCCCCTATTCTGAGTCTCACAAGTTCAAATCTAACTCCTTCCACCAGCGCACCCAGGACCACATGCCCAACCCGATCCCGTCCACTTGGCGCGCCGTGGCGCACTGGCGAAGAGATGCTCCGACACAGTCGGCCTCATGAAGAGGAAACGGCATGCAATGCGCCGACGGGCGCTCTCGCCCTCTGAGGACGACGGCCGCGGCACCACCACGTACACCATCACAGCCGATGCCCCCAAGTATGATTTCTTGAAGAATGACACCTGCATTTTGACGCCCGAGACTAGCACGGGGCCCTACATTTACCCGCGGAGTCAGGTCCTACGTCAGGATATTGTGGAAGATCAGGTCGGGGTGCCCTTTGTGTTAGACATTGGGCTCATGGACATTCATACCTGTGAGCCCTTGTCCAATGCTTTGGTAGATATTTGGGTGAGTTCACTCTACCCCGGTTCTTCCCTGTCGTTCACCAAGCTGTTTGATTAGCACGGGAGTAACCGGAAGAGTAAATGCCGTTCTAACCTCAGGAATAGCACTGCAATGCTAGTGGATCGTATAGTTCTTTCACTGGCTTGGATCCAGATATCCCATTTCAGGACCAGTACTTTGAAAGCACTGGTGAGCAACTCCCCGCCAAAAATGAGGGCGAAAGTGATACCTCAGTAATACCTCCCTTTGCTCCCCTGACGACGTCTTCCAAAGAATGATCTTATCATCTGACGGAAACCTAAGTTCCTAGCAACCGACAATACAACTTGGCTTCGGGGCATGTGGCCGACCGATGACAATGGTGCAACCAGCTTTACTTCTATATTCCCCGGATTCTATGTGAGGATACACGCCCATTAATCAGTATTGGAAGCAAGCAAGCTGACAATCTCCCCAGACCAACCGCGCTATTCATGTCCACCTGCAAGTGCATACTGACTGGACTATCACCAGTAATGGCACCATCGGTGGAAGTCGAACGGTAAACACGGCACAGTTGTTTTTCAACGAAGATGTAGCTACCCAAGTCATGGCAGTGCCGCCGTATGCCTATCACACCCAGATTCCGCGGAAGCCAGTATCACAGGACGGGGTCTGGTATGAGGAATCCTTGAGTAAGCATAATCATGTCTGTTTCAGTTTGATTTCTGCTGCGATGCTAACTCCGTGGCCTGATTCACAGCGGGAGCCATGACTATCATGGACACGGAGCCTCTGGATGGCCAGGATTATGCGAACGGAGTTCTGGGATACATTACCTTGGTAAGTGGGACACTAATCAGAATTAGACCAAGCAAGATGCTAACGATGCAAACCCTTCAGGGCGTGGATACAACCGCAATTCATAATGGCACCACTGAAAATCCCAGTAAGTTGCTTCTTTCACATACCTTTCCTTACCTTACCTTTGGTGAGGTAGTTGTAGATAACGGCTAAACGAGCCTTCCAGATCCCTCTATTCCGACCAGTGCAAGTGCATAGAGTGAATTGGGTTGCTGAGTTGGAAAAGATTGTACAAGAGATATTTTATTTTTCGGGGCTAATTTGATAATTCATTGTCGAGCATGAATGAGGATGGATGTTAGACTAACACGGATTTATCTCGGAAAACTCATGCCATATCTCCAGACACTCACAGCTTGGCATTCCTAACATTCTTTCAGCTATCAGCTTGCGAGCATCCCTCTAATTAAACAGATCTCCATTATCAGTAAAATGCCCAGACGCCAACAACATGCGGCAAATTATTCCCTCAATATGGTGCCTGCCCTGCAAAGTGGCGATGGGCATGCTGAGGTGAGGGTCCAAGGCAATCATTAGCCAGCATCCCCAACACAACTCTGCACAAGGTAGATGGTCTAGACAACGTTCCAATGACCAAGCCAGGAGTTCGATCCAGAACGCCAGCAGTCCACATTCATTACCGATGATCCCGTTGTATCCACTGTCAGATGGCCCGAACCACACAACCCATTCCAGCCCCAGTCAACGTTCTGCAAAGGCTTCGGACTGTAGTAACTAGTAAGTAATCGCCAACATTCTTCTATATTATGTTATATCTTCCTCATAATCAGACAATACTAATTTCATTTTACTGGACGATAAATTACTCAGACTATGTAGTTACACATAGTGTCCCACCATTCCAAAGTCAATTATAGTAGAGTAGTATTCATTACTATCATCACAATAATCATCATCCCATCCATCATCCACCGCAATCACCCCAACATCAACAAAAACAACAAATATCAACTAAAGCAGGCAACAATATTAACAATCCATCCATAATTTAACTCCCTGACTCAATTTTCAGACGCCCCCAGACAATAAACATAATTCTTCATCATATATTAAAAACTAGGATCTAAAATCTTCTCATCAACCCCTTCGCTTAGCTGACAGTCGCGATCTCCCGCCGGCGTCCCCTGTTTCAGATTGATTTCCTGACCACCCACCCCCCGCAATTTCAATCTCAATGATTCTCGAAACTGCCGAAATCCTTTCGGGGCTTCCGGAGTTAGTAGTACTTACTATCTAGGGTCTACGAAGTAGAGTAGTACTTACTATCTAGGGTCTACGAAGTAGAGTAGTACTTTGTTGAATTTTTTTCTTTTTTACCTTTTTGATGGGTCCAGTTCGTGTTTTGATGATGATGGGGTGATGGGTTTAATTTGCCAAGTGTTTTTGGTGATGTGATTAATAGTTTGTGTGGGGTTGACTATTGCTGGGTTTGGAAGGTGATTAGTTAGTAGCTATCGGGATCACATGCTTTGGAAAATTTGGTAATGGTATAGCTGTAGCTGTCGTTGTGGGTTGAGTAGATAGGTCTCTTTTTGATCTGGTATAGATAGAAGTTGAGTGAGTTAGAAAATAAAAGTACTGGAGGCGAAAGACGACGTCATAGGACAGCAGCTTGGCTATTCACTACTGCGTACTAATCTGTTTCGTTTATTGGTTTATGGATTGGTGTGCCTGACCTGATCTATGCAGTCACTTAGGATCAACTCTTACCTAAATATATCGCGCATACTATTGACTATTAGTAGTCGTCATGTGTAACCAATGATGCATCGAATCCACATGGCGCACACAGTGGGCGGCTATTGCACAAAGAGATTGTTGACTCGCAGCGCGTCTACGCATTTCTTTGATCCATGATCCCAGCAACGAAGAACCCAGTAAATGGTATCAACGTGTAGCAATTAAATCACGGAGCCAGCCGCCCTCCGACATGATGAAAGGAAACCAGAGAGAAGAAACGGTGGGAGCGAAAAGAACCCCACCGATCCAACCAAACTTTTGCGCCGACAGGGTCCGTCCATGCGGGGATCATGATCTGAACCATGGCGCAGGAGGTTGGATGTTTACTTTGTGTCCTGGTTGGGTCAAAAGTCGGCGGCTGAGGATTGCCAACATTCCCTGCCACTTGCATACGGAGGTTTTTGCTTCCTTTTTTTCAGGCCCGGAAAAAAAAAGGGTATGGATTGTGTGGTGTAGTATGCTTTGCTCTATACGGGGCAGCGGGATGCAATAAGATTTTCACCGGTAAGACATGGACGGGCATTTGGTTCGCCACCGAAGCGCCAAGTCGGCACACGCGCTCATGGCTGGGTGGAAGGAATTGCCAGGGGAGCTTGGGATTGGGCTGAAGGATCATCTTGGAGATGGAGATGTATTCTTAGTTTGGTTTTTCTGTGGTCGAATGAGATATCTCATGGATGGTCTCGCCCATACCATCTCTTACAATCGGGCCCTGTTGAGCCTGACAATGAAAGCCTCCCGGTCAATGGGGACAGGAATGATGACAGGAGAGCGAACTTCTTCACAGTATTTCGTATGCGTGGAATGTTGGATTCATGGTAGAGGCGAAAAAAAAGGAACATTTGTTTCGTCTGGACTCACAATTCGCTGCTGCCTTTTGGAAAGAGTCATAGAAATGCACATCTTTGCTCAGTGGCTGCGAGGCTGTGTCCATCGCCCCACGTCGGCTTCATCTTCCGCAAAGGCTGCAATGTAAGGGCAGGGGACCTTCGGCCAGTGGGCGGGTCACACTTGATCAAGCCGAATGGCGAGCTTTGGAGGCTCATTCGCCGAGCAGAAAGAATGACCGGAAGGTGTGGAAAGGGCGAGATGACCGGTCGGACAACGGGCGTTGTCTAACTACTTACTACTAAGGCTGGCGGATGATACTTTTTGCTTTTAGTTGGAAGCCGATCAATCAGAGCGAATCCGCGACCTGCAGGCGTTGATTGGCAAATGCCGGCGCCAACCGCCTTGGGCCCAGCCAATGAAACGGCGGGCCGGGCTGATGGTGCGACGGATGGGCTGGCAGGGGGGGGAAACATTTACAGAGATTCTACACAGTAAACAGAGTAATGCCTCGCTAGCCGAAGTCCCAGGTTCCGCTGCGGGCTTGTTTCATCTTTGGGCTATGGAGTCCCTTCTCGTCAGGGACCACTCAGGGTCCATCTACCCTCCACTAAAACTATGTGTCCCACGACTCGACATGCAACCCAATTCACTGTCTGTCAATCTTCTCCCCCTCCCCACTCACACGCATCTTGACTTTCGGTGCGCGCCTACTAACAGCCTGTCTCGATCCGTCCAGTCTCCTGGATACCTGATTCACCGTCATGGCGCCTCAAACAGTCCAAATCTTAAGTATATAACACCCCCCCAGGGATGCCAGTGCTGCTCCCTTTTCTTCTTTCTCTTCTTCAACCACGCTGGAGCGTTCAGTCCTTTCTTCGTTCTACACTGTTCGACAGTCCTACTATCACCAGGCTAGTCCTGCTTTCTTTCGACACTCCTTTCTGATTTCATTCGAATCTTCGTTGTGTGCCTGCGGCAGACTCCGACCTTCCCTTCTACTTCCAACGAACTGAAGCTATCCTTGTCCAGTAGTATCAGACGCGTGACAAAGGCCTGTTTCGACCAGAGAAAGTCAACGCTGGGACAAGCTCACCTTCCATTCGGTTCTACAAAGGTATTGTCACCTCGCCTTATCCTGGTACTTTCCCGTGTACCATTTCATTGTCTACCATAACCTTGTTGCCCCTCTACACATCCTTGACCACTATACTGCTTCAACTATACGGCTGTCACCGTCTGTTGCTCCTATACTTCCCACCAACGTATCATGCACTATCTCGATATAAACCCAGAACTTCGTTCTTTTCCTTCATTTCTCTCCTTCATAGCTAATCCATCTGCACTAGACTTTTGCTCAACGCAACCACCTGTTCTGTCTCGTCCGGTACGGTCAGAACTTCAAACACTCCTTTAGCTGTCGATTAGTGCAAAACAAAACCGACGCTCCTTCACCATGTTTTCCAAGTCCATTCTTGCGGCCGCTGCTCTCCTGGGCATTTCGGCTGTTGAAGCACACATGATCATGACTGAGCCCATTCCCTATGGCAAGGACACCCTTAACAACTCGCCTCTTGCAGCCGATGGCAGCGACTTTCCTTGCAAGCTGCGCTCGAACACCTACGAGGTCACCGAGTGGAATACCGCCCAGATCGGCGAGAGCATGCCTTTGACCTTTGAGGGTTCCGCCACCCATGGTGGTGGCTCCTGCCAGGTCAGTCTGACCACCGATCTGCAGCCTACCAAGGACTCCGAATGGATGGTCATCAAGTCTATCGAAGGTGGCTGTCCCGCCAACGTGGACGGTAACCTTTCTGGTGGTGCTTCCATGGCTGATCCGACCAAATTCAACTACACCATTCCGGACGGCATTAGCCCCGGCAAGTACACGCTCGCCTGGACTTGGTTCAACCGCATTGGAAACCGTGAGATGTACATGAACTGTGCTCCCCTCGAGGTCCAGAGCGCTTCTTCTAAGCGGTCCGAAGTTGAGGAAAAGCGCGATGTCGAGAAGCGCTCTTCCACCTTCCCTCCCATGTTTGTCGCCAACGTCAACGGCTGCACCACCTCCGAAGGTGTCGACATCCGATTCCCTCAGCCTGGTGACGACATCCAATATAATGGCGAGCCTAGCAACCTGGCTTCCGCTGGCGCCGCCGCCTGTACCGGTACTCCCACTTTTGCTGCCGCTGGTGACAGCAGCACTGGCTCCTACTCTGGTTCTGGCTCCAGCTCTGGCTCCGGCTCCGGCTCTGCCAGTTCTTCGGCCGCTGCTGTGGTTACTTCTGCCCCGGCCGCAAACACCTACACTGCTCCTGCGGTGGCGAACACTCCTGCACCCAGCTCCGGCAGCAGCGGCTCTAGCTCTGGTTCTGGCTCCGGTTCTGGTTCCAACTCTGTCTCCAGCCCTCAGCCCAGCTCTAGCTCCAGCGCAAGCTCCAGCTCCAGCTCTGGCGCGCTCTCTGGATCTTGCAGTGTGGAGGGCGAGTGGAACTGCATCAATGGCTCCTCTTTCCAGCGCTGCGCGAACGGCCAGTGGACCCCTGCTCAGAATGTGGCTGCCGGTACCCAGTGCACTGCTGGACAGAGCTCCAACTTGGCCATTTCTGCCATCAAGTTGAAGCCCCGTACCGTTAGGGAGGGCCGCGCCAGACGCCACGCTCACGGTGGACATGTGCACGCTTAAATGTGGATTAAAAATGTGATTCGGGTGGCTAGCCCATACCGATTGAGACTTACATTCGTTTCCTTGCACAAGGCGTAGTGCTAGGACCCTTTTTGAGATTTCTGTTCACCTTCATGTACCATTTGCAGTAGAGAGGATCCTAAATGAAATAAACGTTGGCCAACGAATTTGTTTTACCGTTCTATGACTGTAGAATGTATTCACGAATATAGAATGACGGCTTGTAGGGTGTAACTGCATGCCGCAGTAACGACTCAGATTGTGCTCTGGGCGTCAGCCGATTTGTTGTGGCGATGATGTTAGACGTCAAGAGTTTGCAGGGCTGAACTTGACATTAATATGAATGTTTGCTTCATTGTTTCACGCGTAAAAATATATGATAAATTTGATGTAATTTGTTGTGTATCTCTCCCAACGCATTTTTCACGAGACTACATTGACTACAGAAGAAACAAAGAGAAGTTGTATGGAATGAAGGGTAGGCCCAAGTAGCATGTCAAGGGTATAACCGCGGTTCTCCATATCGATAAGATCATTTGCGCCTCAGGCATAAACACCCACCCAAAACGGCAACAGGGCTAGGGCTTTGCCGCACCCACGACGGGCGGGTGAGACTAAGCGAAAATTTGCGCGCTCATCTTGAGATGCTCGATCTCCAACCTCGAACGACGACAACGACCACCCTACCGTCGACAAAAATGGCGTCTCGTCCTACCGTCACCATCGCCGGCGCTGATGGCAAGCCCACGGGGGCTACCTACCCCCTCCCGGCTGTTTTCGCCTCCCCCATCCGTCTTGATGTTGTCCAGTATGTTTCAACCTTTTTACGACAAAAAATCGATCTCGCAGAGGAGAAAAATGAGAAGCGGAGGAAATTTGATGGCTGACGGATTTCGAATTACAGGCAGGTGCACACCGGTATGGCCAAGAACAAGAGACAGCCTTACGCCGTGAGCGAGAAGGCTGGTGAACAGACCTCTGCTGAGTCCTGGGGTACCGGTATGTGCACAAATTCGAAGGAACGCCAAGAATTTCGCAGGGGAATTGGGATGGCTGATGGATGTGAATAACTTCAGGTCGCGCTGTCGCTCGTATCCCCCGTGTCTCCGGTGGTGGTACTCACCGTGCCGGTCAGGCCGCTTTCGGTAACCAGTGCCGTTCCGGTCGTATGTTCGCCCCTACCAAGGTCTGGCGCAAGTGGCACCAGAAGGTCAACGTTGGCCAGAGGTATGATAATAATCCGACCGACGAGGTAACACGATTGAGCCAGGAGAAGGTGAACTAATGGCTACTTTTTAGACGTTTCGCTACTGCCTCTGCCCTCGCTGCTTCTTCCGTTCCTTCTCTTCTGTTCGCTCGTGGTCACCGCGTTGCCAACGTTCCTGAGGTCCCTCTGGTCGTTGACTCCAAGACCTTCGAGAACTCCGCTGTTACCAAGACCAAGGCCGCCGTTGCCCTCCTCCAGGCTGTCGGTGCCGGTGCCGACCTTGTCAAGGTCCAGAAGTCCCGCAAGATGCGTGCCGGTAAGGGTAAGCTGAGGAACCGCCGCTTCCGCCAGCGCCGCGGTCCTCTGGTTGTCTACAACCCCGAGGTTGATGGCAAGGAGCTCGTCCGTGCCTTCCGCAACATCCCCGGTGTTGAGACCTCCTCCGTCTTCTCCCTCAACCTCCTCCAGCTCGCCCCCGGTGGTCACCTCGGTCGCTTCATCGTCTGGTCCTCTGCTGCCTTCGAGGCCCTCGACAAGGTCTACGGCACCACCACCACCGCCTCCGCCCTCAAGAAGGACTACCTCCTCCCCCAGAACGTTGTTGCCAACGCCGACCTGGCCCGTCTCATCAACTCTTCTGAGATCCAGTCCGTCCTCCGCGCCCCCAAGGGTGAGGCTCGCACCAAGCGTACCAACATCCAGAAGAAGAACCCTCTCCGCAACAAGCAGGTCATGCTCCGTCTTAACCCTTACGCTGCTGCTTTCTCCAAGGAGAAGCTCGGCCAGCAGAAGGTTGAGGCCGCTAAGCCCGAGCGCGCTTCCAAGGACTTCCTCAACACCCTCTACGAGGCGTAAGTTAGTGGTCCGGGGTTTCACGCTGGGAAGGTATGATATGAGATTGTTTTCGGTTTAAAAGGTAGCACCAATGAACAGGTTCGCAATACCCATAATGAATTAGTAGTTTTCTTTCAAGTAGCTTTCCGAGTAGTTTCCATTGTAAGCCAGCATGTAAAACAATGTACTTGCCACAATTGGCATGTATTCAAAACTCAACCCATATTGATACGCCTCAGTTTTCTCACCCCTGTAGATGGGTAAGTACTTCTGCCGAAATAAACAACATTGCATTTGATACAACATCACACCTATCTACCATCCATCCAGTCATTCTACGCACTACAAAGCGTAGTTCCAACAAAATAATCAACGGTGCATGATCTTCTACACGGCACCTAGAAAGCATACTCTGTCAATCAGTCAGACCCCAATATCTGGCTTATTATCACATCTGACCAACCCAGGCTACCATCTATATCTACGCCTGCTATAACCCAGGATCATCAACCTAACTCAAACACAAACAAGCAAACATGTGAACAAACTATGTTCGCGCTACTTGATTCTGACTGTTATCGCCGGGTTGACCCGAGCATTGATTTTTGTTTGCTATTCTACTGATTACAGGGATAAGATGGATAGTAGGAAGTCGTATTAGGATGTGAGTATTTTCACATGACAATGTGTCACTAGTATAGGAAACTGAACCACAACTAAACAATTACCTTAATATTACCTTCAAGAACTAGTCACGACAAGATAGTAATAAGCTAGCTACTAGTTAATTAACTACTAAACTACTATAATTCGATCGTAAGAGATTGGTAACCATTTTTACTTCAAGTTACTACGAAGTACGTAAGTACGTAGTCAATAGTAGCTGTCGGTTCGGGACTTGCATCGGGATATATAAATACCCACATTACTAGTAACCAGTGACTGCAACTACTACGTACTAGACGAACGGACACGGACCTTTCATGCGCAGTAGTAGTTTCTGCCTAAGGTGGCTATGTTTGCTGCAGTAGTAAGTAGTATTTCCATCAATCACTAAGCTATACTAGTAGAAAGTCAAATTGAAGACAGTGCAAAGTTTATATATATTATTGTGAAACCACAGTGGACTCTTGAGCAAGCATCATGCCACCCGTTCGGAGTTTCCTCACAGTTCTACTTTCTTAGTTGTTCCACCCCTATTACTGAATAGCAGGATCTGGTGTAGATGGTAGTCAGATACAATGAGCATTATTATGATGCGCGTTAGTTCTAAACCCACACGCATCACTGCTACAACGCACAAATACAATAATAACCACCATCTCAACAACAACTACATACTCGAAATACAATATCAAATAGAAGAAGTATCACAATCACTAGGGTAATAGTTCATCCAACTGACCATTAACATAATAAATTACCATCTCATTCCTTTTTTTCTTTTTTGTTATTACTTTACATCGCAACCAACAATCCAATCATATGCAATCCAATCCTGGCCAAAACTACTTACCCGAACTACTTACTAAAGCACTTAGCACGGAGTACCTTAGGCCTTAGATCCTCCCTACTTAAACTACTAGTCAACTACTACTGCAACATCTCCCCTCCCAACAAATCATCTTCCTCATGTGCATTTGCGCAGAAGGGTTAGTCTCGTTCTTTTGTTCTACAGGGGGTGGAATCCTCTTCTTTCCCACTCCGTTGGTCCGTCGGTGGTGCTCTCTTCTTACTTTCTTTCTGGTCGGAGGACGGGGGTTAAGTTGGTGGCGTCCTAAGTGTTGGTGGATGAATGGGTAGATGAGCCGGTTAGATCCGAAGTGGTTGAGTTCACTGTAGTTAGTATCATCGCTTACTATATTACAAAGTAGTAGTAGTATATTATATCTTATTATTGCCATGTCGGATAGATAGTATAATTGATTTTATATTATTAGCGATCTGTAATCTGGATTGGGTGTGTTAGTTGTAGGGCGTTGTCTATCTAGGACTTAGTCCTACTAATACTTGTCACCATTATCTTAATTAACTACTAGTATGCCTTATGTGTCAGGTAGGGAGAATATAAGTACTAGTTATGAATATAAATATGAACACCATAACGGGTTCGATCGTCTATCCACCCTCGGTCGGTACATACTACTCATTTAGGCACTACGGTAGGTATGTAGCAAACTACCTGAAACTGCAGATCGAACTGACAACGCAATATTATAGAAATTGAAAAAAAATTGAATACAAGAAAAAGAAGAAGAAGAAAAAAAAATCCGATGGAAACGGAATATAGGGAAGAAAAGCCGATCAGGCAAAAAAAAAAAAAAAAAAAAAAAAAAAAAAAAAAAGAAAAAAAAAAAAAAAAAAAAAAAAAAAAAAAAAAAAAAAAAAAAAAAAATCCGATGGAAACGGAATATAGGGAAGAAAAGCCGATCAGGCAAAAAAAAAAAAAGTCATCAATTATGACATAGTTGGTAAATACCAGCTACGGATGAAGAACCAAAAACCGATAAGGATCATCAAACACAAAACAAAGAAAAGAAAAGAAAAGAAAAGAAAAAGAAAAAGAAAGAGAAAAGCCAGCTCATCGGCATTTGCTCTGATCACGGCAAATAGGAAAGTCAACTCCCTCGGGGCGGCGGCCCTGCTCTCCACTTTGCACTACGTTTCTATCTACTTATGGTGTGAGTTGCGAGTGAGGGAGGTATGTGTCAAGGGTGTGAGTGTGAGTGTGTGCGTTTCACAAGCTTGATTGATTCCCGCTCGGCTTTTCCGCGATTTTCGGACTCATTTTTCTGACGGGGGGCAGCGCCAAGCCCCTCTGTTACGTATGTTTATGGGGGGAATTAGTGGTCGGCTCGGTCCACACTTTGTTTCTCTTACTCTTACTCTTTCTTCTTCTTCTCTCTCGTTCTCGTAGAGGGGAGACACTCAGGGGATACGAGGGGGAAGTTATATCATATTGTTTTCATATTCATATTAGTTTGAAGCTTGAAAAGTCTCTCACATGACAATGGGGGTCGTTGTATATACTTGGTATACTGTATTGCGGGACTTCCGGATATTAGTGTAGGCTTATGTTTCTTATCATGGCTCTTATTATATTGTCTTATATTATAACGTAGTATCGGGCGATATCAATCCTCCGGTGCGCTTAAATTGCCTCTCTAAGTTCTTACAGACAGACCTAAGGGATTGAAAATCGCTTCAACATACTCGGTTGAGTAGTAGTTCAAGCACGACGTGCCTAACTTTTTCCTCATTAGTTTATTAGCAGATATTATTTAAATGAGTAGTATTCCCGGAGGAAACCTACTTTAGCACTTACGGCCGAGCACCTCAGTACACCGTGTACTTCGTACTTTGTGTCATGATCTCTCAGGGATGATGATGGCGTGGATAGTATCGTAGCATATCTCGGTCCATGCTTCCTCTGATAGCCGAGGTGGTCGACCCTTTTTTCTTACCCCCCCCTCTCCTTCTCAATTTTTACCTTTGGCCAACTTCCAAGGGCCCGTAGTTCGTGGGATTAACCAGACAGCATAACTTGAAACTCACACCTTATCGACCGATTCGGTTTAACTTCCGAAGTGATTGAGCAAGCGAGCCTTCATGATTCAGGACGCCAGACACGCTACCATGGACTATTGATCCTCGACGACCCCCACCTCATCCCACTTTGGCGCCGCGGCTACAACAAGCTTTTGGGCTAAAACCGTCGCCTGCAGCCTCTGATGTGATAGTCGGGGTGGCAATATCATCAGTATATGTCGGGTGTACGTACCTATGGTGCGTTTCGCACTGCTCGCCCACTACTGGATTAGCGGTCGCGTCGCTGCCGGGGTGTTTTGCATATTGGGTGGTGATGATGGATGAATGGAGAGGGGGAGGGAAGTGGGATCGACGGACGGGTTTTGTCGGGTGGAGTGGATATGTTTTCGGCCGGAGATGGCGCCTGCGAAGTTGGAGTAAGTAGTTTCTAAGTAGTTAGACTAGTATCTGTCTGGCTTGATGTTCTTATTAGTTGATAATGAATTGAATAATGCAGGTCTGGCTTTGCATAGTTGGCCAGAAAGGATGACCGATGAGCGGAAACAATGGTGATTGTAATTGATGCGATATTTATTCGCCCTTGAGACACCAATATGCGACGACACAAAAAGCACTGTGTCTCACCCCCTCCGGCGCTAGTTGATCCTATCGGAGAAGACCCAGGGAGGTTCCGGATATGGACTCCGACCATCACGGCCGGTCGCTGAACAGAGAGCATCCTCCGTCCCTCTGGACTGGTCCTTGTTTAGCCCTAGACCATCCCCCTCCCCTTCCCCCCCCCCTTCGTTGTTGGGTGTACGGACAAGATGGCCGTGGCGAATGTGACGGCGGAGATTGGCATTACTAGATGTGGCAGATCCTTGGTGCCGAAGGATGCCGGTGAGACACTAGAACTTTAGGGTGCAGGACGTTGGAGTCGGTTATTTAGTCCACCGACCAAACCACAGTATATCTTGACAGACTACTGTTGGATAATTTGTTGTACTCCGTCCTCCCCGACGATAACCACCACCCTGTCTGGGCAAACTACCGTGCCCTCTGCCTTATGGCTATATCTCCGTCCGTTATTCCGCTACTAGCAGGGCGCAGGAGTGGTTCCGACGGGGACGGAGGGCAACAAAGTCCACTTAAACTCCGCTCAAACTAGGTACGGGAGAGGCATAGGCCGTGTTTCCCTCCTTAGTATCTCATATATTAGGCGGGAGGTCAGGGCGAGAGCACGGTTGCTGTCATCCTTTAAGGGAACCAGGATGAGATGCGTCGTGGGGAAGGGCAGTCTCCCATCCACATCCCCTCTGTTGCGAGAGAGAATAGTACTAGTACTCCATCCACAGTATTATTCTGGAGGAATGGGAAGGTCCTAGCAAGTTTTTGCTTGCATCGGAACGCTGGAACGCCCGGCAAGGCCACCAAATCTCGGGTTTTGTTCGGGAAAACACAGATCTGATCTAATCGCACCAATCAGTGGGTGATGCCGCGGGTTTTTCCAGCACTGGGCGTTCGGCATCTGAAAGAGTAGGAGGGTGTCAATTATTTGGAGTAGGCAATCTCAAGGCAACCCGGTGTTAAGATTATTGCCCATGATTTCTCAATTGATTAGGATTTTATTTTATTTTTTTAATTTTTTTTCTTTTTAAACAACCCCCCTCCTTCTTAATTCATTTCCGGTTGGCGCCAGCTGTGGGATCGGTGGGCGAGATCGTATGATAGTACTTTAGACTTTGCTTAGCACGACCGTAGGGTGAGAGCCTCCGGCCCACTGTTGGAGGGATTGGTTTTTGAAGAGGCCATCCATGTTCCTAGCAGGGAGTTGTCGATGCTGAAGATGACAGAAAGTCTGCAATACAGCTCTCGAGACGCGGGAAAGAAAGACTCGTCAACATTCCCCATAGCCGACGGGATAGGTTTTCCGCGAATGAAATCCTTATTCAGTCAGTGGAAGCTGGACCGTCAAGCTGTCTGATACAAGTCTGGTTGCTGGCACACGCTTGACGGTGCAGATCGGATCGCCCCAAGATGAGACAAATCCAACATCCCTCCTTGGACCAAACGGGCGTTGTTCCCGGCGGGCCACAAACCGTTACAAGAGACACCAAACTCAAAATTCCAGCAAGCAGCATCGATATTAGCCGCCCCAGCGCCGAGTCTAACACAAAACCGACAAAAGAAAAGCCAAAAAAAATCAATATAACGAAAAGTCACTCAGGCCAGAAAAGCAAAACCGCGGCGCTCCGGCTCGCAGACCCTCATCTGTCCGTTTTCCGGATGCGCCCAGTCCACTTGGTTCGCTAGTCCCCACGAATGACGGGCTCGCGATCCTCGATGGGCTGAGGGACTTGCTGCGAACTTGGGAGGCTGTTCCTTGCACCCTCCCCTGGACTCTGCCTCTCATCTTTTTCCCGGCTTGGAGTCAATGCTCCACTCGCGTAAGGACGGACTACGGAGGTTTCCGTACTGGCCACTAGCCAAACGATAAGCTGGTGGGTGTTGACTGTTGAGCCCTCGGGGAGTCGCAGTGGTTGCTCACCCTGGCTGGCTGGGAGAGTCTCTCCTGAACACTGATGAGGTTGTTCGTCCGAGTTTGGTCAGTCCGGCCGAAACAAGTCGGCATATCGAGTGGCTCTCTCGGACGGGGGATTCTCTTTCTTGTTGCCAGGCTGGCTCTTTCCTTCATGTGCGGATCTTTCTTTTTTTGTTCCGGATTTTATTTCTTTTTTTCCAAATTTCAAATTTTTACTATGGTAATTGATTAACCATTGCCCCCCCCCTCTCCTCTCATTCCCTCCTCTAACCGGGCCCCCCTACTAATTGAGGCGGATAAACTGCCAAGTGTGCACTATATTGGGGTTGGCAGCTTTCATAGGGCCCAAAAACCAGTCCTTATGTGCTGGTGTCTTTCGGCTTTCCGTGCATGGGGTCGTAGTTATGTGAGCCTCGCATGTTATTGCACACCTCGAGGAGTATAATCGGCAAGAGATATCTAATAGTAGGAAAGGAACAGACGCATTGTCCCGATCAAACGAAACAAGGTTAAATGCAACTGCCGTTCCGAAAAGATTGTGCTGTCCCGTGGTCGGTGGTCGCATGAGCGTCTCCTACCATGACTAACGGCTGGAGCTGGCAATGGATCGTTCCGAACACCAACGAGGATCCTCCTGCGGGGCGTCGGGTTGGAAAACCTAATCACGCTCATATTAAAAAGATGCAAAGCCGGCCAGTGTTAATAAGGCGAGACAACCTGCCACCCACAGTAACCCTTCCAAAGACCAGATTGAGAAAGGACGCCGGGGAGTCTGACGATATCTCAATGCCGACCCGGACCAAAGTTTAAGTGCCACCTTGCTTCTCCATGGCATGATTACGCTGGAGATGAGGACGAGCAGATGATGAATCTAGATGATCAAACTATAATGAAGGACTCTCGGTAGCTTGATCTCAACCCGGCACCTAATGTGAACCGCGCCCGGTGGCTATCCTGCGATATACTCGGGCCAAGGCCATGACGACTGTCAATATACTGCCATCGGAGGATTTATCTACCATCCAGGGGAGCGGGAATAATCTGGATGTAATCGATAGTTGCCCGATGGATGGACGGACGCTTCGTGTCTCCGTTTGAAGTGGAGCTGGTCGAAGCTGAACCGAGGATGGAACTGAAAGTGAATGCCGAAGGGAACACAGGGAGGAGACTTCCGTCCCGCAGTAAGAATAGCCCGATAATAGGGTGTATACTACTCTGGGATAAAGTAAACACGATCCAGAGCATCTAGACTATCTGAGATGCCAGATAGTTTCTGGCTGACCGGGTGGGTTGGGAGGGCCTCCGTTAAACCGGAACTGTTGCGCAAAGTGGACTGGCAAGCGTTGGACTAAACCAGGCTGGAATTGTGAACCAGGCTTTGTTCTCTGTGTGATCATCCTGATCTGGATCGGTCATAAGTTGCCTTTCCATTAAATATGCTCACTGTTAGGCTTGGATGGCAGTTTGGAAAGGATCCTCAGCTAGAGGCCAGACACTGTATCGTATCCTCTTCCTACCACTGCGTCCATCTGTCTTCATTCGCGTCCTCTCTGCTCTTCTTCTTCTTCTTCTTCTTCTTCTTCTTCTTCTTCTCTCCTCTCTGTCTCTCTTACTCAATCGACCCTCCTTCTCTACAGTCTCCCTCTTATTCTCCTGAACCCCCTTCTTTATTCCTTTCATTTTTATTTTCTGCCCCTTTGATTCCCACTCATTTCAGGGACCGTGATTCTCATTACTATTCAAAAATCCCCGATCCTCCCCGCTCTAAATTAATCCCAGCGTGTCCCTCCTTGAACCTGGCGTCTCCGCCCCTCTACCCTACTACTACTACTTTACTACAGTCCTTAGCACCGGCCAAAACTGACAGGGGCATTCCCACCTTGGCCTCGACTAAGCAGCAGCGCTATTTAACCACAATTTCTCCATCCTCATCCTATTCCAGTGCCCCGCGCCATCAGGTTTTTTTTTTCTTTTCTTTTTTGGTGCAATTAGGCCGTCTAGCCTAGGGCCCAATTTTATTATTTTCCTTCTACTACTCGTTAGTGGCAGAAGCCGTTCGGCCAACATCAGGCCAGCTTGACCACTGACCACCAAATTACCTTAGAGCGGCTCTTGCAGGGTGATCTAGTTGATATTACTACTACACTCCCAAGAGATCTGTAATTTGGGCGGCTGTCTTCCGGGGGCTGCTGGCTAGTTGTTTATTATTCTTGTCCTACCTGGACCCCTGGGGCACTATCAATCCGCAACAAACAGTCTGGTTTTCATGCTAGTCTAATTGTGACTCGACGACCCTGCCCTGCCACTGTCTGCCATTGCACTCTTCCGCCCCCATCTTTCTCCCTGTCCGATCTGAAACGGAGGCTGCTGCGCATCTCGGTTTTGTTGTCTGGTACACACAAATCCCAACTATCCCCTCTCAGCGAACCTAGTCTAGGGAGAAACCAACAACGTTGCAAGTTATTGAGGCTTTACCCATTCTACATGGGTTCCTGCGTTTTGTGGCAAACATTGGAACGTTAAAGCGATACAGTCTCCGAATGGCGAGGTCGACCCGAAATACAAGCGTGTTACGGTCATTTGCGCCATGAGTATCATCCTTTAGATGCTACCTTCGTTCTTCCCATTTACCCGCAATCAGTGCAGGGTAACTCGCAAGTGAGCCCGCTTGGGACGGACTTAGTACTGTCATTGCAGATTATACCTCCTTTGAACGGTCATTCTCGAGTGTGTAATCCGATTCAGCCCTTCAGCTCATCCTGATCTCTCCTCCCCGGCCGGGCAGCGATCGACCTATTTACGGAGGGGCAATCGTGCTTCTCGGACGGCGAACCCAAAAACAAGCACATCAACCTTTAATTTTCTCTCCTTAGCACTAAAATCTGTATCATTTGCTGGCCTGCTGACAGAGTGCCCTCGAATTCGAACGGCCGGAGGCATTTTGGTAGGTTGCTGCGCCTTCCTGAGAAAAAAACACAATACACTGGTGTGGTTGCTAATCTTTTTACCATCTTGGTAGGCTCGCTTTCTTCTTTTTGTCTCTCCAGAAGTACGAGGATTCATCGGTCAAAACCTACTTTTCCTTTCGTAGGGGCTCTGTCTCGCTATCACAGTACCCGAGTCGCGGATTCTGATGCCGTTCGGTGGGTTCTAGGTGCAAGCTTCGAATAACTTTGGACACTATCAAGTCACCCACAATGTCTGCCTTTCCAGCGGGCTCCTTCAGGAATATGTCACCTGCTATAGATTCCACGTCACAGCGACAGCCTGACCGTCCGGCTAATCCTTCAGTCCCGGCATCCCACCCGTACCAACTCCCACCCCCTCGCACTTCTGCTCCCCTGCCTTTTGGGACAGCTCCGTTTCTACATCAACGTAACCAAGCAGAAGGTCGCGAGCTGGAAGAGACATCTCTAGGTCGCTCGAGAATTCCAGGCCAGCAGCAGACGGCCAACGAACAGCTTCCGCCAGTCAGCCAATTGCTGACCCCCACAGCCCATCCAAGCCGTCCATCATCTCCCTACCAACCTCACCGATTTGGCATCTATACACCCCCGAATGGCAGCACGGCATCACCGACGCCGTTCCGACAGAGCGATCCTATATCACGACCTAGCCTACACGAAAGCCCTCGGGCTTACCCCGAGGCACTCCCGCATTCACACACCAGGAGTCTCCCACCACTAGCCCACCTCTCCACACCCGGCCTAGCACGTGAAGGTCCGCTACATCCAGTTCATACTGGATCTCCGGTACAATCCAGTCAAGCTGCATCGTATCCGTACTATGGTTTCAACTCTCCGGAGAAGGAGTATACCAGAGACTTTTCTCCCAGTGAGACTCCCGATTCTGCTGCAACAAACAACCCCTCCCAAACAGCCAATGTGCGCTCTCATGTGGTGGATGAGAGGTATGTGGAGGGCGAAGGTCTGTGTTACATATATGCAGACGGTTCGCATTGCCCCAAGATCATTGACGGAGTTCCGGTCAATGCAAATTGGGGGATCACCAAAGCCGGGAAACCGAGGAAGCGACTCGCGCAGGCCTGCTTAACCTGCAGAGAAAAGAAAATCAAATGCCAACCAAATCTCCCTAAATGCGACCAATGTCAGAAGTCCGGGAGGGAGTGCAGATTCGAGAGCGCGTAAGTCTTCGGTACTGGTGCCTTGACTACCCTTGCTAAAGCGACTAACCTGTTCTGGTTTTTACTCTAGTCCCCGCGGCCATCGTGCGGCCCTAAAGGCGACGCAACTTGCGAATCGATACGAACCACGAGAGAGCCTCCCCCCGGGAAGCTATGCCTATGGCGCAGCATCCCAGTCCCCGTACTCTGCGATCCGGGCTTCGGAGAGTTCGGCCTCCCTCCCGAACACCAGTTCTCAATCGCCGAGATCCGAAGTATCGATGTTGACACCCTCTGCCATGGAAGGCCCCCAAGATAGTGTAATGGACCACGAGCAGTACCGGCTCAGAATGTCGGGCCATGGTCGCTTATCCATTGGAGCGGAGGATTCTGCTAGACGTCTAGCCGATGACATTTCGCTTGGGTCTCATGACTACTCGGACATCCTCATGGAAATGAAGGATCTGGACCCCCAAGACCCTCTTGTATCCGACTGGCATACGGATCCGTATGATGCAGACCCGGAGGCCGCAGTTCATTATGTGGAGAGCTACTTCACCCATGTGAACGACCGCCTATATTACATGTTCCCGCGGAAACGGTTTCTTTTGTGGCTGCGGTCGTGCAATACGAAGACTTCAGAAGATACTATGCTACTATACTCGATGATGACGCTCGGGGCGGTATTTTCCGATCGGCCCGACAAGGTGACGGCGCTGAAGAGGTATTCACGCACGGCTCGGTATGCCGTTGAACACAGTCGACACGCACTGACCCTGCAGCTTGCTCAAAGCCGCATCATCATCGGCCTTTGGTACTACGCTATAGGCTCCCTGGTGCCAGCTTGGGACGCAATTGGGTCGGCGGTTCGGACAGTGTGCGGACTCCGGTATAATGTTGAGTCGGGTGGGGTCATCGTAGACCAAAGCCGGCCCTGTGAATATGGCTTGCATCCCCAGGCGCTAATCGAGTGCCGCAGGCGGACTTTTTGGGTCGCTTACCTCATGGACGTGAGTAGCTCAGGATATCCACCGTTGTTCCCTAGGCTTGGACTGATCATCTTTCTCCTAGCGCATGACCTGTTTCTATACGCCCTCCTCGACCTTTATTTCGGCCCAGGCAGCCTATCTGAGACTTCCTTGCCGGGAGGAAGTATACGAGGCGCAGGAATATACCACCGTGCCCTATTTTCAAAGCTTCCTCAATCAAGTACCAGAATCTCCTGACAAAGATAGCGCCAGTCTGAGTGCTATGGCATTACAGGTTGAGATCTTGTCACTTTGGGGAGACGTATCTGACCACGTTTTTCGATTATCCTTGGTGCCGGCCGAGGCATACAATCAGCTCTTCGAGGAATTCCACGTAAAGGTAGCCGGACGCGCCGATGGATGGGTCGTACGGCTCCCGGATCATCTGACCTATTCGGCTGTGAACATGGAACGAAGCATCCGAACGAAGAAAGCGGACGCGTTCATGTCAATTCATCTACTTTATCACGCAACTCTGATGGCGCTCAATAGGTATGCTCGATACCAAATCATCCGCGCGGAAATCATAGAGCGGCATATCCGCACCACGCGGACCCATGCAGTGGAGATTCTCCAGATCTCGCTCGCCCTTATGCGTTGTGCTGCAGACTATGAGCCGTCTCGCATCGTTCTGGAGCCGGGAACGGCGCGAGGAACTATTCTGAACCCGTTCCTCGGATACGTGATCGTGTCAGCGACAGATGTCCTCAGTGCAGCGGGATTGATGGCCGATTTGCCGGAGAGTGTGAATCTGATCCGCGGGGGCCTGGAGGCTGTGCGAGAGCTGGCGCGCTTTTGGAGCGGTGCTACCCCCCTGGCGACGCTAATAGAAAAGCGTCTAGAAGCTATGAACGAGTGTCTGCAGCAACAGGCTGGTTCCGACCGGAAGGCGGCGTTTTTCGTGCACGGTCCATCACTGGATAGCCAAGTGCGCGCAGGCGTGCAGCAGCAGCAGCCAGATTTGGCGACGAACGAAGACTTAATGTATGGCGGCCTGCCGCGGGAGCAGTTGTTCAGCGCACTGGGAGCGGGCGAAGGTCCCTTCTCAGAAGAGACGATCCTTTGGATTAGAGAGAGGAGCTGATGGCTCTTCTACCCCTTGTTGGGATGTAACTTTTTGCATTATGAGCGGATATACAAAAGCTGTTGCAGTTGTGATTTAGCAGGTTATACCCGGGAGGCTTTTTGCTTGAGTTGTTGTTGAATACATGTTGCGGTTGCCCCGAAGCTGGGATGACTGCCTCTTACAGATGACACGAGTGACGATGTTGCACATGGATTGTATATTAGAGTCGACATATTAGACGTTCCAGCAGGAGTCGTGAGTTTCAAACTAAGTTAAGCACCAGTTTCAGCATCGAAAGAACTACGAGATACTAAGTAAATGACGAGTCATGGCGAGTGTCCCACTTTCACGCTGCATGAATCAGCTCGTGCTCGCCTGCCCGAATTAGGAAGTTGCCCAATCAGTCGTAAACAGTAGTTCCTCCTAAAGTAATGCCTTATCGGCGCTATGCTCGATCTCTCCCCGCCACAACGATCGAGCAGTTATCATCTACTACAGTTCAATCCTCCTTTATTATTCACTGCTGGCTTTTCATCCCCAAACCAGGGCCGCCAATGTGGACGGGACCTCGCAGAAAACGGAGGGGGACGGGAAGCTGAGGGAGGGGACCGCAAAAGAAGGGCGACGGAATCGCCGAAACCGCCGACTTCGATTTTCCGACGTCATTCAAAATGCGTGCCTTTCCTTTTCTTTCTTTTGCTTCCCCTTCAGCCAACACCTCGCGCATACAGACGCCCCATCAATTCACGCTCGCTCTATCTTTATCTACATGAAGGGGAGAAAAAGGAAATCCGAACCAGAATTCGTCTTGCAATATGTCAACATGATTATCTAAAAGACAAAACCTGAACAGCTTTCCCCGCTTCACAACTACCTACCTACCGACTAGCTTTTCGATCATCCCCCTCATATACACACGCGCGCGCGTGCGCAAAAAACCATACTTAATCCGTCGTGCGGCAGCGATAGTGACAGCGATAACCTCATCAGCACCACTGAAATCGGATAACCATGGGTTCTAATTCACCACCACCCAATGATCAGGATGAGCTCTCCTCCCCACCCGAGGAACTCGACTACTATGCCATCCTTAATCTGCCGCGCTCTCCAGCTCCCACGGAAGCTCAGATCCGGTCCGCATACCGCACCCTCACGCTAAGTTTTCATCCGGATAAGCAGCCGGCGGAGTTGGCGGACTCTGCGCGACGACATTTCGATCGTATTCAGGAGGCATATGATACGCTGGTGGATCCGAAGAAGAGGGCTGTGTATGATGAATTGGGTGTGCAGGGGATGAAACAAGAATGGGTGATTCTTGAAAGGATGGCCAAGGATATGAGGGTCGGGGTGAGGGCGATGTCTGGGGAGGAGTTTCGGGGGTGGTTTTTGGAGATGATGAAGAGGAGGGAGAGAGCTGTGGTGGAGAGGATGGTTGGGTCGAGAGTGAGTTCTTCCTTCTCTTGTTGCGTCCTTTCTTCCGTTTTTTTTGTTCGTGGGGGCGGGTTGGGGTTCATGGGTAAGTGATGTGTGCTGATGGATGCAAATTGTACAGGGCTCTATTACTATTGGGTTCGATGTCTCTAATGCTGTGTCATACGATGAGGAGGAGGACGCCTTGTATATTGAAATGCCGTCTCCGAAACCCTCGAATTATGCTCTGGGGTTCTCTTTCAAGGCGCCACTGCCGCGACTGGGCTTTTTCCTGGGGAAGGAAAGCGAGGATGAGAATGAGAACGAAAATGACGAGGAGCATGAGGCCAGGAAACCGTTCAGAGAGTATGGTGAGGATACGGAGTTGATGTTCAATGCGGGCATCTCGGGGGAGATAGAGCAGATGCACCAGGAAGCGAACTTCAAATTCCCGGATGGCAGGCAAGAGACTCACCTCGTATGTTGGCCGATTTACGAAGTCCTTTGATTGGGAAGTTGCTGACGCTGTGTTTAGCTGCCGTTGCCATATTTCCTGATCGCGAATCAGATTAACCTGGGGGTTGGGGTAACCCAAGTATTTGGAGGTCCTTATAGTGTTAAGGGCCTCGCAAAACCCCCGTTCGCGTTCATGCAGAACTCCGCCATGAGTGTGACCACATCGGTGTTGCCACACCCGTCGCTTGAGACAACCTGGTCGAAGTCCTTCGTCCCTATCCCTGGCGCGAAGCCCATCAGCGTCCAAGTCGATGTTAATTTTGACCGGTCGCTGCAACGTGCGCCTCCTCGCCTTGGTCTTAAGGTCACCAGGCAGATAGGTGATAGCAGGTTCTTGGTAAGTAGCTGGTCAAGCGGCTCGTTAATCTGGCCGAAACGTTTCCGCCACTCCTTATTACCCCTTATAGAGATCGGGTTGAACGCCGAGACTGCAATGACCGTTCCAGCTCAGTCCAGTCATTTCCAAATCGGCGTCGTCTCTCAGCCCAAGCGGCTGATTTCCCCGGCGGATGCCGAGGAAGAGGTGGAGGGGGAAGAGGATGACGAGGAGTTTGAAATGGTTCGCCGCCAGCAGCGCAAGCAAACTGGAGCTGCCGAAGCCTGGCAGACGAACGTGATAGCGACCCCGATGCAAACTACTTTGTCATTTGTTTATTCGCGCAATGTTTTCTCAGGGAAAACGGCCTACGAGCGTTTACGCTCTGAATGGAGCTCCGAGGGCCATCATTCGTTGCCGGAGGACAATGAGCCGCGATCTGTACGGGTAAATGTCGAGACTACCGTGGGGCTTGATTTGGCGCTTGGATGGCATATTGAGGGGACCCGCCAGGTTGGCGATTTCACTCGTCTGGGTCTTGGGGTTGGTGTTCGAGATATGCAGGGCCTCGTCGTGACCATGTCCTGGAGCAGGCTGGGCCAGAAGATCAGGGTGCCCGTATCTGTTATCCCATTTGGACTTGTCGATGCGGATGTAGCGGCAATGGCCATTATCTGCCCGTGGCTAGCGTACTGCGCGCTAGAGTTTGGATTTATTCGTCCAAGGGAGAGAAAGAGGCATCGCCGGGCGATTGCCCGACGACAGAAGCAGCTGAGAAGACTTGTGCCCAAGAAGCGGGCTGAGAGCCAAGAAGCTATTGATATTATGACCGAGCAAGTACAACGCCGACAGGCGAAAGAGGCTAAGCAGGGTGGTTTGGTCATTCTCCGGGCTGAGTACGGCTACTATCCTTCGAAGAAGGACAGGGAAAGCGGCCGAGAACCAGAAGTCACGGATGTCTCCATCCCGGTAGCTGCACTGGTCGACCACGGACAACTGGCCATTCCCAAGGAGATGGTCAAGGTGAGTTTACAGTTCCCTTCTGCAGGCGATGCTAGCAGTGCTGATTTGAGTTTGACGCAGTCCCATATCCTTGGATTCCACGACCCGGCTCCACTTCTGCCTAAGATGCTCAAGATATGGTATGATTACCATGGACAGGAGCATTACATCGAAGCAAAGGAAACAGAAGACATTTCCTGTCCTATGCGTTCGCATCTATTGTAGCTGAGCACATCTATATCTCCCTACTTTTCTTGATTTTGTATACATGCTGCACCACTTGCTTTTTGGCATTACTCTCCATTCATATCTGCATAAGGGAATGTGCATTATCCATAACATACTTCTTCCCTTTTTGAATATCTCCAGGCGTTAGAATCATATATTGCATGCATTTGTCGATAACCTCGTGTACGTTAGCGAGAGCATTGGACGAGGATAATTTATGGTGTCGGACTTGGTGGTTACTGCGCATCGACACTCGACCTCATTCTCTACTCGAATATATACCAAGCTACTCACACTTAGCTTATCTCTTATCACCTTGAAAATAAATCAGCGTAGACTACAAACCCAACTACTCAGCTATCAACAAACCCGATCCTCTCAAGGCGGTGACTGTGCACGTGACCCGCCCGATTCCCGCTGCGCCAAAAGAAGCCAAGCCCATCTTCACTCGCCATCGAAGAACCATTTCATCATATTCCTCCTCCAACCAATCCTCCTCTCCCCCTCACAACTTCAGAATGGCATCCATAGCGGAGGGCCTATTCAAGTCTCTTCCCAAGCCGAAATACACCGGCGAGGAGGAAGAGCTACCACAACATGCACAACCCCGAGGTCCGCGGGTCGTAGGCCCGGGACAACTCGACGAAACACAGATTGTTCTCCGGGTTGGTAGCACCGCATCCATACATAATCCACAGAACTCTTAGCCCCCCTTTACCGTTTCAACTCAATGCCAGTAATGCTAATGATGACTACGACGAATACAGAGAACCGGCCCCCCTCCCTACCAGAACAGAGCCGGATGGCGGCCCCGCGCCCCCGAAGACTTTGGCGATGGCGGCGCGTTCCCCGAGATTCTAGTCGCGCAGTACCCGCTCGATATGGGCCGGAAGGGCACATCATCGACATCGAACGCCCTAGCCGTGCAAGTCGACGCCGAGGGAAAAGTCAAATACGATGCTATCGCACGCCGCGGACACAGCGACAACCGGATCGTGCATGCCTCCTTTAAGGATCTGATTCCGCTGCGCCAGCGCGTCGATATGGGCGAGGTGTCATTGGACCGGCCATCGGAGGAAGAAGTCCAGGCGCAGATGGAGAAGACGAAGAACGCGCTCGCCAGCTTAGTGGAGGGTGCGGCGGCGGCGCAGAAGCCTAAGAATGTGAAGGGCGGGCGGAGAGCGGAACCTACGTTTGTGAGGTATACGCCGGCTAATCAGATGGGTGATACATCGAAGAAGAATGATCGTATTATGAAGATCGTGGAGAGACAGCAGGATCCCATGGAACCGCCTAAGTTCAAGCATAAGAAGATCCCTCGCGGTCCGCCATCACCGCCTCCGCCGGTTATGCATTCGCCGCCGAGGAAGCTCACGGCTGAGGATCAGGAAGCGTGGAGGATCCCGCCGCCTGTGTCGAATTGGAAGAATCCTAAGGGTTACACGGTTCCGTTGGATAAGCGGTTGGCGGCTGATGGACGCGGGCTGCAGGATGTGTCGATCAACGATAAGTTCGCGCAGTTCGCGGAGGCGCTGTTTACGGCGGATCGGCACGCTAGAGAGGAGGTCAGGCTGCGTGCTCAGATGCAGCAGAAGCTGGCGGAGAAGGAGAAGGCCCAGAAGGAGGAGCATCTGCGCGCGTTGGCTCAGAAGGCCCGCGAGGAGCGTGCAGCTGCTGGTAGCAGTCGGCGCGATTCTCGTGCCGGATCTCGCTCGCCGTCGCGTAGCGTCAGCCGCAGCCCGTCGCCGTACTCGGCTAGTGAGGATGAGGATGCTGCTCGGGAGCGGGAGCGCGCGCGTCGTGAGCGTCGTCAGGAGGCGGAGAGACAACTCCGCCAGTCGCGGATGGGTACGGAGAGACGCATCCAGATGATGGCACGCGAGCAGAACCGGGATATTTCCGAGAAGGTGGCGCTGGGATTGGCCAAGCCGACGCAGGCATCCGAATCAATGTATGACTCGCGTCTGTTCAATCAGACGAGCGGAATGGACTCGGGCTTCAACGAGGATAACCCGTACGATAAACCGCTGTTTGCCGCGCAGGACGCCATTAACAGCATCTACCGTCCACGGGCGCAGGCGGATGACGATGACGGCGAAGGCGCCGAGGGCGAGATGAGCAAGATCCAGAAACAGAACCGGTTCGAGGTGCTCGGTAGAGCGAAGGAAGGGTTCCGCGGCGCTGACATAGCTGAGGTGAGTGCATGCGTCCTCTTACTCCACCGTACTCAAGAAATATACGCTAACTGATCCCCACAATTAGGCTCGTGATGGCCCCGTGCAATTCGAAAAAGATACCACTGACCCCTTCGGCATCGACAGCATGATCGCCGACGTCACTGGCTCCGGTGCAGGCCAAAAGCGCTATGGTATCCAGGAAGTCGACCGTTCGGAACGGGGCTCCAAACGGGCGCGTGTCGATGATGATTAATTTTGTTGTGGATATACCTTACTTACTCTTTTTACTCTAACATACGCGGGGTTTAGATATCTACCTACGTACTTTGTTTCACTGTACTCAAACCATGTCCTATCGTTTGCTTTGGGGGGGTTTTACGTGCATTGCTGCGGGCGTTGTGTGTTACCGGTTATACTCTTTTTCTTGTGGCTGAAGAAAATGAAAAAGTGATTCTTCACTCCGTACTGCTTGTGATCATCCGGTGCTAGTGGATATGCTTATCACGGGCAAGTAGAGTAGTCAACAGGGTTGAACTAGTAGTAGGTCATCCTCCTATCTATAACCGACCAGTTACTTAGAAAAATACTGCCTGAAGATAGATAGATTGAAATCGCCACCGCACCATAACCAAATTAAAGACAGTACTATAGAACAAAGACAGCATGCAATAGGATGGTACTTTAATCCGAAGACGGAAAACCCATCATCACACGCTTTTCCCCTCATTTTCTTCCTTGATAGTAACTACTAGTCACGTCAAGAGGGCCTAAAATAACAAGATTCTTCTGCATCCCGATTCAAATCCCGGTGCGGAATGACCCACATGTAAATCATCAGATATACTCTATTACTCTTATAAGTGGAGATTATCCATGTAGGTGAAGAAAATGGTGTGGTGTGTAGAATGAAGTCACCCGACACTTTTTTCCGTAACTAGTGACAAGGTACTAGAAACAAGGAATGTATACGAGGATGGAGATGCGATCATTTATGTATGTTATATGTATGTATGGAGTAGGGGTGGGAGGGAGTCTTGGAAGTTGTGAACTATGGGACTTGGACGTGGGTGTCTTTTCTTATGAGTATGACTGGTTTAGGGTGGAGATGGAGATGCTTAGGATATGGATGGCTTCAGGTGGCTGGTAATTGTGGTGGTGGTGGTGGTGGTGGTGGTGGTTGTTGCGCGTCATGAGAGGATCTATTTATTAATAGTGTATTCATTCTGTTAATGTTACTGCCTACCTAGAGTATGACTTCTGCCTGCTCTTACAGTGTGCTGTGTACAGTCAGAGACTTACCTAGTTCAGTCAGTGATCTGTTTCAAAAGTCGACGAATCATAGTAGTTAGGGAAGAGAGATGAGTGGCTGAGCTGATTGAAAGATGAATCTCCTCAGGCCACAACTACAGTGGTATAATACTCTCACTGTATGCATGCATGCAGACATCAGACCACAAGGATGTCGGGTCGATCAGCCGGATAATCAGACTGATTGGATGGTGGACATCCCAAATCGACGACGTACAGGAGGGCCGGGGGAGCGTTGATCTAATCGAGCAGATAACGAGAGCCAATGACTCGCGCAGTTGCGAGTCATCTTGTTTGAGATTGATGGCCACCCTCGGAACTTTGTTGCTGCTGAGAAGGAGGGGATACTGACGATCGGGTTGGTTTCTAAGTAGTAGCGCTCCAAGCGCATTGGAGAAGAAAAGCTGCTGGCTGGCTGGCTGGCTGGATGGGAAAGAGTTGTGGTGATGAACGATTGGGAGGAGGGTAGGTAGGTTTGACCCGAGGGTCCATGATAAGAGAGAGTGGCTGAATGTCCGGATGTAAGTGGTGGGTTGCATGGGCTTGATTTGAGTCCAGACTGAGATTTGGGAAGATCGTGTCTTGTCTGTGAGTGTTGTGGTTGGGAAGGGATAAAAAAGTTATGGAAATGAGGAAAGTCTCATCCTTGGGTTGTCATTACCAGGGATCTGAATGGCTAGGTTTTTGTGATGGTAATGTTCGCTGCAATAGCACCTGAAATTATGCCCTAGGGGCCCGTCACTTCAGCTGTATCCAGAGCCGTTGTTCCGCTGGTCATGCCGGAATGGAACAAGATCCACTGTTAGAGCACACCGTAACCGTGTTTGCTGCTGGTGCTGGTGCTGGCGCCGGATGGAAGAGATAACGAATCCACCTGGTGTGCCCATTCCGATCTTTTTCCTTAGTACAATAGTAGTGAATTAATTGCTGATTAGTCCCCGTCTACGAACTTTACGGTTGTGCTTCTGAGACGCAATGCAGGATCATCTGTGTGACCGGATGGATGGAATTGGAGCGACCGTGGTGCCTGACTAGCTTACACTCCCACACGTTCATCGCACAACATCCTTGCTCCTGGAAAGTGCGGGGAGCCGATGAGCAGCAGCAGAGGAAATCCTGCCTCGCTCTGACCGTCGAATCCTGCTCCCGCCAGACACAAGCCACTAGATTAATGCTCGATCCGTGCGCCTGAATGATGCACCGGCGAGCACAGGGCAACGTCGGTACCGGCGCCTAGCGCGGGGTGGCGATCGAGGGGATTTGCTGGTGCTGCTGATAAGGTGCTGGGTCGGTGGAGCTGGAGATAAAGCCGAGACGCTGATTTGGGTGTATTCCCACGGATGGGTTATTAGGTAAAAGGTTCGTCTGATCTTTTGCTTTTAAAGTCTGGATAAGAGGAGTCATTCTGGCCGCACGCGCGACAGCAGCAGACGACGTGCCTAAACCGCCAATCAGTCAGTGCTCAAACAGATCGCTTCTGATTCGAGTTGCGATTTTTTCCCTCATTTTCTCTTTTCCCACCCTTTCCCCTCATCTGTCAACGGTGCCTTAGCTCTTTTCTTTTCTTGTTCTTTCTTGAACCCTCCCCGGGTGTCGTACCTTGGGAACGCTGACTCCGCCGGGTCTCTCAGCGGATCTCCGGTGTGGCGGTTGAAGTGTAACATTTGAAAAGTCAACTGGAGACAGACAGGTAGTTGAACCAGTCTGAAGCAAAAGGATTGAAAAGGAGTGAGTCAGGAGAGAAAGCGGAATATCGAGAGCTGCCGAGTTACTAGAAGTGAGGAGGAGAGAAGAGAAGAGAAAGTGCAGCAAAAGACGCAGAAGCTCAAAGTCACCTGCTCTCTCCCCTCTTGAGAAACGACCACCACGACAACTTCAACTTCAACTTCCAACTTCCTCTTCCCCTTCCACTCACTCTCCGGTCCTTGCTAGCTCCTTATTTTGTCTTTTTCTTCTACCAACCCATCCTTTACTTTCCTGCTCTACCCGATACCCTTGTCGCGTCTATCCCGCACCATCTCCCTGTGACTAGATCTTCTTCCCTTCTTGCGTGCTGGGTCTCATTGATATCATTCTTTCAAACAATGGCGTAACCAAGGGGGTGGGAAAACAATGAAAGCAAACTGTCGGCCATCCAGAACCCTCAAGCGCAAAAAGAAAAGAAAAGCATAAAGAAACCACCGACCATTCACACTGTCACCAGAGGATTCTCCGTGCCCTGCGCCACACCTAACTGGTCCGTTCACCTGCCTCACCCTGTATTGCCTGGTGCGGTGTTCAGCAGAACTCTTGCCAGCCTTTCACATCATCATACATCCGATCGTGACTTTCCTTTTTGTCTCCTCGTATGCTCTGCCTTGTACCCACCTGGCATCACTAAAACCAGTCTGTCGCCTGGGTTTGTGGAAATTCTGTGACGGCAGCTGATTTGAACACCTTAATTACTTTGTCACCTACCTGAGTTCGCACTCATTCGATTGTGCATGATCCGGATCTTCTGATGCAAACACATCATCTGAATATCGACAATCATGATGGAACAGTCATTATCTCTCATCTCAGCCCAGGTCCAGTTCATGGTAAGTCTTCCAAGTACCATCAATATCATGCTGTCCTTCATTGCACCCATTTCCCCCAATCTACGTGAAGCAGCATGGAATATCCTCGTGTTAGGCTGATCTTGTTAACCACTGTCGTCCAAATACAGGAAGACAGACTGGCCCTGGTGCATATCCCTTTAGACCTATATCCCTTCTTTCTGAACCCGATCATGCAGATTCTCTTCCATGAGGTGCCTCCTATCTCCGAAAGCCAAATGGAAGAGGACGATGGGTACGCAGAGGGTCATAGACGCCACCAGCCGGCATTTTTGAACTTCTCGATCACCCCTGTGGAATGCTCGATCATGTGTCCCAGACAGCTCGCTAATGAGTACTTCGCTCCTCTTGTCAACAAGTTCGTTCAGAGCAATTCCTCGGGCCAAAGCCGCCTATCCATCAGCCATGATGATTTCATTGCCATGCAGGTGTACGGAGAGGGCCTCGAAGCCGGCCAACGGGTCCTCGAGCTTACGAGCCCGCTGGCTATGGCAGGAATGTATGGTGCAGCTTACCTTAAATTTGTGCAACGTTCTGACTGACATCCTGTAGCTCTATCTTCTTCATCTCCACGTACTTTTCCGACTACATCATCGTTCCTCTTCGAAGCAAGACGCAGGTTATCGAAGCCTTGGAGAAGCGTGGCTTCCATTTCGAAATGTCGACAGAGGCTTTCGTCAACAATAACCAATCCCAATTCAACAGCTGCTTCAGTCCCATCTCGTCCCGGTCGGCGAGCAGTTTGGGCTCCCCTCCTGCCACCCCGCCACCCTCGTCGCTGGACGAACTGCAGACGCGCACTTTTAGCTCTCTGCGGAAGCACCATATTATTCCATCCGTTGACAGAACCCTGCGTCTAGTGCAATGCGCCGCGCATCATCGCTACAGTAGCGATACAAGCTCCATTGCCATACTCCGTGAAGCCCTCACAACAGCTTTGGTCGTCGACAAGCCACGGTTCCTCTCTCACCCTAACCGCTGCTGACCCCGCGGCGTCACTCTTGCTGGAAAAGCGCCTTCTCCCCCGCTTCTCAAGTGACTCATCTGCGGCCACTGACTCGGATGACGATACAAGTCTTCTTTTGGGATCTAAGGAGGAGATCCTTGTCCCCATTATGCTCGACCTGCGTAAGCTTCCTCTTGAAGCTTCAGGTATTGTGTGTGGCGTTGCTGGCCGACTGGCCGACGCAACGCACGCCCGGGGCGACGAGGATACTGACGTATCCACAATTCTCTCTCATTCATGGAACGGTGGTGGCTCGTCTTTTGACAGTGCCTTTAAAAACGTCCTGTCCTCTAGCCACGGCTCCGGTGGACCTGTCAGATCCTTTGGTACCAGCCCCGGCTACAGAACCCATCGTCTGCAGCCAGACATGGACCCATACATGGACGCCGTCGAGATCAGCTTTCTCAGCACCGCGCGGGCGGGCTCCATCATTGTGGGTGAACACGAACTTCATCGTGCCGTCGATGCCCTCGAAGCGGAAAGCCACGAACCCGATGCAGCAATTACGGCACTCGAACTTTGACCTCCATTTTCTGCTTACAATCAAAAGTTTCTTGAACGACTTATTTTGCATTTTCTATTTTCTTTGACTCTGCTTATTTTCCATTTTCAGCTATTCAGCGTAACAACCACACTCAATTCTCTTGTGTTATTTCAATTCTTGCTTGTTTTCCTAATGAATTATGCTCAAACGGATACCAAAAACGCTGCATTGCCTTATTTTCCTTTTGTTGTATTGAACATTTCTTGCTTGCACGCCCACTTCTTGCAGATTGCAGCTCGGAATTACGCTGCATACATACCAAAAAGTTGATGTATGCGAGATATATACATTTTCTTCTTTCAAGATCTCCTGCGACATTCAATGTCTTCTCTCTACCTTCTCTGACTACGACGCCATGTTTCCAGTTTTTCCTACACTGTCAATAATTGAGCAAGCGAGGTCGGAGTTGTGTGATTGGGTTCGTGCGGACTAATTAGGGCGGACATACGTGATTTGTATCTAGCATGGCTGACGATCTATTTTCTCTGGTCTAAACTGCATATGGGTGATTGGAAATTGTATGGAAGAATAACAGACAAGTTCTATGATGAGATTCACTGACTCTCGAGTTGGGTCTATTGCTTAGCCTCTTTTTTGTATTATTACCAACCAAACCGTATCCGCGTCATCAAAATCACTCAGTAGACTCGTCTTTCACCAATTGGCTGTGCCGTGGATAGTTAGGCGCTCAGGCAATTCAGGCGCTCCTTCGAGGCTGAGCGAGTGAGGGAGTGAATCAGTGAGCGACGACAAGACCCGCCGCCGCACCTGTCTGTCGCCACAGGCTGAATTGCCTCGTGAACAGCAGAAAGAGAAATGCAAGAAAGCTTCAGCCTGCTCAGTCTTTCCCCACTCGCACACCAATGATCCAATCAATGAACAGGTGGATACGTAGTCGCTACACCGACACACCACACCATACCATATCGAACCTATTCCCTGTTTCGGCAGACGAACAACAATAGTAGCGTCGCGTCGGTACTTATTCTTTCTTTTGTGGTCTGGGTGGAGTGGAGTGAAGTGGCGCGGCGCACGCACCACCTATCTGATGATCACGACAGCTGATGCAATGCGAGGCGACGCAACGCAATCTATCTATTTATTTTGCCGGGGATATCCGAGAAGGAAGGGGCAAAGACGGAAAGTAAGCAAGATGATAGACATCAGCCAATGTTGGCTGGCTGGCTGGCTAGCAGTCAGCAGTACTGATGGGGGGAATGGATAATGCAGGCAACAAGGCTGAGAACATCCGTTCGCATTTGTGCTTTGACAAGCGCTACACGCTACACGCTACACGTGCTGATGGTGGTGGTGGCGTTTTCTTATAAGCTTGCATGGTATCCAGTCATGGTTGGAACACGAGCATGGGGTGGGAAGGGAAGCCAAGAGGATGAAAATGTCTGTGCGTCGGCGCTGGTGGCTGATGATTATTTTGCTGACGGTGAACCTTGCCAGTTTGACCGGATGGCTGGGTTGCTGGGTTATTGTCTTGTCTTGTCTTGATTAGTTGATGAGTGGCTGGGAACTAGCTTGATAGCTAAGTCGCTAGCTAGCTGAGCAAGGGTCGGACAACACAGCCTAAACTTAGCGATAGACTTTGACAGTTCCTGATGGGTTACAAGTAAGCCGAGGGACCGATGGTTAGCCACGTGCAATGCGCCACGCAGTGAGAAAAACAGGTACAGTGCAGAGTTTGAAAACGAGAACAAGGTATGATAGATAGCCACCAAACGTAACCAGGGGAGGGGAGGGTTGCACAAACGAAAATAGAAACTGCAATAGCTGAGACATACCGTCTGAACAACCACCAGCCCAGCAACCTCCTTTTTCATTCCACGATACAGCACTCACGGCCTTGACGCCTGGTCCAGTTGGAACACACGCGACCACTTCTCCACTAAGCACATCCCAGGCGAATACGGACGCCTGCGTAGCACCATTGCCGTTGCCGGAGTCATTCGCTTCACTCCCGCTGAGGACAATGGCGTCTGCTTTCGCGAAAACAGAGCGAATTCGAAGTTCGCTTTTGCGATATATGGCAGTGCTATTACCTTGGATTGGACTGGCATCGTCGCCACCAAACGCCTTTAATAGCTTGCCGTCACTCCGGTCCAGCATTCGGATGCGCCCGTCTGTTGTAGATGCTAGAAGAGCATTGCCGTCACTGGAGCAGCGAACACTAGTAACAGGGTGCGCGAGAACATCAACAAGGGTGCGCCCCATTCGGATATCGTATACTCGGACTCGACCATCGTAGCTCGCGCTGGCGATAGAGTACGTGGGCATATGTACGTGCAAGGAAGAAACGGTATCTCGGGCTTCGGTGAGGGTCTGGATTGGCTTGTAGGAGTTGGACTTGGTATCCCAGATGTTGATAGTTGTGTCTGCACTGCCTACACCGTACGCAAAACCCGTCAGTAATCATGACCAAAGCGTGCATTGAAATCAGGACGAATTTACCAGACACAACTACAGAGTCGTCTTCGCCTGCGAATTGGACTGCCTCAACACGTGCATTATGTCCACTCCAGCGCCTGATTGTTCCACCTTGCTCGACATCCCACAGAAAAACCTGGCGGTCTCCACCAACGCTGGCGAACCGGGAGTTGTCTGCTGCGACGGCAATGTCCAACACAGAGTACCCGTGCGCTTCATACTTCTGGATCGGGGATGTCGTTTCTGCGGCGGGTGCATTGTTATTGTTGGGAATAGCCCGGGAGAGGTGAATAGCGCGATCTGTCGAGCCGGTGAGGACATAGGTTCCAGGATAGCTGGAGAAGGTCACTGCGTTCACGGGGCCTGAGGTACGTCAGAGGGGATCTAGAGCTTCAGGAGCTTAAGGCGTGGAGTTAGCTTACCATTGTGGGTTTTGAGGGTGTGGGCCAGTTGGGTGGGGAATTGTTTTATTGCTGGCATTGGCAATTTTTTTTTTGTCTGAGGGACTGCTCTCAGCAACAAGCGTAGCGAAGCTGTGCAGGATCGGAGACTGGTACACTTCTCGACATCCAGAAGTGACGGCCCGGAATGCGGAAGTTGGAGAAACAAATAGATGGGCGCGGCTCACCGCCGGCGGGGTTCCATATTATTTTAGCTTCAGCAATGCGCCAAAAGTTTCTCCGCATTCCTGCGGATCAACGGCGGCAAAACGGTTCATACTTTCTTTTTTCTTCCTTCTCTCTGCAGCACATGCACATAATTAAATCTGTATTGACATGCTACGGAGTACAAGTGGGTTATTATCGAAGATGTAGTCAAACCATCGCTAGTTACCAGCAGGCAAATCAGAAGAGCAAAATCACCAGACAACTCTGGGCGTCGGTCTCCACCCAGGTTGCATGGTCCCCCTGAGCGCGCAAAATCCGAAAATCAAAAGGAAAGAAAAACATTTAGAGGGGTAGTCAGATGTAAAGATATTAGTCGAGACGAAAGCACATTTCTTCTGCTTTTTCCACAGTCCGTTACAGGCCCACGGTCGTGTCCGGTGGTCCTCTGGTATCTTAACGACGTCCGTGGCTGCGAGTGGAAGAGCCCTGCAGCCCCTCGATTTCCTGCTCGAGCGACTTGATTCTATTTGCAGTTAGCATTGTGTTGTTCTGAGCGAGCTACTGGGCAAACTTACGCAGCATGGGTGGCCTCCAGATCCTTGTTGAGGCGGTCCCTCTCTGCAATGAGCTTCTGCTCCCACTGGCGGAACCGCTGCTCCTCGACCTTGACCTGCTCGGTGAAGCGCTTGCGCAGGTTCTCCTCTTCTTCCTTGAACTTGGGGTTGTCCAGCTTCCTGGGGCGGGCCTCGCCGAATTTGCGGGTCTCCATTTGCTGTGCGCGGTAGGCCTCGTAGTGCTGCTCTTCGGTAGTGTGGATGAGATCGAGCATGTGGGTGCGGATCAGAATAGAGCGGAGCTTCTTGAAGTCGCAGTGATCCTCGTTCTCAACTTCAGCAACACCCCAAGCGTATTGACGACCCTTGACGACCCGGTTGTCGGTAGTCTTGACGTCCTTCTCGGATCCGATAACAGCGAAAGGCATGGCAGCCGTCAGGGTGCGCGCGTGAGCGGCGGCATGCTCGTCGTCCTCTTCGATGGGAGGGGTGTAAATCTTAATGCCCTGGGCCTCGATGACAGCACGAATCTGAAAGGGACACCTGTGGTTAACTTCCATTCTTCAGCACGGGACAATGGCTGAGCGGCTCACTCTCTGCTTGTAGACGGCCAGGTCCGAGGGGCTGAGGGTGTCGGCCTTGGCAACGACCGGGATAAGGTTGACACGAGAGCTCAAGCGCTTCATGACCTCAATGTCGAGGGGCTTCAGGGTGTGTCCGGTAGGGCGGATGAAGTACAGGCAGGCATGCACACGCATATCGATCTTATCCGTACGGCGAGGCTGCTGCTCTTGCAACATGTACGACTCATGCTGGTCGTCGAGGAACTCAATGATGGGTTGCCAAGAGTCACGGTTGTTGACATAGTCTCCGAATCCGGGGGTATCAATGACGGTCAGGCGGACTAGAGCGGGGAGGCAACCCACAGCGTTAGCAGCCAGTCCAGCGGTGAGGAGTTTGTGGGTATGAACCTTTGAAGAACTTCTCTTCCAGCTCAGCCTTGGTGATCTCAATCTCGACGGTCCGGTCAATCTGCTTCTGATGACGGCGCTTGTGGTCGGCGTAGTTCTTGATGGTGGTAGAGAACAGGGTGTTGATAAAGGTGGTCTTTCCCAAGCCGGATTCACCAGCGACCTATATGTTTTGATGAGCATTCTGGCCCCTTCCATTGCCCGGTATCCCGAATCAACCAACCATGATAGTGAAGGCCGCACCCCGCTTGGCGACAATCTTGTGCCTGAATAGATTGGTTAGAGTAGATCATGAGTTGGCGCGCATCTGGCGGCACATACCGCTGGTTAGGGAGCTATCGAGAAACCATGTTAGAATGAAATTTCGAATCTTGTCTTGGAGGGTTAGATATAGTCCATAACTTACGTTGGCAATGCCAATGGGGGAGGCAGTCTCGGTGGAGGACATGATGATAAAGGGGTGAGTTGGAACTCAATTAAACAGAGCTAAACAGCGGGAGTAAATAAAGGCAAACGACAACCCTGGCCAGGAGGAGAAGGGCCAACGGTACGAGGGAAAAGCAACGAGAGATGGGAGGAGAACAAGGCGAGGACAAGAGAAGCAATGGCCGGTTGGGGGGTGGGCGTGAAGGGGAAAGAGGGACTTGGTGTGGATGGAACTTGGAGGACGTGCCTTCTTCTTGCACTTGGTTGGTTTGGCTGGTTGGCTGGTCGGGTTGCTGCCCCTGAATCCCCCCCAGGCAAACACCTGCAAACACAGCGGCGTGACCAGCCCACCCGGGGATGTTGACAGCCTCAGGCATACGTGAAACGATAGTTCTTTGCCTCATCCGGGTTAGCGCCGACGCTAGGGCCCCGGATGGCGCTAGCACTATTGGAGACTAACGTCTCGGGACCGGAGCAACTGTTGATCCCGGCTCTTATCGCCCGCTTTTGGCAAGACGATTTTTTTGAAGATCGTCCGGATGGCAGAGAAAAGCGCTTGCTGATTGACGTGGAAACGGATTCGGTTGGCGACAATGAAGACGGATTTTAAGGTGAGCTCATTCTGTTTGACATATTTAGTTTGAATGTGACCTCGCATCGAAAGGGGGAAAAAGGAAGTGTTGGAAAATGATCTAACGACATGTCTCGACTAGTTCTCCAACCTACTGGGTACGGTCTATCGCAAAGGTAATCTGCTCTTTACGCCCGATGGCACCTGCTTGATCTCCCCAGTGGGCAATCAGGTCTCGGTATTCGACCTAGTGCAGTATGTCTCCCAATTTCTCTAATGCTGTCAAATGCCGACAACGTATACTGATGTGCCGCTCCCCGCAGCAACACCTCCTATACCCTTCCTTTTGCGCACCGCACGAACATCGACCGTGTTGCTCTCTCTCCTCGCGGCAACCTCCTCCTGACCATTGACGAGAATGGCCGCGCCATCTTGACCAACTTCCTCCGCCGAATTGTCATCCATCATTTCTCCTTCAAGGGCCGTGTCTCCGCGCTTCAGTTCTCCCCGTCTGGTCGTCACTTCGCCGTCGGAGTGGGAAGACGCCTGCAGTTCTGGCACACTCCGACAACACCGGGCACTGACAACAATGGCGAGCTCGAATTTGCCCCCTTCGTCTTGCACCGTGACCTTGCCGGTCATTTCGACGTGATCCAGCACATCGAGTGGTCCAGCGACTCTCGCTTCTTGCTCACAGCTTCCAAGGACTTGACGGCCCGGGTATGGAGTATGGACCCCGAGGAGGGCTTCGAGCCCACAACCCTGGCCGGTCATCGCCAGGGCGTGAAGGCGGCATACTTCTCTGCTGATCAAGAATCGGTAAGTCTGCGCGCAGGAGTGCTGGAGCTCAGGCTAATCGCAAATAGATCTACACAGTCAGCTCCGACGGAGCTCTTTTCCGATGGGAATATGTGACTAAGAAGGACCCGGAATCGATGGATGATATTGCGGAGGCCCGGTGGAGGATTGTCAAGAAGGACTTTTTCATGCAGAATGATGCCAAGGTCAACTGTGCCGCCTTCCATGCGCCCACCAACTTGCTGGTTGTCGGGTTCTCGAACGGTCTGTTCGGGCTCTATGACCTCCCGGAATTCAACCAGATCCATCAGCTGAGGTATGATTATTGGCTAAATACCAAGTTACAGAGCTGACTCGCGTCTAGTGTCTCCCAGAGCAACATCGACTGCGTTACGATAAACAAGTCGGGTGAGTGGCTGGCGTTTGGCTCCTCCCAGCATGGACAGCTGTTGGTATGGGAGTGGCAGTCGGAGTCATACATCTTGAAGCAGCAAGGCCACCTTGATTCCATGAATGCATTGGCATACTCCCCCGACGGCCAAAGAATCGTCACTGCGGCAGATGATGGAAAGATCAAGGTCTGGGACGTCAAGTCTGGTTTCTGTCTCGTCACATTCACGGAACACACGAGTGGAGTCACGGCGTGCGAGTTCTCCAAGAAAGGAAATGTTCTGTTCACAGCCTCCTTGGACGGCTCCGTAAGAGCATGGGATCTCATCCGTTATCGCAATTTCCGCACATTCACCGCTCCATCCCGGTTGTCTTTCTCATCGCTTGCTGTCGATCCCAGTGGTGAGGTGGTCTGCGCCGGCTCTCCAGACTCCTTCGACATTCATATCTGGTCCGTGCAGACTGGGCAGCTGCTTGACCAGTTGGCTGGTCATGAAGGTCCCATTGTTACCATGGCGTTTGCCGTAGACGGCAGCCATTTGGTGACCGGCAGTTGGGATCGCACCGTGCGTGTATGGAGCATTTTCGGACGGACACAAACCAGTGAGCCGCTTCAGCTTCAAGCGGATGTGCTGAGTGTGGCTTTCCGACCTGATGGCAAGCAGGTTGCTGCGTCCACCCTGGACGGACAGCTGAGTTTCTGGTCGGTGGAGAATGCCGTGCAAGTCGGTGGAGTAGATGGTCGCCGTGATGTGTCTGGCGGACGTAAGATCACCGACCGTCAAACGGCTGCGAATGCTGCCGGGACTAAGTCTTTCCGTTGCATCAGGTACAGTTCCGACGGTAGTTGTATTCTCGCTGCTGGAAACAGCAAGTACATCTGCTTGTATGATGTGGCGACGGGCTCTATGCTGAAGAAGTATACCGTGTCGGTCAACACCTCCCTTGATGGAACTCAGGAGATCCTCAACAGCCGTGACATGACCGAAGCTGGACCGCGAGGCCTTATTGATGAAACTGGTGAAGCCTCCGATCACGAGACACGCGTGGACCGCAACCTTCCTGGAGCAAAGCGTGGCGACCCCGGAGTCCGCACGACTCGGCCGGAGGTCCGCGTCACGGCAGTCGACTTCTCGCCTACCGGCCGTGCATTCTGTGCGGCTTCCACCGAAGGGCTGCTCATCTACAGCTTGGACTCGGACCTTGTCTTCGACCCCTACGACCTCGACATCTCGATCACGCCGTCCAGCATCCTGGCCACCCTGGAAGGAGCCAAGCGAGCCGCTGTAACGGGCGAAGTGAACGACGATGACACCTTCCTGAAGGCATTCATCATGGCATTCCGTCTGAACGAGCAGAAACTCATTCGGGCGGTCCACGAAGCCATCCCTCCCTCCGAAATCTCTCATGTGGTCCGTTCGGTGCCTACAGTCTATCTTCCTCGTCTCCTCCGCTTCGTGGCCCATGCCGCTGAAGAAACGCCGCATCTTGAGTTCAACCTGCTGTGGATCGAGGCGCTTTTCAGCAGCCACGGCCGATACTTCAAGGAGAACTCGGGCAGCTTCGCGCCTGAGCTCCGTGCGGTGCAGCGCGCCGTCGATGAGATCAACAACAGCTTGAAGCGACTCACTGAGAAGAACATCCACAACCTCAACTACCTCCTTTCAAGGCCGGTCCTTGCCGGAAACAAGAAGCCTGATCTGGCCATGAGGGCATTGGGTGAAACTCTTGAGTCGAATGCGAACGACGAGGAGATGTCTGATGCTGGCTCGAACGAAGAGGGTGAAGGAGAATGGGTTGGTCTTGAATGATTGTCATGCTTTTTAGTTCTTTTCCTGTACTCTTAGACCTTCCTATTCTTTGTTCACTCTCCCAGCCGTCCTTCTGCTTTGCTTTGCATTTGCGCCTGGCGTTTGATCTATGGTATACCTGGAGATAAAAAAAGGGGACAGCAAAAAGTTGGGAGTATTGCTGTGTTTATAGGTCTAGCTGACCGTATACTGAATATATGAGTATAATAGACGTAATTTGCTGTTCGGCTTGCGTATTCATGGAGAAGCGTAGTGCAGAGTCCTCTGCAATTAGATCATATCCCTATCCCCTATAATAATACCAGTAGTTCTCAGAGCTAGATTTGACTCTATCTCGCCCCAAACCAGACACCACCAAACCTACAAGTTCCAGACCACAATTGCACATAACCCAAATGGCCATTTCAAATGAACGTGAGCTTCTCAGGAGTCTAATATAATATCGAACAGGATGCTCCACTTGATTATTGCACCACACCAACGGGCAAGTCTCTTCGGCTGCGGGAATATACACGAAATGAAACGAATCGACAAACAAACAACTGCTAGTAGTATGTATCCTTCCCACGCCATTCTTCCAGACACCAGCACATCCTCAACACCAAACAACCCAGTCACCACCCCTGTCTACCCAATCCAAACATCACGAAATAGCCACTGCATTAGGCGGACTAGCCACACCCCCAGGAACCTAAACAGCGAATCTAATGTTAGCCCAGCCCAGCCCGTCCCAACCCATAAACCACAAACAACCAAAGAGACGAAGAGAAATAAACTCACCTTCAACGGCACACTACACAAAAAGAACCCCCACCTCCCTTTCTCCCTACAGTACGTCGCCAACTCCTCCAAATCAAAATACTCTCCAATCGGCATCCCCCACCCCGCCAAACACCACTCATGCAGTGTCATCCCCTTTTCATGCTTAATGGGCGCGGGCTCCAAGCTCGGCGTATCAGACGCCACAGCCGCGAACTGGTTCTCCCATAGCCAGCGCAGCATGGCCTCTCCGTTCTCGATGCCCGCGAAGCTAGGCGCTGGGCGATTGCCGAGCTCCTCCTCCTGGGCTGGGGTAAGGGCGTTGAAAGCGGCTGTGAAACCCGTCCGGATGAAGAGGATGTCGCCGGGGCGGGGACGGATGTTGTATTCGGTGATGAGCGATTGGAGGTGTGAGAGAGGGATGCTGCTGGTTGTGAAGGGGGTGAGGGGGATTGAGTGACTGCTGGCCCAGTGGGCATAGTCCAGGAGGATGCCGCGGCCGGTTATGCCGCCTTTTTTGGCCCATGCTGGATTATTATTATTTAGTATGTGTTGCGTGTGTAGATGATAGTTGTAGGTTGTAATTAGTAGTGTATGGTGCTTTGCTTACCATCAATTCCCAAGACACTCGACGACTTCAACTCTTCCAAACAATGGCCATTGAACCAGCATCCGTGTCGTTGGTTTCCTACACACTCTCCACATTAGCATCTCTCACTCGCAATCTCTACTAATAATGTAGTTAAATGGAAAGAAGGGTACCATAATGCCGAAACCCATCCCACTGTGTACTGGTTTGCGTATTGAACGTCAACACATCATCATTCACAAATCGCGGCGCCTTATTAATCAGTTCCTGGACGAACGGTTTTCGACCAAAGCTGGAATATCGCACACGGTCGAGTGGCAGATCCAGGGAAATGCGCACCCCATCGCGGATTTCCTCGGTTGCGGCTTGTCGGACGGTTTCCGGGGTCAGTAGATTGAGCATCCCCAGGTCGTTGTTCGCTGGGCCAAAGAGGCCCCAGGCGTTTCCTGGGGGGCCGGAAG